CAAGGTGCAGATCCATTGCTTACCATGCCGCGCGGAAACGAATATGAGCCAGAGCGATGCTGCCATAGATGAAGAGGATAGATAGACCCGACAATGACAGGAGCCAATTGAAGATCGTTCCACCATTATCTGCCAAGTTGATAAATGCCAGGCATCCGAAGAGAAGCTGCAGAATGACCACAGACAGTGGACGGCCTTTCTTGTCAACGTAGGCCAGTATCTTGGGAGCCATACCTATGTATGGCTTTAGCGTTGGAAACAAACATAGATTTGCACTCACCATTTGCAGCGAGAGCCTGAATGGTTCGAGTCGAGCCAAACGTGCAGGAGTTGGCTACACTCATGACAGCGATCAGGATAACAGCATTGAAGATCGATGGCAAGACCTTGATGCCGGCAAGCTGGATTGCAATGACAAATGGTGAATGGCGTGACGAGGAACCTTCACCACTATACAAAGGACTGTTTTCCGGCACTATCAGGCCAACGAGGAACAGGTTGACAACGTAGAAGATGGCGATACGCCATACGACTTGTTTCGAGGCCCTCGGTATCTCTTTCCTTGGGTCTTTTGTCTCCGCAGCAGCCAGTCCGGTCAGCTCAGTGCCAGTGTAGGCGAAGGCAGCGGTGACGAAAACACTACAGAAGCCGTGGAAACCATTAAGGAAAGCCTCATAAGGAGTATGCCTGGTTCGAACTATTAGCCTCGCCGATAGCGCCTGTTGGAATGAAATTACCAGTATCTTGCACCAATGTAGCCTCTGTCGTCTGTCGGAACGCCACCACAATTGATGATTACTCCGAGGATCATGAAACCAATGCAAGCGATGATCTTCATGATACTGAGGACAAATTCGACCTGTGCAATTACATTCAGCTCACTTTCTAAAAGCAACTCTTGATGGACTTACCTCGCCATAACCCTTCACACCGAAAAATTGAATAGCAACCAGAGCAACAAGCAGCGGGACGATCCAAGCAGAATTGTTAATACCCTCCGATCCGGGCCAGTAGTGGATAATATTACAGGCAGCTGAAATCTCAAAGGGAAGGACAGTAAGCCAGCTAATAGCGTACTCCCATGCGCACGCAAACCCTAAGGAAGGATCAACGAAGCGACAGATGTACATCGTGAAGGCGCCGTTGATTGGATACATGACGGACATTTCGGCGAGAGCCTGCATCATGAGGTAGCTAAATGATCATGTTAGCTGAGAACAAAGCATTCTCGGATCCAAGAAACCTACACCATGCCACCTGAAAAAAAAGTTAATTATAGCACCTCAGTACTTGCAAAAGACAACTCACCAATAATCATGAAACCGAGAAGCACAGAGGCAGGTCCTCCAGTCTGAAAAGCGCTGCCAGAACCAATGAACAGACCGGCACCAATTGCACCACCACTGAAAGTGTCGATTAGTATACCCTTAGTATACTCTCGAGGACTCAGTTTGACACTTACATGGCAATCATTTGCATGTGTCTGCCTTTCAGCTCTCGGTGAAGCATGTTCTGGTCAGTGTGCACCATAGCCTGATCCTCGGGGTCGACGCTGAATTGCCGGCCACGCGCATGCTCACCGAGCGAGCCCGGTGCGTAGTGCGGAGCATCGCTGGCAACCTTCTTCTCACCGACCATATTGGATTCGTGCGAGAGACTCATCTTTGCGACGGTCAATAGAGAGGGACGAGGGAGGAGCGAAAAAGGGTGGAAGATCAATGCTCGCAAGACCACGATCACCTTGGTTTTAAAGCACCAAGCTTCCCATGCAATCGCAAGCATCCACAAGCATCCACAAGCAACCCCAAGCAACCCCAAGCTGCGCATAAGTACGCTTAAGTTGTTAGTGTCATGCAGCTGCGGCAAATCATAGATAAGCGTCCGCTGAGAATGGAGCTTCGAGAGTGGATGTTGGCGGGCACGATCCCGGATTCGTCCAGGATCGCACATTGGGAATTGTTACTCTCCCTAAGAAGGTGACATCGTGTTGGCCTTCGTTCATGTGGCGAAACCTGGCTTGTTAGACTTTGCGGAGATGGACCAAGGAGGGCATTCCTCATTTCTCAGTTCTCCGTGAATAAACGATAGGAGCACTTGCTCATGCCAGTCATGCACGATTCCCAGAACATGGAGACTTCATGATCGAGCTTCGGCGGATCTTGTCAACACCATGATCTCTTAATGAGGCTGTTTATCACAGATGTCATGACAGATGCAAAACCGTATTCCTCTGTTGATCCGTGATCAACAGGCATGATAAGGCGACCAGACAGACTCACTCACTTGGTACGGAGTAGTGCGAAATGTACTCGTATAATCAGTCCAATTCAAATCGATTTGCCACTCAGATGCCTTCAGGACCCTGGGTTCGCTGCCCGCCTTACCTACTTGGGGAGGTCCTGGAGGTAGGTCTGCTATCTGCACTCTGATTAGCCAGTGAGACCGGTTCGAAGAGCCCTTACCGAGCCCACAGCAAATTATCAGAGATAAGAATGTCGTACTCGGTAGCTCCGGGCCCATTAGTGCCGTTGTGGCCTGTGCCCTGGATCCTCAGTAGGAGCTTCCATGCATCTTCTATGGGGTCAGCAAAGCTAAAATGCGACATGGTCAGCAGTGCAGAAGACCGGACCTGACCGAAGTGGTGTGCACGAGTACAATACCTCAGTTGCCACAGCAAAGAGGTTGGCACCACTGCGAGGTATTTTACTCATTTGCCAGAGCCAGAGGCTGATTGATTGTGGCGGCGAAGGCTTTGGACCGACTCCATCCGAGCTTGCTGCTTTGGTGAATCCTTCCGAAGGATCAATGCAAACGCGCTGGCGAATATTCAAGCAGGAGATTGAAACTGACATTATCACTGTGTTGCTCTGTGCGGACAGTTGGGACGACTTCGTTCTTGGCTTGATGAAAGACTATCGCCATGATTCAAGCACATCGGGGCAGAGTGTGCGTTGACGGGGACAGGCTCTAGGGTAATCTGTCCTCTGTACTCCGTACTGCGTACTGCGTCTTGTCTCAGATATGCAGTACGTAATAAATTGGAACGGAGGTTCTCCTCTCGTGGGAAAGGTAGGATCTGGAGCCGAGCTACATCACGAACGAGCCGTGAGCCGTGACCGTGACTTCAACTTTTAGGGATAGACTACGCCGCAATGTGTTCAGAATCGAGGACAGATCAACCAAAACAAACATCAATTTGTGTGACAGGGTTGGCTCTTAGACAGTTGGCACGATTGCATCGAGCGATGGGGTAATTAATGGGGAGTACGGTCGAGACCTAAGGAAGAAGATCGACATCTAACAACAGTGAGCTGCGCTAGGCTGCTGTGGTCATGTGTACTCCGTACTCTGTCGCTGACAGTACTCTACAGCCCGGGGTGAGTGTGGCATCACAGCTACGAGTGCCTTCCCCGGCCTCTATCGCCCCTGGGGAGCCCTAGTTCGGGTACCAAGGTAGGCGGAGTTAGGGAGGACCTCCTCCTCCCACTAGTGGCTGCTAGCGACTATCCTTGGCGCCAAGGCCTAAAAGCACCGTGAACAGTTCGCTGAAGTTGGTACCTCTTTAGGTAGGGACTGTTGCACTGGAACCAGGACCACTAGTCCCATTTATTGCACCTTGGGTGACGAACATAAATGAGCTTGAGAAGACCCTATAGTAGTTCCAATGTCTGATACCGTCTTTCTCAAGATGGTGGATGCGCAAGCTGCTCGTAGCAGATTTTTGCAAGCCTCTGGCCATGCGTTATGCCTTTCTAGCCCGTCTACTTCACGCCATCTCATGACCGAGAGCTCACAACTTACACACTGGGCTGAAGCCAGCCCTGACAGCTGCACTGCGTGTGGAAGTCTGTTTCTGCCCGGCTGGACAATGTCCTTTGGCCTGGCTTCAACCAATCAGAAATCAGAAAGCAAGGCCAAAAGCCCGGAGAAACAGGCCCAGGAAAAAACGCGCCGTCTGAAATGCGGTGTCTGTCACAGAGTCACCAAAGCGACCATGTCCTACCCGATCAAAACAAGACGCCAGAATATCATTCAAAGTGGAAAGAGTCCAAAGGCTCAACTAGTCGCAGGCCCAGAACCCGGGCTGGTCAATGGAAAGTCAAGCAAACCTCTGAGTAGTAAGCAAAGGGCCAAAGCGCGCAGAGACCGCGATGGCCTGCAGAGTTCTCTGAATCGCAACGCGCAGAACAGGATGGCTCCCGCCCTCAATCTAATGGATTTGATGAAGAAATGAAGTACGGCTACCCTCGGGTCCAGAGGCCAGCAGCGCAGCGTCCGGTAAACTCAGCCCTCTAGTCACAACTTCACAAGGCTGTATGTAGGACCTGGACCATTCCCGTGGAGAGGCCTCTCGTGGGCGAGGCCTGGGGGTTTACCCATTGCGGGGGAGACATAGGCTGCTTCGGCGCCAAGCGGGCTCCTGGAGCACCTCTGGAGCCTGGAACTTTCAACTAATATTTGCACTCCCACCTACTAACCTTGTTTAGCTAGGTCGGCTTCCCGTCCATCTCAACGCAGGTGTCTTGGCAGACGTCGACCGGATTCTGCGTCATGCAAAAAATTTATTTTCCAGAAGCCTCTGCAGGATGCCACCCCACCAGGCCGAGATTCAGCCTGCTAAACCCGCGGGATTCCCTGCCAACACAATTCACAAATCCCCTCAAAATCAATTCCAGTACTGGTCTGACTTGGGAAAGAGATATCATGGCCGAAAACAATCCTCCTGGTGTCATCCACGCCGACCCCAATGAGACCGGAGTCTACGAGATTGAAAGTTTGTGCATGAACTGTCGCGATAATGTGTGTAGCATATATGATACCTCCGTTCCAATCACCACTAATCTCCCCAGGGCGTTACCAGGATCCTCCCTATCAAAATTCCTTTCTTCAAAGAGATCTTACTTGAATCCTTTTCGTGCGACCACTGTGGATGGAGAAATAACACGGTCAAGAGCGCGGGGCAAATCCAAGAGAAGGGTTCCAGATACACTTTCAAACTAGAAGAGACCAAGGACTTCCAAAGACAAGTCGTACGAAGCGACACCGGTATCTTCCGTCTCGAAGACCTCGACCTTGAAATGCCCTCAGCACCCGGCCAATTCACCAACCTGGAAAGCATGCTATCGAAGATTCAGACAGATCTAGCCTACGATCAGCCTGCAAGGAAAGAGACCAACCCCGACCTTTACAAGGCCCTTGAAGGAATCATCCAGAAACTCACCAGAATGCTCGAGGGTACCGCGTTTCCCTTTACCGTCTCTCTTGACGATATCTCTGGGAATTCCTTCATAGAGCCTTCTCCAGCAGATAAGGATTCCAAGTATAGTCGACATGACTACCTCCGGAGTCATGCGCAAAATGTTCAGCTGGGCCTGGCGACCGAGGACGATACCACGGATACCAACGGTGGAGGAATGGAAGGTGTTGATGTTGTTGACAATGAGATATACGAATTGCATTCTGAATGTCCGGCATGCTCGAAGCCATGCACCGTCAATATGAAAAGAACCAACATCCCGCATTTCAAGGAAGTCATCTTAATTGCCACTGTATGCGATCACTGCGGGTACCGAACTAGCGATGTCAAAACTGGCGGGGCCATTCCAGAAAAAGGAAAACGAATCACGCTCGCAATCAGAACCTTGGAAGACATGTCTAGGGACATTCTAAAGTCGGAATCTTGTGCCCTGCGAAGTGCCGACCTGGGCCTAGAAGTTCAACCCGGCACGCTGGGCGGTCGCTTCACCACAGTTGAGGGCCTACTTACTCAGGTGCGGGATCAATTACACGGACAAATATTTAACATGGGAGACGAGGACCTGTCCGGAGGAGACTCGATGACCTCCGACACCAAAGGAAGATGGGATCATTTCTTCAATACCCTTGATCGTGCCATCAAGGCCGAGTTTTCCTACTCGATCACACTTGAAGATCCCTTGGCGAATTCCTTTGTCCAGAAGAACGTGGATGAAGGCGAAGACCCTCAGATAACCACGGAGGAATATGAGAGGACCGAGGAGGAGATCGATGATCTCGGTCTCAAAGAAATGAAGACTGAGGGCTACGAGGAGGAAGCCGCCATTCATCAATGAGTTACGTGTCTCCGCTAGGACCGGCAAGGTCAACATAATCGACGCTCTTCCATCCCGGCTATCCAGTGATATCGCACTTCGACTGGCCAGTTTCAAGCAACGAGAGCCGCATGGATCAAGTCTACATTCGGGACGATAACAATGAGTGACAAAAGTCGGCCAACGATCCGCACATTCTTGGCCTCCGCCTCCGCATTTTCATTGACGTTAAAAGCACTCACTGAGAATCTTTACCATAGCTGAGAGACTGAAACGGTTCATCGCCCGAACTAGAGCGTCTGGATTTCACCTACCGGGAGGTCGACTCTCGACGCCGCCTACGTTTCTAGGAACCAACCTATTTCGAAAGCTACAGCGCCGGATATCAAAGCTTCTCTCATCCGGCAGGGGCAAGTTAAAGCGCCACAGCAGCCACGAGGAGACCTCCAACCCGGGAACGCGCAAGAGCGTGTTCGTCAATGCCTTTCAATCTGCTCTCACCCTGCCCGCGGCACCGTAAGGTGGCAAATCGGTGAGAAGAGGATGTTGCTCTTGGTTGGCGGGGTCGCAAGCAGGGTTGCCCGGCGTTGGTCTCTGATGAGCTTGGTGTCATAGGAATGAGCATCGTGGTACAAAGAGTAACCATATTCATCTCGGAAGACGACAAAGATACTATATATTCCCATACTATGTATTGCTTGTAGGAGGAGTCTGGTCGGTGAGCTAGTCATCGAAGAATATTGATAATAATAATGGAGTGAGGCAGGCGCGATTGTGCACAATGGGTTCCCTCGGCTCCTCCTCGACTTGAAAGGGAAGCAATGACTTCATCGGACCGCTTCTTTTTTTCGCGTCACGCTGATACGACTTCGTTCTCGTATTCGTCCTCCACCACCGTTGCTACCACCACCATGCTTATTCACCTCTGCATCTCTTTCAAGCTCAAGCTGTCTCAAGCACGTCAAACACCATCTGGCGCATAGACCGAGCTTTTCTCTCAAATGATACAATAACCATGCGCGTGCTCTCTAGGTTACTTCTGCTCCATATGCCATCGCCATCGCCGGCACTCCGAGTCTAATTACCACTTGTTTTATCTACAGCCGCCCTGGACCCTCTCAGACCATGTCCAATGGCGACCGGAGTTCCAAGAAAGCCCATCCCACCTTTCATTTCTTCGCAGGCTTGACTTCCGGGGTCTCCAGTGCTGTCCTGCTCCAACCCGCCGACCTCCTGAAGACACGAGTCCAACAGAGCCGCTCCTCCTCCCTCCTCCCCGTCCTGCGCTCCATCCTCTCCAGTCCCCATCCAATCGCCGGTCTATGGCGTGGAACGCTACCCTCCGCCTTGCGAACCGGCTTCGGCTCGGCTCTCTACTTCACCTCCCTCAGCTCCCTGCGTCAGGTATTGGCAAATAATTCTGTGAACAAGAACGCCAGTAGTGGAGTCCTTACGCCCTCCGCTAAGAGCAGTTCTGTCCTACCGAAACTCTCCAATGTGCAAAATCTCTTCACAGGAGCTACAGCTCGAGTATTTGCAGGATTTGTCCTGATGCCCGTGACGGTGATCAAGGTCCGGTACGAATCCGACTTCTACGCCTACAAATCCATCAATTCCGCAGCAAGGTCTATATTTGCACAGGAAGGTCTAAGGGGGTTTTTCTCCGGCTTTGGAGCCACTGCTGTACGCGACGCGCCTTATGCTGGACTGTACGTACTGTTCTATGAAGCCAGCAAAAGCCGCCTCAACAGGCTTCTGTCTACAGAGGCGGAGCTGGAACCTCGGTCTTCCGGGTCAAGTGCCACCATCAACGCCTCCAGTGGTGTCCTTGCTGCGGGCCTGGCTACAGGTGTAACAAATCCATTCGACGCAGTCAAGACCCGTCTGCAGCTGATGCCCCAGAAGTACGGGAACATGCTCAAGGCCACCAAGCTGATGATCAAGGAGGATGGTTTCAAGAGTTTTTTCGATGGTTTGGGCCTGCGCATGGGGAGGAAAGCACTGAGCTCAGCTCTGGCATGGACCGTGTACGAGGAATTGATTGGACGAGCTGAACGATTCGTCGCCCGCCCTGAGCAGGATAGAGCTGTCGTGTGAGATGGGCCACACCGATGTCACACTCCCACACAATTCTGCACTTGGAGGTCGCGGACCAGCTGTATGGATCTTACTAGGCCAAGTTTGGCCTCAAACACACCCACTCAACTCAGCATTTGAATCTCAGCTGTGGCACGAAACGAAGGTTATGAATACAGGGCAAGCAGAGTTTCTGCCACTGAACTTACGAACGTTATTTCTCCAACATTGGGAAGAGGCGGTGCGCTCGTCGGGAAGGGCGTAGGAAAGAGAGAGGTGGAGGCGGCCACTCGTTGGAAACCTGCTTCTCCTGTGCCACCTATTATGTACAATATCACGGCGCCCTGGGTCTTATGGCTTTGGGGGTTTATGGCAGGAAGACGGGCAAAATCAAGCATCAGTCATTTTCCTGCGAGGGAAAATAATGGTTTTTTGCATCACCATCGTTCCCCCACTATGTATATATTGCTCGACATTCCCAAGCTCTCTGCATTTTCTCCGAGCTCTCCCTGAACAATAAGGTGAGGCGTCCATGTCATCATCGCTATCAGTACCAAATACATAGTCACGGTACTGGGAGTGTAATCACCAAAAATCCAAGCATTTTTGGATCTCCCCATCCCGAGGCGACGAAATATGAAAAAAATGAGATGATTTCTTCCGCATCTCGCAGATCTCGTGTCACCCCGAAGCTGTAAAATCGCCTGGTCCTTTGATGGTGCCCCCCCTTGACCGATTGCATCGTCATGGCATACATAGCTGTGGTCATGGGCCATCCCCTTTCGTTGTCATCACCACCACGTGACATGGATTTCGATTTCCTTCCCTTTCCTGAAATGCGAGAGAGTCATGTTATCCATTTGAACCATCGTCGATGAGCCGTACCTGTCCAATTCCCAATGGCCTTCCCATGCGTACATATCATCAAGACATGTGTGTGGGTGTGTGTGTGTGTGTGTGTGTGTGTGTGTGTTGGCTTGTGTCCCCGTTCCAATGCTAATGCTGCAATTTTCCCAGGGATATCTTGCCTTGTCCAGCTTCCCTTTCCTTTCCTATTGTGTCCCGATCCCACGAGTTCCGTTTCCCGCGGCTTTCGTGCCATACAATGAACAATGTAAGAGAATGATAGAATATGCTGAGACAGGTAGAAGGAAACAAGCAAGGTCGTTTGGGAAACTTTGTGTAGCAGAATCGTTGAGAAACCGCCCATCAATGCGTCCCCACAAAAGAGTGTCCTCAGAGTCGGTGCGGTAGTGAAATTATGTCCTTGGAGTTCAAAATGCGCGAGTCAAGAAGACTTGCTGCATGCGAGCGCGGTTGCGAAAAGTGCTCTTGGACTTTAAATAACGAGGCGTCATCCGCAATCAGGGTTGCGGTACTAGCTAAATTCATTGTCCTGGCAATTAGCTTTGATGTGTGGTAGCACAATCTCTTTTGCTTTAGTCGCATGGAACAAGCTTCGGACACGAGGAGCAAGTCGATGTATTAAGGAAAAGGCCCGAGGACGTCAGCTTTCAGGTGTTGAGATGGCCAAATTGTTGAAGTCCTGCCTTCTTAAAGCCTGTAACGCTGATGTGAATCCGAGCACAGAGAGAAGTACCAAAACTCTATCGCGACCACAACACCAACATCAGACCGGCTGGCATCAGTCGACATGACTCAAGCTTGAAGCCATAAAAGGCGGTGCCAAGTCCGGAGAGAATGTTGCCCAGAATGTAACTCCCTATATGTGACTGATTTACTGTCCATGGATTCGAAAGATCAATGAAACTGAGAAGAATAATGTGAAGGTATGCACAATTACAATAGAATTGCCAAGAGGCAAACAACAATAACAGATTGGGGTATCAGATAGCCGCCTGCTTAAACGCGCATAAACATGATCAAAAGCATACCTCAGACTCAGAACGCACACACAGAGATGCTTGATCCATATGCAAGCAGCGTAAATATATCCATTGCCCTGATTGACATGGTCAAATGGAGAAAATGACGTTGAAGAGAAATGGTCATCTCATCATTATGCAATCGAGACCAGGCATGGCCGGCCTATGCCATCAGCATGCGCAGATATGTGCAAGTTTCATGTAATATTCATAGCAGCCAGCCTCATCGGTCGTTTCATCCCTCAGTTACTGCTTGGTCATGGTCGTAGAGACATGTGTGATGAGAAATAAATCCGTCTGGACGGCATTGGCATTACATGCCTGAGCCGGGAGCGGTCTATCTTCGACTGTTGTCTCGATGAACTCCGAGACGAGAATGGCCATTTGTGTGGCCATGTAGAGGTCTTTTTGGGAAATCGTCAGAAGGGCCATTGCTTCCTGGACCGACAATTTTACCACCTTCGAGACCTCGGAGCTTTAGGCATGCATTGCCTAAGAGACCGGCCGCCTCATGTGTAAGTTCCCACCGGGTGCTCTCGAATGACTCTTTCAGGATCATCAGCAGCCCGAGACATCGATTCTTGCCTTTGACATTTTCGAGGTCGTCAGGAGCTCGCACACCACCCACTCGTTCAAGGTAATCTCGCATATCTCGCTCTTTCTGATAGTAAGTCTCGAAATCAGAGTCCTGCGGAGCCGGTTGGATAGGCCCTTCAAGAGCAAAACCGTAGCACCACACAACTAGAGCCGAAATGTACAAGACCCAAGGACGATTCAACAGAAAATCGTCTCGAGCAATATACTGGTTATGCTCAAATGCTTGTGGTAGAATCGGGCTGGCATGGCCGTATATATGGCTGTTGATACCATCAACGCCAATGCCCCCATCGGGTGGTACCAATACTTGAGCAATAAACTTGAGAGCATAAAACGCCGCATCGCGTGCTGAAGCTTTGGTCGCCCATCGCTCAATTTTTTCACGAATCACACTATAGTCCTTGGGGGTAATTGACCGACCAAGAAGCCGGTTTGCTCCGGCGAAAACTTGACAGTCAACAACATCGACATGGGCTGCAATATGAGCGAGATGATGCAATACTGTTCGTGATTCGAAGATGTTCTCATCATCGACAGGCCGCATGAAGGATTGGACTTGGGGAATTGGCGCTCGTAACGGCGAAGATGGAGTTGGAGTCGCTTCAGCAAGAGCCTCGTCGAAATCACGTTTCCAATTATCGAATGCTCTAAGTAGCACACCCTTCCACTTGTCGGGGCCTCCAAAAGAGGTTGCTGTGCGTGGGCCGAGTGATGAGATTTGCAGATCTCGCTGTGTCATGTGCCACGATACAGAGAGCAGACCGGCCATAATGATGGTACGACCAAAAGAGTTTGTACGCACCCGCTGACCATTTAAAGTCCTCTTTAGTCCATCGAGGAACAACGTCGGCTTAACCCCGTTGGTCTGTAAGGACGATTGTACTCGGCCAGCCTCAGAAGGGGAGACGGCGGACCACAGCCCCTCGTCGCACGGTAAGGGTAGGCGCATTTCATGTGCAACCATTTTTGCCGCATGTCCAAACATTGTCGCATGTATTGAGTCGAGGACAAAGGCTCCAAAGGCCGCGCGACGCGTCGCCTCGGTGGTAATCCATCGGTGCCACGACTCTTCTGATTTGGATGGCTCTGTTGATGAAAAGGGAACCGGAGCCTTACCATTGTCCTGCTCGCCTCGCAAACTGGGTGGTGAATCTGAAGCGGATCGACCTAGAAGAGAGCTTCCTCTTCGCATGAGGGTCAAGGTTGAATCGTGATGTATATGTGCCCGCTCATGTAGAGCTCTCGTAGCGTACATTTTCTCATAAACCTCAATCAGGAGTAATGTTTGAAACACCCATAGCTTAGCTGGAGGTCTGAAATCAGCGTCGCGGACAATTTCCCATCGTATATGCCAGGCTACAAAATTGGCAAATTCAGCGGCAAGATCTGTAAGAGATGTTCCATGGGCCTTGTCCAGTGTTGCAGCCCCAATGGCGACGACAATGAGTAACAATAGATTTGGCGTACGATCGGCCGAGAAGGTAGGCTTGTGCAAGATAGGTAGCTGAGCATGTTGATGGTACCAGTATGAGCCTATGTAGGTATGCATCATCCTCAGACTCAAAATGTGTCCATCGGAGTCAAGGTCTCCCTCAAACACCGAGTCCTTTCTCTTTTTCACAGCATCATGTGGACGCTCGATAAATTGAGTCATCATGAGATCGATAAGCTCCTGCCGTTTCGATTCGGACATTATATAATGACTACTCGCAGTCGCACCGAGAATATTGGTGATGTTCATAGGATGCTGCATGGCTGGTGTCGTGAAAGTGTGATTTGCTGTGGTAGTTGGGCTTTGCGAAAAGAAAGGCGTAACCAATTGAGGCTCATGACCACTGAAACCTGGAACGTAGTTGGGTGGTGAGAAACCATTCGAGCCCGAGTTTGCATCGTTGAAAAGCCACTGAGTAAAATCGTCTGCAACTGCAAAAGGGTTTTGGGTGTATTCGTCACCACCAAAAACAGGGAACCCATAACCAGCAGCCATGTCAATGGTGGACATGCTGTTGTTCAATAGCGGATAAGGATACGGGTCACTGGTGGTGAGGCCATGGGAAATTGCAGCGGCAAAGGCAGCGTCGGAAGCTCTAGACGGGAGAGACGCCTGGTAGGAAGCGTTGGTATATGCCGCAGTGACCATGTCCATTGATTGCACGTAGCCGTTCGAACTGGTCCTGTTTATATTCGAGTCAGAATACGATCTAGCAACAGCGCCGTTGGGTGTCACGTTGGTGCTTGAGTATTGTTGGGCAGGAGAGTCAGGTATGCCACCGATGGAATTACGATCTCTGTGCTGTGTCTGGATGAAAGGCCCTGGGTTGTTGCCCATGTCTCCCGCAAAGCTTTGTCTTCGAGCTGAGGATTGCCAAGATGCGAGATCTTGTTTCGAAGGGCTCAAGGTAATGCTACCTGTGCTACTCGTTCGATGTAAGGAAGACTCTTGTTGACTCATCACTTCCTGTGGCGGCTGGTTTGAGTATCGTGGGTTGGCCGACACTGTAGACGGTGAGATGGTGTGTCCAGACACTTGGGCAGGTTGCTTGAATTGCAGGTCATTGGAATAATTGGCATGCGCAGTAGAGGGTTTCGGTGCTTCCAGGAGAGGACTCTTCATACTTGGGGCCGCCATGGGAAAGATCCCGCTTTGACCCATGGGATGCTGGGCTTGCACGGGTTGATTAGTAGTCGACTGGGCGAAGGTATCTCGTTTATGGAGTTGAGATCCATGAGTTGTATGTCGCTCTCTGTGGCGAATGCATAGGTCCTGCCGAACAAAATACCTGTGACAATCCGGATAGTCACAACGAAAGATAGTCTTTGGAGTGTCTATTCGCAAGGCGTCAGACTTAGAGAAACAACGTGTCGAAAGTACAACTTACGATTGAGCTGATGTCTGTAAAGATGCTCCGCACGGGAATAGCTTTTACCGCATCCCTCGTGTTTGCACTCGAACTTCTTGTCAGGATTTGGTTTGACTACCCTTCGCCGCTTCTTTGGAGGTTCATCCGCGGTGGAGTCAGGGAGTTCTTGCATTGTTTGGGCATCTTCAGGCTGCCCATGTTGCGCACCAATATCTTGTTCTGTCTTATATACAGCCTCTGTCTCTGCCATTGCAATGGAGCAATGCTCCGACGTCGAAAACGTCTAGTAAGTTCAAAGCGGACCGGGCAGAGAGCCTAGGGAGATGCTTCTCGTCGAATAACCACCATCATCGAAAGGTACGGGGAAATGACCGTGGGTATGGTTGCGCACTGTACAGGAGGATAGCACTGAAGGCGTTCTACCAAAAAGAGGCAGGGACAGGTAGGAGCGGTCAGGATGGCAGGGCAGGGACCAGTCGTGGTACAGAATCGCTGAGGATGATCGAGACGATGACGCTGATTTGCGGCAGGTTGTCCTGGACCGCAAAGTGAAAAATGCGAGGATGTGATGCTGGCGTTGGTGTTCGTGCTGGGCCTGACTTGGAGTCAACGGTAGTAGACCCGAAGGTTCGGTTGACCAGGAAGGAGGAGTCTGAGTCGGGCACGTCTGAGACTGTGCCTGGGCGGAACTGAGGGGGGGGGAACGGGGGTTTGCTAGAGAAGACTGCGGGACGAAGGAGAATTGGCGAGGTGTTGGTAGAGAGGGCGAATGCAGGTACCGGGCGCGCAGAATGTGAAGGTTCAGGTGACCTCGGACGGCAAGGCTCTGGTAGAATTTGTGCAGGAAGTATTGCTTCTGCTGCTCCTCATGGCCTGTGGCGAAACGTGTGATGCGACAACGGTCTGGATCCTACCGAGTAGAGACTATTTCCAGGATTCAGAGTCGGAGACGGAGTCAGACTTCGACGTTCTTTTCTTCTGGACGGGAATGAAGCGACGCTTGGGCTCGGGCTGAGGCAGCGGTGCACTTGTGCCTGTCGTTGACAGCAACATGGGGAAGAGCATCAGGCTAAATGAATCTGGTAACATGAGATGGCTTCCGCATGGCGGAGTACGGAGTACATGGGCCAGTGACCAACACGAGACAGGACGGGGGTTGTGTGCAGATTCAGCGGCGCGGGATGATCACGGTGGATGGTGGAGGTGGTGGTGGGAGAGGCGAGGGACATGAGAGGAGGGGATTTTACACAAGTTTGGCCGGGTGGTGGTGGTGCAGTGGTGGTCAGGTTCAGACTCACTTTCTTGTTCGGGGCGGGCTGTGGAGCCTTGCCGAGACCCGCCTAACTATTTCCGGCTGCTAGCGTGGTTAAGAGGGCTGGTCCACTAGTGCAACACCAACTGCCAGGCTTGCCGCTTGACACGAGCCCTGCACCCCCTCGCATGGTCGCATCTTCCTTCTCCTCGCACAGAGTACGGAGTACCACAGCAACATCACCTGCCACCGCAGATCTGCCTGTCTCGCAGTGATGATTTCATGACCACTGATCAGAGCGCTGTTCTCAGGTTCCGGGGTGTCGCGACTGTGGTACTCCGAACCAGGTTCTCAGTCTGGAGTGCAGATATCCACACGAGGCATTCGGTCCCCAAGATGGACATCTCAGTCGCCTTAGCGCTTGACTGGCCTGTAGATCAGCCAATTTGCTAAAGTACGGATCCAAGCAGCTAACCGAATGGATTAACGATTGTTTTTTGTGCTCGGTACCCCGTACGGAGTACTCCCTCCCTGCTACTCCGTAGTTTGTTGCTCTCTAGTCTGTTGGCGTGACATAATTGTCAGGAAAATCTTGTGCGGGCGCTGATTCTCGATCTAGCTGGGTCGATTTTTCCATAGGCTCCAACATCAGCGCCTGGGGTGGCCAGTGCCTGATCGGATAGGGAGTCACCAGAGGGCCTCGTATGCCTAACGAAACCGCAACTAAGGCCTAAAGAGGCTTAAGCAGCCCCTCTGAAGACCCCTCACGCCTCTCGAGACCCTCTCGGGCCTTGCCTGGTGGACCGCCTCAGGCGAGTTGGTTGCGTGAACATCACCCGCAATTCCAATCGTCGAAGGATCACAGCGCCATGTTAACTTAGCACGGGCCTAATGGAAGATGACCGTGTTCATGACTGCATCGTCTCCCTCTCCACTATTTATCCCTACCACCTACCAAGTCCAGGGATAAGCAGGTTATCCCGAAAACAAAAAAGGACGGAAACCTGCAGGGAGTCGGTTGCTAGTACTCCGTACTCACCTACGGGTACGCAGTACGGAGTACAGTAGTAATGACAAGAGCCATGTGTGTGGATCAGATGCGCCCTGAAGTCTAGTGCCCAGGTGATAGGCGATGGCGCCCGCTACGAGAGTTTGATTCGCACCTTCCCGTAGGCGCTGCGGCACGTTCAGTAGTTACCGAAAGGTTGATGGATGGGGGACGAGGGCGGCCGATGGGAAGGTACGCGTGGAGCGCGTTAAGTTCTCTTCGCCAGAGTCAGGTATTGGTGTGTCTCGTGACTTTGACTCTGTACTCCGTACTCCGTACGCCAGGACCGCCTTTTCTAAGGTTGGAGCCGTGACTCGCATGCGGTGAGGCTTCAACAGCCACTCACACACTTCCTCACTCGCCTTTGCCTTGCTTCCAAACTCAACCCCCAACCTTCCCTCGACTCGAAGTCGTAATCGTCTGTCGTTGTGTTACCACACAATAACTTCCTCCCCACGCTCCGTTTAAGCCCTTGACCCTGATCGTACGACAAGATCATCAGCCTCTTTAGCCTCACTCTCCTCTCTAGGGCCCGGTCCCGAGTCCTTCCCTATGACACGTAGTCGAGTCGCTGAGCCGTGCAAATACTCCGTACTCATTCGCGCGCAGCGGCTCCCCCGGCCGTGATCACATCATTGCGCATGCTCCAACCCAGGACCCTCGGGAACCAACTCTTGTCATTCCCCACGTCGGCTGCATCCGACAACAAGTCAAATGCGAGTCCTCCATACGAGGTGGTCAAGGGGCCAAAATGGTCATCACTAAGGCATCGATCCTGGGAAACTCTGGGGCATCAAACGCACCACGGCAAGCCACGAGGCTCGCTTGCATATGTATGGATACATTCAAGATATGCCTTCCTTGACACCAACTCAATTCTCTTGGTAATGACTTCGGTGTTGAAGATAACATCCAGCTTCGCCCACCAATTGCTCCTGGAGTCCTGGGTTGGTCGTCTGATAAATCTGTCCCTTCCCCCTCTCGGCTTTTCACAAATTTCGTTCTCCGGCGCGGGTCAATTCCCACCGGATTCGACCATGATGATGATATAAATTACTGGGTACACTGAGGTCTGATTGCCAACATCCGAAGATTCAGGTTCTCAGGTTCTCATCTTCTCACCCCTTCCAACTTCTAAAGTCATCCCACACTTCGCAACCACTCGGAGAAAGTTAAGCTTGATCGGCGCCGAATAGGCCACATAAGTACCCGAGACGCAACAGATATAGTTTACAAGTACTACCACAGCCTGCAGGGGAACCCAATCCTCCATGGAACAGCCCTCTTGAGACTGCTGAGATGTGGATGATTGAGCCCAAGCCTTCGAATCATCTGGGGACCATCAGCTTAGATTCGGTGACCAATAGATCCTCCAGCCCCAGGGCCATTATTAGTGAACACGGGCGACTTCTGAAGCCCTGGACTTCGAAAGTCCGCCTGACTTGAGGCGACAGAAAGTCAGACTCAAACGCTGAGAAAAGGACCAGGCAGAGACGCCAAGGTCCCACAAAACCGCACTCCCCCTCCTTTAATTCTTCTCCACGCTCTCGACCCAATTACAATGTTGGAGGTATGCGAGGCTAATGCATGTCTGTTTGGCCATTCAGCTGTCATGTTGAGCTTTCTTCACACTCCTTCTCAGACTCGAACGGCTTCATGGTAACCATTGAGAGCACAGGACGGATTGATTCTATCCTCAACAATTTTTCCCGAGCCTTTACTGGAGTTCCAGGTCTCGAATGAACAGGTCTATCCGGTAGCGCCAAGTATCAAGCCTCACGTGAAGCTGCCGAGTCCACATCCTCTCTTACATACAACCCAGGAGGACAGTTAACCTCCTAGTACAGGACACCGTAGTCTCAAGTAAGTGTGACAGTCAAACCAGAATAAGAAGGTTCATGCCTTGGAGCGACCATCTCAACGATGTTTGACCCGTGGACAATCATAACTGAAAATGGAGGGTGAAGGACCAGACAATTCCGCTCCTGAATCCGGCATGTCTGCCAACAGCCCGACCAGTCCAACGAGTCCTACCAAGCCAAAGGCGCGGACCTATGAAGGGGCATGCCATTGTGGGAAAGTCCAGTATGGTATCCAGAACTTGATGGATATAAATGAGTCCTTGTTGACCATCTTTTAGGTTTACCATGAAGCTCTCCCCCCCTGTTGAGGATGGACCGGTGACCAGCTGCAACTGTAAGTGCAGGACCCTTTTGCGGTATCCTTCAGCCTTCAGCATCCAAAGACATATTTCCACATGCTACAGAATAATCTCAACTTAGACTCTTCAACCTGCCCCATGGCTGATCATCCTTGCCCTTAGGTTCTATCTGCTCGGCCAATGGATATCTTATGGTCTATCCACTTGAGACGAACATCACATGGGTCAGTGGATTCGACTCCATGACCACTTACAAATTCGGCAAGGAGCGTATTGCTCATTCGTTCTGCTCGACTTGCGGTACCAGTATGGGCGGGAAGAGTACCAATCCGAACTTTTTTGCTGACAATCGCGCTGTCAATGTAAGTGTAGTACAACATCCCGCACCTGCCCCACCAGTCCGTCATCTCCAAGAGATATGTTACACAACTCGTGGTTGGATGGGCTGTGTTCTTATTCGAACGCCATGCTGTGTGGCGATCTCGTCTAGGCGTCATGGCGGTCGTGACTTGAATGGAATTGGATTCATGTTATAAGTTACCGGCCTCAAGCCCTTCAATTACCACTACTCCCAAATCTTTAAAAGACAAGACGACTAACACTAGGTCTTTCCCACACTGCCAGGTTCGTACTCTGAAAGGCGTCGATGTCGAAGCCCTGAAATTGAGAAAGGTCAATGGAAAGGCCTTGTAGAGACCTGCATGAGGAGCCCACCCTATCCAGTGAGCAGTCAGCCAGTCAACTTATGCACTAGCTGTGGGCAGGAGCAAGGCACACAGAAACGGATGCTGCTGACAACTGAAGCTTCATATCATGCCAGGCTCGCACTCCAATCGACTCGGATCAAGTCTAGTCATTTCGAGGCTGCGCATGTCCCAAGCAGAACCCCTTTTCCCGCGGCTCCAATGTAAACGACTCCAACAGATCACATGGGTAGAAATATCAGGATTGTTGATACATAATCGGACTCTCTTCTCCAATACCATAAGTCGTTCAGTCTGTCACTGGCATTCTAACAGGCATCTACAAAACATTCCCGGCACCGCTGTTCTCGTTGTGGGAGTGTGGATGTCCTTCTCTAGTCTCATACAGAGTACACTTTGCCTTGCACAGTAGTATATCCTCACTCCCTTGCTCTGCCCTTCCCGCCCTTCTCCTCCCCCTTCCCCCTTTCTTCCATCCAAGTAATCCACTGGCACAGCCCTCTTGACGTGCCACCAAAGCCTCATCACAAAGTCAGTCAGTCAGTCCGCGCCATCTGAGCTCACCACCACCACCACCACCACCATCACCAGCAGTAGTGCGCCCTCCTCCTACTCGATCACCCCCTCGGCTTCCCAGAAACCCTCTCCAGCGGACGACGCGCAACCACCACCTCTAAAAAGAAGGACAAAAAGCGTACTTAGCCGGTGAACGCTGGCGTTTTCTGGTTCTGTTTCATCCTCCCGCTCCCGAGCAGATGATCCACCCGTAGGGACGTGTGTGCGTTCGTTTCGTCAAGGGTGTCATGGTATTTTGCCAGTTCCCTGTCGCCCGACGGCCTGGAGTCTGCCTTGCTCCCTTGCCTCGATGAACTCGATTTTGATTTTGTGCCGGCGACGGCGGGCCGGATTCTCATCTCACCTTTGCCTTGATCTAGCCCCTGATTCTGGGCTTGGTCTGATCCTTGCTTCGCAACAGTAGGGAGAGATGTAGTTGGTAGTGTGGAAATGAACGAGTGGAAAAGAGAATTAAAGAAAGACGGGAGACTAAAGAACAAACTTGTATGGGAAGTGGTAGATTTTCCCTCGACTTGAGAAAGAATTGGAATGACCTGATTCCGCGGTAGGGCCTGGATATCTTGCGCCCACCGATCCTGCTAGACTGGAGTTGCACAATACCTTTCTAGAAGTTGGACTCCTCTTGCGGAAGAATCAGTGTTATTCCCGTTATACTCAATCAAAAACCTCCCTCCTTCGCCAGGTAGGAGAAACTGGACAGTGTTTCTTTCTCGCCGTGCCATATCTAGTATAATTGGAATATCCATTGAACGCCGCTTCCCATTGATATCTGACGCCGTCAAAAAAATCATCCAAAGCACGCCCTGTAGATTCAACTACTCCCAGTATTTGTTGCGGTCCTAAACCCGGCAGTTCAACGCTTGTTTGCGTGCTCGATTCATCTCTATTTCCAACCGGCGCCAAGAAGTCCCCTTTTTTATATCATTGTCGTGAAATCAGTTCAATACGAGGTTGGCATCATGTACAAGACGGTCCCCAGTGCGGTGAGCCCGACACCGGCCCACCACCACGTGTCTGCATTGTGGGGTTTTTGTGGTTCGATCAAGGCATTTTTATTCAGTGGCTCGAGGACCTGTTGGCTCCCGTCACCACCGTCCAACCCTCTCTTCGACTTTGAACCCGTGGCACTTGGGACAGCGGTTGGGTTCAAAGTCTGGGTGGGCAGCATCTGAGGCGGACTCATGATCAAGTACAAGGGCTGTAAAGGAGAGCCGTCGAACTTGAAGAGATTCATTCGGGGTACATTGTGAAAAGGGTCGGTGATGACTTCGTAGCGTTGCATCAACTCGGGCTGATTGTAGCGGATATAGGTGGCCTGGTCGTACTTGCAAGGAGCAGATGTCAATTGACGGCCATCAACGCCGAAGGGGCTCATGACAATAGACCCGTTCCCGGGTAGGGAGTAGGTGCCATGCTGCCATTGCATTACCGTCTCGGGACATTGTGGAGTGGTTGCTAGTGGAACAACATGTTAGTCTTGCTTCGTGACTTGGAGACCCGAGTTCAGATGCGTACGGTTGGGGATGGCTCTGTAGTAAGCAGATTCGTAGAAGCCATCGGCTGTGAATGAGTAGGAGATGCCGGCGAGCGGAGGCTCGATCAATCTATCTGCGACGGGATCGTAAAACCCCTGAAGTAGAGACACGCACGGTCAGTTGGAATATGGCACTTGTAACGCCACGAGTAGCGCGGAGTGATGGAAGCAAGCACTCACAGGGCCAGTGATGACTTTCTTTGATTTTGTCGTCCAAGTGCCAACTAGCTTTGGGTCGGCCTGGCCGTGAACGAGAGTGGCTAGGCCGAGAGAAGCAGCAAGGACGGATGGTATTGAGGTGATCATGGTTGCATATCGAGACGGAAGAGGACGGAAGAGGACGGAGCAAGAAGGAGGGAAGTGGTGAATACTGAGTACTGTTGTAGTAGCTTGAGGACACTGGGTAGAAGAATTGCAGATTGTCGGACTTGGTGTTGGGTGTCTGAGCCTCTCACTCGTACACTCACCCTGACGGCGAGTCGGACATTTGATTTGGGTTGGCGGGTCACGGGATTTGTCTGGACGCGACGCAGGTGGACGTGGCGTGCAGATGCACAAGGGCAGGAGCAGGCTGAGGCTGACGCTGGGGGAGGTAGGAAATCACGAGTCCACGACCAACGGGCGAGTCGATGGGGGGAGGCGAGGGGCAACAGGGCTTAGGCTCCCTCTACTTCCCTCCTCGGGTTCCTGGGGGCTGTTGGGGGCCTCCTGTTTCGGCTGGGCACGACGAAAGCACTGCCATTATTGGGTGTTGGCTCAAAAGTGCCTGCAGATCTTTTCTTACCTCACCAACTCGTTCATCATCTGCAGATGCAAAAATAGGTGTGGTTTGGATATCTGGTGCTTTATCACTAATGCTGTACACTGTACACGGTTCGACTGTCCAAATTATCTTGTCGTGGTTGCTCTCTACATCATGTGCAAATGAAATCTAATATTTTCTGCTCGAGGTCCTTTTCCAGGACGGCTCTCACAGTCCGCAACATGTGTACAGCAAGCACAAGCTTGCGTGAAGCGAAGGACGCCCTTCGCAAGGAAATTAGAGCAAAACTAAACAAGCTCGATTCCGGGGAAATAGAACGACAATGTACGGTGCCCTCACTGTTAGTCAGTTAGATAGTTCGATGCTGATGATGAAAGCGGCCCTCATCACCAACCGTGTACTACAAAGCTCCGTGTATCAAAACGCCCAGTCATTGGCCATTTTCCTCTCCATGCCAGGGCGGGAGGTCTCGACACGTGATATCGTCTTGCAAGCACTCAAAGATGGGAAGGAGGTTTTTGTGCCTTATCTCCATCCAGGTGACACTCCCAAGTCTAGAGTCATGGACATGCTGCAGTTGCAGGATGAGGCAGACTTCAGTTCCCTCACGCCAGATGCCTGGGGTATCCCATCCATCCCGTCAGACTCAGTTGACCGAAGAAGAAACGCACTTGGAGGACTGGGTATTTTGAACAAGGCTACAGATGGCCAAACTGGCTACCCGAAGCTCCATTTGATATTTATGCCAGCTGTGGCTTTTGACCAGTCTGGTCAACGACTTGGCCATGGCAAGGGTTTCTATGACCGCTACCTTGAAACCTATAAAATGACTCTGGAGTCCACTCAACCAGCAGGTCGAATGCCATATCTTGGTAAGGCTTTCTGAGCTTGAAACCACCGGATTCTTGCTGATTCTCTCCGCCTTTTTCTTGTTAGTTGGTCTCGCACTCCAACCACAAATTCTGCCAGTCGGGGAAAATATTCCGACCAACGACGATGACTGGCGTGTTGACCAGGTGACGACGGGAGATGACTGAGATACAGGTTGCATGATTTGAAGTGACACAAGGCTTTGATGTGATGTGCCTACAGTCGCTGCACACCCGCGAGATTGTGCGGAAGAACACCAGATATTGAAGTTTCAATCCAAAGATTGGATTAACGAGACGTTGTCGCCCTTGAGTAATATTTGACCTGCTGGTTATCAGTTGAAAGTTCCCTGGGGCCCAATAAGAGATTGCGCACCAAGCTGCCGTCTTTTTTCAGGCCCATCTCTTGTAGCTAGTTGGACCTCAACTGCATCATCAATGACCAGGTTCATGAATTCGTCAAAGCCCTAGATGGCCGTTAGTGCCGTAGGATGATTCCAAGAAAGGGTACGCACCCTGATCTTGCCTTCGATACGCGTGCGCAGGTTCTCATACAGCCATATCGAGACGGTGGATCGCTTTTGGAGGAGGCTGAAGATAAAATGAATGGGAGCAAGAAGGGTTTTGCGCCCGCCGCCTCCACCACGATGCATTTTGCCTGTGGGATATTTGGTTGGACGTCTGGAGAGAAGGGGGGTAGGGAAGGCGCAGTCTTAGGAGGAAGGAAAAGCGGCAGGAGCAAGAGGAGTAAATATTGCAGTAGTCGAGGAGGGAAGGTGCGCGGTTGGTTTGGGTGCGACCGACAAATGCGGAGGAAGGTGCGAGTGGGCGAGTAAGGCTGCCACTGCACCTGCCAACTGCAATCGTGTGACACAAGCCAAGGCAAATCTTCATCCAGCAACTTTCAAGTCATCCCGTCCCTTCTCTATCTGATTCTCCAAACACCAAACAATTCAAACCCACATTGCAACTTCCCATCCACATCTCTACCATTCAACCTGCTTGCTTTATTCCATTTTCCCCTTCCCTCTTGTCTCGTATCCTCATCTTTTACCGTCCATCTGCATGTTATTGTCTCGGGTGGGACCCTGAGGAAAGGCTGAACGCCGACCACTACCCCTCCCTCGTCCTCCATCCCACTTCAACGCAACATGGCTACTCAAACTGCTACCGCTGATGGCTTCGTGCCCATTCTCAAGGCATTGGCAACCATGCAGAGCAATGTTGCCGGCAAAGAGAAGGCCGAAGCCCACACTTTTCTTGAGAAATTCCAGAAATCTGTCTGTCGCATCCATCGCTATCCCGCTCCTACATCACTCCGTCATAGACTAACGCAATGCTTTCCAGTCCGAAGCATGGAATGTTACTCATGCCATACTGCAGGACGCCAAGGCTCCCGTCGAAGCAAGGCTCTTCGCTGCTACCACTCTCAAAGGAAAAGTAGGATGGCTGATCAATTCATTGTTGGAACCTATACTCAGACATATCAGATAACCTACGATCTGCATCAGCTCCCCCAGGATGCTCTCACCCCACTGCGCGACTCCCTCCTCGCTTTACTCCAAACATATGTTTCAGGCCCGAGACCGATCCGGACTCAGCTGGCGGTCTGTCTGGCAAGTCTGGCCATTCAATTACCGTCGTGGAAAGATGTCGTCGGAACCGTGGGGTCCACTGTTGGTAGTAACTTCGATGGCGGAGATTGTCTACTCGACTTCCTGCGAATCCTACCAGAAGAGGTCACTGAAGGCCGCAAAATCAACGTCTCTGTATGTTCGACCGCACAGCCTTTGATCTTCGGCTTGTCGCCATCGCAATTCTCAACACAGCCACCGATCACAATCTAATCCACCCTTTTTGCAATTTAGGAAGAGGAACTCGCCGACAGAACAAAGGAACTGCTTGAAGACAACGCTTCTCAGGTTCTCCAACTCCTGATTTCATATGCTCAATCGTCCAGTATGTCCTTGGCCAATACTGGAAATGAATCTGCTAACATAATGGCTAGCTCGTGCCGCCCACAACCCTCATCTGTACTCCTGTCTTGCTTCCTGGCTCCGGGAAATCCCTGCACTTGATGTCGTTAACTCCCCTTTGCTCAAAGAAATCATCTCCGCCTTGAAGGATCAGGATTCTTTTGAAGCCGCCGTGGACTGCATGTGTACCATGTTCCGAGACACACGAGATGTCGATGAATCACTAAGTGTCATTCAAAAGCTCTACCCAGAAATCATTCGCCTAAGGCCTTTGATCCAAGAAGCCGCGACTACTGAAGACAATGATCTGATGAAGGGTATCACTAGACTATTCACTGAAGCCGGTGAAGCTTGGATTGTCCTCATAGCCCGTCAGCCGGCACAGTTCCGAGATCTTGCTGAATGTGTCTTGGAATGCTGTCTACGCGATCAGGATCGTGAAGCAATATCCATCACTTTTATCTTCTGGTACGAGCTGAAGCAAATATTGACCCTCGAGAAATATGCTCCAGCTCGAGCATTATTGGCCGATATCTATTCTAGGTTAGTTGACATCATGATCAAGCATCTGGAATTCCCCACTCCTCAGAACGGTAACGAGAAAGATCTTTTTGATGGTGATCGTGAGCAAGAGGACAAATTCCGCTCTTTCAGGCACAATATGGGAGATGTTTTGAAGGATGCTTGCGAAGTTGTTGGCGTCTCAGAATGCTTGTCCAAAGCCTTCATCCTTATTCAAAAATGGGGACAGTTATATGGCTCTCAGGTTGCAGGAACCCAAGTTCCACACTGGCAAGAACTTGAAGCTCCACTCTTCAGTCTGAGAGCTATGGGTCGCATGGTCAGTCCAGAAGAAGGCACAATCTTACCCCAAGTTATCCCTCTTCTCACCACCGTTCCCGACCATGAGAAGCTGAAGTTTCAAGCAATCATGGCTTTGGCTCGATACACCGAATGGACTGCTCAACATCCGGAAACCCTAGAGGCACAACTCAACTACGTCATATCTGGTTTCAGCCACAATTCCCTGGAAGTTATACAGGCCTCGGCATTGGCATTCAGATTCTTAGGCACCGATTGTGCCAAACTTCTGGGAGACCATATTCCTCAATTGCACCATATTTATGAATCAGTCATCGACAAGCTCAAGCCGTCCAGCCAGGAAGAGGTCACTGAGGGAGTTGCGGCAGTCGTTGCAGTTCAACCCGTGGACAAGACATATGCGACTTTGAAAGTATTCTGTGACCCTCTTATGGCCAGAATTATGAACTTGGCTCAACAAGCCAAGGATGAAGACTCTGAGAAGGTTGTGGCTGATTACCTAGGCCTTCTCACCATCTTCTTCGACTTCGTTCAGCCTTATGTCTCTCCCACTGAGGAAAACCCGGCCGTCACATACTGCCAGGAGATACTGCCAGCTCTAGCTCATATTGCGAAAAACTTCACCCGCTCAATCCCGATATTGGAGCGCATATGCAAGTGCTGGCGGACCATGGTTATCTCTTATCGAACAGCTACTGCTCCTCTATTGCCGACTCTTGCGACGAGCATCGCTGAAGGATTTGAGGCCTCCCGACAAGGAGGTTTTCTGTGGGCCACAGATGCAGTTATTCGAGAATTTTCCTATGGTGCTGAATACGTGGATGATGCAACCAGCGAGAATGTATTCCGGTTCTTCGCACAACAAGCAACTGTCTTCTTCCGTATCCTTACGGACCTGCAACCAATTGAGCTGCCCGATGTCATTGAGGACTTCTTCAGGCTGGCATCCGATGCCGTGAGATTTTATCCAGCTAGAACGATCATGTCAAATTTTGCCGAACCCATGGTCCAGGCTTCCTTGACAGCTCTCACATTACAGTCCTTGGAACCTATCCAGGCTGCTTTACACTTCTTGAGAGACTTTTTGGATTTTGGATTTGATAACCCACCAGTGTCCAATTTTGCGGGTCCAAATGGCGAACCGACACAGACCAACCCGCCTGAAGTCCGGGCTGCAGTCAGGCAGGTTCTCAATAGTACCGGTCAACAACTAGTACACAGAGTCCTTACTGGAATGATGTTCAGCTTTCCCGAAGATGTTTTTGCCGACTCTTCTGGTGTGCTGCTTTCCCTCTTCAATTTGGTTCCTCAAGCCGCAGCACAATGGGTTCAAGGAACACTTCAGTTACTGCCTGCAGGAACGTTAAAGCCAGCAGAAGCAAGCAAACTCATGAAAGGTATCAGTGATAAGTTGCAGCAAAATGAGGCACGGAAAGTACGTGTGCTGTTGCAGGATTTCACGAATTCGTATAGGAGAAGAAATGTTGCACCGCGGGAAGGCTTGGGCCGTTTAGAAGCGACAAGATTCAGATTTAGTGGCTAACAGGTCACCTGACGGGGTCTATCAAATGAACCAGAAAATGACTGAACTTCACACGGTAACATACTGTCGTGCCAGAGCTCGCCAACATGGAGATATACAAAGCAGCTGTTTTGACGGCAACACAACTCATATCGAATTCGTAGTGGAAGCACCCATCGCAGCAGGATTTTCTCCTCCAGCCCATCCTCTTTTTCTGTTTGATACCCAACAAGCTTTGTTCCATTCGATTTATCGGCCCTGGGATGAATTACACGCTCTTCTACCGCAGTGGTGCCCAAATACAAAGAGCCAAGTCCATTTAGGGCGCACCAAATACGACAAGTGGAGCTCCTCTCGGACATTGTTCCCCCTGAATCAGACAGAAGTCGGGGTTCATTGAAACACATGTGACTCCTTTGAAGGAGGGAGTTGGTCTTCCCCGGCAGGTGCAGCTCATAGAAATACAGCCGCGGACCGATACAGAACTTAGGGATGGCCGTATAGAATAGCCGACCTCGAGGAGGATGGCTTAAACACTACCTCTGGTGTGTCTGAAGCACAGCATATGCATTTCAGACCAGAAATATGTTAGGACAAAGACGAATCCCGCCGACAATCATGGGGTCATTTGACAATCCGCTTGCTTCTCATGTGTATACTAGTGATAGCTACCTGCCAGAATCAGGAGAATGGACAGTTCGTCCAACAAGCATGGTATGTATGGTCGAATTCTCTCTCGTCCCCTGCAAATCTGATGTACATGTCTCCAATGCAACTCCGGCGTCAGTTCATCTCCCACGACCGACAATTGTAACACGTTGCTTGCCAACCAAATCCACGGGAGTGCTTGATCTTAATTCCAACGATGCAAAGCTCATCCAGAATCTCGCCGCTCTCCCCCGCCCCACACATCATCCATCACCAATGTTCCTGCCACAGCCTCCAAGCCGCCCAATAGCCCGCGATTGTCGGAACGCCGTGGCCCTTGAAGGCTGCCCACCAAAGACTCCCTCCTGCTCCCTCCTTCCCGCGTCCCTTCCCCTGCCCCTGCCCCTGGCCATACCCGGCCTTTACACTCTCATCAAAGCCGACCTCCAAAGCGGCGAAGAAGAAGTCGCCAATGCCGTTAATGCTGATGCACGCCAGGAGCACGACCACCGCGCGCCACTCGCCGTACGCCTGCAGGAGTAACAGGGCCAGGCCGAGGACGAGCTCGCGCACGGCGAAAATGTAGAAGAACGTCGGCAGTGGTCTGTCGGGGGCCTGAGGGAAGAGCGCCGAGGCGCACAGTTGCCGCGGCGAGATCCAGGACATGATGAACACCGAGAGCAGGAGGAGCGTGATGCCGTGCGTTATCAGGTACGGAAGCCCCGCGAGGGTGAGGAGGCTGGGGATTGAGGCTGTAGCTGTGGTTGTGGTTGCCATTGTGGTGGTTGACTCGGGCGTTTGTGTGTGGTTCGGAGAGCGGGTTATCCTGATGACTGAGGTGAACACGTGAACACTTATGTAGTATGAAGCAACCTCGAGCGGGAACTTTAATAGTTGCGCGTTTCGTCCTCGTGGCTTTTCTCTTATTGTTGTTCTCAGGTGTAGCCTGTTAGGTAAGTAATAGCACTGATGCCTGCTTGTCTGCCTGCCTGCCTGCCTCAACCAGCCTTGGTAGAACCCTATCTCGGAGTGGTGTGCACAGCACGGTATTGCACTTGACCAGGAAGGACTGGGTGTGGAATATGATACGAGTGGCACTGACTGACCGAGTTCGATCTCACCACTCCCTTTCTCTTTCAGCACTACGACTGCATAGACAGGAGGCTCTCTCCGAATCTACGAGTAAGACAAGAGGGAGGGGGGGGGAAAGAGTGCTTTCGAAAGAACCAGGAAGTGTGTGAGGATGCTACATGCCAGCGGGGGATACACGGAAAATATCATCTTATCATCTCTCAAACCCGCTCGATTCCACCGGTTCCGGTCATATCTAATTTTGCTGTACTTCCACTCGTATGTCCCTCTTGCTGACACCCCCACACCCCGAATCCTGTAGGGCCTACAGGTGCGAGTACGAGTACAACTTGGGCCCCTGGCATTGTTGTCCCGCCCTGGGCTATATATATCGCTTGACCTCCATTTGTTGGATACGTCTCGTACCTACTTGCACTCCTAACTTGACAAGGAACACCAGTCTGTCAGGATATGGTGGGAGATGGAGTGTTATTTAACATGAAAGCTCTCTATCTTTCCACTTTCGGTTATAATTTGATGTAGAATAATATATACTTCGATACTACAACTACCAGTAGCGCATCTCCAGGAGTTGACATGGCAGAATAGCCAAGTACATAGTCACAAGTCAAATTGGTCTAGCTGGATCGGCGCGTCTTCGGCTACCGGTACGAGCAGGATGTTACAAAAGAACATAATTAATGTCCCTGCTACATGAAAAAACGGGTGGTACTAACAAACTTTCGGAGACGGGGATGAGCTCGGTGAAAGACAGGGCTAGGGTTGTTGTGGAGCAGGTCAAGCAGAAGAAGGTTGGAACACGAGGAACTACCGAATAAAATGTAGAATACTAAGTACTTCATCATCGTCGGCCTGGATGAGGCGTGCCTCGGCATATGTATGGCACGCCTGAAGGAGGATTATTTATACACGCTAGATGGAGGACGAAGGACATAGGACTAGGAGTGCTCCGTGCCACGAAGGGGTATTTAACAATACATGTCCAAGACTAGGTTTCGGCACTGCCATCTTGGCATTGCTTTGGCTCGTAGATGGATACATGATTATGCCATGGAGCTTCGCATTCTGTTCGACCTAAAACAGCAGCATTAGCTAACAATATTTGCCGCAGGGGATTTTCGTAAGGCTGAGGCAATTGGGAGATGTCGAGTTACTGACCACCAATTGGCGCTGTGGATGCTATTTAGGGTATCCACAACGAACGAACGGGACAGAGTACTAGCTAGTAAGCTCTCTGTCCCATGCTCGTATATAGACAGCATGCAATGTTCGCGAGGTTGAAAGTGCATTTAGCTAGTAGGTCCACCCAGCGAGCAGACCCTCTTTGCGATTCACTACCTAGCTCAAGGCCCAAGAGGTTGAGATATCTAAGGTTCTGCTCAATATGGCGAGAGGGTCGACTATCTGACCCCTTGAAAGGTTCAAAGCGCTGTTTAACAGAAGATTTGGTTCGTCCTTCAAGCATTCCGCATCATCGGTTCTTTACAATAGTTGTCCGGTCGGGAGATCATCGCGAGTCATAATATATTCCATAGGCGTTACGAGTGTCCTAGCAGCCTGACGGCCCGAATTTGACATCAAGTGGCCATGAGGCGGTAAACTTCTCGAGTGCCCTTGCTAGGCTCTTAAGGCAGCAAGTCTCACGATTGCAGAATAGAGCAAAAGGCCTGTCGACCTGCTAACCTTTCAGGCTCAGATGGTCTTCTGGCTAGTTGATCTCTGGAAAGCGGAAAGGTGCACTTCGAGAATAGAGACGAGTCAGAATGGAAACAAGCTCCAGCTCAATCTAGGTCAATTGCTGTCGAAAACCTCCATTGGTTTAGTGACTGGGCGAAAATGCATTTTGGGCAGAAAGGCATGTCAGAGTCTACAAGGGCTACCATTCCAGAGCTTCCCGGGATCTTCCTGCTGTGAGAGACAGCTAGGACTGCCAGGCGAGCGGCCCAGTTACCATGAGCCCTTACAACGCCGATGTTATCAGGTTGATCAAGAACCTACTCCCACGAATCGATTGAAGTCGTCACTCCAGCTTCCTCACTGCTACAGAAACAATTTGCTGACCACCGCACGATCTTCGATTGGAGTATCGACAAGATATCTAGATCAGCGACCCATTCCCCACGGTCGTGAACAGATACTACGGTTTCAACGTAGAAAATGGTTCCATCCATCCTTCCTTGATCTTGACTGTGGACAGGTCTTCTCCAATTCGGGAAGGACAAATGAAGTGAGGTGCCTTGGAAGTTGTTTTCTCTGCTGTGATTGTAGACGTTATCTGGAACCAGACGTGAGTCATGGCCCAGGGCCCTGACCTTTGGGTTGTGCGCTAGGCGGTACCATCAGCGATATTCCTGGCATCCCACCATTGCCAGTCAATCTCTGGATGGGCGATCAAATTCCCGGGGGCATGAGGGATCAGCGAGGAGAGATGCATCAACGAAAATTGAGTTACCGAATGAAATGGCCATGGTATGCTCAAAACAAAGCGGTGATATGTCGTGTATGCGAGATTCAATTGACACCATGCATGCAAAACGTGGCCCATTGCAAGAGTCTGAGGTATCCACCATGATGTGCCATTTTGCTGTACAGAGAGACATCGAAGCAACTTGAAGTGGGATGATGTGATCTCTGAAAGGCGCAAAAGTTCTTTCAGCAAATGCAAGCGCAGCTAATGCAGTGACATTATCAACATGTAGACTTCTCCTTTCGAGCAAAACAGGCATGTCTTGATTATAGGCCTCGTCCATGCTGCAGTTTGCCGTAACGTAATAGGAAAGGTATTGATAGAGTGGTTCGCGATTGATATTTCTCTCATCAAGTAGCGTATTCGCTTCGTCGATACTAACCTGCGAGTTGGCAGAAATATTTGCTGCTATCAAATATTCACTACAGTCGGCTTCATAACCAGCTGGCACTTGTATGTATAAGGCGAACGAGTAAGGGTCTCCGTTGCAGAGACTGAATGCTGCCTGGGTGAATCCGTGTTCATCTGTAGAGGAAGGATAAGCGCACGTGCATTGCGCTCGTGATGAAATGAGGTAGGGACAAGTATCACCTAGAGGCCCCAATGAATCCGAGTGGTGTCGTATTAGCATTAGCTGAGGATTCCGCCACAAGAAGGAACTGTGGTCCAACTCTGGGAAGCAGACCACGTCACTGCAATCAAACATTATGCGGTGAGATTTCCGTGGGGGGATAGAGCGATGTTCACAAGTACAAATCAAACATCCATATGGACAGTACTGTGACTTGCTCGTAAGACAAGATCCATCGCAGCCTTGGTTGCTTGCATCGCAGTCAATGCAATGCACCCGATCTTCTATGGGTGCTCAAGTGTAGTGTACCTCTTCAGTTTTGACGGATTCATCAAGTGAACATTTAGATGACCTTTTTCGATGTGGAATAGAGGTACAGTAGGCATATGTGGGGAAAAGCGGATTTTTGCAATATCGTATCACATATTTAGCGTCTCGAATTTTCATAGCACAAGCCACCTCTCTGAGATGCAAGATACCCTTTTCGGCTCCAGGTTTTAACGACAATGCCTGTAAAAGCGGAGATCTGCGAAGGCCGAAGAAGAGGCTGCGCTGAGTCTTATGAAAAGACAGGAAGTTCTGAGCCCGCCTCCGACCCCAGGTGATGAGCTGGGAGCAATGCTGGTCATTTTCTGCCTTCAAAGCCAAGAATTTGCGACTTGCACTTGCACGCAGTTCAAGCCATGGAAAGCTTGCAGGCTTCCCAATAGGCTTCACTAAGTCATATAATTTGACCAGCCTATTTGCGATTGCGATCTCTTCGTCTCTGGAGATCTCCCAAGCCCAGAAAAGGCTGGCAAAAGCCACTACCAGAAGCTCGTCCGTGGAGACGCGATCAGTTCCGGCACGGGAGTGAACTTTTGCTTCGCGGTCGTAAAGGCGGTACTGCGATAAGGTCAAAGACCAGTACATTCCCATGTCTTCATTTTTGCTCATGTACTGTAGCCCTATGGTAATGATACCGCCGACTTGCACGAGGGGGTCGTGAAACTCCACCGATTTTGCAGAGCTCCCCAATGCCATAAGGTGTGTGTGGGTAGATATGCCATGCTGACAGTGCCAGAAGAACTGATCCATTAAATGCTTCTTGCGGCCTTCCCTGTACGAGACTTTCCATTCCAACAAGAGAGTGGCGCCATACATTAATGACATTTTGATAGGTGGTTTTCCCTTCACCAACGTTGACACAGATATTCTTGACAATGAGCATCATCTGCTTATTCGCCCGCTGTTTCACTCCCTCCGCGCTATGTAGCCACGAGCGAGCGCTAGCGTCCCACTTAGCAAGTTCTTCTCTAGTGATGTCCTGGCGAGCAGCCATGAAAGTGGGAATGAATTGCGGCCGATCATCAATTGACTGGGAAATTTCAGCTTGCCGTTCGTTCACCAGTTCTACCCATATCGAAATTGCTTTGTCGGCTTCCCAGGCTCGGGCAAGCATGCATGCTAGAAGATGCATAGAAAGGACGGCATGTGCTCCAGCATTGACTGTTCCAGAAGTTGCTGCGGCCCATAAGGACGACCCATCGATGCCGATGAAATCTGCAAAAGCGCCTTTGGGGTTGGCTTTCGGGCCGCGTGCTATCTCCGATGACCGAGTCCCATAAGCCTTGAGTAAGTTGGGCGTCGAAGGCACAAGAGCCTCGAAAAGTGCACCAAGCTTCCGAGCCGTCTTGTGGAATTTCCCTGCTTCGGCATCATCGCGACGCCGCAAGGATAGACTGTTGCCAATCGTGCGGAATTCTTTAGGTGCCTTCAAACTTGAACAAAGTGAAATCGAAGTTGAGGTTGGCTAAAGCTATTGTGTTTTCGTTGTTGGCGCTGAAGATAGAATTTGTAAGGCGATCCAATGTCGACAATTCTTGCAGCGATGAGATAGAGAACAGGCAAGATCGCAGAAGTTGACTGAGTAGGGAAGAAACCGAAAAATCTGGTCACTTCCCTTTCCCACAGTCAGGCTTAATAATGTTTGAAAGCGTCACGGACTTTATTGGGGACGTGAGACTCGTTGGTTGAGTGTCTCCAGGCTCAACACAAAATATGAGCCTTGTGTGTAGAGCTCTCAAAGTAGCCCATGATACAACAGCCATCCAAGCCAGGCGGGGATTGAGTTGCAGAATACGAGTCTGCCTCATGCTTGAAGAAAGTGGGAGGCAGAGTTAAAGCTGTGCTGTGCTTGCAGCAATCCTGGAGAAATCAGGTCATGTTGGCAGGCGTGGTTCGACTTGATACGCAGGGATGATGGGCTAAAGTCGGCGTCAGGGGCAAGCACGCCACGAAGCGCCCTGCCCACCACTGAGAGAGAACATGTGATCAGCAGCATTGACCGATGCATCTTGGTGGCAGCTGGTGCCTGGGCCCATATAGTGGCTGTTTGGGTCAGTTGCTTGAGGGTAGTTGCATGGCTGGGGACGGCATCTTCAAGTTTGTTGCAATAGAAGGATTGAGCGTTGATGCCAATTGAGCGATGTTGTCGACACAAGGTTCCACACCACGTGATGTCCGCCCATTCACAGCCTTACGCACCATGACCGGCCAATACGTCTCGCTCGCTATTCGGAATGAGATACGGAGTACTTGAGTTGAAGTCTTGAAATTCTTCGTATCTTGTCGAAATACCATTTCTCTATCCAAACCCACTTTGCACAAAACAGCCGTGTACGATGATGGCGAGAATCCCGGGGCCTCAGTTGACTCCAGAAGTCTCTTGAGTGCAATTCCGCTTCTAACGCCACCTGCACCTTGCATGTACATCAAATCGTCCATGGTCCCCATCTCACTCCCGCTACGTTGTTTGGAAAGTAGCGATGACCAAGGCTATCATCTCTTCCTCACCACACCCAAAAGCACCGAAATGTCATCCAGTTTTCCACCTTCAGCAGGCAGACCTTCATCGAGAGCTCGTTCCATGTAAGGACTCTCAGCGTTGGGGTCTTGGGCAATCTCCCTAGCAGCATTCATCAGAGTGCGGGCAACGTAGACGATGCCATCCTTGGCCTCTGCGTCGCCGGCGGTCCACTTGGCAACACTGTCGCAGAGCGTCGAGCATATCTCATGTTCCCAGAGATTATCTGTGACACCGTCACTCAGGACGGCGATGAGATCGTCGGTTTCAACTGGCACTGCATCAGTCACGGCGTTTCCCACGGGCGTGTCGGGTGAATTGGTGCCGAGCTGTCGTGGGCAGTCAAACCAGTGCCATTGTTCTTTGGACTGGTATAGAACGCTCGAGGTGGATGGGCGGATGATCAGGACCTTGCAATCACCCAAAGTCGTGGCGAGCACAACAGGTGTGAGCTCAGGGTCAGAAAGCTTGTAGTGAAGCAAGGCTGAGGAGGCGGTGGTGGTTCCGAGTATGTCATTACTAGTGGACTCTTTCCCATCACATGCTTCTTTCGGCTCTGGCTTTGTGCCGTCGGATTCGGGAGATGAGCCCGTCTCGATGCCCTCCCCTTCAAGCATGGCATCTGCCTTTCCTCTGGTAGCGACCTTGGTTTCTTCGAATGCGGTCTGCAGGTTCTGGATGGGATTAAGGTCCTCCAATTTGACATCTTTTCCTCCGTTCACAAAGGTTTTCTCCACCTCCACGGCCCAGAAATGTGCAATCAACCGTGACCACAGTGCAGCATTTCCACGCTCTTTCTGCGCCCATGCGCCCACACCGTCATTAACGGCTAGGAAATTCTGATCGCCAATGATGATGGCATCATCCCCGTTTGTGATACCCCTCACGGGGGCTCCATTAACGTGCGGTCGGCGTCCGCGGACAGGGTTGTGGGTTGTCAAAGGATCAGAGAATGATCCGGAAGGTAGTGTGACGAATGGGGGAGGGAACGCTCGGGAGGGACGTTTGGCGAAGATGGAGTAACCAGTTTCCAGGTAGAATGGGGAGTCGTTGAGTGAAGGACTCACGGATGTGGCTTCATCGTCCTTGGGTGTGGTTGTGCTTCCTTCGGAGATCAGATGGCGGCGGCTGCTCTTTTCTGCAAGGGTAAAGACCGCTCGAGTAGACTGAGTCGATCGTCTCGACCGGACAACAACTTGACGTGAGGCAACGGCAGGGAGAGGGGACAAAGAAATTCGAGAGAATGCTGGGTTGATGGCTGCTACAGCATGCTTGGATGATCGGGCCACCGGAGTGAGCATAGGACTGTCACAGCGCTCTCATAATGAGATGCGCCGGGAGAGCACTGCAGGTTTCGAGAGGAGAGGGAAATGGTGGTAAAAGGTATAAAGGTAGAAGGGAGTTGAGAAGATAATGGAGCAAATAGCAATGGAGCAGGTGTGAAGGGCGAGGTCCTCACCTTACATTGGTCCCTTTGTGCCTAGGATGGAGGACGGAGTACTTCGCGGTGAACTATCCAACGAAAAGGCGGAGAGGGAATCCACACACGTGTTTCTGCCAGTCGTCAAGAGCCAAAGGCGCGGATATCGCCGGGGGTCCACGGACGCCTAACAAGCCGCACGGAAGGGCTATTTAAGGGTAGTCCAATGCACATCCACCACCCAAACGGCCCTGGCGCTATGGGCGCCCTCTAGCCGACATCGATCCCGTCACAGACTTGGCTTTGTGGGCACAAGCATTCCCGGCAGAACATTAATCCATCGCACTATCAAATATGCAGCACGGTCGTATTTCTGGGGCTGACACAAGATTTCATGGCTATTCAACGACCACCACAGGGTTATCCTTTCTCCTCCTCCAGCTAGAATGCGCCATCGGATCACTCATCAGGTTCATCCAAGTCTTGACGTTCGATGACTGAGGCCCATGATTGAGTGCTGCCGCCTCAGCCGCCAACTGAGCATACTTAATCGTCCCCCTTTGGCTCCCCATCGAGTTGTAAGTCAATGCCGCGTGGCCATACGCGAAGTCGAGAAACCCATCGAGTTCCTCCTCAAGGTACACTTTGACCAATCGTTCCGCCTGCTTGACACTGGCTTGCGAATCAGCTGCCCAGTTCCCAAGGCTTTGCTGCAGATTGTGGATTTCAAGCAGAGACTGGTCGGTAGCTTCGCCCTTTTGACAGCGTGAGCAGGTGCATGTGAAGCGGAAGGCGTCTTGTAGGTACTCTTGTCGCACGTTGTGTGGGCGGAACGGCGGCGAGTACGCGATTGTGATTTCTTCGTCTCGAGCAATTGGCCGGGCTGCACGCACGACATGCGTGAGCATGTCCGACTCGAGGTAGTATTGCGCACTATGATGCTGATTAGCATCATGGTCATAGTACTTTGAGACAATGATAAGGATCCCTTACTTTGGTGCACACGCATGGTTCAGCCTAGAAGACTCTGGGAAGACTGCGAGATGCATCAGTCCGCCCACCTGCATCTCGAACGCATTCGCTTTCACCACGTCCTGCACAACCACACTCGGATCATTGTAGTACTTCGCAAGGCTGAGGTAGTGCTCTTGACTTGCTGTTGGCAACTGCTTCAGTCCAATCTGTAAGAACTTTTCCCGTTCCATGGTCGTAAGCACATTCTCCGCGTGGGCTAGCAGGTAGGGTGTAAACGCAGTGACAAGATCCCCGCGTTTCAGGTCTTGCTTCGCCAGCATGCCGATGCCTTTTCCTGGCAGCTCTTTGGTGTACCAGGGTCCTTCTGGGCTATTGATTCCGCGTTTCTCAAGAACTCCGGCATCATGGAACGGTAGCAATCCTGCGGCCTCTTCGGCTATCTTCGGTGTCGTGAAGATAGAGATGCCTCGCCCGTGGCTGAATGTTGCATTTGTATAGACACACAGCTCACTTTCTAGCACCTCTAGAAACTCTGTACACACAGGTTCATAAGACCAGCGGCCATGCCAGTCTTCAGCGGTCGGAGCATTCTGCGACGTGGAATTCAATTGAATGGACTGTACGAGCTGCTCCTGTTCGCTCTTGTAGATAACATCGTCGCTGAGAGAGCCAATCTCGGTACTTATCTCGTGATTGGGCACTGACTGGCTTTGTTCTTTCGTCGGTATCCGCACTTCGTCGGGTGTAGATGCCACCACAGTCGAGAATAGTGCAAACGCAAGTTTCTGCACAAGTTCACTCTTCATATTTGTTGGTTTTGCGCGAGATTAGACTGTAAGAATTCTTGAATCTGTCATACTGGAAATGATCATGAGGAGGATCAATATTTAGCACTCTGGAGTTGGCCATGAAACACTTGGCCTCCTCTTTGTTTCATGTTGGAACTTCCCCTATCCGGCGCCATGGCTGTTCGCGGACGACGAGGACGTCTCACAACCATCGAACAAGTTAGACAAGGCTTAGGAATACCTTACACCCTCATACACAAACTTGACACTTATTTAACATAATTTTTGGGGCGGGGTCAATGTGTGATGACAACGGCTGAGGCTTGACCCTAAAAAGGGGGTTAATATTTGCTGGTAGCACGTCTGACAGAAGAAGAGTTCTGCCTAATGGTTGTCATTCATGTCGCGTCAAAAGAATTATTGCTGGCCGTAAGTCCGTAAGTCCTATCGCTGTTTTCCTTGTGCTACCTCGTCTAATAGTATACAAGCACTAGCAATCTGTTCCCTAGAGTTCCGTGCTTCGCTCCATGTGCTCCATGAGATAGGGACATTATAGAGATATTCCACGGCGAGTGTGCGTGATAGCAAGCCGGACTTTAGACTGGGCATAGCTGCGTTCCCCTGGTTGATACAAGAAATTGGCTGAGATTTGCCCTTCCATTAAACGGGTAGTCCATATTGCGCTTTTCGAAGGTAGTTCTTTGATCACGTTCCGCTGTTGCGTCTGCCCGAACATGTGTCCCAAAGCCAGCACGAGCCGATTGAAATCTTCTAAGATGGTTGGTAATACATAGTACCTGGCTCAGGCGATCTCACAAACGCCCCAGAGATGGATTGAAACTTTTGTTCTTCCGCTTTTATATCCAGCCAAACAGCATCTAACCTAGTTGATGAAGTTGACACAGAACCCGTGCAAGATAAGGCTGCCGAAGATGAAATCGGCAAAGGCTCTCTCCGTGCTGACTTTGCCATTCTCAACCAGCTCTCCGCTTACAGTATCAATGGATTTTGATGAAGTTTTCTTCGCTGTAGAAGCACCACTAGGTGGAAGCTCGGAGGTCTGCATTCGCAGCGAGGCAGTAAGCACGAATTGACCGACGGCTGCGCTGAATCCGGAAAGGAAAGCATTGAAGGGCTATCAGGGAGTCAGTCGATGTGATCAAGCACCAATATAGTAATTCAACGTACGTAATTTCCAGCCAGCACGCAATACAGGAATTGCAGCACTCCAACTACCACCAACCATGCCATAAAGACGTCGAGTAGGATTGTCCGCGAGGGCGTGTCTTGGACGTATCTATTCCACACATGAATTATGATCTCCTGAGGGGAGGACCGAGGCGATAGCGTGCTTTGAGGTGCAGGTTTCGCTGCTGGTGGTGCAGGCGTAGAGACAGGACCAGAGACAGGTTTAGCTGGGGCGGTCGCAGCCGTTGTCTTGGGAACGGGAGAATGAGTGGCGGGTTTTTTGGCCATTGCGAAGACAGACGTAGGATAAGAGTCGTCTGTATTGACTGCCCACGTCTCGGTCGAGGTGTTGTATCTATTTCAATGGAATTCTGATGATAGCATTGCGGCGGATGAAGCCAGATATTGCCAAGACGAGTGACAATTAACGCCGACCTCATCCCGGATCGGGCCCAGGGCGATGCCGCCCTGTGCCCGGCGAGCTCTAATTTTGCCAACTGATCTTTTCATTTTACCAACACCAACATCTTGGAGGAGGCTCGATTAGTATTTAGCTTAATATGTACTGCCGTGCCTCACTGAGTAGTGCTCGGTAAATAATAAACAAGTAATGTAAATCAAGAACTACTAAAGTCGACAAGGTACGCTTTAGGCCTACTTAGGTTGCCTCCTACCGTTGCATGCGCTCTCCAAATGTGCTCCAGCCGACTTGTTCCAGCTTGTTGGGTAGACGCTCAAGCACGAGATTGTCGGATTGATGGCACAATCTGCGGTAGATGCTCGTGGAATAAGTGCACTTGATTCTTTTATCTTCTGTTCTTTCGCTGCTGCCTTCAAAGACAGTCTGAAACTATGAGCTTATATCCAAGATTGAAGATGCAGTTCTACGGCTTAGCGAGGTGGAAAAGTGATTGAAAAGATCCTGTGTGAGAACGCTTCAATGGGACCGATGGGAACAATGTCAATAAGTTCTCTATATTAAGATGGTAGCTAAGCGGTCCTTAGACGCAGGGTCCTTACCAGGAAACTTCCCGGACTGTTGGAAGTAAGAAGAAAGCAGGCTACACGCAGTCCGACGAAGGGGGTCTTCTCGGTGAATGCTTGGCGGGCCTTGGCTGTCCGTGACATGGCTGACTGAGCAAAAAGAAACGGCTAGGATTTTCGCAAAAAAGTAACTATTGTGTCTCTCGAACTGTGTTCCTGTTAGGACGAGGAAATCATTGTGAGGAGAGATTCAAACATACCCGGAATCGAGCCGGTGACCTTTCGGTAACAATCAAGCAATTACAGCCGAACGTGATAGCCAACCTGAGCATGTTAGTTAAGGGTTGGAACCAGATAGTTATGGCTGAAACTTACTACACCATCGAGAGGTTTTGGTGCTAATAGTTGGGCAACTTCCGGCACATTATAGCTATGTACTCCTATTTTTATGGCCAGCCCTGGAAGGCCGGCAATAGCCGGTCGGAAGCATTTGAAGCATTATCACATTTCACATTTCACTACTGTCAGATTGCCGTATGTCCAGTCATGATCTTTCCTGACTCTTTTGGATTCGGGACTCGAGGTCTCTCAATGTGCTCCCTTCACTAGGTCTCTCCGAAGCAACAACTGACAGTGAAGGACAGACGATCATGGGTATATGTGGTAGCATACTCCTTCCCGGCTATTGCCTAGGCTCCTGGCACAATCTTCTCCAGTACCTTCTTTCAACTTCAGACAACTTCCTACTCCAGAAAATCTCCTACAATACTCCTTACACTGTAACTTACTCTTTACCTTAGATCCTAGAACAGACTACTAATGGCGCCGTACGGGGAGCCCACTGCCCACCTAATACAGCGCCTCTTGAAGATACTACTCCGTAGATAAACCATCAACTGGGCCCCCGTCAATTTTCTAAGTGTCACTCCCGGCTAAACGCCTGGGCGAGCTCCTACCGCAAGTCCTTAAAGCGTATCTAAGCGGTTCAGCCTTGCAGGGTGCGGGCGGACACAAGGGCAGGAACGACACCGAGCGACTCGGCCGGCGGATGGTGTCATTCCGGAATCCAACCCAATCAACAATCCGGAATTCAACCACAGACTACATAAAAGACCCCTCCTTCCAGCACCACGAAGCGATCCTCCAAGACCACCCCTTCGGAGATTCTTATGCAGCTTCATCATGGTACGTATGATCAGAGATCCAAAGACCGCGAGGCTAACATCCCACAGGCCGACGAAACACCCGCATACATCTTAGGCGCTCTGACCTCTGTCGGTGGAGTGACTGGCTACGTTCGCACAGGTTCAGTCCCCAGCATTGCTGCAGGTCTGACTGTCGGCGCATTGGTATGAGACGAGCCACCCAATTCCCTGGACCGCCTCCAGATTCCCCTTCCTTGCCGATCCTGACAATACTCTTAGTATCTCCTGGGTGGCTTCCGCATCGCCAAACGACAAACCTATGGTGTCGAGCTTGCCCTCCTCGCCTCGGTCCTCCTGGCCGGCAGCAGCATTCCCCGTGCAATCAAAACGGGCAAGCCTCTCCCAGCCGGCCTCAGTGTCCTCGCAGCCACAGGTCTCTTCATTTACGGTCGGGCGTTCCTAGCAAAAGCATGATCGGGGGACAAAAAGCAATCATATAAAAAGTGTAATCCAGACAGCAAAGAAATGGTCCGAACAAAACATCCAATTTCTGTCTATGTTTGATCTCGATGGGGTCTCTCATAAAACCCTCTATTTCGCTTTTTCTCCAGCACCAATACGCCTCGCCTCGCCATGATTGTATTCGATAGTAGATGTGCCAGCTTCGAACTACTCATCCAGTCTGAGCGACGGTGGTTCAGCAGTGCGGGTTTGCTCAGACGCAGGGTCTTTGCCCACGCCCGTCTTCCCCCTTCCTCGCTTCCCTCTCCTTGTTCGCTTTTTTCTTTCTCCCTCTTCGAGCGCTGGACCACCCTCCGAGCCCCTTGTCTGCTCACTGCTGGTCGTGACTTTTTTCTTCTTCCTCACGCTCAGCGGGTTGGGTCCTTTCGCCCTCGTCATTCCGCGAACCTTCAGCCCCTGTGCCTGTTGCTCTCGCTCAAGTAAGATATCCTCAAGCTCATCATTACTCCCATCATCAGCACCCTCCCCCCTCTTCCTCTTCCTCGTGTCCACCAACCCCTCGGAGAACTTCGCCTTCTCAGCCTTCGTCCTCGTCCTCTCGCTCGCGCCACTCAACTCCTCCAGTATCATGACACTCCTCTTGACATAGACCACCGGCACGCCGGGAATCATCCTCGCGCGCTCCCTCACATCGAAATACCCCTTCCGCTTCAGCTCCCTCTCGTCCGGTTCCGCTGTCGCCAGGATGTAATGCTGCTTATTCTTCGCGAGCTCGTTCCCATGCGGCTGGCCAGCCAGTAAATCAAGTAGACAGCGACTCTCTCCGATCACGCCGAGCTCCTCGCCCTCATTATTCTTGTGCTTGCAGTAGCGCATCGGTGCCTCCAGCGGCGGCGGCAGGAACTCCGGCCTTCCTCTTGGGCGTCCATCGCCGACTTTCGTCTTTTCCTTTTCCTTCTCAAAGTCGGCCATCACTTTCGCGATCGTGCACTGTGTTATGAACAGCCGGCACTGCCCGTGCAGCGTGTTCTCGAGGTAACGCTGGAGCGGCATGTGGAACGAGTGGCATGCTTTGAGGAAGTGTGAGTCAAGCAGGACCTGGTACGGCTCGCGGAACGAGAACGCCTGCTGGTACGCCGACATGACCTTGCGGTACTTCTTGCTGCGTTTGGCGCGCATCTTGTGCTACGGTTTGCGGCGGAGGGCTTTGGAGACGGATTTCCTTTTTATTCTCAAAGGATCGCAACTTCGCGTATGTGTTTTTTGGTTCTTGTGGTCACTAACTTGCACGAGGAAGACTAGGAGGGACGGGCTGAAGAAAACGAGGGAGGGATGTCGAAGTTTCAGCGTGCGCGGATTTTGCGGGGCAATTCCACCCACGCCCAAACAAAATGCTTGTCAAATGTCTACGTACTACGATGGAGCGACTGCGCACCGCCCAGCACTTCAAGGCAAGGGTGTGATCGGCCTGTAGCAAGGCAGTCATAGTCATGATTGGTGGCATAATCTACTTTGCTCGATTATACTCTAGCTAGCCAGAAAGCAAGTGGGTAAGAATATGAAACACATTTCATTTTTCGAATGTGCTTTGTGCTTGAAACCGATCTAGCACCTCCGTTTTTATATCTCGTCCCAATCCAAACGCTGAAATGAGTGCCTCAAGGGGTAAATAATGGGGAAGGGGGCGGATGGGGGGGGAGATATCATAAATTCGTGCAATCCTGGCTTGAACGCGAACCAAAAACACGGCACAAGCGTGCCTACGTACATCCCCAGGAACTCATCCACAATGAAAGACCATTTTGCGATGGCTTCGCGGTGGCAACATCTCGATATCTGAAACAAACATTGTCCTGTCAGTTTGTAACATGGGAAACTCTAACGAACGGACTCTTTCCCAAATAGTGTACCTTGGCTAACTTCTTCAATCGCTGATACCGGGTGGTTGAAATAAAAGCCTTGGTTTAACATAGTCAACAGAGAGGCGTGGAGACATTCACTGCCCTACGTCTTCGTCTTCGTCTTCGTCTTCGTCTCCTGAAACGTCGTCGTCATTGTTTTCGTCATCATCATCATCATCTTCTTCATCTTCAGCCATTCCCTCCGCGTCACTTTCGCTATCTTCCTCCGCCTCGTCGCCGGGGATTCCTCTCCACTCGACATAATCCCCCTCGATCCAATGGCGACTGATAGGTAGGTGGTAAGGATCATATGGGAAGTAACCCTCGAGCATTCCGTTATCGCCAACCCAGCTCAGGTCCCGGTCAGGATTGCTGATCGTGAGGTCCGACATGGATCTCGCGTGAGCCGCCGTCACTACTCGAACGTGCTTATTCTCTTCGAGTTTCGGGTAGACGTAGAACAACTCGAGGGCGTAAGTGAGTTTGGCAAATTGCTCGACAATGACAGGTGTGCAGACCCGAAGGGGGTTCAGTGGTGAGTAAATTGCTGTGCGGAGCGAGTCTCGGAGTGACTCAGGGAAATGATACGTTTCGATCTCCTCCTCGTCAAGGTCAAAATCCGACTCGGACTCGAGATCTGCGGATGAGGAGGCGACGTCTCGCCAGCGGAAGCAGAAGATATAGAGAATCGCTTGGAACGCGGCGTAGAAATCGCCATATCGTTTCAGGTCAGGCCCACGGCACGTTGGTTCATATGTCTTGCGCAGGATGGTGAGATGGTCGCACAGTAATTCGAGGCAGTCTTGAACAACCTGTGGTGAGACATGGGCTCCTCGGCCGACAAAACCACTGAAATAGGCAGCCGCACTGTGCCGGAGGAGGTAGGGCTGTTTCTTGTCGACTAGTACGGCAACGCAACTCGTCACAAATCGATCGACAATGATCGGATCGGATTGGGCAAAGTGAAAAACGAGGAATTGTGGATGACGGGCGCGATATGTAGGTAGGATGTGTGTATGGAATTGGGAAATAAGTTGTTCGATGGCGCTATCTCGGGTCGTGATGTTGCTGGACGTGGTGAGTTTGGCGTAATATTGGAACAAAATATCCATGATCAGGTCAACCTGTCTGATATCTTCTTTCAGTTTCCGGCGACGTGCGGTTTCTGAGTCGACTTCCGCGTCTTCCATATCTGAATCTTCGTCCGTTGTGGCCGTGTCATCATTTTCCGAATCAAGAGGGCTTTTGAGCATGTCTTGTGCTTGAGATGCGATAAGGGTCTGGGACGATGACATGTGATCAAGGATATCGTCTTCAGCATCATCATCCTCCTCATCAAGATCGACCTGGACAGCCACATCGAGTTTGATCAGCTGTCGGAGAACACTCGTCAGGATCTCCGAGGTCAGCTCAGGTACATACTTGATCATTTCCATGAAATTGCGGGTGTACGTCATCCGTTCCTCGACCTTCTCGAAATCAAAGTCAAGCTTAGATGAGATCCTGTCGGCCAGTGCTGCGGGGATAGATGGTACATTGCTAGTGATGTATTGGATCGCTTGCATCACCCTTCGATGGATAGTTGGCTGCCTGATTGGTTTGGAACCTGATATTCTTCTTGTCTTTTGCGGTCCGAGCAAATCCACCAGCATGGACATGATCTTGTGCTGATAGCCGCGCTGAGCGGCGGCGAGATTGTTCAGAAATCGAACAAACAGAGCATAGTAAGGTTCTTCCCGGCCAATCCATTCGCTATACAAGACTGCAGTCACAAGGCCGCTGCAATCTTTGTTGAGGGCGGTGACATTTGCGAGCAGCGCCTGCAGGTGGATTTTCAGGACTTTGGTCGATGGTGCTCCTGGATTTTCGTAGGAAATGGTGAACACGGATTTGATCCTTTCATATGATTCGTCTTCCTTGGCTTTGCGTCTCTCGACCGCTCTGCGCACCTGCTCTTTGACAACAAGAGGATCTAGTTCGTCTTCTTCACCGGCTGAGACAATCTCGACGTCGGAATCAAAGGTAACGCGGGACCTTTTGGAGGGACTGGAGGGGGCATCCATGAAGCTCGTTTCGTCAATGGAGCGTTTGAGGGTCGATCTCCTTTGGAGAGGTTGAGGTCGATATTGCTGCTTGGAGGAAAGAGAGCGCATGGAGATTGACGTCGGCATCGCAGGCCGACGAGGCGGGGCTAACATGGCTTACGAATGAGGATATAGGGAATATCATGGAGGGTAAAGCGCAGTAGATGTCTTTCAGATAGAGAAACGGGCACAATAGGTCGGCCTGGGCTGGAAATGATTGGAGACAAAGCCTCTCAGCTTGGACTGGTGGTTAGACAATCTTTTGCCATCCTGTGACAAACTCTCTACAAAAATGTTCGGTGTGGGCAAAAAACGGCCTGAAGCTAGTCCTCTTTGGGAAATGTCGTTCGTGCCACCAAATCGGTGGTTCAGGAAGTTTTGTCGGATGGTCGGTCGCCTACTGTACGTGAATGCCAATGCGGGAGTCATGTCCCAACAATGGAAAGTAAAAGTGACTCAATTCGACTCTTCATGATCCAAATACACATACATAGCGCCGCAATCTGCACAGGGCGGCCTCCCTGTTTTCATTCCTACAGATACGCCCTCTGACTCTTGGACTCGGTGCCTGAAGCCTTGTCAAAGTCAACCTTGTCTCCATGTAGCGCGATACGATGACCGAGCGCTCTTCGGATGATCCAGTCTTTGCTGTTGATCTCCTCCTCGACCTCATCTTTCTCTAATGGCGGAATCATCTCACTCCCACTCAACCTCTTTAGCATGACGTCATTTTCCGGCCGGTTAAAGTAGACGAGGGAATATCTCGTATAATCTGCCTGTTTGCCAGGAGGAGAAACGACTCGGTGGATGTTTGACCTTAACAGGCCGTTGGTGAATTTGACCATCGCATCTCCAAGATTGATGATGGCGTGGTTCGGGAGTGGTCTTACATAGCACCATTCGGCATTCCGGCCTGGTGGGAGAACCTGCAATCCACCTAGGCGGTTGAATAGAACAGTCACACTTCCAAAATCGGTATGTTCACCCAAGGCTGTTCTTCGATCATCCATAGGCTGGGGTGGTGCTTTGATAAACCGAACTTGGTCTCCGGAATTGCCTTCTATCCGATGCATGTCTTGCAGAGTGTTTGGCGGCAAGCGAAGATGATCGTTCAGCAGCTCAAGAACAAGGGTAACAATACCGTGGGCAGCTTGAATGAATGACTTGAGACGCGGGCGTTGGGAGCTGAGAACATCTGGTGCTGGCCAAGGGTCTGACAGTCCGAGTATATCGTCTTTGGATACCTAGAATTCTTCAGATTGGTCACGTTGGCAGATGCCCGGACATGCTAGATACTCACGTTGTAAAACTCATTGCGGTCGAGGTTTCCGTCTCTGTCAACCACGTTTGCACCATACCCCTTGTAGCCAAAGTACGAGTTTTTGTGCATAAAGTCATACTTCTTCTTCTCTTCAAGCGGAAGATCATACAAGGCGGCTCCGGTCTTGAAAAGTTCATCCGCATCTGCGAGTAGTGAATCTCCAGGCCCCGATAGGTCGAGGTAGAAGAATCCGAGATCTTCGCATGCCCGGACAAAGCGATTTACTTCTTCGTTGTCTCGTTTCAATAGCTTTGCAAGCGATAGCCGAAGCAATGGTGCTGTGGGAACATCTTCTGGGAATGGTGGCGCATTCTCAAATTTCTGTACTGCCGCTGATAACGCTTCTGGAATTGTTTCCGTTGTCATGCTGTCGTAAATTTGCCTGATGATTAGGGGAAATATTACCGGTGGTACTGCCGCGAACCCCCATCTTGCCGTAATGTACCTATATATACGTCAACCGAGGAATGGGTAGAGCCGCGCATCTCCACCCCCTCCTCATCAAATTGATGCGGGGAGATGATGAGAGCCGAGATCCGTGGCGCCCTCAGAGTCAAAACCGTGGTTATTGGACAGTTGCACCAAGTGGTTGTTCTGGTCGGGTTTGACTCGGAGAAGCTCCTCTCATCCTTGAGATAGGCTCCCGTTGACGGGCCAAGTCAAGCACTCACGAATGCACGGCGTTGGTTGCTATCATATGCATCTGCCAGGTTCTTCCAAACTATTTTGCTCTTTTGTGCTTGAATGAAAGGTTTGTCAATGACCTTGTAGCACATCTCCCATTCCAAGACCGGAGGATGAGCAGGGAGGTCTCCACCTTCCCCCCGACCGTTGGCGGAATTCTGCACCCTAACATTCAAGGTTGGAAATGCTGAAATCTCATCGGCGAAGGTGAGAATGGGAAGGGTCCACCTCATGTTCCCGGGCGCAACCTCTCTGAGCGTGCTCTTGAAGTTTCTCCAATTGGGAGGACCCTTTGATACTATGCAATGCACATCTTCGCGTCGGAAGTTTCGAATTGCAACATGACTTAAGTCTGTAGCAATCCGTGATCTGACTCTAATCCAATATCGATGATCCCACAGGATCCATTTTGACCACGCTCCGGACGAGTCTCCTTCGTGATTCCCAAATTCAGGTTCGAATTTCTGTTCAACAGCCTTGATCTCATCATAACGCATAGTCGGACGTGACAATCTCCATCGAGACTGACCCGGTCCCATGCCTGGGGTATTGGCAAGCTGTTCTATCTGCGTCTGTTGGATCTGCAGTGTTGCTCCCTGGAGCGTTTGTCTTGTGGATATTGCCTCCCCGCTCTTTTTACTAACTGGGATCTGGGGTCGTATCGAGGACAGGATGCTGATAAATTCCAGACAGCGGGCCTGAGGTACCAGAGATGGCGTGGCATCCCTGGGCTGTGGACTGATGACGCTCGTTAAGCTGGAAAGGGCATGACTCGTTCCCTCGAGGTCACGTTCGCATACACTAGCTAGGTCTTGTGGAAGCTGGACTATCATTGACCCCACCCGCAAATCAAACTCGACGATTTGAAAGTGAGATGCGAGTTCGTTTCCCCTGCTTTCGAGAGACCGGGAGTGTTCCCGAGCGGCAGCCATCAAGTTAAGCAGAGAAGTGGCTTGCAGTGCTCGAGGGAGATTAAACTTGGCCCTCATATATCGAACAGCGTTTCGCATGGTGATAGTTGGGTCGAAGTTTGTTTCATCGCTCACATATTGAACCTTGTGTTGCTGACAAGTACCAATCAGTTGCGACTTTTTGAATTCTAGCAAAGGGCGATGAAGCTGAAGCCCATGTAACTCAGAGATGCCCACAGGGGAACCATAGTTAGCTGCAAATGGCCAGGATTCTGTTTCTTGCTGGGGTGCCTTGTCGGGCGGAAGGTGTCCATCGGCGCTGGGAAAGTCGAGTGATTCATTGGCACCTCTGATGTTTTCGCAACAGGGGATTCTGCTCGTTTCGGCCATACCTTTGATAGCCAGAAACGAAAAGGAAGTATTCCTGACAAGGCGCATTATGATCGTTTCAAGCTGATCATCGAGATGGTGACCAAGAAATAAATGTTGAATTTTCTCGCGAATAGCAGCCTGTGCGATCAATTGATAGCGACTATACCGCGCCATCATCTCAAAATCTGGCAAGGCCAACGGATTGGTTTCTTCCGGCCAGCGCATGTGGAGGATACGGCTCTCGATATCTATGGGTGTCTCAGTAGAGATATCTTGACTCGCCATCGGAGCCTTACCGTGTGTCCGTAGCTGCGTGCCCACGCGTTCTGCTTCTAACCTGCTCCCTGGTCTTGCATTGTGGTTCACAATAAATGCGATCGGCTCAATTCGAATGCTGGGGTCAACTTGAGGAATCCTGCTGAGCAGATATGCCAGAGCCATTGAGTCTGGTCCGCCACTGACACATACACCTGGCAAGGCTTAATAAATGAGTAAAGGGAAAGTGCAAACAAATACCTATTCTGGTTGGAGCACTACATGCCTTTTTGAGAAGACTTGTCTCCCATAGCTTCTTGACTCCTGTCAGGAGATCCGTGACTTGCACCGCAGATTGTCGCACCGTCATGGTGCAAAGATGTAGGGTTTCGGTCTCGCGAAGGAATTCGTCGTGGAGTGATGAAATCAATCAAGACAGTTCACCCGCCCTCTTTGGTTGAATTGCAAACGCAAGATCTGTTTTGAGAGACCTCAAGGTTTACGTGATGGATTGTTACCATCGCGATGATACTGGGTCACAAATCCATGTTTATTTCATCGAAGCATGATGAAACACGGAATTTTCATATCTATGGTCCCACAGCAATCGAGCTGCAAAGTGGAAAAAGTGGACGACGCCAGTCTCAAGGTATACCGATTGATGAGCTCCGAGATTGACCGGCGGCCTTTTGATGACGCTCATTGGCAGAGGGAAGGAAGGTAACATCTCAAGGCTTTCACTCATGATACATCAGTGGATGACTAGGTTGTGGTCGTGTGGTGCCCCTGATGAGGAGTTGCCGCCAGGCATTAGTCAGTCATTATGTAATATGGGCCTTTCTGAGGTACAAATACCCAATCCGAACGGAGTGTTTCCCCTGCGATTGCCCCTGGAATGTCGTTCACTACTCGCCGTCCAGCCTAAAATTCTCGGTACGGCCAGGACCAACAAATATCTTTTCGATATAAAGTCCACAGAGGGAAAAGGCGTCTATTTTTCCGTTTATCTCGACCATCCAGCCTCGCTTGTCATCAATATCACTACTGTGCCATCAAGGTTGATGCTAATACTTCCTGAGGCCGAGAGGTGTGTTGATCTTCATTCAGAGCTTGCTTGCAACTTCCTTCATATAGATGTTTTACTCCCTGGACGGACTTCTCGGTATTGAGGGTATTGCGTAGTCGCAACTCGCTGAGGGAGAACGCTGCAGGGAACCAGTCATCAGCATTTTGACCTAGCATCAAATGTGCCAATGCCTCCCCACTCGCGACACAAAGACTCATTCCCATTCCGTTGAATCCCGCAGCCATCCATTCCCCATCACCATTGCGAGATGTGATTGACGGGGTCAGACGTCCAACCAGAGGATTGTCATCGGAAGTAAATCCCATTATGCCGGTCCATGAGCTTACCAACTTGTTGCTCTGCATGGAGTTTTGGCCGAGGAAATGAGATAGCTGCTCTTGAAGATATTTGACGCCAGACTCTGGTACACTTGTGTCGTCCCCAGTAATTACCTGAACGGGATCGTACTTGCCGCCACCAAAGAAGTAATGACCAGAGCTCGCATTTTGTTGAAGATAGTGGACGGAGGAGATTACCTCCGTATCGTGCTTGTCTGGTACATGCTGCTGGTGAATGCTCCAGGATCTTTCAGCACCTCGATTTGGCAGGTCTTCATCATTGCCAAGATCTTGAACCGTCATTGTGCCACGATAAGGATAGAGGGCTCCCCTGATGCCAGGTATAAGATTCCCAGTGTAGCCGTTCGTGCAGTATACCACTTGACGCGCCCTCATCTCACCCCGCGTCGTGGTTAGCGCATATGGAGCACTAGAATTTACCAAGGGTGTATATGTCACATGCGATACCGCTGTTTGAGCCTCGATGCTCAAACGGGTTGGGTAGCTCTTAAGGAGATCTTCCCAGCCCGCCATTACTAGGCGATAAGGCCAAAGTGCTGCGGCGTCAAAAACCACGGCACCAACAACACCATGGACATCGTACTTTTCACGGAGTGTTTGGGGGTCATTGAAGATGGTATACATGCCCTTATATTGTGGATTGTCACTGACGAACTCGGCGATGCTTGCCTGAGCCTCATCGAATGATGGTTGGTCGCTAAAGGTCCGGATCCGAGAGACAGTGCGAAATTCGGCGGCATCACCCGCCTCTCCTAGAGATTCAATGAGGGCTCTCGTCCGATCTATGGACCTAAAGGTAAATTCGATGATCTTAGTGGCCATCGGCTGTCCATAGCTCTGTTTGAGCTCGGTATAACTGGCACCTCCATATGCTACCAAATGACCTCCATTCCGGCCGGTGGCGCCTGAACATAGCGTCCGTGCTTCGAGGACAGCAACATGAAGACTGGGATTGCTTGCGAGCACCGTTCTCGCTACAGAGAGTCCGGTGATGCCTGAACCAATTATTACCACATCGGCACTTGATGGCAAAGAAGGCGAGTGGTGAGCAGCCAATGGATGGAGTCGGTGCAGCCAATATGGAATTGTTCCTTGTGGCCGAGGCTGACCGGGATCCCTGGTGACTGCTTCACGAATCAATCGTTCTAAGTCGTACCAAGTATCAGCACACAGTCATGAAACGTTTCAACGGATATCGCAGCTGTGGTCATTGGAGCCAGGATCATGCTCATTAGATACCCGGGAGACGAGCCCATGGAGAACAGGCGCACCTACCCTGATCTTCTGGGGCTGTGCCAGCCATGGATGCCATGAGATATTATAGCCTGCTGCAGTCCCAAATAGACTTGTTGGCACAGTCATTCAGGGCACTCGATATCAGGAAGCAATAAGGGCTGGTTGCTCCTCAACAGGGCGTCATTCGCCGAGGCAAACGGTGAAGTCCGCCATGTACCTTGATATCTTGTCGGAGCCACCACGTTAGACCGCTCGACAACCCGTCATTAGCTGTCTGCGAGTTGTGGATGTTGCCTGTTGTTCTTGACGCTTTCAGCTGCGTTGTGCGTTTCAAACAGGCGATCGTGTCATATCAATAGCACAGCCACAGGTAAATTAGTGGCGCTCTGATTATGCTTTTGTGGCGCAAGAATCGGGTGAAAATTCGCATTTGCTCCACCCAAGCGAGCCTCCAAGGTAATTTCTTATTCTTACGGGACTAAGGGGAGTGGTTACTGTGTCTCCAAATCGAGATAGCACTGAGGACTCGGTAGAAAAAGTCCTGAAAATCAGCGGGAGCCCTCGTCGCACTGTGGCGTTGGAGCGTTGGACAAAGTTCGATGCGGTGGAAGCCGAGACTTGGGTGGAGTGACGTCAAGATCCAGCCAAGCACTGCGGATCGATGCTTTGACAGGCTTGAAGCATGTAAGCCTACCAAGAACCAGCTTAAGCCCGGCCTAAGCACTGGCCCAAGGCCCCATCACTCTAGCTAAGGCCTGGGTGACTCCACCGCCTATCGCTCAAGAGGAGGGAGAGCGGGGCGCGGGAAGAGGAAGAGGAAGAGGAAGGGGAAGAGAGATGGTGGTGCGCTCTGCACCTGCCACATCACGTCTGAACCCACACTTGTCGCATCCTGTGCAGGCACGCGTCTTTACGAGTAGGCCGTCGTTCCAATTGAGGATGGATGTGCATCGTTCTTTCCCTGGCAAGTGTTTAGCTGTGGCTCAGCGGACGCCTCTGGTGCGGATTCCACATTTCTGGCGTGTTGTTCGGCATATCTGGACCATTGCCATCGTCATCCTGCAGCCACAGCACCCGCTAGACACTCGCTGTGCTCTGGTGGCTCCCGTCCCTTGGGTCCTGGGTCCTGGGTCCCGGGCCCTGGGGGTGCCCTCGTTGGCTCCATCATTGCCCCCTGGCAGCCTGGCAGCCGACCTACGAGTACCGTAGCCACCATTGTCTCATCCGGTACAACTACGCCGTACGCACGCGCTGTCCTGCTCAATCGCCGACTTCTCTCCCTCTCCCCCCGGTGGCGTTGGACGCGGATTGAATTCGACCACTTCACCTCACCCCCTTTCACTGGCCGATTCATTCGCTTGTGCAAAGTTGCTGGGTTCCTTGATTTCCATTTCCTGTGTTCCATCTGTCACTGCCATGCTCAGTGCTCTGTATTTGAATCAATCTCCCGCCCACAGTCGGGCTATCTACTTTCTGCGACTCTTCTCTTCCCCCATATTCAGACTTGGTACCTGTAATCGAACCCAGCTGACCAGTCTACCTACACCTGAATCAGTTCATTAGATTCCAAAGTCTGAATTGTGTAGGCCCGGACTTGACCCAATTGGCCGCACTGCGCCATCATTCATCATGCGTATGTGTGACCCTGTCCGGAACGCGCCAGATGCTCACAATCCACAGATCGATATCGCCGTCAGGCAAAATACGCCGCTTGGTATGATGGCCCGGGCTCTGAGTCTAACTTGGTGCCCAATCCATTCAAGAAATGGAGACCCAACTCGAAATCGAACACTCTGCGCACCATGGAGGATGGCGAGGGCTACACACTCAATCAAACTGTCACCGATGACCCGGACAATCACAGAGCTGGAACTCCTGAGAACCGACGACATCAGATGGGAGGTCATTCTGCAGGACGCCATGCTGTCTCAACCCCCAATGCCACCTCAAATCCAAGATCATTTAATCGCGCTGAGGGAATCCAGATCCCTGGATCGGCCAGCCCATCCAATTCCATCCCTGAAATCAAAGAAGAGAATGATCGCGAATGTGCCGAGACAACTACAAGTGAGCAGACCTACGTTGGCAACAGCCACGCCGGTCCCTCAGCAGGAAAGGATGCACTTCGTAGCTGCAACACCGGCGATGCGACAGAGAAGCATAGCATCAAGAAGTTATTTTCCAAAAGCTTTTCCCGCGATACATCTCGTGACGATGACAACAACGGGAAAGAAAAGAAGAAGTTCACCGCTCGGGGCCAGATTCGTGCAACCTTATTCAATTCCTGGATCAATGTCCTTTTGATCGCCTCACCAGTCGGCATCGCAGTCCATTACGCAGGCGTCAACGATGTCGCTGTCTTCGTCATTAACTTCATTGCCATCATTCCGCTTGCAGCCATGTTGAGTTACGCCACCGAGGAAATTGCCCTTCGAACTGGCGAGGTAATTGGAGGTTTACTGAATGCATCCTTTGGAAATGCCGTCGAATTGATCGTGTCCATTATTGCTTTGGCCAAAGATCAAGTATTGATCGTACAGACATCGCTCATCGGCAGCATGCTCTCCAATTTACTGCTGGTTCTCGGCATGTGTTTCTTTTTTGGAGGTGTCAATCGCATGGAGCAAGCCTTCAACATGACTGTAGCACAGACGGCCTCCAGTTTGCTATTCGTCGCAGTCGGCAGTCTGCTTATTCCGACCGTGTTCGAAGAGTGGGCCAGGACCCAGGACCAGGTAAATGGTGAAGATCCTACGCCAGACAATCCAGGTGCAAAAGTGACAGCTATCAGCCGCGGCACAGCAATCCTCCTACTAGTTGTTTATGGCTGTTATTTATTTTTCCAACTCAAGAGCCATACAGCAATGTACAACGCCCCGAGTGAGAAGAACAAGAAGCGAGCTGTTGGTTCCAAATTCAAGTCTGCTGTGATCCCAGAGAAATTCCGAAATCAAAGTGTCGTCGAACGGAATGCTGCGGCGGCGGCCGAAGCAGAAGCCGACGACGCTGAAGATGAACCTGAAGAGCCACAGCTATCGATTTGGGTCGCAGTGCTTACCTTGGCCCTTTCCACTGTGCTGGTTGCTCTCAATGCCGAATACCTGGTCGACTCCATCAATGCCATCACGTGTGGCGGCGGCATCTCCAAGAGCTTCGTCGGCTTGATTCTTCTGCCTATTGTCGGCAATGCTGCCGAACATGCCACTGCTGTCACCGTCGCAATCAAGGACAAGATGGATCTAGCAATTGGTGTCGCCGTCGGCTCAAGCATGCAGATCGCCCTTCTGGTCTTACCCTTCATTGTGGTACTTGGCTGGATCATGGGCAAAGATGACATGACTTTGTTTTTTGACGGCTTCCAAATTGCCGTCTTATTTGTCGCCGTTCTCCTCGTCAATTACTTGATCCAGGATGGAAAGTCACACTGGCTCGAAGGCGTACTGCTGATGATTCTCTACATTATTATCGCAGTAGCGGCTTGGTTTTATCCAACGGCTCCAGGTGCTAGTGACTGTCCTGCCGAGTAACCGCATGCTTCCGGGGACGACCGTTTTGGGACTGAAGATCACAGATGGACTCAATGGACTGGGGCAAGCTCGTAAAGGCCTCTTTCTTTTGGTTCGAGCAATTGGAACAGACCTTTATGGCCGTTGCGAGATGCTCGAGTGTCATCTGGGCCATCTTTCCCACAGCCAGGTTGTCATCAGCGCTACTCAGCACAAAGTGCTCTTCAACAGCAATATCCACCTGGTTTTAATGGTTTCCCCAAAGGCACCCAGATTGGGCTGAACTAATATCACGTGAGAAGATCGAGGTCTAGTTCTCGGCTGACTGAAGGTCTGTGACAGTCCGAACGAACGTTTACGGCCTAGCCTTCGAGTCTCAAGCCACTTTTCACGAGCTGGGTAAATTACTGCTGTCCGGGACTGCATGGACCACTATGGCATGGCTATGATACATCCAGGCCATTAATCACAAAGCGTTCTTCACACGCGCATTGTTCTGTGCCACAATACATTATCTTGTAATCAATGATGCTTAGATACCCTTTCTTATGTACAAGTTGCTTGGGTGGGATCTTTGAGTCGGTGCTGACTGTTTGCTGTGAATGGGAAATGGGATACTGGTAGCGGTACAAAAACAGTGAATACTTTCAAGCTTCAAAACGGATAATCATACAAACATCTTTCATACTACGCGCATGCGAGGGATCAAACGTCCATCGCGCTCTCGGCACAACCTTCTCATCAGACGCTTCAAGCGCACTCTCCAAACTCGATTCTCCCCTCAAGCAGCTCGCCAGGTCCCACGCATCCATCAGCACCATATTCGCCCCGTTGCCCGCGGAGGCACCGCGTGGGAGAAGTCTTGGGGATTCGTGGAGGTACATAAGACCACTTACCACATCCCTTTTCTGGACCTACGCATGAGAACCGGTTAGATTGTCCTGTCACCGATGATGTAACATGTGATGGTCGGCTTACCTTCCCACTCCTGGAAATTTCTCCTTCTTTCCTTCCCCAGATCGTCAAGAGCCGAAGCATGCATCTTCCCCCCTGTCATGATTCCCATAATGCCCCTCACTTCGGGGTTTCCTGAAACGGTAATCCGGCCTCCGGCTATTCCCTTTTGTTACATCCATCGCGTCCGCCACCGCATGGTTCCCTGGGCGGGGCTTGAGCGAACGGACATTCATACGTCGATGCCCCTTCGTCAGTGGCTTTCCGGTCATATTCGCTATTTCAGCACCCAAGGTGTCAATCAAATCTCCATTCTCGCCGCTGTCTCGGGCGAACCTAGACCGGAGTGGCCGCTCCGTGCAAAATCTTGGGAAAAGAATGTATTCATGAGCCGGAGCGCCAGTCCGTCTTTATTTCCCTTCCTCCTCTTACACCCTGACTTCTGTTGTTTCCCTTGGTGAGGTCTCTGTTCAACCCCGTATTGAAGAGGAACTTTGCCCGTTCTCCAGATCTCAACCTTTCGCATCAAAAATATCCTGCGCCTAAACACGTATCTCGACTTTTTGACTTAGGCCGGCATCTGTTACACTGCCACTCTTGCAAGCACTAGCATCATTGTCCGATCGAACCAGCGAGTGATTCGAACCCATCAGCCTATACAGCATATCCCTCTTCCTACAGGTCTATCAACTGATCTCCCCCCGGACCATGGCAACCATGAATGCGGTTCGTTTCTACGGCCAACGCGATATACGACTTGAACAGATTCCTGTGCCATCCATCAAGCCAGGATTCGTGAAAATTGCTCCCAAATTCTGCGGGATCTGCGGTTCCGACCTGCACGAGTACCTTGGCGGCGCGAACTTGATTCCCACAGAGGGGAACCCCCATCCGATAACGGGCGAGACATTACCCCTTACGCTGGGCCATGAATTCAGCGGAATCGTCGAGGAAGTAGGTGATGGCGTCACAAATATCCAGCCCGGTGACAGGGTCTGTGTTCAACCTACGATATGGGATGACAATTGCCGCGCCTGCAGAAGAGGACTAGTGAACTGCTGTGACAAGAACGGCTTTGTGGGCTTGAGTGGATATGGTGGCGGCTTGTCGGAACACGTCACCGTTCCGGGCCACTGCGTGAAGAAGTTGCCAGACAATATCTCCCTCGAGGTCGGGGCCCTTGTAGAGCCACTCTCTGTGGGCTGGCACTCGGTGGACATTTCGCCATTCAAGGAAGGCAACTCTGCATTGGTGCTCGGTGGTGGGCCCATTGGGCTTGCGGTGGTCCAGGCGCTCGTGGGCAGGGGCTGCAAGAACATCATTGTGAGCGAAGTCAGCAGTAAGAGGAGAGAGTTCGCAAAACAGTTTGGTGCCCACCACACAATCGACCCGTCGAGTACGGATATCGTGGAAGAAGTGGAGAAGCTTACAGATAGAGAGGGTGTTGACGTGGGCTACGATTGTGCTGGGGTTCAGGTCGCCGTTGACACGGCATTCAAGGCGATCAAAGCCAGGGGAATGCTGGTCAACATTGCTGTGTGGGAGAAACGTGCTGCTTTGAACATGAATGATCTTGTTTTCAGAGAAAGAGCGTATATGGGTGTGTAAGTATCTCCCCTGTTCTCGTGCACTCAGAGAGGGTGACTAACATACTATGTACAGGGCCACGTTTGCACTAGGAGACTTTGAAGCCGTCATCAATGCTATTTCAACTGGTATGTGAATTCCTGGCTGCCATGGTGATGCCTTCCCTCCACCGTACACTGACATCTGCTCCAAAATAGGCAAAATCAGTCCAGAAGGCATGATCACGAAGAAAATCAAGCTCAATGAAGTCGCCGAAGAAGGATTCAAGACCCTCATAGAGGACAAGGAGAATCACGTGAAGATCCTTGTGGATGTAGGTTCGGGAATATAAGGTCCTTTGAGCAGCCAGGAGTTCGGTTTATTTAGCAGGCCATGGTCGGACAACCAGCAGGTGATTTATCATGACTCTCAGATGGGAATGCCAACATGGACATCGATTCCGCTTTTGTAGACCCTGACAACCTCGCCAGTCACGTGAAACTCAGTTCAAAAGAAGGGAAGTCGGAGAGTTCATGTAAATGACATGTACTTAGAATAGCACCTCGCATCACTTTCCCAGAAAGCGGCTTGTCTCCATACTAAACATTTCCAGATACCGAATCTCTCTATTCTTCCTCCAGTCAAGGCGTGAAGACCAGTTGAATCACCAAAGGGTGGCCTAATCCTCACTCGGATGCATTACACGAGCTGACGGCTGAACAACAACGTCTGAGTGGTCGTCAGCGGCTCCACTTGATATGTTGCAATGTTTTCAAGGCTGATGCAAGGCCCATGCTCAGGTAAACCCACTTGTTCAGGTTGAATCTGGAGCCGCGTAAAAAGGTCAGTCTAGAGAAGCAGAGAAGCTGAGAACCACGTGAGATCGAAAATGCCCCAAGGAGGATGGACTGCTTGGCGCCAAGACACCATACTTGGCCGAAGGACCACAGCCTTTCTTGTTGAGGAAGGAGTGCTAGCCCCAGATGAATGAGGCTCCTTCCCTGCCGCTTGAGTTGATGAATCATCTTTGGCCGAATCGCCTTATTGCTTTCCGGCCAGCAACTTGGTATTTACCTCCTTCAGCCTCGCCGTCGTCGTCACGATGGTTATGATATCTTTCAAGTCGATATTCTCTGCCCCCCTTTGTGCCGTGTCCAACGTGAAATCCTCAACACTGCCAGATCCTCGCCTACGCAGCTCGAGAACCTCACACTTCTTTTCTCGATGGCTCAGGAGATGGCCTAAAGAAGAGGTCATCACCCGAGGACGACGAGTGGACCTCCACTGCACGGATCCATCTCGCACCACTAATGTCTTGTTCTTGACAATTCGGTAATGCCTTCTCCGCGATCAATGGACCTTTTGAGCCATCATTGTAACAATACCAATCTCTACAAAGTCCAAAAAACCCATGCAAATCGGGTCCTACAGGTGAACCCTTAGCTTGTAGACCGCTCGCAAGAAGTCTCGGTTTCGAGCTCCAGTTCCTGATCTCGAATGTGGATGGTCAAGAAGACATGCTAAGCCCAATGGTTCGCTTACATTGATGGCTGATGAATGTCCTCGTTATTCACCTCAGCCTTGGTTAGAATCGTATATATACCTTGGATTGTACTATCCCTTACCTGTTAACATACCCCGACCTAGGTATTCCTGAGTATTTGCAAAGTGCTTAAAGCTGTCATGGCTCCTCCTTCTGGAACTCGATCATTCGTGAGTTACTCTGCTGATCCTTCTACCAATACATTTTATCAAAGCAAGCAGCCTTCACCACAGCTTGTCTCTGCCCTAACTTCAGTTACTCAGCCTATCCCTGGAAACTCGACCAATCCTTCTACGTCAAGCATGACATCTTCATCGGGATCAAAACGCCCAACGACATCACCATCATCGACCCATTCCTCGCAAGGTGGTGGTGGTCTCTCTTGCCAAAATAGCGGCAGTGGCGCCCAGGCTCAGAGCCCCAGCCACCAAAATCCAGGCGCGCAGTCGACCAGGTCTCTCGTTGATATTCTTGCGGACCGGTCAGATTCCCTATCATTAAGCCTTTTCAGTGGCCTCGTGGACGCCTCAGACAGCTTGTCGTCCGACCAGAAGAAAGGCCCCAAGGGGACGAAAGTCGCACCGAGAGAATCACCAAAATCACCGAAGTCACCAACTCGGAAGTGAGACAGGCTGATTGACAACGCATTGTCCCTTGCATGGCGTTGAAATTGGAGGTTGCTTTTCGCGCAGACTAGTTCGGTAGAAGTGATTCGTGGCTGTGCTGAAAATGTGCCGATGAGGGATGAGATGAACAGGGTGTTTCGACAGGAAGATAGCCACTGAGAATCAGACTACACTTTCAAAAGGTATCAAAAAGATGGCGAACTCCGCGCCTACGGGATTCGACAGCCTTTGGCTAGATGGTGACGAGTGCAAGGTTGTTACGAACAGGCTACCGACCTTTCAACGGATGAGGTGATCATATGGGGATTGCTCAATTGAGAATCATTTTCGGGGGGTTAAGGCCTCTCAGAGGATTGTGTAATCATCGACGGCCACCTACAATTTGCGTCCGCTCAGCCTTGCTGACGACATTTGGATTTTGGCCCCAGGGTTGGCTCTGGCGGCTTTTGCTCTATAAGTCGATGACGTAGAGTTTCGCCGTAGGATTTTCACGGTACTTAGATATCAGAGAAGGAGAAGAAAATGCGCCAGAGTTTACTTGAGGGATCGGCAGTGGTTGATTGTTCTACTTTTCAATAATGATGAATGTTGCATGAAGGCCAACATTCTCGGTTCAGGTGTCAATAAAGGCTGGCAAGCGGTGCATTGCCTTATTAGTCAGCCTCACTGGCCGGCCGATATTGGGCCAAAGAATTGAATTCCGGGAAATCATGCTTCCCATTAATTACACCTGTTCTTTACCAGCCACCGACTTCTTTGGTGGGTAATTTGTACTTGGGCTTAGTTCTATATTGCACACGTAATCGGCAAATTTCTCCTGGCAGTCGTCTCGCCCAGCTAGATTGACCTGCCATACCCACAAGCCATGCGTCAATCTGGAGGCTGACGATTCTCTCTGCTGTTGATATGGGAGAGAGTGACCTCCGCCAGCGTAATGAAAACCAAAAGCTTGTCCTCTCGAGCTTGTGATGCATGCTACATCCGCAAGATCAAATGTGACCAAATCGCCCTAGTAAGCTCAGTGTAGCCGCACAACTTGTGCCCTATGTTCAAACTTGAATTGTACGGGACTAATATGCACAAGAACAAACCAAATGACGAGTCAAGAAAGCCGGCTGGCTGTTCACAATGCAGAGCCATCCGTATGGAGTGCACCTTCGATCGGCCACAGCAGCGACGTCCACGAAGGTCAAAGACTTTGCCGTCTTCTATCACCGACTCAAGCCGCATCTCAGAATCTGAAACTGGCAGTGGCTATTCAGCGGAGACAACCGTCCTTGCTAATTGTAGCGACATACAAGGGTTGCGAAAAGCCCTCAATCTAGATACGTCAATATCAACGGCCGAGCCGACTCCGACTCCGACTCCGACTCCGACTTACACTTCCGGCGCAACGTTGATGGAAGAAACTCCCAAGGATGGTAGTCGAGAAGCGTTCCAGCTGATGATCAAAGATTATCTTGACCTTCTCTACCCACTGATGCCCATCGTCCATCGCCCGACTTTCAGATTTGATGTCGCCCGGGAGCGGGATGAACGCGACCCTGTCTTTTATTCTTTGCTTCTGAGCATCTCTGCGATAGTGGTATCTCAGCTACCACGTCGATTCTTAGACTACAAGGCCGCCCAGTGGTTTTTCGAATTCAGCACCCCCAAACAGCTTGTCATGCACCTGGAGAAACGCATCCACGGCCTGCGAACTCATGATTACTTTGAAACTCCGGCGGTAGAGAAGTCCGCGATTTCGTTTTTTCTCGCTTGCAGTTACTCAAGTCTCAATGTTAAGGGACGCATGTCGATGTACTGGGCTGAGATGTGGGTGATCCTGAGGAGCCTAGGAGCCAATGATGCACAGAATTACACTGGTCTAGATTTTGTGGAGGCACAGCTGAGGAAGAAGGCTTTTTGGCTGTATGTTTACTACGCCGTGTAAGTTCAGTTGTGCCCTCGAGGAATCTGCAGATGTTGGAGGGACGATTCTGGGTTCTGCTCACCTAACATAGCCCTGCTGACATGAGATAGTCATGAACGTGTCGACGGGTCTCAAGGCCCATCTCTGCTGTGGAAGCCAATCCCGGATCAGATGTTACTCGATTCCGAGCAGCTGGAGACACTGCTTCCCTTGGACCTGGATGACGAGTACATCACACCCAATACCTTGTATCAACAGCCTTCTTCTGAGGTTCCTTTGGCTTCCGGGTTTACCGGCCTCATCCACATCTTTTTGTGCTTGATAGACCTGCCGGAAGAAGCCGTTGGCAGACCAAGGACCGATAGCAGTACTACAGCTGGGGCACAGCCCCTAGATCGATACACGAATCGCCCAGACTACCGAGTGCTGACGCGAATGTTCGACAGAGTTAGATTTGTCCTCGATGACATTGCACCTCAGATGGCGCTCTGGCATGGCGATCGGCCGGCGGGCGAAGTCGACCCTTCAGCTTCCGCCCAGAATTCCGACACCCGACTAGACCAATTGGAGAGCCTGCGAGCGAATATTCAAGTTACCAGACTGTGGGTCCGTAGCCTCATCTTCGAGCGCCTCCTTGCTATGTACCACACCTTCTCGACTCCCACCGAAAGGGAAGCCCAGGCCCACGAACGCGCCCACTGGGCCGAACGCGAAGATATCTGCGAACAGCTCCTGGCGGTGCTCTACAACATCAAACAGAAAAACCTCGAGCCTAACGGCATCACCTTGACCTACAAGATCCGCCAGGTCGCCGCCACCCTCCTCGACTGCCCGTTCGAAGAGCACACGAGCATCTCGCGGCGTGCGAGGCTGTACATTGAGAGATTCGTGGAGTTGTTGACCCTGCTGGATAAGTATTCCTTCCAGGACACCCAGCTGGTGGTTTGGAGTGATTTCGAGAGGCAGGAAAGGAGGCCTGTGCGGGATTTCATGCGCTTGGGTGCGAGTGGGTCGTAGAAGCAAGCTCCGATAAGATGAGGTCAAGCTGTCGGAATTAGTTTTGCATGTATTCCATGCCGCACACTGGCCTTCACCGAATGCCAGGGCACGGGCATGAGCACGCTCAAACTACAAAAAGGGCCGCTCGGCCCCTCAGCCCTCGAAAGTTAAGTTGAGAAAGACCCTGGGGTCTCGGCGATGTGGGACCAACTAGCCATCCGATGCATCGAGAAAAGTGCAGTTCAGGCATAGATATATATAAGCATGTATGTACATAGAGACCAAAGAAGCTATCCTGAAGAAGAAAAGTATCCTGGCGCCCTGGTTGAACAGTCCTGTAGGCATCTGTTCATACAATCATTTCCCCATGCGTTTCTATCTCATGTCGTGGTCGTATCGTATCAGTCGTTCTGTATGCCTCCTGGAAAAAGAAAATTGAATTCCATGCATTATCTCCCACAAAAGCAACAAAAGATGCCCCCCGGCCCGGCAACCAAACAAAAAGAAAACAAGGAAAAGAAAATTTAAAAGCCTAGAATCTTATTCTTGAATCTCTTGAAACCGCTCTTCTTGGCTGGGCTGACGGACCCAGGCTGGACCGACCAGGTACTCGCGCGGCTGTCATGGTGAGTGAGGACCTTGTCGTCCAAGAACAGAGTGTTGCTAGGGATAGGCTTGCGGATGTAGGTGTTGTTGTGGGTGCCTGGACGAGCAGCGGTGATGGCGGTGGGTGACCTGGAAAGCATGCCTGCCTCTTTCTCGAATATCTCGTTGCTGCTTATCGCCTGGCTGATGTGCTGGTGACCTGGGAGCTCCGCGACAGTGGTGTTTTCTCCCACCGCTGCAGAACGCAGGGATTTCTTGTTGCCGTTGCCGTTGCCGTTGCCGTTGCCGTTGCCGTTGCCGTTGCCGTTGCCGTTGCCGTTGCCGTTGCCGTTGCCTTGGCCAATGGGGAGATTCCAACTCTCCGCGAAGCCCGTTTCAATGTTGAGCCTTTCTATCTGTGGCGGTGAGCTACTGTGGCTAAAGGAGCCACCACCTGTCGTGACAGATCGGCGAGGAGCTTGCGAGAAGCTCGCGTTTGCAGTCTGAGTCGTCGTCCGCAGAGGCTTGTTCTCCCGGTGCCGGAACCCCTTCATCATTTCGAGCTGGTCGGACAATTGCTTCGAACGGATGCGGAAGCGGAGTAAGAGTTCGCGGTGGAATTTTTCCTTTTCCGCGAGCGTGCTGAATTTGAGAAGGAGGTAGGTAGTTTCCTTGACTGTAAGTTCTTTGAATTGGGAGTTTCGCGGGATGCGGAACGGGAAAAGGTCGAAGGAGTTCGGGTCGGGGCTGTCGTCGTGGCCGTCCAGAGCGGTGAAGAGGACGTGAATGGGGAACTTGTCGCCGTTGTTGTGCGTGAGACATAGGTAGGGACATTTATTGTAGTCGCGGTGGCAGTTGCACTTCTTCGGATCCATGTTGATGCTCGTTTCGAGTTCGAGAAACATGATGGCAAACCTCAACTTGTCGGATTTGTCTTTCAATTGCGTGAAGATCGCAAGCCCGGAACATTTGATGTTGTCAGCCTCCCAACCATTTCCGACGCGGCTGATTGTCGTCGTGGGCCCGATCGACTCGACAAAACTGCTGTTGCGTGACCGCGGGCTGTGGGTGCTGAAGGAATCCACTGGGGAGCCTTCTGATAATACCTCCGGAAGCATTGAGACTGTAATAGGATCCTGCCATAGCTGGATTTGGCCCATGCAATCTAATGCTGAGGCCGAGCCTTTGCTGAATTGACACGTGATTCTTGTCTGGTTGTGAGACACATCGTACCCAGTCAGGGCAGTCTGGAAAGCAAAAAGATCATCCATTGAGTTGAAACGATATAACGTCTCTTCATTTCGTGAGAAAATCGCAATCTCGAGGCATTCTCTTCTCATTGTTGGTAGCGCATATCGAGGAACGAGCCTGTCCTCGTGGGTGTATACAGTTTGGGGGAGAATGACACTCCGTCCGTCGGGGGTTGTGGTTTCTAGAACAATTCGAAAGCTGTTGAGCGATTGCCGAAACACTGTCACATTGTCTGGAGGCTGACTCCCGGCCGAGGCCAGCTGAAGTCGGATGATTTCTTGCTCATTTGCCCTTGCTATCGTTGGATCCAGTTGGGGGGCATCTTCTTGCTTCGGAGGCTCCCAGACCATGAAGGCGTTTTCTGGCAGAGCAGCCAAGGTCTCGTCATCATAAGCAATGATCTCTGTTCCTCTCACACGAAGAAAGACTGCTTGTTCGACCTGACTGATTGCCCGTTTATAGTAATAGCCAGGACATGCCGTTTGAAAGCCACGGCTACTCCGAATCCGACTTAACATCCAACGGGTTTTCAGAAGGATTAGATATTTCTCCGGCGTTTGATCGGTCCCCTCAAAGCTCTGTTCGAAATGCACGAGCATCACATCAAACCCTTCCTTGAGTGGAATATCGGCCGTAGTCATGGAAGAGGGAGCATTTACACTGAGAGTCCTTTCAAATTTTTGCTGGATCTGTGGACTTGCGACATGTGTGTCTTCAGGCCCCAGTGCATTGAGTGGCTCGTGGCCAGCCAGGACGCCGAGCCATGAAGTATAAAATCTTCGCAATTCAATCTGAATGTCTTTGCTGAGGCTGATGTTTCTCTCGGAGATGTCAAGCAAGTCGTCCACCTTGGAGTCAATATCTGTCAGCAAGTTGATGCTCAATCGGTCAATCACCAGTTTGATTTTGGTGGAGTGCAAGTGGATCCGTCGTCGCAGATCGTCGATTTTCTGATCTTGCTGGTTCAAGTTCCATACAACATTGTCCAAGAAGGTGTTAGGCTTGGAAAGCAGCTTCTTGTTTTTGTCGAGGAGAATTTGGCATTCCTCGAGGGTTTCATTGAAGTCGCCAATCATCTGGCGACGCTCATGGTCGAAGTCCTCTGAGAGCGGATCATATGCCGCTCTCGAAAGGAGCCCTCCATCATTATATCGCTGGGCTGCATCGTTGAGTGACTTAAGAAGCTTTTTGAGCAACTCTCTAAATCCCTGGATCTCGTTGACAAAATTCCTGTATCTGACGTCTATGGATGCCCGTCAGCCAATGACCATGAAAGCAAGGCTCAAGGCTGGAAGGGATGGTATCATACCTGCACGGTTCTCATAGACACAGCTAATCTGGTAGATGGTGTGGGCAAGCCGGATACCGGCTAGGACGTCACCACATCCAAAGTCCATCACATGATCAGATTTGCAACCTGTTCGAACAAGCGAAGATCGACTTTTGGTCTTGCCGTTGAAAAAACCGTTGCACGGTTTCAACGTGTCGTCAGGCTCCCAAGGTAGAAAAGAAAAGAGAGCAAAATATAGAAGAATCAGCCCAACATGCAGGTAGGAGACGGGGATGATATCTACTTGGGTATGAGCCCAACTCTGAGCCGCCCATAGCGTGGTCTTCCACACACCGTTGATGCCTCGGCTCAAGCCACAGGCGCTTTCCGAGCGACCAGGAGGAATGACAAGCTGTTCGATGGGGGCTGAGCCATGGTGTTGCTCCCCCTAATGGGATCAGCCTCCTGACAGAACGGCTTCGCCCCCCACCAAGTCGAGTTGCCTTGTGCTACTACTACGACTTGGCTTTTGGCGTCGCGAGAACAGCTCCTCTTATGTACTGGCCTTTCTGCCACCCGGCAGATTGACTCACAGCCTCGACCCCACTGATAGGTCAGGTGGGCATACTTTGCTTCACTTTCCTGCACGTCTGTTCGAAGAGCTATGACTAGCTTCTAGGCAAGGCAAAATGTCAACGACGCCTTTTTGGCCAGTCTTGGGACCCGCCAGTGAGAGGTTCCGACCGCCGCTTGGAAGAGGAGTCTCCTGATGGCTCTTAATCATATTCTTCTGCAGCCCTCTCCCAGGGCAGTTGGGATCCCTCTTCCAGGAAGTCACCCGTGTCTTGTTCAATTCAACCTACGGGGTGACTATCTGTCACTATGCCTCTCAATCCCCACGAAGAAGCATTGTTAGGAAACCCTACTGACTCGGACATTGATTACGATCATCAGAGAATAGAGCACGCGCCTGCCGAGAGGATCAAAATAGGAAAATGGACTCTCGTGGCTCTTATTCTGAACCGAACCATTGGTTCAGGGATATTCTTAACACCGCATAGGATCCTCGCTGGGACAGGCTGCGTTGGTGGTGCATTGTTCCTTTGGGTCGTCGGGGCAGTGATCTCACTCTGCGCACTGTACGTCTGGCTGGAGTGTGGTCTGTCAATGCCACAGCGAACTGTTAGGGGTGAGACAGAGCCTCGAGGGGTGCCTCGATCTGGAGGGGAAAAGAACTTTGTATGTTGATTCCCCCATCTTGCATTCCATCGCAGACTTACTATCTACTAGTTGGAATTCATGTTCCCTAACGCCGGTGCACGGCTGCCACACATCAGGACTACATGTGCCTTCAGCATCATGTTCATCCTGCTTTACAATCTCAGTGGGTAAGTCACGGATCAGTCGTACAGCCCATTTGATTTCATCGCTAACTCTCTCCTTGTAGTAATGCGCTATCTTTCGGCATCCAGGTCATGACAGCCTCAGGAATCTATGACCCAATTAGTGGCAACGCCCCAGACAAAGGCTCGGCTGCTGGTATTGCAATCGGTGCATTGACCTTCGTCGTCCTGCTGCACATGTTCTCGCGCCGAGGCGGGATCTTGGTCAATAATGCATTCGCCATCATCAAAGTCATGCTTCTCGTTGCCATTATCGCCCTTGGGATTGCTAAAGGTGCTGGTGCTTTCTCTGGTCCAGGAAAAGCACCGCTAGAGAACTTTACGAGTGACGTCTTCGCTACGAACAGGAAAGACGTAACTAGTTGGTCGAATGCCTTGATGCTCTGCATGTATAGCTTCTCTGGCTACGAGCAGCCTTTCTATGTATGTTGTCCAACCGGTTGGAAGACCGAGGTAGCTAATTGTTCTCTCAGGTTCTGGCAGAGTCGAGGAGTCCGCATAAAACTTTCCCCAAGTATACTGTTCTAGCCATGGGTATTGCGGTGGTCTTGTTTGTTCTCGTCAACATTGCTTATGTACGGCTCTCTCCTAGGTACTGCTGTTGCTTTGCTTACTCTAGGTAGCTTTTCGCAGTGCCTAAAGATCTAGTCATTCCCTCCGGAGCTAGCGAACCTCCTCAGAGCATTGACATGGCCACGTTATTTTTTCAACACCTCTTCAATGATCAAGCGCATGCTCGACGGGCCATGGCCGCATTGATTGCAGTCTCTATATTTGGAAACCTCGTCGTCATGACGTTTACCGCCGCCAGAGTTAAGCAAGAGATTGCTAAGGAGGGAATTCTACCGAAATCACTGCTCTTTGCAACGTCCTACACAACTCCATATGGACTCTGGAAGAAATGGATGAGTCGAAACACGATTCTTGCAGAAGACCTCGAGCAAGCACCAACGGCTGCCTTCGTGTTGCATTGGTTCACGTCAATATTACTGATACTGGTTACCCTCCCAATTGGGGATCCTCGCAAGGCCTACTCCGCATTGGTTTCGTTGTACTCTTACACCATAGTGACTCTACTTGGCTTCTGGGTCTCAATTGGTCTGCTGGGAATCAAATTGAGGCGTGGAAAATGGCATTGGCAGGATCGTCGACGGTATCGGCCCTGGCTCAGCCCAGTCCATGCAATCATCTACACTTTGGCGACCGCGTTTATGTTGATAACGGCATTCGTTCCGCCATCGCTAGGATCGCCTTTCCACTCGAGCGTGACAGGCTTTGAATGGTACATTGTCCCCGCAATCGGCCTCAGCGCGCCTCTCTGGGGTATGGCGTGGTACGGCGGGCTTTTGATCTACCAACGTATCACCGACAACCAGCTGGTGGTCCACCGCACACCCTTTTGGATGAAAGATCCGGATTACCCGTCCGAATATATCCAACAGGCTGAAATCATCGACCATACGTGGCAGATACGCCCACGGCGTGGTCTTGCATCTGGATTCGAGAATTCAGAGGGACCAAAAGATGGAGCAATCACAAGACAACGCGAGGCCGACCCTTTTGAAAGTAGCAGCGAAGGAGGCGGTCTTGCTAGGCAGAAGAGGTGGCCATGGAACCGAGCACAGGAGACTACTACGATGACTGATGGACGACGCCTGTCAGATGGCTTTGAAGGATGAGCATTTTAGTTATGTTAGGATGTTATTGGTTACGAATTATGACTGCGCTCTTCTTTTCCTTGTAAACTGCAACCTTCTGTTTCAAGTCTCTTTCGTATTTCACTTGGATGGATGCGTTTCGCCACTCATATAATTGGTGCTGCTCCATGGTATGTCTCAATTTCCCAACCTTAACAGCGCCTACAACTAGGTTTCTTTCTATCCAGCAATCTAGAATTTAATCACAAACATTTTAATGTTGTAACTAGAGACTTCTGCTCACTCTCATATGGTTTTGAGCCGGATCAGCCCTGGCCACATACAATTCTTCGTGATCAAATGCTCAGCCAGCCAGACAGCCCTACTTGACCTTCCACAAAAATTCAAACCGCCCCTTTCTGAGGCATTTTAGTAACGTGGATAACACTGGGTTTCGAATCATACAACCCTGTGTGTGACACACACGCTTCGATATTTGGAAGAAACATGGTCAGCAAACATCAACGCCTGTTCCTCACGCTTGAAACAGGCTCAAAGGCATCATCATCGGCATCGTCTTCGATATCATCATTCACGCTTCTGGCACTGCGTGCGCTGCCTCGACCGTGGCCAAGAATGCTATTCTGAGACGTTGTGAAACTCAATGTAGACTGCTTCGCCCTACTCGCGGTGGCTCGAGTAGGTGGTTTCCTGACAGCGGGCGCTGCTGTTGCGGCAGCCTTGTGACCTCGTGTGCTCGAGGCGGTGGAGGCTGGAGCTGACCGACCCGCTGTGCCGGTTGAGGCCTTTGTAGTTGCCTTGCGCTTCTCTCGGAAAAACATGGCTTGTGAGTCCTCCTCTTCTGATGGCTCCACTTCGTCATCGTCGAACATGACAATGTCTTCGTCTTCCTCCTCCTCCTCTTCATCGGAGGGAACTGCACGTCTCCGACTGTGTGAAGCTGTCGCTGTGGCTTTCTTTGTCGCCGATGTCGCTGTTGGCTTCCGGCCAGATGTTGTCGTGGCGCCGCCACGGGCTCTTCCACGGGCTCCACGGCCGCCTCGCCCTCGCCCTCGGGTTGTGGTTGCTCGAGGTGCAGGAGTTCTGCCGTCACTACCGTCTTCGTCCATTTCTTCGAGATCCTCGTCTGTGCGCAACAGCGCTGCTGGCTGAGCCTCCCATTCACCGTCCAGATCAGAGTCCCAGTTATCTGGCTTGGGTTTGAATCGAGCCTTGCTGGCTTTAAGTAGACCTTTGCCAAACAATTCTTCTAGCCTCGCACGCTGCTCCTTGATCTGAGAGGCCAGATCTTCATCCTCTTCGTCATCGTTTGCATCGGCTTGCAGCCGGACTAAGTTCTGGATCTGAATGGCGAGATACTCGTTCACAAACAGCTCCATCGCATGCTTGTCGTCTTTGACGACGTACTGGCGGACCGCATCGTCGAAGTAGTTCTGAGGAAGAATGGTGAGGGATTGGGCTTCGAGAAATTCTTTGACCAACTCGTCGACACCGATGTTCTCTAGCCCTGCGAATTTGGCCATGATTTCATTCGTCATTCCCTTATCCTTTGATGTTCTCGTGGCTGAAGCGTTCTTCTTCCTCACGTGAAATTGGATGACATCACTGGTGTTCGCAACCTTGTCGATAAAGCGGTTGGAAAAGCGTTGTGGGTTTTCCACGTCAAATTTGCTCTGTCCATCCGCCGAAGTTGTTTCTACACGTAGTCGGATGAGAGGAAGGGGGCATTGGAGAGGCTCATCGCCCTCTTCCACTGGCTCATCTTGTGCTTCAAGCCATTCGGCCTTTGCTTGCTCGATCATACCCTCAACGATTTTGATGAGATGTTGCGTGAGCTTGGTTCGGTGATTATCCTTCTCCGCTAGCTTAACTGCCATCTTATCCGCGCCAAGAGCAATATCCTTGTACACAAACGGTCGTACAGTCTTTAGACGGATGGGTTCTGAATGCATTTCCCGTCCAGTAATTGAGATGAGTGCCACATGCTTTGGGACAGCTTCGCCTGGAATCAAGGACGTAGCCACAGAAGAGCCTGGCTGAATGACCTGGAAATTCATTTCTGGATTTAGTTGAGGGTTGATAATGCATTCATGCTCATGGCCCCAGATGACTAGGTCGAGGAAGTCGGGAAGAAAGTTCTCGGGCAGATAGGATGTTTCTGTGTGAGCGTGATGGTTTTGATGTACGCATATGAGATTGTACCAATCCTTCATCTGAGTGCTTGGCCGGTGGAAGACCACATTGCCATCACGAAATGTTCGGTAGAGACGTTCATCGCGGACATTAGACAAACCATATAGAGCGAGCTTAGTGCGTCCTTTCTGTATCAGAACTGGCTTGACAGAGAAATTGTCGCTCTGCGGAGTTTTGCCGTAGTAATTTATCAGTCCCGACACGGACAATAAGTCGAGAGCTGCAAAATGGCCTTGGCCTGTAGGGTCATCATGGTTGCCATGGATAGAAAAGACCGGTATGCCGACGTTGATGTTTGCGTCTTCGTAGTTGACATGGTCGAAAGTAGCGTCGAAATGCTCCGATTCATCACTTAACATCTCCAACTCGCAGGGCTTGTCACCTAGACAGTTGAGCCGCAGTGACCGCATGACATTGTACATGGATTTTCGTGATGGCTTGTTCTCGTGGAAGAGGTCGCCGGCTAGTAGCACCATATCGACATCGCGTTCTTTGGCCACACACATAATCTCATGAAATGACTTCCATGAATCGTCCCCTCGGATTGCGTCCCGCTCGTGAGCTCCAACATGATTGTCTGTGGCGACTAAAATGGAGATAGTATCTGCCATGATGGTCTAGTCAGGGCTGAAGGACTAATCTTGTAACAGACCTATGCTTTATGGCAACAGGAGCGCAGAAGAGGTCATCAAGACCAGAAGCTTCTTTGGAACTAGTGCGTTGCTGCCTACACCGTCACGCGTCAGTGGTGGCTCCTCTTTCTGATTGATTTGGTACGATCCTGAGAACTGCCTATTGATGCAAAGCAGCAGTGTGCAACCAGGCACTCAGCGCATGAAGTTATTGGGGATGTGGGTGGTCTTTTCTTGTACTATGCACTATCGAGACAGACATGGGTGGCTCATTTAGTCTGCAGCCTCGTGAGTGACGAGGCTGAAATATTAAACCAATCATGGTCCTCATTGGAGGATTGGGCTTGGCATGAAAAACGTGACTCCGCCAGATTAACTCCCAACTCGGAAACGAAAAAGATCAGGTATGAATGACAACATCCTTTCTCGCTCCCTTTCTTTTCACGACTCACTTTCACATCAACGCGCGATAGATACACAGGACGTTTACACAGAAGCTCGCAGACTGACCCACGTTTTGGCTCAGTCTTGACAACTTCCCAAACCTTCTTTAAGTTCATTTTATGCAATCTGCGCCCTCTGAAGTCTCCCAAAACGCGACTTTAGTTGATCAACCCCAAGTTTCTTCGCCTCCCTCCCAATATGGACTTCCAGACACCTTGCATACGGCCTCAGGTGGCTTTCTCCGCGAGAATGGTCCCTGGGTGCCTGACTCTGTCGTCGACGATACCGATACTGCCTCGGTCAGCTCCGGCGGTACCCAACGTGGACGCTCGACCAACGCCGGACGGATAAGGAGTCGTGACGCTGCTTCGCAAGATGGATCACCAGGTAGTCGAATTGATGAATATGAGAAAGCACATGCACAACCAAGAAAACATTCAGATGGAATGGTTTTCCAAATTGTCCCATCAGCAAAGGGCAAGATTGATACCGTTTCCATTGAGACTTTCCCCAATGGTTCGTTTTAAACTTTCTATTTGATGGCATCAACTAATTGCCATCAGAGGTTCTGACCCATATACTATCACACTTGCCTCCAGAGACATTGTCGTCTATGAGTCTCATATCACGGCGTTTCCATAAACTGGTCACGACTCCTCCCGCATGGCGCATTGCATTTGCTCGATACTTCCCAGGTGCGGAAGCTCTGGGGGTGGATGGTACGAGGATCATACAGGAGCCTTGCTCTGATGTCGAACGTGCGCAGCGTAGGAGCTTCACTCGGCTGTCTGCCCTAGCCTCATGGAGATCAGAATATATTCTGAGAACCCGATTGCTTCGCTCTCTTGGCCGTGGACGACCAGCGATGGAAGCAATCTCTCGCTCAAGCGCTTCTCGGCACGCCAGTAGTGCTGCCGCCGCTGCAGTCATAACCTATGTCTCTGGCTTGAACTATCCCGTCAGCCATCTCCACGCGACTTTTGGCGTTGGGTTGAACAAGAGACAGCCGCAGTTCATGCATGGCGCAGTAGAACAAGGCCTTGTGTCAGTTAGTGAACCAAGCACAGGAAAGCCTGGCCATTGGGGTCTGACTGACTTCGAGGGATTCAAGCATTTTGCTGATCAATTCCCCGGGGAACTCCCCTACGGTCTAGGGCCTGGCAATGTTGTAGGTATGACGAACGTGATGGACGTCAGTCAAACCTATGGAAGAGTCTATGGCGAAGCATGTCCTGGAGGTCGACTTTTCTATACATCGACAAGCGAACAGCGTGGACGTTTCGTACCTATCTCTTCAACGGCAAATCACGCCCTTGGTATTCCTGAGGTGACAATGATTGGTGCTGCTATTTGCTCGGTGTGGCTTGCAAAATCGGAACATGTTCTTAGGGTGACGAATGGTTTGATTGGCTTTCTCGCGGGATTTTCCAATGGCGTCCTTGCTGCATACGCCCTAGGAGTCAATCCGGTACACGATCGTCGATTTGGAAAAGGTGAGCCCACCGCTAAATGGGTTCTCTGTCCCGGTGTCCCGATCATTGGCATCTTCATTGATGAGAAAGTCTCAAACCGACGGCTTGGGTCTGGCAGAATATGGGCTGTGGTTCTCAACGCACTTGGGGAAGTCTTCTATCTAACAGAGGCGCCTATTCGTCCTGACTTCGTAGGCAAAGCGTCACCTAATGATCTTGACCGGCTCGCCTGGGAAACTGGGCGCAGCGTTCACTGGAGGCTGGTGGAGGTGACTCGACGCCGAGCAAGACCTGATCCATTCGGGACAGCCCAGGTGGATGGAAGCTATTCGCCGCGCACCTCAAGTGACAGTGCCGGCCTGAGCAAGGAACAGATCATTGCTGAAACTAAAGAGATCGAGAAATATATCCTTCACAAGCCCAAGCACTACAAGTCCATTTGCGAGGGCTGGGATATGCGGCGAAGGCTTTTGGTGGATTCTGGTGGGGATGACCATCGAGGTGCAGGAGAAGCAATCTTTGTTGTTGACTGCGGCGTTGATGAAGGCTCTAATGCATCTATCCAGCGTTTCACCAGATGCAAAATGAAGATCGCAGTCGATTTTGATCTTGACGCATGGCCGACGATACAGTCAACGGCGGGTCACACCTCAATTTTCGGAGGTGGCACGCCTTCGCATCGGGAAGTGCTTTCGTCGCCACTTTCTAGGAGTGTTCCACGGTCGCGGACATCTAGCCAGGACGATACAAGGGACTCCAAGTTTAGAGAGGACTGGTACATTTCCCAGTATTCCTTTGCCGAACACCGCGGTATTACAGTCTCGGCTTTGGCATCGGATGACTCTGAGTTTGCGACTCTGGCGGCCACTGAGGACCCTCTTCTGGGAATGTCAGGTGGATCCAATACATCCTCACCACTTGCCTCACCTTTGGAACACATGCCGACCCCAGGCACTGCATCTGAAATACCTGGACATCGTGCTCGCCTTTTCGGTATAGGCACAATGTCCGGAGCCGTGCTCCTCTGGGACATGCGTTCAAGTCTATCTCCAAACCCAGATGTAGTCAACACGGTCCAACCAGTCAGAATTGTGTATACCAAATCCCCCCAGATCGCTTCGCTGGCTCTCACCTCGCTCTACTTCGTACATGGGGGTAATGATGGACTTGTCCAAGCTTGGGATCCACTGGCATCCAGTAACGAACCTATCAGAACACTGAACTCGAGATTTTCTGATCGGGCTCGACGTCGAATTGCTCAAGCAGAAGCCTCAATCCAAGGTGTTGGCAATAACTACTATGCTGCAGGCGCCATTGTCTTAGATCCCGACCCAACAGCTCTACGCGGAATGGTTTCCCTGGGGACTTATTTGCGTTACTGGTCGTACAGCTCGACTGCTGCCGATGCATACAAAAGCAGGAAACGAGGTCAACTACGTCGACGATCAGAACGGGGCAGCAATTCTACACCTGCGAGTCAGAAGGTTAGCGCCACTGGGCGAGGGCTGCTGAAGGACTACATCAGTGATGAACACATGGAAATGGAACGGGAGAAGGTTGCAAGACGCAAAGAGAAAGAACGCCTGACGGGCAGATTTGGGACCAACATTCTTGGAGAGGGTGCAAGTGAGGAGGAGTTACTTGCATACGCTACAATGCTCAGTGAAGAGGCCTTCAACAGCGAGGAGGCGAACAGGAAATCGGATGAGGGACATAATGCTCCATCGAAGTCGTCGAACCCGGTCAGTCGCCACTCTGGACGCGAGACGACAGACAACGATGCCGACCTTGAAGAAGCCATTCGCCTCAGTCTGCTCGAAAGCGGACAGGTTTCCTCTTCACCTCCGGCAAATGACTGCAGTATCCCAATCAGATATGCCAAGACCTCGCGACATGGTACTCCTTCGCGGAAAGCAAATGCCGGTAGCAGCAATACTCCAGTGGCAGCAGACGGTGAAGATGACCTGGAGTTTGCGTTGCGGTTGAGCCTTGCAGAGGAGCAGAGTAGGAAGGCCATGGATGACGACTTCCCTATGCTGACGCCTTCGTCAACTTCGGGCTCTGAAGGGCGTGGGAAGGGGAAAGGGAAGTCCAAGCGTCGTTGAGAGGTAATGGTCAGCAGTTGGGGTCGTTTGTTTTTCCTCTCTTTCGCTCGTCTTAAGCTTCTTTCTCATTTCTAGTCGACACCTCTTTTGTACGGAGTACTCGTAGGTGCTTGTTAGTGGGTATTTAGTCTAGCCAGGCGAGCTTGGTGTAATTCATTCTGAGAGAAGGGCTTTGCTAGCATAGAATTTTCACCACTTCCCCATGGGAGGTCGTTCAATGTTCCGTGCACCCTGGATCCTGGGCTCATCCAATAATACGCAATGATGGACTTCCCTCCTTGAAAGGGCCGAGGGGGCGTTGCCAAGACGTTATGGGAGGCCTCGGTTACCGGCGGAAGGTGCGAGTCACGAGCAATTCTCGGTGAATGAGGGCAGGCAGGAGCTAGCCACCCCTACCTAACCTCAGGAGGGCCCTCCGGCTTCCACACATTTTCCCCGAGCTGCTTCCTTGACCTCGGGCGAAACTCCGCACTCCCAAGCAGCAACACAGATCCATCGTCCATATCTGAGAGCCTGCTTGCTGTGCGTGCTAAGGATGCACTGCGTCAGGCGAGCTCAGCAGAGATGACTGTGTCGTTGGTATCCTCCGCACTGCGGCGGTCCTCTACTCATATTCACACTGGCATCAGAAGCTTCTCCTGCTCAACCGCGAGGGATGCCTCATGGGGCTTTATTGGGCTTGGAGCCATGGGTGAGTGTTATTGAACGAGATGGCGAGTAGCATCCTCTGACGCGTCACAGGCTATTCCATGGCAAAGAACCTTCGAGCCAAGATCCCTGAAGCCGACACTCTGACCGTCTTCGATGTCAATAAGTCTTCGCTGGAGAAGTTTTCACAAGAAGCTGTCCCTTCAAAGGTCGTAGTGGCCGGAAGTCCACGAGAGGTCGTTGAGAATGCTGTGAGTAGGGATCCTTTCTCTGGTGTTTTGAGCCGCTGCCATCACAATGATGAGCCTATTGTTCTATCTATGATCTAAGTTGGGGACCTCCTTTGGGTTGTCCTTTTCATGATTCTCTAACATTAAAGCCAATCCTCTGAAATGCAATAGCAACAATGCCTACTTACCCGTGTTTACGAGTGGAGATGTTTTTGTACTGACGGTACATCGCAGGACTACATCGTGTCGGCTCTGCCAGAGCCACGGCATGTCAAATCCGTGTTCGAGGACGTCCTGGCTACCTCTCTCCCAAAGCCTCCCACTCAAAACACGAGAATCTTCATTGACTCTTCCACAATCGACCCAACAACGTCGCGAGAAGTGGCAAAACTCGTCCAAGAGAAGGCTGGAGCCAAGTTTGTCGATGCCCCCATGTCAGGAGGCGTCGTGGGTGCTCGAGCAGGAACCCTGACTTTTATGATCGGAGCAGAGAAGGAGGATGTCCCCACCATCAGAGAGATCTTGCTTCACATGGGCAAGAAGGTTTGGCACATGGGACCTCAAGGAACTGGGCTGAGCGGGAAGTTGGCCAACAACTATGCTCTTGCAATCAATAACATTGCAACAGCAGAGGCAATGAACCTGGGCATGAAATGGGGAATTGAGGGCAAGGCTCTAGCAGATCTTATCAATTCTGCCACCGGTAAATGTTGGCCTAGTGAGATCAACAACCCGGTGCCGGGCGTGATTGAGACTGCTCCTGCAAGCCGCGACTACGAAGGTGGCTTTGGAGTGAGCCTCATGAACAAAGACCTTCGACTTGCCATGACAGCTGCGTCTGAAGCTGGGGCTAAGCTTGTGCTTGCCGAGAAAGCCAAAGAAGTATATGATGAGACTGAGAAGGCTCACAAAGGCAAGGACTTTTCAGTTGTTTATAGATGGTTAGGCGGCAAGGAATAGACCCTGTCTAGCTCTGATAATTCCTTAAATCCCTCCCAGAGCTTGGGCTTTAGATATCACGTGTGGGCACGTGATATGGCCTCCGGCTATTAGGCACGTTGGACGCGTCTTTTCTCCGCGTTCCGAGCGTCCCACTGCCACTTTGGCTGCGATCTCCAACTCCAACCGCAAAGTAATCGTGACGATACCGACAAAGTCCATGTCTCTACCACCTACACCTCACTTCCGGAGCACCTGCATCACGCTGCCTGCCCCTCTATCTACACTGGTAAACCGTCGCCGCGCAAGTCCTACGTGGCGGATTGTCGTTCAATTGTCCAATACGGGTTGCCAGAGCAGGGCATCTTTCCATACAATGAGCTGCGGCTCAGTCCTTATTGCATAATCATCGTCCTGCGGCCAGGTTGGTCTGCACATTCACCGAGCCTCACTATGTCCTACATCGTTCCCATCCACCACGCGAGCGGTGTCCGACATGCTCTCAAGCTAAATTTTCTCGAGCCAGGCGTCGAGGTGCTTATTGTAGCGTCAGTGCCTCAGCTTAATCCCCGCGACCCCGCCGTTATCTAACAGTTATTATAGTAAAGCAAACAGACTCCATATCTACGAGCAAGGCGTCGAAGGATTGTCTTTGTTGTATACTAAAAATGTCTTTGGGTACATCACTATCCTCGAGAGTCTTCGCCCCGCCTCCTCCAAAACCGACCACCTCTTTGTCGGCACTGATCGATACCAATACTTCACTTGTTCATGGAATGCAAACATCAGGCAGCTACAAACCGAACAAAGCTATGTCGATCTTGCCGACAAGGTTCTCCGGGACTCGAGAGAGACGGACAGATGCCACGTAGATCCTACGGGGCGATTCATGACCCTGGAGCTCTATGACGGTGTTGTTACCGTGCTCCCCTTCGTCCAGCCTTCGAATAAGCGTCAGAAGAGAGACAACAATTCGCCTTCACAAGTGGGAACGCTGGGAGAGCCGGTCCAGGTCAGGATAGAGGAACTGTTAACGAGGGATTCGGCTTTGGTGGCTACAGACCCTCAAGGAAAGGAACCTGTTCAACTTGCCGTCCTTTGGGAAGACAATTCGGGAAATCCTCAATTGAAGGTCCGGCAGTTGAAATACACCCCCGGTGGAGAACAGGCCTCGGCGGAATTGCAGACGGTAGCTGAGTTGCGAGGTGACCAGCTGGACAAGGGAGTGAGCCATCTCATTCCTGTGAATGGTGGTTTCCTGGTTCTGGGTGACCATTCCATCCGCTTTGTTGATCGACAATTGACCAACGTCATAACGCAAGACCTTGGGGATGATGCCACCATGTGGTCATGTTGGACCCAAATCGATAAGCAACGTTGGCTGCTTGCTGATGATTTTGGAAAGCTCTTCTTCCTCATGATAGAGATCGCCGATTTCACAGTGTCATCATGGAGGCTTGACCCGGTCGGGGTTGCCTCAAAAGCCTCCTGTCTTGTCTATCTTGATGATGGATATGTATTTGTCGGTTCCCACTCGGGCGACTCGCAGGTTGTCCACATTGAGGCAGACGGCATCCGGATCGTCCAGACGTTCTCTAATATAGCACCTATCCTAGATTTCACAATTATGGACCTTGGTCGAGGTGGAGAAGGTGGACAGGCACCAGAATTCTCTTCAGGCCAAGCTCGGATTGTCGCTGCCAGTGGTGCATGGCAGGATGGTACGATCCGGAGTGTGAGAAGTGGTGTAGGACTTGAGCTCATTGGGACCATAGGAGAGCTGTATCATATCACAGATCTCTGGGCGGTGAGCTCTACAGGTCTGGGGAATGTACATGATACTTTAATTGTGTCATTCATCACTGAAACTCGAGTCTTCAAGTTCGATGCTGAGGCTGCAGTGGAGGAAGTTGACGATTTCTACCATCTCGAACTCTCCCAACCAACTTTGTTTGCAGCCAATTTACCGGACCGGAAACTTGTACAGGTATCCGAGTCTGCAATCAAAGTCACGGATCTTGATTCAGACATGCTCATGCTTGATTGGAGACCTCCGGACGCCGATGCAAAGCTAACTGCGGCGTCAGGAAACTCCGTTCATCTACTTGTTGTCGAAGGTGGCCATACCCTACATGTCTTCCATGCCGCAAACCATGACTCCAAACCCACAATCTCGAAAACATTCCCGCCAGATTCTCAAATATCAGGTATAACAGTCCCAGATTCCCAGAGTAGTGTTTGCATTGTTTCCTTTTGGCAAACTGCATCACTTGCTATTCTAGACCTGCACTCCCTCGACACTCTGCTAGTTCAAAATCTTGGAACGGCTGGAATAGACATACCACGATCAGTACTTGTGGCAACCGTCCTGCCAGATGCGGCCCCTACACTATTCGTTGCGATGGCCGATGGAACTGTGCTTACTTATGCATTCGATCTTACTAAGAATGCACTCTCAGGAATGACTAGGATATTATTAGGAACGGAACCCGCTTTCTTCAAGGCGCTGCCTAGGGATGGAGGGGCAGGGTCGCCCTTATCTCACATCTTTGCCTCATGTGAACAGCCTTCCCTGATATACGCCTCTGAAGGTCGCATCATCTACTCGGCGGTGAATGCTGAAAGTGCATCGAGGGTGTGTCACTTCAACTCTGAAGCCTATCCCGACGCCGTAGCCCTCGCCTCCCCCAAAGAGCTTCAGATTGCTCACATCGGCAAGGAAAGAACTACGCAGCTCCAGACGCTTCCTATTCGCGAAACGGTCAGATGTCTTGCGTACGAATCAAAGGGACAAATTTTTGGCATGGGTTGTGTTCGCCGTATACTGGAGAGTGGCGAGGAAGCCCTTCTCAGTTCGGTTAAAATTGCCGACGAGGTCAGTTTCAAAGAATTGGACTCCGTTGAACTACAAGACAGAGAATTGGTGGAGTGTATTCTATCTACAGGCTCATTTGAAATACCGGGCTCTGAGGAATCCACAGAAATGTTTGTAGTTGGAACAAGCATTGTGATGGAGGATGACACCGGCCGTGAGCTCATCAGAGGGCGAATTCTAGTTTTCGAAGTCAACAAAGAGCAGAAGCTGAAACAGGTTACTGAACTGGTCGTTCCCGGCAGCTGTAGAAGTCTGGCAATGTGCGAAGGCAAGCTTGTGGCCGGGTTGTTGAAGACGGTATGCGTGAAGTCCGTCATATTCATGACCAACTACTAATGCAAGATCCAGGTGGTCCTTTATGGACTTGTTCCTTCCCAGACCAGAGGTAGACATTCTCTAGATTTGGTCAAACTGGCGACATATCGCGCGTCGTCAAATCCTCTGTCGTTGGCTGTCACACCTTCTACAGATAAGATGCCAGCGCTGATCGCAGTTGCGGACATCACGAAGTCATTGTCGGTATTGAAAGTCAATCTTCCAGATGAGGCGCATCCTGATCACCAGCTGTGCGAAATATCCAGGCATTTTGCAACAGTGTGGTGCACAGCGGTTGGGGCTACGGTGGAAAACGAATGGCTTGTGGCCGACGCGGAGGGCAATCTGCTGGCTTTGAGACAGAACCGCGATGCCATCCATGATGCAAGTTGGCGGCGGATGGAAGTCATAGGTGAATTCCGCCTGGGACAGGTTACGAATAAAATCGTGCCTGTGTCCTCAAAGCCAGGCCCGTCCGATGTTCCTGATATCCCCCCCGTCAACGAAAGCTCAAAGGCGGAGATAGCCCGGGCAGTGGACGAACTTCCACGCAATGGCCCTCTCGTAACCCCACGAGCATTTGTTGGGACGGTTGAAGGTGCGATTTTCATGTTTGCGACGATCAATCAAGCATACGTCAACGTCCTTTTGCTTCTACAAACATCATTGGCCACCCGTATCCAAGCACCAGGATACATGCCATGGGCGAAATATCGGGCGTGGCAGACGGCAGTATCCGAGAAGGACGAACCGTTTCGATTCGTCGACGGGGAAATGCTCGAGCAAGGTCTTCTCTCGCTGTCGGATGAAGAGCTCGAGAACGTGCTTCAGGAGGCCGGGTTGAGGGAGAAGAAGCACGATGTCACCGTGGAGGAAGTCAGAGCCTGGGGCGAGGAGTTGAGGCGCTTGTATTAGATCCTTCAAGGGCTTTTGGTGCTATGGCTGCACTCTGTGCCCTGAGCCAGGAGGTATGTTTGGGCTCGACAGGATCTAATAAATACTGGTCTTGGATCTTATGCTTGACAAAAGTACATGCATCCAGAGATATGAATCGCATGCCTGAGGAACTCATCGATTAATAGCACAGAATAACCTCCCTGACAGACGGTCGATGAACGTTGTCCATGGTGAAATGTCACAGTGAATGCGTGGCTCCAGACGAACGGCTCGCCACAACATGAGCAGTTCTTGCAGTCAATCAGTGGCCAAGTGCACCTAAAATTCAAGCCTTCCTTCGTCTCGTCGATGCCCTAGTATTTGGCGTAGCCATGCTGTCACTCTGAGCAGCATCCTGTACCCCCACATCGACCTCATCGCCAGGAACAACCAGCTTAACAACCTTCCCCTGTCCCCTGCCCTTCGCCTTCGCTCCCTCCGCATCCCGCTTCACTGGATTCGGCCTCAAGACAACCTTTCCATCCACGACCTCGACGCCGCCCTGCGGCTTCACTTTCCCCTCCTTGAGATCTTGCAGGAACTTCAACCGGTTCTGCAGCTCCTCGCGCCGCGCGTCCGGCGTCCCCGTCGCCCGCCGGAACAGCGCTTCCAGGTGTGGCCGGAACAGCAGGTATGTCGAGATGATGACGATTAAACGCAGGGAGTATTGCAGGTTTGTGCGCGTTAGGTACGGTGAGGACGAGATTGCGAGTAGGTAGGTTTGCACGAAGGGTGGGAGGTTCTCGAAGAGTTGCGTTAGGAAGAGCGTAATGCTGTCTTCGAGGGATTGGAGAGTCGTCGTGACGCTCGTCGGGAGGTAGGATGTACTGTTGCTGGACATTGTGGCGTTTTGGTCTGGTTTGATGGCAGTATGGTACAGTACAGTGTTCGTCCGCACTGCCAGTGAGAGAGGTGAACGTGCTGTCTGACTCTCAGTGCGCTTTCAGCAAAAGCCGTTGTGGATTTCTCTTGTCGCTTGCCTGTGTCGTGCAGCACAACCCGTGGGTGTGTGGATCCCGGATCCTGAAACTCTGTACTCGGTTGCAGAAGCAAGGGATAGCAAACAGGAGAAAAGTTATTCCGTGCGGGCCGGATTCGGATTGTCTTGGTGGGCATCAACTCCTGGAGAATCACTCCGTCCTAGGCTTCACTACAAACATGGCACTCTCCATCCAGGCGACTCTTCAAATGGAGCAACCTGTTCCCCTCAGATCCGTAAGGTTGTTTTTGTCCCTTCAGCAAGAGTTCTAATTAACCGAACAGTGCCCTCGTCTTCGGTACCTGGACGAGAATTGATTCCGCGGTTTGCTGTCCAAGAGTGACTAGGGTTTATTTTCAACGCGTTGAGAAGATCAACGCTACAACCACGTCTCCGGGAAATGAAGGATCTCGTTGCATACATGGAGCTAATTGAAACCCTGTGTCGATTACTTTAGCCGGCATGAACCATGGGAGCGCGCCTCGAGGCATTTTACATTCCCCCATAATACCATTGTTCGAAGATGGGAACTATTCGTTCAAGCAGAGGTAAGCACCGGAGAGAATTCAATAGATTTTCACCGTGAGACTTCGAGTAAGAGAGCGAAAGGCATCGCCATCGATTTGGTACAAAAGGAGCGTATATGGCTATGATCGCACAGTACTATCTATGTAAAAGGAAAAGCAACGCCAGAACAGCTCACGAAACCCACGAGTACCAGAATTAGAACCAAACCTAACCATGCAATGCAATGTAACCGCTTTGTTCCCTGACCTACCACGCTAAGATGCAACACAAGTCCTTTCCCGGATCGCAGTGCTACTCAAGAGTCAAGCCTTGAGCTAGCTAGTTAGTTTACGCCTCCTTCACGAAGGTAGGGTCGCAGATGATGGAGCTGACGGAGCTGATGAAGTCGAGACTCCACTCGCCCTTGCCCTGGTCGCTGAAAGTGTTGGCGGAGGCAGCGCCGCGCTGGAGCATGATGGCGTTACCGTTGGTATCGAGGATCTGGCAGCGGTAGTCCTTCTTTGCCACGAACTTGCCGACGCGAAGCTCGACGGTCTCAAAGGGTCCGTTCGAGCCGATGGGGTACTGCTCATCGCGCCATCCGGGTGTCAGCTCAGTCTGGGAGCCGAGCTCGAGGGCCTGGCTTTGGAGGACGACACGAAGGGTAGAGCCGGCCGCGAGCTCCTCGGGGGTGATCTTCTCAAATTCAGGGTCGCAGATCACGTTGCCGATCACGGCAGCGTCCGGAAGTGTCCAGGCGCCCTTGGCAGCGTCGCTAAAGGTCACATCCGTGTTGTTGCCGCGGACGACGACGATGTCGTTGCCGGCATCGTCGACGACCTTGCAGCGGAGGTCTTGTTGCACGACATCATTGCCGAGTTGAAGAGCAACGGTGGAGAACGGGCCGCTGAACGAGGGTGTCACTGTGTGTGCCATGCCCTCGGTGAAGCTTATCTCGAGGTCGGCGTAGGTTCCGGCCAGGTCGCCGAGCACAACCTTGATGCTGTTGTCGAGCGTGCTGTAATATGGGGCTGCCAATGCGCCGGTGGAGGCGAGGAGGGAGAAAACGATGGCTGAGTAATGCATTATGGTGGTTGGATTATGTATGACAGTGTTGTTGGCTTTTGGTTTTTAACTGGTGGTTCGATTAGAGATTGTAAAGATTGTAGTGAATGGTGGAAATGAGAAATGAAATCAAGCAGAAAAGGACAAGACCAAGGAAATAAAATGGAAATTAGATTTGTGTTTTTCTGTTGTTTGATGTGTGATGAGGGAGAAAATTCTTATACAACGACGAGGAATTAATCTTGTCTTTAAACTCATTCCACCGTTCCTCATGCCCGTCACTCAGTGTCTACCGTAACATAATCAGTATGATTAGGAACCATACCGACCAGCAGTTGGCAACGTTGTGCAAAGCACTGCCTGGTGATTTCGGAGCCAACGTGGAGCATTGCTGAATACTCAGCCTGATGCGGTCCATCTTTGTCAACAACAGGAGAACTGGAATTTGAAGAGGCAATTCCCGGGCGGGTGAGTAGAAGCAACTGCCCCATGAGCTTATCCAAAGCTGCCAACCGAGGGGCCTTCGTAGTGTGATAGCGGAGTCAGCCTCTTCAGCTTCATCATTAAAGCAACAGGTGCAGGCAACGCGCTGTAGCTTACTTCATCCAGATCCACTATAACCACCAGCTATGCTTACCTCAACTCCTAATCTGCTGTAGAGGTATGCTGGTGGTGGTTGCCTTCAACCCCTCCTGTATGAGCGAATAGCGCAAGTAATCACGTTTCCCAGTTTCTTCCCAATGGATTAATAAGTTGTTGTCCATAGCGGGCTAGCTGGATATTGCTGGCTATGCAGGCTAAACATCGCATAATTGCTGACTTGCAATTGCCTCCTCTAGTTTAGAACCTTGCGTGTACCTGAGATTTCACCTTGGCAGTCTACAAATGTAACCTCTCCTGGGACAGGTCGACCAAGGATGTAGTGCCTTCCGGGGGTTATACCGAGAAGCCTTGATAAGCCTCAATTACAAAAAAGAGCTCGCACCAATCGCTACCGCTTCGGGATAAGCTACGACCTTTTGCTGACATCACCAACAACCCCCTGGGTGGTATGGTAATTCATAGGAGTCGTGACTTGTCCTTCCAAGAAACTTCATCCAAGTGTCTATATGCCTCCAAATACTTTCCTCCAAAAAAGGAACGTGTACGAAGAATGACCATACAAAAGTCCCAATGCCGAGAAATTTCACGTGGTGGCACTACCCCACCCTGAACATTAGCATCTATCAAATAAATAGCAAACTGGCAATCACAAAATTGACCATGTCAGAAAGGACGAGTGCTGAAGCCGGGAACCATGGCAACTTCAGCGGACGTGACGAGGCGTAATCCCACAAGGACATATTGATTATGGTAGTATTACGTTTAATGTTCTCCTAGCATCCTAGCCTCGCGGCATTGCACCCGCCCTAGGATACACTCTCATTTCTGCGCTGGTTGGACTATCGAGTAGAAGGGATGACAATGATCTATTCTGTCTAAAAGGTCAAAAATACACATTTGCAAGGGAGGTCAAGCCTGCCAACAAGGGCGGCCGAGAATGGACAGGGCCCTATCCACAATGGTTGAATTATTGCGCTGAGATTAGAAGCTATCGGGCATCGGTCTCTCGAAGACACAATTTGGATTATAGTTGACCGCCACTTTCTGCCTGAAATCGACGTTTGCATGTCCATGTGAGTTGATAGGGCTTTGTGTTTCTTTTAGAAGGCGATATTTCGCTAAGCAGCGTTGTCATTACTCAATCCGCGCATGTCTTGAGGCTTGCCGGAGATGCTGAAAAATCCTACTGCGACCTCGTTTTTTCTTTTAGTTGACTATTTCTGGAAAGAGGGCGTTTACGACTCCTTGGACTTGGACTGAGTCCGTCTTGAATGATACTCTGAGCATATCGTAAACCTTTGTCGCTCCCCTGACCCCGGAGAGTTCCAAGTTTTCCTTCGACATCTAGCAGAGCAATAATTCCGAAGTTTGCCAACCCATGCTATTCAAGTGGTTCAGAGGACTTTTTCTCTCGGTTCAACCCGGCCGATCGACTGAGAGAAAACTCGTGACTGTGAGAGTGGATGGTCTATGCTGCATAAAAATCTCATCAACGAACTGCACTTTGTTTCTGAGATATGCTAGTCAACGAACACGAACCTGAGGAGAGTGGGGCTGAAATCGATCAACGAAACTTGGGCTCACCTCAGACCGCTTTCCTTCTTTTCACTGGCCGCCTTAGCAGCCTGGACCCTGAGCTGAACTGTCATCCAGGATTTAAGGGAGAGCAGATTTCCGGTATTTACGACCACCCACAACCAACTACAGAAGCAGTTGGGATAGCGAACGGCAGACCAAAAGTTGAGGAGCGGTGACCGGGGAGCGGAGCTTCAAGCTCAAAAGGTGTTGCGGATCAGTTTCATCTCTACATAACCTGGTGCTAAGGTATCACGTCAGGATCGATGGGTGTGCAGCCTTCAGGTGATTACCACATCCATCATTGACCGGCTCCTCGTACCGATGCAACATGTTTTCTACTGCTCGCAGACAATGAAAGCTGAATGACAGGAAGTTGTATGGACTTCTGCGTTGATGCATTCACGGAGGGCGCTCAGCTTTGGAGCCTCGTGTAACAAGGGAAAAACTTAAAAGCCTTGTTTGTGATGATGCAGGAAATCAGTGTAAATACAAGCTTGGTGAAACAATTGCCAACCAGAAATCACAAGCATTGGTGATTCTGGATTTGACATCTTTCAGGCGACGTTTCCAAGAGTTCCCTCCTTGTTGATACGGACCCACCCAGCAAATAGCAATGGCAGTCCTCGCAGCTTGCACCAAAGTAAGATTGACACCATGCTACTGGCAGATAACTTCTCAGTGTTTCTCATATACTCCGCTGAAATAGCCGCTCTAGAATCCGGAAAAGGAGCTCTTCAGCTCCTCATTTCTCCCAATTGCTCTCATGACCATGTCAGCTGGTCAGCTGATCCCCTCTTCTGATAATTCATGCTGTCTCAAGGTGTGATACAGCATGTTAAGGCTGGATCTTGCATCTGCGGTCATGTAGGTCGAAACGGTTAGCTACAGTGAACTTTCCGTCCTGGGTAGCACTTGTTGGTAGTTCAGGAGGCCTGGCATATATAGTAACACTGGTCCTTTCACTCCTTGAAAACATCAGCCATACTTGCTTCCTCTTCTTGAAGTTCCAGCAATCAATTTCGGTTATTGCGATTATATTAGATCCTTCTCTTGAGTAATATGGCCTCTACCATTGTCCTCAACGGAAAAAGTGTCGCGAAGTCGGCTCTAGAAAAGGATGCATCAGCGTCAAACTACATACTGATTCAAACTACCGGGGACCCTCTTGACAATACACAAAAGAAGAAGCTGAAAGACCTCGGCGTTCAAATTCAAGAATTTGTCGGAGATGAAGAAGGAAGTCAGCTGTATCTTTGTGGATATAAGGAAGAACCTCTTGATGTCATCCGTGATCTGGATTTTGTCGACTACGCCAATGTCTATGTAAATGACTTTGTTGTGCCAGCGGACACTCTTCCACCATCCGGAAGGCAAACTGCTGACGCAGATGCCAGTCACAAAGTTATTGTTGACGTTGACGTACTACTGCATCATGATGTCAAAGATCTTGGTTCTGGCCTCGTACGTCAAATTGCCGACGCAGCCAATGTCGAAACACATGAAATTACTGCAGAGAGTGGCGTCTTGAGACTCAAGGTTGACCTAAACAACCTTGGCCGCATCGCTGCGATCGATGAAGTCCGAGTCATCCATCCGGTCAAAGAACGGAAGTTATTCAACAATGTGGCTCGAAAACTTCTGAATGCTGATGATGTCAAGCTCAACGATACCACATACCAGGGCGAGGGGCAGATCGTTGCAGTGGCAGACACCGGCTTTGACAGAGGCAGCGTAACAGATACGCATGAAGCGTTTGATGGGAGGGTGGTAAAACTCATCCCCTTGGGTCGCCCTCCAAGAGGCTCAACAAGAGGTAAGGCTGATGATCCAGACGGACATGGGACGCATGTTTGCGGCTCAGTCTTGGGTAGTGGCTCATCGTCGTCGGAAGGGAAAATCGAAGGCACTGCTCCTGGCGCAGAACTGATTGTTCAGTCACTTTTGAGTAAACTTGGACCCCAAGCCCAACTTGGAGGAATTCCTCGAGACCTAGGCGACCTCTTCAATCAAGCATATATGCTCGATGCTCGGGTACATACCAACTCCTGGGGTACACCACTCGACGAGGACAGTGGTATCCAAAATCCTTACGACGGAGGCGCTGAAGGGATCGACAACTTCGTCTGGAATAATCAAGACATGACAATTTTGTTCGCCGCTGGAAATGACGGACAAGATAAAGGACCCGGTCGCTCCATGGATGGTAAGATCAATGAGAGATCACTGGGAGCAGAGGTTGCAGCCAAAAATTGCATCACCGTTGGTGCGACCGAGAATTTGCGCCCAGATCTCAATTCGGGGGTCCAAGGAGTTCCCTACACTTACGGAGCATTCTGGCGAGATTCATTCCCAAAGAACCCTCTCAAAGACGATCTTATGGCCAACAACCCGGAGGGCCTTGCTGCCTTCAGCAGCCGTGGACCAACAGCGGAGAACCGATTGAAGCCTGACGTTGTTGCCCCTGGAACGGCCATACTCTCCACACGGTCTAGGAACATTGTCAACACGGCTGATATTGGTGACTTTGGCGCTGTGTCAGATAGCAAATACTTCTATTTGGCTGGTACGAGCATGGCGACACCGCTTGTGGCAGGCTGTTGTGCTGTTATCCGTGAAACCCTGGTCAAGAATGGCTATGAGGACGTAACCAACGGGGTAAAGAACCCGACAGGATCCCTGGTGAAAGCTCTCCTCGTTAATGGTGCTGTTCCCATTCATGGCCAGTACATGCCTAAGGAAGTTGGCGACGAGCCAAATCCACACTCTGGCTTCGGCCGCGTCAATTTAGCCGGCTCCATATCACTGCCGGGCGACAGATCTACCGGGTATGGCATTGGTATCATCTCAGACTCCCGACAACCTTTCGAGGTCTCTGTGCCTGTTCCATCAGCATCAGCTTTGGCCCAGCAAGTGCCAAATGGGCAAACCAACCCAGGTTCCTCCCCTGCAGGCCTCACTCTGAAAGTCACCCTGGCATACGCTGACTTCCCTGGTGCCCGCTTGTCAAACGACCTCAATCTCATCATCGTGGCTGGAGACAAAGAGCGACATGGCAACCAGTGGAACGCTGAGTTCGAGATAGGATCTCACCAACCTTTTGATCGCCGCAACAATGTAGAGCAGATCGTGTGGGCCAACGTGCCAGGCGATCATGTGAAGATAGTCATCAAGGGATGGCGTTTGACCAGTGACGAAATCCCATTTGCGTATGCCTGGAAGTTCTTCTGAAGTACGCGATGTTGGTGGCGCTAGTTGAAGTGCTGGCGCGATAGATTAAGACATGATGGGATTTAGCTGGTAGGCGTGAAAGCTTTCACGCTCGTTTGGCTATGGCTAGCATGGCATAGTCTTTGAATACTCCCAGCCCGTTAGTGATTGACCAAGTGTCGTACTTCGAGAGATGTGTTAATTAGCGTACCTCCACTTGGCCCGGGACAGGTCGCTTCTGCTCTTGAAAATGCTTTGGGAGCCCGAACTTCTTCCCTGTTGCAAAGAATGGCGTGGTGGAGTACAAGACGAAAACAAATGTGCATTTACCTAGTCTTAGGTAAATGAGGATCCGTATCCTCTTCTTCGTCTTCGATCGCGTCCACATCTTCCCGCTGCTGTCGACCCTTCGAGATAGAAAGAGCATCCGTCCCCATCCACACACTATCTCTCCTCTTTTTGCCCTCCGCTTCCCACCAAGGAGGTGAGTCCTGTGGACTCTGTCCGACGGACTTTTGGTAAGTCACTGTCTGGCAAGTCTCATTTGCCGCTTCACATCCATTCTCTGAGCTAAGATTGGTACGGCGCCAAAGCTTTAATCGTTGTATTTTAGCCTTCGATATCAAAGCTCGACCCTTCGCTCGCTTCCAGGGTCGCTCCCGGTAGGAGAAGACGGCTGCATCGACGCTCGCTTGGAGAGCAAGGACACCGGTGGCAAGAATTTGTAACCAGACAGATTGGCTTTCAAAAGGAGAGCCAGTAAGTTGAAGACATTGCGAGACAAATGGCAAGGTCCAGACGAGCATATAAGAAACGGGGTAAAGGAAGAGGATACGGAGGTGCCGCTCGATGGTATGTCGATGCGTCAACAATTCTTCGGTGGCGCTGTCTGTACCCGAAGATGGAGCTCTGAAACAATTCTCGTCCATGTCATTTGTAATATCTGTTGCAGAAGAAGGGGACATCGATACTGCTCTCAAGGGTTGCACACTGGACTCTGGTGAGTCTTGCCGAGGATCATTCAGAACCACAGTATCACTGTGTGGAAGAGCCAAGCGACTCGGGGCGAAGTCTCTGGCGCTAATGTTTGGACATGGCACTTCCGATACCTCACCCACTGAGTTGGGAGTGGGAAAGCTGACTTTCACAATCCTCAACCCGTCCCCAGCTGCCACATGGCCGGTGGCTGTCTCACCACCAGGATGACCAAAGCGCTTGAATGTGAGATGTACATGTATCGTAACGATGAACGCCACAGACAATATTGTGACGAAGACGACGTATCGAGGTATCCAAGCCAGCGCCATCCGATACCAGACTGGCTGTCCAGGGAGATAACACACCGTGCCATAGGTCACGTATGCGTTACCGGTGTTTGTGAATGCAAGAGATGCTGCAATTATCGGTAACAAGACCCAAAGAAGGTAAATCAACCGTCTGAAGTTGTACAATCCCCCCTGGAACTTTCTTTTCGGTGGGTAAAACACACAAGATACAAGGTGGAGTGCAAGCATAAGAGCAGCGAAATCCGAAGCTTCGGTAGATTGAGCAAGAAGGAACCCGCTGGCCTGGCAGAACGACGATGAACTGTTAACTGGACCTCTAACGAGTGACACGAGGGGAACAGCGAAGAACCAGACAGCTTTGCACATGTCGCTGACGATGAGAAGCATAATTAGATGATGCCGAAAAGTTCTCTTCATCCTGGCGAACCACCAGAAAGTGAGGAAGACGGTAACCAAACTAATTGATGCGCACGGTATTGCCACAATTAGGACTGGGCGAGGAGGAACGAGGGCTAATGGATGGGAGATATCGCCATCGCGACTGATGGGTTTCGCCGCATTTTCTGTGTCACTGAAGTCACTGGTGCGTCTCGGGTCATCCATTGACAGCTATCGAGAATGACTTGTCGGTTCGATGAAGCCTGTTGAACAGCCCTTCGGCCCCTAGTTGCTATTCGACCCCTTGGGTCTTGGGGGTGGCGCAGAAGTACCAGCGGATCTAAATGGTAGCCGGTCGTCTCGATCCGCAAACTGGGCCATTGGTTAGAAATAGGCTGGACAGCCTTATCGGATATTATCGAAGGAGGTCAGAGTGGTAACAAAGCGGACTCGAAAACAAGATAAGAGAGGAAAATATATGGAGAGGTCGAGATTGGGCTGAAGGAGGGGTGGGAGGCGAAGAGACGGCATGCTTCGAGCTTATTTGCTGCCATGGTAAAATCATTCTTTCACCAAGCAGACAATTCGTTCTCGGGGGATTGACCCCAACTGGTCGATGGGCTGGAGCACCTCTGAATACGAGTGACAACATAGAACTCTATCTCAAACCCCCATCTCTGTCATTCGCCGAGATCCCAGCCCCGCAGCATATCTTTGATGTCTTCGGGATTATGGACACTCTCTAGTGCAAATCCCAATCAAATCATCGGGTCAATCATGTCATTTTGCTACCCTCAGCCGCTACACTGATCTAGTCCAAGGAGTGTTTCTCCGGAGGATGTCTTCGGGATTATCAGGTCAAAACAAGCCCTCGCTTGGGCATCCGCCAAAAGGAAATATGGCTTGGCAGCACAAGCAATGCGGCAACTTGGGAGCTCATATGCGGCCCACCCCAACCATGCCGCTCTTATAGAAATTCCTGGCTTGCACTTGTTCATGGAAATGCATCATATGTGCCATTTCCATAACACACAGCTTGCACGGTGTTGCCGTCAACCTGCTGAACTGCCTTTCCATCAGCCCCAAATCGCAGCAATATCCCGCCATGACTATCAGTCGAATCATATTGTGGCCAACCAGCCACAGGTGGGCCGTTCCAGGGGTCTTTGACGAAAGCTAGCAGCATGTCTTGCATCGTCTCACTTGTAGTGACCTCCAATTGTTCCTTTACAGGACCTTCACCGTTGTCATAGGCACCGAACAGCATAACCAAATCACTCGAGTGGTACTACAGGAGAGATCAGCTCCTGCTCTTCAAAACGGGATAAAAGGAAGACATACTGCTCCCATCCATGGCAGAGGATCCTGGTTAGTCCAATTACCTGCATACTGATAGCGATATGTGGGCAGACCAATACTATTTCTCAGTGCAGCAGAGGCTGCAGCGCCACAGATTACGGATATAGTCACACGGTTTGCGGCGGTCTGATTGATACCTTGCTCCGGGTTATCGGCGGGGAACGTTGACAGACTGCCTCCTTCATTTGCGACACTGGAGTATATCATCGGTGCCTTGGTGACTCCTCCTGTCAAATATCGCTCGGTGTAATTGCTGAATACTAGCTGTTGATCAGGCACTGGGCTGAAAGCGATCCTTGGCTGTTGCGGGTTGACCAGAGTGTTGTTATCCTGGTACTGGCCCATGAAGTTGATGATGTCGTCATAGTCCTTGTCTTGCATACACGTTAACTCCCGTGTTGCGTTATCGGCAAAGTCGCAGCCGACATGCTTGGCCACGAACGTGAAATTCGTATGATCCGTGTCAGGGGCTCCGCCTGGAAAGCCAAGGGCACTACCAGACTGAGCGAAGAAGGCATGAGCAATGGGATCATCATGGAAGGCATAGTTATGGTAATCGACGGCAGAGGCCCCTAATTGGCCTTTGTGAGACGAAAATTTTTCAGCATGAATGGAGCTTCTCTCACCTGCTGACTGTCCCCAGATCGTGATGCGAGATGGGTCACCACCGAAATATGCGATGTTGTCTCGCACCCACTCTAGAGACAAACGCTGATCCATAATTCCCAAATTCTGGCTCTGCAGACCTGCGGCATTAGGGAAGCCCATGATATTCATACGGTAATTGATTGTCACGACAATATGGCTCTGTGACCGACTGACCCATCGCTGGGGAAGCTGGCCTGGAACAAGAATGCCATTGGTTTGCCAGCCACCTAATCGAAGGTTTCAGTATACTACAACCAAGAAGGGGAAATAGTTCACCTCCTGTCCAGAACTGAGCGGAAAAGTCAATACCCAACGCATAAATTTTCGAATGTATGGCTCACCATTGCCACCGGCAACCTCGACGCACTCGTCGCGTTTGCAGGCGTCCAGATCGCCAGTTTCAAACAGTCTTCTGATGCAAATGGAGCCGAGATTCCAGCCGACAGGTTCGTTACACCCCAATATTGTAGATATTGCCGGATCTCTTGATTCCAGATATTTTTTATGCCGGTCACATACTGTGGGCAGGCTGGTGGGTACTCTGTCGCGTCGATGTGGCCTCCAGAAAGGGGGACTGCCAATGGCGGCATGAAACGATTCGAGCCTGAGGTGTCCTGACCATAGGGCACACTGACAAACGCACGAACATTGGGGAATGTCGAGTTAATGACACCAGTGTAGACACCAGTAGAAGCACGAACTGTAACAGAGTTGGGCGTTGGTGAAGCAGCAGTCAGCGCATTCAACACCGACAACAAAAAGAGAAGAGACTGCATCTTGATCGACGATTACGGCGGCTAGGTAACATGAAAGGGCTGATAAAAAGTGTCACCCCTCACCATTGAAGTATTTCGCTTCTCTTTGTATTGTTTCTGTGGGATTTGTCTACAGCAGTCCAGCCGTTCACTCTGTTACCCCGCGCAGGGGGTTTGTCAGAGATAGATATTGATTTCCTCCAGCGTGGACGGCAGTTACATTCAAGACCAGATATGCAATGCTAAAGTAATACTACCCTAGCAGATGACATCAAGTCAGATGGTGACAGTCCCAGAAGCTCAAACCGTGCATAGGCTGAATACGGGAGATCGGCACGGGCTGCATAAACCTCCTACACCGATGCTTGGGGACGCAGGCATTGCTTGTCTGTGGCGGGCAATGTGGTTGTCACCACCGGCTTATTTCCCTTTTAGCTGACAGCGTCAATATCCATTCCACGTCGAAGTGGAGGAATAAAGATTATGAGGTGAACTGTTGGAGGATTTGGACTGTACAACTGTACGGGCCAATCGATACAGGCAAGTCAGCGTTGTTGAGATTTCTGTCTTCTTCTATTCTATGGTCACCGTTCTGGTTTATATAGACAATTACTAGGCAAGATGACCTCCTGGAGCCCGTTTTCCATGATTCCAAAGCATTCCAGAGGCTGTGGCACTGACTCATTGATCGTTACTACGAGGTTGTCTGCCTGTTCCGTCGATAGTCACTTTGGCGCCAACATGTACCGAGCTTGAATAATGCGGGGAAGAGTCCTTTGGTGCCGCCCCAATTTTTACAAGGCCCTTCCAGTGTCACACCCGGATGCTTTTCGAAGACTCCTTGGGAGATCCGGCCATGGTCGACTCAAGAAATTCATTCTGATGTCTTGAAATTGGGCAACGCGGACCAGTAGATCAACCAGGCTAACTGTTGTGAGTCACTTCCCAGACTCATCCAGACAGCTGACTACCGTCGACCAGGATCATAAATCGGAACGATGGGGACTCGAAGCGAACAGACGGGCCAAAGAAGGTATTCACCTCTGCTCCAATTGGTCTCTAAGGTTGAGCTGAACCAGGTGATAAGCCAATCATCGGTTCGGTTGTAATATCTCCATTGGAGACGGTTGCTTCCGAGGAGCAGGTACAGCCTCGTAGATAGCATGCCAACCAATGACTTCCGGGGTTTTGCGGCTGTCACCAGGGTCATTCTGAGCTACTGACATTCCTTCAACACGAGAAGGTTCTCAGTGCTGTTGTGGGTGTCGTATCCTCCAGGGTGAATTGATGTGCGGCTAGTCAGTGAGTCCTTCTTGGATCTGTATCCCATGTCTTTTGGACTAGAGATGCAAAGTTGAGTAAAGAAATTGGTGAAGTCGACAAATGGTAAAGCAGTTCGCTAATGATTCTATGAGAAGAAACCACCCCTTTGCTGAAGCTCAGCTATCGTCCTTCAGTAAGTGTTTATCGGGGAGTGCTTCGTTGGACGCTATATGGGCTCTCGAAAACCGTAGTAAGCTAACTGCTAGCTCAATGGCGCCAGTGGGTTACCCACAAAGATATCTGGAACCACAGAGCTAGATGCTTTCCTAAGCCTTACGATCTCTTTGGTCCATTTGTCCTCTAATTATGTCACATCGAATAGAAAACTAACACATGCCAGCCAAAATAAAAACGCAGTCTTAACCGTGAGAGCATAGCATTGAACAGCAACTCGAAGCGACGGGATATCTGCTATTCGACCCTGGATGAGAAATTGAGCCGAAATGTTTATAAGTTTGAGCATTGTACCTAGGCTTGGCGTGCTGAAAACCGTAAATAGTAGTGCTCGAGGCCCAAACTGGGCACTGACAACTTTCGACTACAATTGGTTCGTTGGCGTGGGGATCTCCCTACTATCGATTGTTACATTGTTTTCAATTGGTAACAAGAAGAATGGGCTGCATTCCTCAATGAAGGCTTTGGAGCAAGTTAACGTACTAGAGGAATTGTCTTTGCAACTGAGACTCATCTCTTTTTCTCCTTAGCGATGTCTCAGCGCAATTCCATGATCCACAGTCTCCTGTTGACCTGCTTCGGAGGAGACTGATATCATCGCCTGAAGCCGTAGCATTGCCGCGGTGGTGGAAATATACTTTGAAAGGGCTATCCGGCCGAAATGGTGATGAGTCTTCCGCGGTCCGTGTCAATATATCCATGTCTACAAATGACATGTGATCCTCTCCAGGCGCTCGTCTACGAAAGAATCCCTTCTGAGTGGTTTGGTTCCATCGATGCTTGTATATCAATCTACAATACTGAGCTACCAATTAAACATAAGTCTTTTTGGATCAGAAGCTCTGAAGATGTCTAAATCACCAGTTACTACAGAGAAAACACGTGCTCTCGCCAAACAGTTTGTTGAACACGCCGAAAACGCCGATTTCGAGCAGGCATACCTATTACTCAATCACGACGGACGATTTATTATGACGGGTCAAACTCAGAGGGATCTGCAATGGCTTGGGCGATATCTTTACTCGTCTCGCCCCGAAACTTGCCGGGTTTACAGAGCGACCAGTTATCAAGGTGTCTGAGTTTCTGGTGGACGGTGACAAGCCATTTATCCGAGCTTCTGGAGTAGGTGCAGGTCGTTATGGACCTTATCAACAGCCATACTATGGGTATTTTTTGCGCGCGGAGGGTGACGTTCTCAGCGATATCATTGAGTATCTAGATCTAGTATAGCTCGAACTTGCGGTCTTTGGCAAAAAGTTAATTTCCGCAGAGACTATCTCAACAAGCTAGAAGATGGACGTGTTTGGGTGGATATAAGCACAGTTCCCAATAGTGACGTGGCTGCTTGATATTGAGATGGAAAGAGCCGTTGTTTGGCTAAAGTCTACATTCGTTCTCAAATACAAGAGATGACTTGATTAAGAGATGCAACAATAATTAACCGGTTTTCTCGCGGAAATACGTCTTGAGGAACAGTTCTGAGATCCAAATGCGAAAGATGGTCCTCGAGTGGTCTTCTGGCTACTGGAAGCCTGGACCCGAGAAGCCAGTGAGTGCCCGTGAACCAGACGGAACAGAGCGACGTTTAGAACTGTAGTCTGGAAATTAAATGTTGATGTTCGAAATAGTAAGCTAAACTGAATCAATCAATTCTAGTGCCCTGAAAGCCCTGATCCAAAGCTGTTCTAGTTGATATCGACCAATCTGGTGGCTTCTTGGTAAATCACCAGAGGCAGGATGGTTCCACCCCACGAGAGCTTAGTAATTTCTACCCCAACTGTTACCACCGTGGAACTCAAGCTATCGGTTGTGTCATGGCTTGGTCCAGTACTAACTCTCCCTGCTCCGGCATTTGATGCTACGGACTACTTGTCGCCTGCCAAGGACGAACTCTGCCCGCTGGGGCGGTGGCATCATAGAGTGCCGATGGTGTCTGGCTAATCGGAAGGCTTTGGTTTGACGAATTACACCAAGATGAAGCGAGAGCATGTTAGGCTTGCCCATAATATCCTCAGGTGGCTTGCTAGCTATAAAGAGTTCCAGACTGGCCCCGTCCAAGGACTATCACCACTATGATATGCAAAAGGAATTATTTGCCCGCTGAGTCCTTTTTACGAGATATGGCGACTCAAATTGTTTATCGTCTAGTGTTGCGTGGTGGCTTCGACGGCCTTCAGCCAATTCAAGAACCCGTACCTCATGCTGGAAAGTATGAGATACTTGTCAGATTCCGCAGCGCCGCCCTCAACTTTCGGGATATTGCTATTGCGAAGGATACATTTCCACTCCCAGTCAAGGAGAATGTTGTTCCCTGCTCCGACATGTCTGGCGAGGTCGTACAACTCAGCGAAGAAGTCAGAAACTTTTCAATTGGTGACCGTGTCATCGCCCCAGTCAGTTTAGTTGTACTATATGGCCCGGTCAAAGATGAGGATAACAGTCTGGGAGGCTCGGTAGATGGTGTTCTTCGACAATATCTTGTGCTGCCAGCGCATGCCACGGTCAAGCTACCACAGTCTTCCCACAGCTTTTCTGAGTGGGCGGCTTCTGTGACTACTGCGTACACGGTGTGGAATGCTTTCTATGGGTGTTTGTCCCTAAAACCTGGCCAAACAGTGTTATTGCTTGGTACGAATAATAATAATTCTCAGACTCAACCCCTATTCTGATATTCGCGGCAGGAACTGGCGGCGTCTCACTCACGGGTCTTATCTTCGCAAAAGCGGCAGGCGCAACCGCGATTATCACCTCATCAAGTGACGAGAAACTCGATTATGTCAAAAAGAAGTATGGCGTTGATCACACAATTAACTATAAAACGCGCCCTCAGTGGGCCATGGAAGTAAATCGAATTACTCATGGGGAAGGGGTTGACAACGTCCTAGAGGTAGGCGAAGTAGGAACAGTTGAGCAGAGTATCGATTCAGTAGCCTGGGGTGGCGTCACATCTGTGATTGGGTTCTTGAGCTCGTTGGATGATGAGAAGATGCCGAATGGGGCTTTCCAGACACTAGCAAAGGGTGCAATACTCCGGGTATCTTGGCAGGGTCCAAACAGCAGCTTGAGGACGCTGTCAAGTTTATTGGAACACAGAATCTCTCGGTACCAGTGGAAAAGACATTCCCCTTCAACTAGGAGGGAGTAGTCTTGGCGTTTGAATATGTTGCCTCCGGGAAGCATATTGGGAAAGTGTGCATCAATCTTGACTGAGACCTGCCAACCGGTCGAACCTAGCTTTGACAACGTTGTCAATTTCATAGACATGAGCACCTGAGAAAATTCGAGCCCATAGATGGACGACCGTCTTGGACATTTGCTCACTGCGAGAGGCTTCGCCTTCAACGTCACCTAGTGCCTGAGCGAAGGAAGTCTCCTTGATGATATCAGTGAGGATAGACAAGAGCCATTTTTCACTTTTCTTTAGTCCGTCCATCCCATTCGTGTGTACAGTTATCACAAGGCCTTTCAGCCAGATATTAAGCAGTGTTGCACAGTCAAAGCTGCATAGTGAATGCTCGATGCTCCAGAAAGGTATATAAGTTCGAGCAATCAGCTCGACTCCCAACCGCACCGGGATACTAAGAGCATGGGCGGCATAGAGAATGGCAATTGTGAGGTACCGTGACCTCCTAAGATAACCATTTCTGGTTCCTCCAGAATGCGATTCACCTAAGAAGAACCCTCGATCGGGGTTGAAATTAGGGAGCAGACGCATATAGGCAGTTCGAAAGAGTTCGATCCCGTTGAATGCAAGGGGGGCTTTACTGGACAAAGGATCAAGCGTAGATTCTGATGTGAGCTCCCAGGATAATTGCCAAGTTCGAAGGGGCAGTCTCAAAGGGTTCAATTGCTGCCAACGTTCGGAGCCTAGTAGATTGACAGCGTTCGAGATTTATATTCTGAAGTATCCCATGGATGAGCAGATAATTGGCAAATGCTGATATGCCCTCATTACGGGGAAACCGAGTACCTTTGAAGAATGAGGATAGCAAGTCTCGAAAATAGTATTCGACAGTACGCGGCGAGTCTCGCCATTGAGCTTCACTCGTTGCTTTCCAGCTTGCTGCCGTACTAGGCATGTAGAGGTCGATTTCGTGACTGAATATCAAGGAGGTGGTGTCATGAGCAACCTGATGTAGGTTGACCAGCACATACGTGGCAAAGATTGTTCGTCTTCGTTCCTTAACTGATACCCAGAATGCCCAATCTGGCTCATGTATGACTTCGTCTAATTCCAAATACCTGCACTACTTGATGATGGTGGACAGCTGCTTTCCCATTGACAACGCTTCAGGTAAAAATAGTGCGCCCATCCATGGTGCAAAATTGGTCAGCAGAATGCACGTTTAAATTCGCTCAAGCCCATCGCTGTCATCTTGACCTAAGGCGCTCGACTCTGCAAGTAATTCAGCTGACAACTCAAGATTCTGGTGGGTTGTCTTTTCTCTTAAGATAGCTTTTGTTATGCGATAAAGCTCATAAGCTTGAGAATGTTCAAATCTGAAGAGTGATCCGAGAGTTGCCACCGCTAAAGACAGCTCAACTGTTCTATTCTCGGTTGAAAAGCTGGTCTGGTGAAGAATGGCAACTGCTCCTAACTGCACCGAAAGAAACTCTCGAAATTGCGATTGAGAATGTTTCTAGATGGTAATAAATATCCAGGCGGACGGACGTTTGTATAGCATTGTACTCGTAAGCAAAATCTCTCATACTGAGATTTGGTGATAGACCACGGCACAGGATGAGCAGAATATCCAGCGTCCCTAGTATGATCATCATCGTTTGCAGCGGCGTCGTCCACCGGATTAGGCAGGCGAGAGCTAAACGGTGGAAAGCTGCTGTCTCGAGGAGGAAGAGTACTTTCAGCTTCATCACTGGAGAGAAAGCCAAAGTCAAGAACCTCAACTGGTAGTATCTGTTGTGCAGAAAATTCCACATTCCAGGAAAATTGCAGGCTTGCGGGATCGAACCCAAGCCCTTGCCAGTCAGCTTCTCCATTTGAAGCTGATGTATCAGGAAGGGAGGGATGCAACAAGTTTGTATGACGTTTCAGAAGGTCTCTGTATAGTGTCAGGTTAGATATCGGTGTACCATTGGCTAGAAGACTACTGCCTAGTAAAACGTAGTCCACAATGGCAGGCAAAGGGCCGTTCATCTGTATCTATTGATGATTAGTCACCGCTTTCTTAACGTCCACTCCTTTCCCTCACGTATGCGCTCATGTCTTATTAGATGTTCTCGTCGTTTGAACTGTTTCAGACAATGCCTACATGGCTCGACAATTAATTTCGGCCTCCATCGAGTCATTGTTAATGCAATCTCGTACAAGTAATTTAAAAAGCATTTGCCGATGTAATGGTATTCTGCGGATTATCAGGCCCCTAGCATTTGCCGTTATGATACAGACTAGCTGTCGACTCAAGTCTATTTGGCCACATGCTGGCGTGGTGATGAGGATAATACAAGATCTGACTTGTTGAGAGTCTTCAAATATCATTCGTCTAAGACTAAGCCTCGGCTCCTCAGTCCTCGGAAGCTACTGTAGAGTATGAGTGCAAGTCACGTGAATGCGAGCCCCTTCACGTTCTATAATAGTCACGTGCGATAGCCTTGCGCGTAATCGAACCAGGGAAGCAGCCCCTGCCCCTTTTGGGTACAGCCTCGAAGCCGTAAGAACGCCATATTGTTCAGTGCTTTTCCCTTACGCTTTATCAAAGCTATGTGACGCCTCAGTGTAAAGTCCCCCTCTACAGACTCTTGAAGAGAAGTAGTGCATATTCAAGCGTGCTCCGCATCACTTGGTAAGAATTTCAGATGCCGCCGGAACGACGCTTCTGCCCAGTTCCTGCGGGCCGAGGAAGTGGCACAAGCTAGTAGCAATGGGTGTGAATCATACCGAGTAAATTCCTGCAGTTAACCGGAGAGCCAGTATTAAGTGCAGTATGCTCACTAATGATGGGTTTGAAAATTAGTGATACTATATTATATGGTGCTGGCTTCTCCCGCAAGCTTCTCAGACCTTTGTGCGAATTCAGGGGACAGACGCCACACGAACCCTATTAAACAAAGTGTGATTTTATAACGAAGAAATGGCGTTGGATCTTGGATTCATCGGTATGTCATGGTCCTTTCACGATATTGTACAATCCTTCTGAAGTTCTGATCATTTTCGGGCCAGGTATTGGGAATATGGGGTTCCACATGGCCGGGAACGTGCGCAGGAAAATGTCATCTTCTGCGACACTGCATATTTTTGATGTCAACATTGAAGCCTGTAGAAGATTTCAATCTACTTTTGAGCGCCACGGGCATATCGACATCGCCAGATCATCCAAAGATGTGGCCGAGCAATCGGCAATACTCATATCAATGGTCCCAATGGACCAGCATGCACAGTCGGTATATCTCGATCCAGACGTTGGTGTCATTGCCGCTTCCAAGCGCCCGGATCGCCTGATATTGGAGTGTAGCACCATCAATATCACTACCGCACAAGGTATTGGTCAACGAATTATGAATGCCGACGTCGGCCAGTATATTGATTCACCGGTCTCCGGAGGCGTGCGTGGAGCTGAAGCTGGGACTCTATCGTTCTTCTTAGGACATATTGCCGGTACCGATTCTATCACACAAAATGCCCGTGAAACAGTCTCTTGGATGGGCTCCGCGGACCGAATTAACTTTTGCGGACGCTTGGGTGATGGTCTGGTGTGTAAGATCGTGAACAACTACATCGGGCTCACTAATCTAGTTGTGGCAGCCGAAGGCCTGGCATTTGGACTGAAGCATGGCGTCGAAAAGCACACACTATACAAGTGCATCAAAGGCTCCAGTGGTGACTCGTGGGCATTGAATTTTGCCAACCCAGTGCCGGGGATTGTTCCCGAAAGTGCTTCCAGCCATGGTTTCAAGGCTGGATTCACTTCAAAATTATGTGCGAAAGATATTAAGCTGGGTATTAAGGCAGCACAGCAAGTTGGTCTTGATCCAAAAATGGGTGAAGTATCCGTAAAATACTATGAAAGAGCGGACGAAGATCCAAGAACAGCGGTGAGTCTCTCCAGACATATGCTATTGACCAGAAAAAATATTACAAAGCTAACGATGGGATGTGCCAGGGTCTTGACTGCTCTTCTATATGGCTACATATCAATGACGACGCATTGAACCGTACAGGATGAGCAGCGAGATTACTCGAAAGAGATGAAATATACACCCATTCTTCACAACCTACATACGGTTAGCCTTTAGGTAGATGATGCAGTGGTTTATTCTTCAAGCTACTCCGGAGGCGAAATGAAGGCTAATTGGATAGAGCTCATCAGTTCTTCGCAGAATACTCGTCCTCGCTCACAGGATCATACCAATCCAGCCCTCCAAACGAAGTGGCTTCGTGAGTCATAAAGCTGCCATTGTCCGCACCGTGCCAGTGGATGCAACCTGGAGGAGACCATATTATGTCTCCGACGGTGATTCGTCTAGGTTTTGCACCTTGATCACAAATCCATCCAGAACCTGAAGTCACCCTGAGTAATTGGCCGCCTTCATGTTTGTGCCAGTTTGTTCGTGCACAAGGTTCAAAGTGGACATGGGCCAGTGTAATATCTTTGCGCATCAGAACAGGATTCAGCCAAACTTGTCCCCCCGTAAAAACGCCCATCTGTTTAGGCGCGTCGATAGCAATTGAACCAGATCTATCAGGTGTCACAAAGACTGATGTTGGGGGTGTCTCTTTGGTATCTCTTGTTTGCGTCTTGATGGCCATTGTGACATTATATGATTTGGATGGCTCTGATGTAGGGGAAGCCGCCATCGAGGAAGGATTTGGTTACTGGAAGTTTAGAACCTGGTGTAGCCGATTGTTCGTTCAAACCTTTTACTAGGTGATTGACTTGTTCTTGCTTCGACGTAATGCTGCGTGTAGGAACAACGGACGGCGGATCTCGTTGCTATTCTTGAGGCACTTATTCAAACAACTCATTCAATTGGTGTGATTACTTTATTAATTTTGACTCTCCGAATTCTTTTCGACGCCTGGGCCCTTGTTGCAGTCTATGGACTGACTTCAATTATAGTCAATCCGCGGGCCGCGGATGCCGGGCATTTCGCACCAACATCTGGATGGCCACGGGAATGTCCAATTTCCTTCAACAACAATGATCCATTTACAGAATTCCATCCGCTTATTCTAGGCCGAATTCAGCAAAGATAATTTGTGCACGCCCTTGCCAATCCCAAGTGATGAGTGTATGTAAGAAAAAGAAGCAAAGACAAGCTGCTGCTTTCTGTTGATTTCTAAAATGTGAATTTCCTACCTTCCTTCAAGTGAAACAGGATCTCCAAACTGTGGATTAACAATTCACCCAAAATACCCATCAATAACTCATACCCTCATACTTGCTGTGAATGGGGGACGCGGGCACAACTTTGGAGGAGCGGGATTCCGACCCAGGAAGGATGGGAAACCCGCTCCATCATGCTCCGGCATACACGCCACAGAGGAAACTTAAGATTGTTACGGTAGGTGCCGGGCTTTCTGCCCTAATCTTCGCTCACAAATTGCAACACGAACGACCAGAATTCCAACAATTGGTGTCGCATAAAATATATGAGCTGAGGAGTGATATTGGAGGAACCTGGCTTGTTAACAGATACCCTGGCGTCCAATGTGATGTCCCTGCGCATGTATATGTATGACTATTGCTTCCTCTTTTCGTTTCTGTCATTGACCTAGATAGGCCTTTCCATTCGACCCTAAACCTGATTGGAGCCACTTTTACGCGACTGGACCGGACATTCATAACTATATCAAAGAGACAGCCAAAAAATGGAGCCTTGACCGCGATGTTCACCTCAATCACAAAGTGACAGAAGTGATTTGGCAAGAAGACCTTGGTCAATGGAAAATTACGGTGGAGACTCGAGAGCAAACTTTTATTGAGTACGCCGATTTTTTCATATCGGGGCAAGGGGTTTTGAAGTAAGTGTGGGACAGGGAGCAGAGACACCGTTTACTTACTAATGACGCTGAAGTAAATGGCGTTGGCCAGATGTTGAAGGACTAGAAAAATTCAAAGGGCATAAGTGTCATTCAGCCGAATGGGACGAGAGCTACGATTATTCGCATAAGACTGTGGCTGTTATTGGAAACGGATCGTCTGGAGTACAAATCCTGCCCAAACTGGCGAATCTTCCCGGGGCAAAGGTAATCAGCTTTCAGAGAAGTCCTAACTACGTATATTCACCAACAGCTCCTGCAAAACTACTGGACCACGATAACCCGGCCCAAAATCCGGCGTATACTGAGGAAGACAAACACCGGTTTCGCGAGGATAAGACCTTTCACCGGGAATATCGTCGAAAAATTATCCATAATATCAATTCGATGTTCAGAGTGGTGAGTTGCATAACAATCCCGATACTTTCAAGGTTGACACGTGGTTAGTTTGTCAAAGGTTCACAAGAGAATCTTAAGGAATCGGAGGCAGGCCGCCTCCAAATGGCCGAGAAATTGCAACAAGATCCCGACTTATGCTCAAAATTAATACCAAAGTGGGGTCTTGGCTGCCGACGCATTACCCCAGCTGAAGGGTATCTCGAGTCTTTTTCGAAGTCAAATGTTCAACTAGTCTTCGATACAGTAACGGCTGCTACCGAGACTTCAGTTGTGACAGCAAGTGGCCAGTCCTTTGAGGTGGACGTTGTTGCCTGCGCGACTGGTTTCGACGTCTCATGGAAGCCGCAGTGGCGCATGATAGGCAAAAATCAAGTGGATCTGAATCAAGAGTGGTCTGTCGATCCGAAGTCTTATATCTCTCTTGCCGCAGCCGATATGCCAAACCACTTTATCTTCTTGGGACCTAATGCTGTAGTCACTCACGGATCGCTCGTTGAATCGATCAATTGGACGGCAGATTATATCTTAAAGTGGATATATAAGGTGGTGACCGAAGACATCAAGTCTATCACGCCTAAAACAGGTGTCATCAATGAGTTTATCGAGAAAGGAAATGAGATCCATGAGACATTGATCTGGACAGACAGCTGCTCTAGTTGGTTTAAACGGAATACTCTCAACGGACGAGTTACCGCTGGATTTGGAGGTAGTGCGCTACTGTTTCGAAAATTGATTCAGGAAATTCGGCCGGAAGACTTCGACATTGAGTACCGAAACTCCAATCGGTGGTCTTTTCTGGGGAATGGCTTCACCGAATACGAGTTGGATCCGAAGAATGATTTGGCGTGGTATCTGAAGCATTGACCTAGAACCAAATAGCTGTTCAGGTAACTGATAGTGGCAGCGACAAACTGGCTTCGCTATACAATGTGATAGTACACATCTGGAAGGCTTTGAATAGAATATACTACCAAAGTTTAGACCTATTTGCCGCTTAAGACCTGCAGGTCCGGCACATAGTATGGCAAAGAACATTTGGGGCGAGGCGAGTCCTCAAACATAGTCACTGCCGCTCCAGCCAATACCATCCAAGTTCTCAGAGGAATCAGGTAAATCAAGCCACGCCAGGTCAGGACCTATGAAATTCATCAAATTATCCGGCATTGCTTGGTCAAAATTCAGCGACTGCAACAAAGAATCGCAACTACCGAATGGCTGCCGTGATATGGGGAACGATGCTATGTTCATGATTTCAGAAGTTAGAGGCGCTTCGGTGCTGGCGAGTACACCTAGAGCTCCATCCTTTGCCTGATCAATTGATCTCGAGAGGTTGGTCGTCTGTACATGTTCCGGGGAAACCGTACTGTTACCGGCTAAAATGCCATTCCTGCGATTGAAATTTATTGAGTCCACTGCCCTCTGAGAGATTGGAAAGTCAAGTTTGTGACGACGATGCTGATGTTTCAATCGAAAAACAATATAATTGATAACTTCGAGACCCCACTGTGCCCCAATTTGTTGTTCTGAAAAGGCGTGGAGAACAGCCTTACATTGATCCAGCCTTTGATGTGCCTCGGACCGAAATATTTGTTCATTGGACATCATGTCGAAGATATGACTGATGCTGGCAAGGATCAAGCAAGAGATGCAGGTTGCGGAAAGTGATTCGACCAAGTCTTCCTGGTAAAAATCCATGGCAGTCTGGGTTATGTGGCGAGCCGCAAATCTGACCATCTCTCTCGATGGGTCAGTTGTGGATTTCTGTGACGCACCTAGCGAACAAATAACTGCATCAATCGAAGTCACCTGTGGTCGATGCAATATCATCACTGTTGTGTAGTACATCATCGTCAGGAGGCCACGATGGACTTGCGCGATTCTCTCAGTGCCATTAGGATTGAGCGACAAGTTTCCCGTATGCCACACTTCATCGGGAACATTTCGCCGCCACTCGTCCAAATGATTTTGAAAAAGTTTCAGCTGATCTGTGATCGACATGGTTGTAATGCTACTGATGCTGTCTGTTCCTTCTAATTGTTGACTGGAGTAAAGCACTGAGGTTTTGCCGGAGCCAGATTCAGGATATGCGGCTTTGCAGATTTTGCCGAATATGCTAACAAGCTTTACATAAAGCACACAAATCTGGGCGAAACTTCGTTGCTGTGGGGGACTGATGCCAGGCGTCTGATGAAATTCAAAATCCTCGATTCCGAGCATGCTGATGTTATGGTCGTTGTCGGCTACCCGGGGACGCCGGCTTAGCGCGAAAGCACAAATGACCTCACGAGTTGCGAGACACCACCATAATCGTCTGCGATGTTGGTTCGTGGCTGGATGTGTCTCTGTATCGGAAGGGGCTTTGTGCAAACCAATGACCCTTGAGAATGACAACGCGAGTCCTATCCAATACCAACTGTCCTTAATTTCATTGGGACCCTCGAACCAGAAAGTCCACAGAATAAAAGTTTGTATCAAGCATACTCTGTCATTTTCGTAGTCCGCGTCATAAAGTAAGCGCATCTTCTTGTGGATGGATCTTCTAAACGCTATGCGCGATAAGAAACCGAGTTTGCGTACCAGCCTGACGTCTACCCAGGTGCCTCCAACGAATACAAGGGCATAAAGGACTAACAGACTCAGCTTGTCATTCTCCAATGTTGTACCCTCCAGTAAGGAGACAATCGTAGCAGAGTCCACAACCGGATATATAGGCTGTACATGCTCAAGATAGCATCTCACACAGGCATCTCGCAGGTCTTTATCCGGAAGCTCAAGGACACCTTTCATCTGGAGATATTGAAGGTCTTCCGGTTCAGTTGTCGAAGGGAAGGGTTTGATGTAGTTAGGCAAGTGAATGGATTGCTCCAAGTCTCCCCCAAAAGCAGATTGGCTGGAAAATTCAAAGGGCACTTGAGACGGTGGGAAGCTGCGTTCCTTCTCGTTCGATGTCCAAATTTGCGGATCTTCTATTCTCTCACGTATAAACAGATTATTCTTTTGGGTTTCAGGCAACTTACCTGGCATTGATAGGTTTTCAGCGGGTTCACTTGGAGAAGAGACAGCGTGAAGAATCTTTTCCTGGGCGCCAGAGTTCTCTCCATTCCGCGATGGAGGTGTCATAATTCTACTAACCTTTGGCTGGTCAGGAATATCACCTGGCGAGAAGAACCTCGGAGCCAAAGATGCATTCCTGGCACCTTCGATAGCCCTTGAGTCAACCCAGTTAGTGCTGGGTCTAAGTTTCTAACTATGTGAATGACCATACTTTCTCAATCGTCTAGGCGCAAGAACGCAAGGAACATTTTCAAATGTACAATTGGAGCAGGCGCGGCCTCCTCGAGCGTCGCAACGAACTTTCTTCGAGCGGCATAGCTCGCATGCTGCCCTTGCCCTCCTACTTGGTTGCTGCTGTATCTCGGGTGCTGCTTGTGGCACGAGAGCGAGGGATGAAAGCGCTGGATCCATGCTGGCACTTTTCTGATGATAGGGGACAAGTATAAGCGGTGCTAGAGTCGAAGAGATGTCGTGCCGCCGGGGTCTGGGAATAACGTACTGTTGGACAAGATAGTGAAAGGGCCGCGGCGATACGGGCGTGGTGAATTTGATACCCCAAGACTCCCGCTCTTTAGCCAGAGCGCCACCTGTTAGGCATCCCTGAAACGGTTGCCCCGCGTGAGAGCGAGTCGCCAATTAGTCAGTGAATTGATTAGTAGCACTCGTACTAGGCAAAATATGATGCGGAAGCCGGGGCAGACCCTGGGAATAATTACCCCAACAACGTTGCCGCTACGCCGCGTCGATGACAACCTCGCCGATGCTCTCGGTCCGCGGGAAGAGCTGGGATCTTGGCCTGGGCAATGTCAGAATTGCATTAGTCAGTTGAGTTCAGTATGACTACCAGTCCTACGAAATTCTCATAAATCGTTTCTAGAATACCATACTGTCGATGCATGTCTGAGACGCCCACGCTCTACATACCATTTGGCTATCTTAGCATAAGTGAATTAGAGCACGTGACGCCACTATGACTTCGTCTCAAGATCTTCTTCACTCAGCGAAAGCGCCCCCTCAACTGAATGTACCTAAAGGCGCCGCTGTCAAAGTCCAGATTATCGACAGCACTGCCAGAATTTGGGCTCCCGTTGCCCACTTTATGACCCCTGATATTCCAGGGCACCCGATTCTCCAAGCTCCAGCTTTCAGTTTTCTGGTCGAGCAACCCTCTTCATCTCGAAAGATATTGTTCGATTTAGGCCTTAGGAAGGACTGGGAGAACCTAGCCCCGTCTGTTGTTAAGATAATAGATTCCCCAGGCTGGAAATGCGAGATCAAACAGAACGTAGCCGAGATTCTGCAAGAAAATGGAGTGGATGTGGCAGGTGGAGAGATTGAGGCTGTAGTGTGGAGTCACTGGCATTTCGACCACACTGGTGATGTGAGTACCTTCCCTAGCAGCACAGCCTTGGTCGCTGGAGCAGGAGTCCGAGATACTCTACTTCCGGGCTATCCCAAAAACGAGGAATCACCCCTTTTAGAGAGTGACTTTAGCGGACGCGAGTATAAAGAGATCGACTTTGGGAAAGAATCCACGGTCGACATTGGTAACTTTAAGGGCTATGACTACTTTAGTGACGGCTCTTTTTACCTCCTCAACGCCCCTGGCCATGCCATTGGTCATATGTGCGGACTCGCCAGGGTGACTTCAACCCAGGAAGGTGATCTCGAGGATACTTTTATTTTCATGGGAGCTGATACGGCACACCACGGAGGAGCAATCCGGCCAAACGAGTATCTGCCTCTCCCTAAAGAGATACAGCCATCACCTGTTCCCCACCAGTACCCCTCGATCTGCCCGGGCCACATTTTCGAAGCAATGCACCCAAATAAAAAGTGCAACGAGCCATACTATCACCTGAACGACCAGATGCCTCACGACAAGGAACAAGCACTCCACTCACTAGATGTGATGCGAGAGTTTGATGCTGTGGAAAATGTTTTTGTTATCATTGCTCACGACGATAATTTGCTGGACCCGAAGCTCGGCATAGAGTGGTTTCCGCACGGCAGACTCAAGAACTGGAAGGCCAAGGACTATGCAAATAGGAGCAGATGGGCTTTCTTGAAAGACTTTAAATCGTCAATCGAGTGATTAGCCTGTCTGGAGTAATCGAGGACTACATAGGAGAACTGATGTCACATGGATCAGTAAATGGCTATTACATGCAAAAAAAGATAATCTGGATGCCTTCTGTGTTTGACCTAGACTATGTTAAATTGTATTGGAGATGTTAGCGACATCTAACATTGAACAGGGTTCTGTCTGGGCTCTCTAAAGCTTCGGAACAGCGTGTGAACACTATAGAAGTCCTTAAGTCGATCATAAATTGAGCGATGAGATTCGTCCTAGCGAATGATAGAATACGTAATGGTTTTAAGGAGCTCAAGTCTCAGAACTAGTTCTCGGTCACTGCAAAAGACCTAAAATCTCGTGTTCCTGCCACACGGTGAGGCGCAATGCTCTTTTTGTACACAGGGTCCTCAAGAACGGATCGAAAGGACGCAAAACTGTTGAATCTCACCATCACGATGAGATCCCAGGACTCCCCCTCATGTAGTCCCGATATTAGATTTGTATTCGCTCTCCCGAGAAAGATGACCTCTGGCGACTTGACACCCAGCTCATGTGCTCTCTTTATAAATTCATCTCTGTATATCGTATAAGCCTCTAGGCCGGAGAGTGAAGTCGATTTAAAGCCCTCGAAATCAGGCGCATATTGCGCTAATGGTCTGAAATTCATCATATTCATCATAATGTAAGGTTTGTTGACAGGAATGCGTTTTGATGCGGCTTCGAGATCGCCCAAGACGCATTGGCCATCTGCAGCCATTTTTGTGTTGATCTGAGAGTGTAACAAAAATCACAAAGGTGGAAATCTTGACTGCAACGTGACGACCATGTGTGAAAATTTCCAAAATCACAGCATACACCGCACAGTTCATAATCAAGCAGCTCGCGAGTGGATCCCGGCGCACTTATTAGGCCCCTCGAATGGCTTTAGTTGTGCGTCAACTACAGACGCGCTTCCCATTGGGCGGCCGGCCCGCGGAGTTGGCTCTGCGGAGAATTCAGCAATGCTATCTAACAGCAGTTATCACCAGTGCAAACTACATCCATAGACAAGTCTGGTTTGGACAACACTAAATTTGTGTCTCATGTTTCAAGGGGGGATACCAAGTATCGCTGTGCACAAGTTCAGCATGGATGTGCTGATGGTTTGACTCTAGACGTCGAGAAATCAAAATCTTTAAGCTGAACTATTACTGCCTGCCTGCCTTTTTATTCACACAACTGAGACTAAGGAAAGACATGAAGACGCCATGAGTACAATTCAGTCGAATAACATCGTTTCAACATGGGGCATGGTATACCCTGGATTTCCGTCTTATAGTACCGCCCTTTAAAGGAGCGAATTCATCTCAAGAAAGGAACGAGAAGTCTATTTACCACAGACTTTTAACCAGCTCCCTCACACTCTCAAATAGTTTTTCATCTTTCGGGTTCATCCTTTTGCCAAGATTCAGTCTCAGAGCTCGTTCAGCAATGGTATCTAATTGATCCATTCCGACTTTATATTTCGTTAACGTAGTCTGGAGGTCTAAATTGGACACCAGCTCCAAGACTCGATTTCCAACCTTGTCACAATCTGCTACATCGTCACCTGACCGCTTCTCACCAATATATGGCAATATGGCCGCGATGTTTTGCGCGTTTTCTTTCGTCTGCCTCGCGACCAATTTGGTTGTCCGTCCCAACGTCAAGCACGAGGTGATACCATGGGGGATGCCATATGGTGAGCCTAATGCATACCCAATTGAATGCGATAGCATGATTGTTGATGCCACATTCTCGCCGACGAAGCCTAGGCTTGCGTAAGCCGCTAGAAATAGCCCGGTGACTACATCCTCGTTCTTAGGATTTGCTTTATATAGTGGGAGTAGCCGGAACAATTCCGTAATAGAGGTCAGTGATAATAATCGTGTAGGCATCCACCTTGTATATGGTTGATACTGAACCTCAACTGCGTGATCAAGGGCACGAATGCCAGTAGATAAGAAGAGATGTTGCGGTGTGTACAGCCCAAACATAGGATCGTAAAATATACATGTTGGGTACAGCTTTGGGTGGCTAACACTCGTCTTTACACCATCAGATTTTGTATAGCCCGCTATTATCGTGCATTCTGCAGCGGAAAGTGTCGTGGGGATGGTAATATGGGTCAACCATCTCTGAGATTTCTCGTGTATGCGAAATATTATTGCCTTAGCGCTGTCAATCGGGGATCCTCCACCGACTGAAATTATTGTATCGATGCTGTCATCTTGGCGAACTTGCTCTGTCGCCTTGTCCAGTTCTGCAACTGTCGCGTGCTCTTTGATATTACTGAAGGTGGCGGCAAAGTTTTCTGGTCCGAGGACAGCCTCAAGATCCTTTATTAGAGGTGTCTTTGTTGCAAGTGAGTTCCCCGTGACGATGAAGGCCTTCGAGCTTTTCGTTGCCAAAACAGAACGGAGGCAATTCTTTACCACGTCTGGCCCATAATATAGGCCTTTCAAGTCATGAGGCTTATACATACCAGAAAGAGGAGAGAATGACGCTTCCATTTTTATTTCTGCGTAGAGTGAGAACTCGATCTTGGAATGCCCTCGAATTTTGTACTGAACTCTAAGAACAGACAACCGTGACAGTTGTTCTCCAGCTGTGGAGCCTCAGCATTTGATTGCAATAGGCTTAGAGATGATTTGTCAGCGCATTCGAACATATACCTTCTAAGTGCCGTTTCCTCTTCCTGTAGCTGATTTGGCCTGCTGGCTTTATGACTCGGCGGCACCCATTGATGTATGTCCTAAGTAGACCAGAGCTTATTTTGGGTTATGTATCAGAATACAATATCATATATCTGCGACTATTCGAGTGATTTGGCTTTGTGCCCTTCCACCAATCACCCATATAAGAGTGCGTACAAGGATTCTCGCTTATAAAGCCCGAGGAGTTTTCGAACTGCTTACTTCCATTTCCGTTGTGAATGGCTATACCGCCAAGACCCGGAGACGCAACAACGGCCAGGGATTTCCGGCTTTTTCGGTAAAAACCGAGTTTCATTCCTGCTTGTAGCTTTCACTTTCGGGTGGGAGTGGTTAGGTCCTGGTTTTGACAATTCCAAGGAACTCATGGACTTTGAAACCTGCATTCCGACCGGCGCTGATATGGATCAAGTCTCTAGTCACTAGAAGCCGCGGATGTGCGAAACTCTAATTGATCAGTTCTGGGTATTGACTGACACACAGCCATGCAGAAGGGAATGTTATTCTGCATGCATTTGTGTTTTATATGTTTATAAACGTCCAAGACATTGTAGGTGCATATCTCGGCCTCGCATTTCTACCGGAAGTATACCTCCGGCAGCAACTCCACAATTCTCTAATTAGTCAACAGCACTCTGAAATTACGGTACTGACGACAATGGCTCACCGAGAAGTTTCAACCGAAAAGACACGAGTTCTTACTGACAAGTCCGTTGAATACGTCTCTACTGCTCGGTTTGAAGATGCGTATCGGCTGCTCAATCAAAATGGACAATATATTTTGACAGGACAGACTCCAGTTTCGGGAATCTACAAGGGTTTAAACGATATATTTGCTCGCCTCGCACCCGCTCTCAGTAGTTACACCAATCGGCCTAAGATCACCGTCTCTGATATTATCGTTGACGGCGATAAGGCCTTTCTCAGCGCCAGTGGAATCGGAAAGGCCACCTACGGAGACTATGAGCAACCGTATTATGGAAACTACCTGCGTGCCGACGGTGATAGACTTGCTCAGATCATAGAATATTTTGATCTATTTTAGATCGAGGCTGCTTTCTTCGGAAAGAAATTGGTCGGTGCTTAGACTATGAGGACTCCAAACTTTGCAGAGCCCATGATAGCTAGTAAGGGCTAGGCATAAAAGGCAGCACTTATCGGAGATAAAATCAAATGGAAACCACCAGTTTCTTCGCGCTGACGCCCTTGCTCAACAACTCAACGGCCTTTTGTAAGCCATTCAGCCCTTTTCCAACGATTTCCGGCTGTGGCATATACTTTATCGTGTTGCTCTCCATTGCTTTGTTGATCCATTGCCAGATGAACTTAGGAACCTCACTTTCAACTCCAATTGTGGCAAAATTGGTGATGATCTTCACTCCTTTTGTGCCCTTTGCTTCTGCACCAGGTGAAATCGATGCTATAAGCTTTCTCTGGTCGACTTTGTGGAGAATCTCGCAAAGCTTTTCCAGAGTCTCGTTGTTGTGATTGGCGTCGAAAGCGCCGGCCACAGCCTTTCCTTTCAGGGCCTGCACAATATCTTCAATGAGATCTGGTTCACTTTGATCAAAACACGCAACCGCACCCAAGCTCTTGACCATTTCGTGATTTCTCCTGCTTGCAATTCCAAAGATCTCGTACCCTGCATGCGCAGCTAATTGCACACCGCAAGAGCCAACACAGCTACTGGCACCCCAGATCAACACTGTCTTATCCTCACCAGGGTTCTGTCCATCTGTAAATGGCCATGAGAGTGTTAAGGTCTACTCCATAAAGAGAAAGCTCAAAGCAGTCAACATACCTAAGGGCAATAATACAACGACATCCTCATAGTCCACATGTTGTAGGGTTTTGGTCATGCTCAGTTCTCTCACCACCACATATTCTTGAGAGGTAGAGTAGCAGTAAGTGCCATCTTTTCTGTACGCACAGCCACCCTGGGCAATGACATGGTCGCCAATGCTGTAGTCATCAGCCAGAGAGTGGTGCACTTCACAACCTCGCCAGCAACATCGCAGCCTAGAATGGCTGGATAGTCCTTCAGAGACATCATAGAGTTCAGGTAGATAATGACTGCAGGGTTTAGGTCTACAGCTTTAGTCTTAACCACCACCTCATTGGTTGAAGGGGTCGTGTACGGTGCAGAGTCCACAACAAGGACAGGAGACCCTTTGGTCATGAGCCACGCAGCACGATTGGTGGGAGACATGTTGAATACTTTGTATGCGATGTGATGAATATTTGAAGACTTCCTATATTCCGCCAACGGGACAGGTTATTCAATGCTTCTGCGAAATCCAGCACATCCATTAGTTGTCCTCCCGTCTCAGATCTGCATCTCATACTGTTAACACCACTTTGACCTGCTCGAGAAATCATTGGGCATAATTTAAGCATATCTCGGACAAGATTTCGGCGCCTGCAATGGTAGTGCAACTAGATTTGAGTTCTTCTCGTACATCCGTAAACTCCGATAGTATCTCCTGCTTGTGCATAATACACATTAACAGGGCCCGGGCGGCGCCATTGGACCCGGAGTCTCTGGGCCTACATGTCGGCCTTTCTTGCTTGTTGGTTCAATTACGTCGAAATTGTGATCGATCACGCACTGGGCTTGCTCGGTGAAGAGGTGACGCTCAAGCGATACTCAAGTCCAAATATGGGAAGGAAATGGACGCAGGTCGAAATTCCGACTTACAGCCCCATGGATCAACACCAAGAACCATAGAAGGTCCAAAGCAGTATATACGGGCATATTGCATGTCCATTGAACCGATGCCGAGATGCCACTCCTTGTTCCAGATTGTATGTCTGGCGCTCCAGACTTATAAATACTAGATCGTGTAAAGTTGGACACCTCTCAAGCTTGCCATGGACAATAATATGTATTTCTGTTCTCCATGTTTACTTAGGAAACAATCTGGGCTTTCCTTTTTCTTTATACTCCGACTCACCGCGGCTACCGGCTTGGTTATGCTAGTCTCATCAACTACCAGTTCTGATTTCGACAGCAATTTACCTCCGCATCTCTCACTATGACCTTTGTGCGATCGCGTGACCGTCTATGCAGTGTCTTCATTCACTCCATATTTCGTCGGGGTGTTGTGTACGGAGAGCACTTCCTGGGACCGGCTGGAGTGCTCAACCCTCATTTCGACCTCGTTTCCAAACAGTGCAGCGATCTCTTCGAGGGGCATTTGCCTTGTGTTTGGCCAGTAGAGCAAAATCACTAGTGCCATAATTGTTCCAGGAACGATAAAGCAAAGATAAAATATACACCCGATATGAGCGAACGCTGTAGGAGCAACCTGCAGCCAGACGATGTTGATTGCACAGAGGGATGTAATGCCAACGCCGATTCCCTTGGCGGGAGGTGTGTGGAAAATATTTCACCAAGATATACAAACTGTACACCTTCGAGGGTTGCCTCAAAGATCAGGATATATACCTGTTTCAAAAATTTGTCCCTAGGAGGTTTCCAAAATGTGGAAGGGAATAATGTAGCCGAAAACTTACATAAAAGACTGCCACTGCAGCCTGGAGTGCGCTCTTGTTAGGTTGAGACTGCGAGGACGGGGTCGTAGCATAAGATGCTACAAGCGCTGCCTCAATGGCTAACATGGCCAAAGATCCAAGTATACCACCCGCATTAAGTTTTGGGCGCGAGATGAGGTCGACGATGAAAAGCGAAATCAAGCCACCCGCAAAACCGACCAAAATCCAGCCCCCTAGATAAATCAGCTGTTTGTTAGTATCGAATCCCAACGTAGCATAAATCGTAGGGTCGTATGCGACACTGACCAAGGGACCGGTGAGTTAGGTTGAGATTGTTGTCATTACTCCCAATATTGTCCGTTTTCTGTAATTTGGTTTCGTAATCATTGACATATAGGAGCTCTCTAGAGCCTCATCGTGCCGTATCTGTGCACGAATTTGCAAAAACTCCGAGGCTGCCTCGTCTGATGTAGCAAGTCGATTTAGAGTATATTTAGCTTCTTCGTCTCTGCCTCGCTTGATCAGTGGGCTCTCTGGCAGCCAGTAAAGGCAGCAGAAGAGGATCAACGCGGGAAGAACACCCAGCGCGAGCGGAGCCCTCCACTGCTTGCTATGGATGTCACCAGGCTGAAACTGACTAAACGCATAGCCGATCCAAGCGGCCATCACACCGCCAAGGAGAATAGATGCCCCATTGACATTTACAAATGACCCTCGGACACTTGGAGGGATAATCTAACTGACCCAAAGAGTTACTGCGCAGACGATCATACACGCCCCTGCGCCAGCAGAAAAAAGGAAGGTGATGAACATGCTGATATTGGTGCTTCCGGCGAGTAAAGCGGCAGACAAGACGGACAACGCAGCTGGAAATGCTATACCGACTCGGCGACCCCAACGGTCAGCGAAGAAAGAGAAGACAAAATTCCTATGCATCGAGAGATCCAGTCAAGCCAATCAAGTCGTTTGTATCATTATGGCGGTCAAGGCCCGTGTAGTGAATGAATGATGGCTCTGTGAGTGTGGTAGAGAGAATAATGGCATTGTAGCCGTAAGATACCGAGTTCAGTCCCGTAAGTGCACTGAAGATAATTCTGACGGTTTTGAAACGACGCTGTGCATGTCGAACCATACTGAGATGGATAGATTGATGTTGACCCAAGAGAACGAATGAGGTCTCTTGTAACGGATCCACTATGAGTTGTGCGCAAATTTGTAAATTGGCTACAGGTTAGGCAGTGGATTACATATCCTTATACGGGGGCTTTCAATCGAATAACTCAAGTGAAGCCAATCAACAAGCCTTCCACTGTAAGAGTTTAGCGAAACTTCTCGTCTGTCACATCAGAGAGGGTCCCCCCCTTCCCGGTAACTTCGGCCGGTACCGGCAAAGCATCCTAGCCTTTCCTTCAAAACTCCGCGGCAACAGAAACTCCCCGTCCACCAATACTTGAAGCCAAAGTCAGAGCCTCTTACACGGATGGCTGTTTGAGGAGGTTGATCCCTGGTGACTAGATTTCAGCAAATTGAATGTTAGGAGCAAGGCACTGATCGATGCGAGTCACGAAACTCTGTCGCCGAACCAAGAACGCTCTTTGAAGGAGTAGGCTGGGTACCCGGTCATCTCGCATAGTCTTGGTGTTGACATGCGCGTACGCACACAGGCTTGAAGTGCCATACTTAGAGGAAACATGACAAATGTTTAATAAGAATTAAAAACGCGGTAACTTTATTCTGCGTAAGAAGAGAAGCTGTTTAATTCTTGCGGTACTACCCGTTTCTGAAGACACCATTTGTGAGCTTCAGTTAGGCACGAAGTTGGGCACGAGATTAAGGGGCGTCTCAGCAACATGCATAACTAGAACATCCGCTTTCGTGTCCACCGATGAACTTTTCAATGGGCAAAGTAGATGGTGGTGCACTGAAATCCGTCATTGGTGATTATCAGGACCCGCTGGCGATCCTTAAAGACAGTGAACACCTCAAATCCATTATCGGCGGTACCTACAACAGCACCATCTGGCTTCGATGCAGCGTCAGGGGCAATATTAAAGGTGAACTTTGTGCCACTTCCAAACGTGACAGCTATTAAAGTAACAGATTAGTATATTTCAGTAAGGATGTAAGACAAGCCGGGGACATGAAACGGATCTCACGCACTCTGTGCTGTTCCGGTCTCCCAGATACCAAATCCTTCTTCAGTGACATTGGTAATGTCGTCTGGAAACTGGTTGTCGTTCGCGCCATCCTGGAAATTCTTGTAATAGGCCAGAGCTGTTTTAACTTGTTCGCCGCGTCTGCAGTCGAGAAAATAGAGCCCGTCACGGTTTGGCATTTTGTCTATAGATGATATGAACGGCGTTCTTCTTTGTTGAGTGGTCAAGGGGATTGATATTCAACTTATCTGATAAAGTGCGAGGTGCTGATGAGAATGAATATCGCAAATTCTCAGAACTCTTAATGGATTATATACAACAACACCATTAGGTGAATGTAATTAGTATCACGGAGACTGCAACATTGAGAATGTCTAGCAATACCCCCTTTCAGTCAGATTACGAAGCAAGCTTCTGTGAGAAACATAGAGCTATTATTTTAGTCGATTCTTCACAGCTTGCTGTCGAAACATTCAACGAATTTTCAGCACAAAATCTCTGTAAGGAATCAGGTAGACAATGTCTTGCTAGACATCTCCATTAATACTGGTAACGCAGGGGGTTGAGCCTGCGGCTTACATAAGGCATCTCCACCTTTAGTTAGGAGTTGCGGTCCTACGCTATGTCTTGCGCTTCATGCATACTTGTCCGCCTTTCAAATGGCCCTTAGCGAGAGATTTGGAATACGCCAAGCACACTTAAGCGATGCAGATTAGAAAGCCGCCAGATTCGAGTTCGCCTGTGTGCATCAGACAACGAATTGGTGAAAATACCACCCCTCCTTCTTGGAATCCAGTGCCGCAAGCAAGCCTAAAGCGTAGCAGCTCTGGAATAATCGAGTTGTAAACTCGTGATATGCATGCAAGCTTAGCATGATCAAGCTTCGATATTACACTGTTGTTTTTGGCCACAGTACTGAGTAGTCAATCAAGCTATTTTATCATGTTGATCGGTCAAAGCAGCAAGAATGGCATGAGAGAGATAGCTTGTTCAAGTCGAGCCACGACAAAGGACAAGCAAATCGCGTGATATCGTACTACCCGGATAGTTTTCTGGAAGCTGGTGTCCTCTCAAAGCTTCATCGTCTGTAATACCACTACTTCAGGTCCTGTACCGATAATCCTCTCGCGATCCTCACAAGGTAGCCCTGTGCCGTACAGATTTGGAAAGGAGGGGGTCTTCTCACAGGCTGTAGCTCTGCGAAAACCACAGCAACTAGATCGCTTCAATTTAGGGATTGTCTTCAATCAAGGCTTGAGTGGTATAAGGTGTCAATGATCCTAATCCGGTGCTGACGGCACCCTCATCCATACGGGCAAATGGACCCAAAAGTCAGCGTTGAGTTGCCATGATTATATCTGTTGTCTGATCAAATCGAATTCCTGGAGCAGGCAAGACCATTATCACGTGCATTGTTGACGAATACCTAAGGACGAAATATCAGGCGGAAACAAGCATCGGAATGGCTAATGTGTACTTCAACTTTCAACGACAGGACGAGAAGAAGCTGATCGATATACTGTCGAGCCTACTGAAGCAGTTGTTGCAACTGCGAAATTCTATGTGTGAGACGTCTTAAATTCTTACTAGATATCATGAGAACCGGCGAACACGGTCTCCAGCTTATGAAATCCTCAAAGAATTGCATCCTGTCATCAGATCGTATTCCAAAGTGCTCATAGTCATTAATGCCTTGGACGAGTCCCCACTTTAAAAATTCCGGCGGTCCACTTTATACAAAACCTCTTCGACCCTCAGTCACGAGCTGATTTATGAATCTTGCCACGTCCAGGTTTATTGTGGAAATGGAGTCTCAATTTCAGGGAGGTTGGCGGAAGGTGATCCTGGAACACAGGGGAGATATTCTGACCTATCTAGATGGAGGAATACTGCAACTACTTGGATCAAACATCTCAACATATCAGGATCCTCAATATTTAGTTAGAAGGGAAGTCACAGATGCCATGCATGGAATGTAGGTCCACCGCTACTGGAGCTATCACCCTCTTGGTCAAATTAACAATTAATTCTCAGGTTTCTTCTTGCCCAGCTGCACACGGACTTTCTGATGAGCAGGGGATATCGTGCTTCTTCGCGGTTGATAAACGCTGAAAACCTCATTTTGGATGTCTCAAAAGCAAAGCCAGGACATCAGCCTCCAGCCAGGTTATGATGATGCTCTTGGAGACGACTGGAGAGACAGTGGGGCGGCGCCACCGCAAGTGACAGGACTTCACCTCACGGTGTATCTTGGGCTGCCGGAAGCCATGGTAACCTTAATGAAGGATGGACGAAATCCAAAGGTGAAGGATTCATAGGCCCGAACGTCACTGTCGTATGCAGCAACGAATGGAAAGCAAGATATAGTCAGACTGCTGCTTGAGAAAGATAAAGTCGATCCAGACTCGAAAGCCAGGTATGATATGACACCACCGCCCTTCGCATCCGGGAATGGGCTGCAATCGGTGGTGAAGCTACTCCTTGAGGATAGCAGAGTTGATCATGAGTCAAGAACTATCTTCGGCCAGACCGCTCTATCAATAGCCGAAGAGAACAGGTACGACTCGGTGGTGAAGCTGTGGATCAAAAGTCTACAGTCAAGTCAAATTCGACGAAGTCTAAATTCAACGCCCAATGTGACGTCTCAGATTTGTATAGTCGCAGGGTTTCTTCCAACCCACAGCTAGGTGCTGCTCATATTTGGGCTTGAGATACCTTTGATGATGATCGATGGTAGGTCCATGAAGCAAATATCCACTCAGGCGATTTCTTTCGAGCCGACTTGATAAAGGCGCTGGGCTAGTTACAGGAAAATTAATCCGATAATGCCTGGCGCCTAAAGTGTATTTAGCCGGACATCGGCCTCATATTCATTCTACCCCACACTTTTGATATAAAAATCACTACATACAATACATTCATGCTTACCTCAGACATTCTTCCGCCTTCCGCAAGATTCAGAAAAGCACATGCCTCATCTTGCCCACATCTCTCTAGTCGTTCGCGACTATGACGAGGCTCTCGAGTTCTTCGTGACTAAGCTCGGCTTTACCCTCGTCGAGGACAAGCAAGAGCCAAACAAGCGCTGGGTCACCATCCGCCCTCCTGGTGCGCCGCCGGAAGCAACGACCATATTGCTCGCCCGCGCTTCGAATCCAGAGCAGTCAGCCGTTGTGGGGGATCAGACAGGCGGACGGGTGTTTTTATTCCTCGAAACGGATAATTTTCAGAGGGACTATGATCGATTTACCATGAATGGGGTAGAATGGGTGAGGCCGCCGACCAAAATGGACTATGGGATTGTTGCCGTGTTCAAGGATCTGTACGGCAATCAATGGGATTTGATTGAGAGAACACCTGCGTCTTGATCGAGACTATGCCGACAGTCCAGTGGCTCATGACCGGATGCATGCCTAGAGGCTTTGTAGTGCCAAGTCTAGCAATCCGATGCAAGAACGCCCGATAGTCATGGGGAAGGCTTTGGTTTGAGGCGGCAACAACATGAAGGCGAGAACCATTCTCCAAATATATGAAAGCGCTGGAAACACTTGTAGACTCACAGGATCAGTCAAAATGGCTCCGTCACTCCACGATCTATGCTCCGCCGTATTAGATTAAGCAATGAGACGCGTGCCACGGACGCGTCGACCTGAGACATCGAGCCCTCCCCATCTCGCCTTTACTATTGCAATGAATTAGACCGCAAAACACAGGCATTCGCTTTACCCATCCCGAGCGGCTGGGAGGCAATGGCATCCTCTCCAGAAGTCGATTCTGAAGCAGTGGCTCTTTCCAAGGTATTACTCCATCACCTCATTCAATTGCACCGTTTCCATCAATCTCAGCAAATCGTCCCCATACCAAACGAAGCGAATGGCCATGGCTTACTGTACATCCTCAGAAACTACGCTCTGCGCTCTGGTACCACATCGGCAAGGTTGTTGACGAAGAAAGCCTCAACCTGGGTGTAAATGCAACACCGCAGTTCATCGGCAGCCTGATGGAGCTGGTCTGGGCACAGCTAGGTATATTTCAAACCCCACCCTTGATTCAAGCACATGCGAAGTGGCTCTTTGAGAAGCGGTTCTCTCAATGGATTTCTGACAGGCTCTTGGGTCGTACAGGAAACACCGCCGCCGATCTCGAATCATTCGCGAAACATGCTGGAAGAAGCACAATCAAGACTGATGATGTTATGCTGCTTACGAGGAGGAATGAAGGGCTGGCACAGGTGTTGAAAGAAGAGTTGAAGAAGTTGGAAACGTCGAAACTCAAAGGAGACAAATGAGCGCGATAACACAATCCAGTGGAGCCCATGATCGTGGAGCATGCCGCGGGGGCCAAATCCATGGGCTGCTCGAGAAGTGAACATTGAAGTGAAAGGAGCCGGTTTCGCACAAAATGTTCAGTTTGGGATGCACTACAATCTCGTCTATCTTACAGAGCACGGCCCTCGTCCATTGGTATCAAGCCCGCAGGATCCTCCCGCTAAGCACAATGGTAGATCTACGCAAAGCTAGCACGACATTTGCCTGATCTAACAAGCGCCGATAGAATCCCAATATGGTGAAGGCACGAGCAGCCATCAAGACTCTTGTCAGTCATGGACATCGCTCTCCGCACAACGCCCACGAGACCGGAGATACGATAAGTGAAGGATGCGCGTCACAATCCTCAACCCTGGTGGGAGGGGGTCCGAAACTATTTGTTACGAGATAGATTCCGCGAAAGACAGCTCAAGGCTACCAGTGCGCTACGTTGGCTTTCAAATTTCCTTGGGCATCAGATGGCTCGATTTGCAGAAGTAGGCGCATGACGGCGCGAGCTGAAGAATCGTCGTTTCAGTAAAAGCCATTGGAAAATACGAGGGAGGACTTGTAGAGCGCTTCTACAGATGGAAAACCACTTTGGGAGCATAGCAACGAACTAGCATAACCAATGCAACATGAATAAGCCACTGCACAAGTATCGTAGGAATACACGACATCAGGGACCTAGTGATCGGTCCATTAAGACTCAATAAGACCTGGACGGCTGAAAAGCTGGTGCTCTGTATCTGGCGAACCAACAACTATATAAAATGGACTCGACATGCACAGCATCGTAGGGCGGCTCTGCCGAATCGGAGGTCCTATTCCCCCGACGGAGGACGAGCGGTTTCCGCCCATCGGTCAGGCATATTACCATGGGACCGACCCTGTGCCGTGGGACTTTACATCCGACCAAGCTTCGTCTGTAGGACACCCTAATATCAGACGACTCGGTTCCCTCTTGATGCAAGAGGGGGCAAGGCTTGATTCGGATCATTCACCTAGCCAAGACATACGCATTGCCTGACTGGAAGGGTCATTTGCTCGTTTGTCCTTTGAATCAGGTACACTAGGGCGATTGAAACCTGGCCCAATCGCAGAGCACCAACCGCAAAAGATCAAGGGCAATTTGCCAGACTTTTTGTCCATTGCATCCCTCATCCGAGCTTGCACTTTCCGTCGAGCTAATGATGGATGCTCAAGACTGCGGGAGCACCTAGGCAAGGCTAATACTGTCACCCACTTGCTGTCAAATGTTGTAGAGGGTCTTGAAGAGAAGCAGGGTTGTCGATAGTTCTGAAAAAGCCGCTGATGTTCTTGCAGTCTGCAAGATGATTTCAAAAGAGTAGGGCACAGGAAAATCCTCCTTGTGCAAACATGTCCTGAACTTCTTAGGGCTTCTTCGTTTGTGGAGTAGGACCACCACTGCTAGCAGCTGGAGTCGCGGCAGCAGTAGCAGTGCTGGCACCTCCATCTACATTTGACGACGCATTTGCACCTGCCGCTGCGCCGCCACGTCGCGAATTACCTCTTCCACCACCACTGCGACCCCTAGAGCCTTGACCTGGTCCTCTGTTGCTAGCTCTTCCCGCACCACCACCGCTTCCACCACGTCCCCCGCGTCCTCCGTTTCGGGCTGAGCCTCGGGGTGCAGTTGGGGGCGTATCTGCTGAAGCTGCGGGTATCGTGGCGGCGGTTGTCTCCGTTGCTGCTGCCGTTGCCGCTACCAGTGTTGGTGTGGAGGTTGCAGGAGTTGCTGACTTGACAACTGGGGACTTGATTGCGGTTGGTGTTGATGGGGCTTGTCCCACTTGTGCTTGGGAAGCTGCTGGAGTCGACACAGCCGTGGCAGCTTTGTTTGTGGGCTCTTTCTGCTGACCACCGCCTCGCTTTCCACCTCCTTGAGAATTTTTGTTCTCTAGAACCACGACTTGTCCGTTACCCACTTTGACCGGGCTTGCTTGCATCGCCTTTTTGAGTCCCTCCGGTTCGCTGAAGTCAATATAGCCTAGTCCCTTCTTCTTATCAATCTCGCAGCGGGTAATGGTCCCAAATTGCTTGAAAGTGGTTTGCAGCGTGTCTTCGGTAATACCTTGAGAGGGATTTGCATGTTTGAGGAAGGCTGATTTCGCACCTGCAGATGATTGAGATGATTTTGAGGGGCGTTGTGATGGAGTAGAGGCAGTCTTTGCCGACGTTGATGCAGCGCTTGGTGTTCTTGAAGCTCGTGGGCCGGTCGGTGGATTCGAGGTTGTAGGCGTGGCAGGTAGGTTTTCTTTCTCTTTCTCTTTGTCGTTCTTGGCCCTTTCGGACTTAGAAGCTGCAGGAGGAGTCTTTCCAGAGCAAGTGTTTTCAACAATAATTGGAGTGGCTACTCTTTTCGCGGCACGCTGTGCTTTACTTTCCTTTGGTAGCAGGCCTAAGTCACGTTGCAGCATGCGTGCAGCAGCGCTAGCATTTCCTCGCTCTCGCTCTTTCTTTGGGGTTGCTGGCTGACTCGCCGATGCCTCCTTCTCTTTGGCTTCCTGTTTGACCTCAGTCTTGGATGGAGCTTGCTTGCCCCCTTGAATAGCGGCCGCAGGTTTATTGATGACATTGACAGCATCTTGGGTAACCTTCGCGACGCGCTCCTTCTCTGCGGTGGGAGCATTCCTTCCCTTGATGACTACTGTTGATCGACTCTCAGACTTGGGAGTTTTGCCTTCTTTGCTTTCTCGGGCCTTGGCAGCTTTGGCTTGGGAAGCTTCCTTGGCTTTGTTTGCCTTCTTTTCTTTGATATATTGGACGAGAGGTGTGGTGGACGATTTCTCGGCTTTGTTGTCGTTTGCATCAGTGCCATTTATGCCCGATCTTGTGATGGGCTCGGTCAAGCGTTGAAGAAAATCGATGAATTCCTGATCTTGGTCAATAGTTCCCTGTCTGCCATCATGCCTAGCACGACCGGTTGGGATTTTATTGTAAGGAGCAAATTCCAGAGAAGGTGGTCCTAGCAGACAAGCGTCTTTGGCGGTGTTTTTGGCGTCCTGAAACGAGATCTGCTTGAGAGTTGTAGAAAGTTCATCCAATAGAGATTGTTCTTTGATTTTCAGATACGCTCTGGAAGGGCGCGATGGTTTTGCAGGACTGCGTCTAGTCAGTCAAAGTCAGGCGAAGTAGCAGATCATTCTCACTCTCTAGAGATCTTCCCATCCTTGAAAGCAGCCCACTCAACCTTTGATCCACCCACGTTCCAAGTTTCACCTAGGGCGGTCCAAAATTCACTTTCTGTCAAGCCCGGAGGTAGTCTGCGAATACACAGTCTGAGCTTGAGCGCGGGCGTTCGTCCACCAGGCTTTGAAGTAGACGAAGGATTCACATTCTTCCTGGCTGCCGCGCTAACAGGCAGCACACCACCAGAGCGACCTTTTGATTGATTTGACATGGTTGTAGAATTGATTCATAAATGGAAGAACAATAGATAGTAGGAAATAGAGTCAGAATAACGCACAATATCAATTGTGAAAGAGTGAACCGGCAGTGAGGTCAGGTTGAGGCCAGAAGACGTCAAAGAGAACTACAAACATCCAGCCCCGCCGGACTTTCTTTCTTCCGGATCCGATACCACCACGTGCTAACAATGGCTTCCCCTGCCAACTTGGCAGCAACGACCGTCTCGTCGTCTTCGTCCTCTGTTCCTGCCGCCGTCGCCTCCGCCACCACCACCACCAACGACGAGCAGCGTCCTTGTGACGCAATTGCAGACCCCATTGCCGCAGAGGCAACCGCCGCCAATTCTTTCCCCGTGTTCGAGGACTTTCCTCCTGAGAGCACGCCCTCCACATCGACTTCCCCCCCCTCTCCACCTCCATCATCTCCGTTCTCCCCCGGCCACCGCCGCCGCCGGTCACGAAGAGTGACTGAGCACGACCTGCGCGCCTTCAAGGGCCTTCCCAATCGCAAGGTCTTCAACTACGTCGATCTCGTCAAGGCTCTCCGGACTCCCCCAGCGCCCGGAAAGATCCCAGTAGCCCCAGCAAGTCAACTGGGCACTGAGCGCACGTACATCCCTCACTCACAAGTCAGAGCGACTTCCCCTCCACCATGGGCGCGATAAACGTGCCTGTACCAGGTCCAGCACGTCTGAAGCGATCCGCTGGTCCAGATGAATGGCTTGAAGCAGCGAAGAACTGCAAATATCTCTCTGAATACCACATGAAACAACTCTGCGAAATCGTCAAGGAGTACATGATGGAAGGTCTGTTGCCCAAGCAGATCGACGGTGAACTTGGCCCTGACAACTGAACAGAATCTAACATCCAACCTGTCTCTACACCCGTCACAATCTGCGGTGACATCCATGGTCAATTCTACGATCTACTCGAGCTTTTCCGAGTCGCCGGAGGCATGCCAAATGAAGCCGCATCCGAACCCCCCGCCACGCCAGCAAACATCATCACTTCCGCAGACATCGAACCCCCTTCTACAATCACAAATCCAAAACTCAAGAAGAAGCTAAAACTCGGTGGTTCAGAATATCCAGACTCTCCCAGTGAGAAGAGTGAAATCAGCGATGCCGAAGACATCCCTTCCTCCCAACAGTCCGAACTCGGAGACCAGAAATCAGAATCTGGCAATGTCATCTCCGACAAACAAAATGCAAACTTCATCTTCCTCGGGGACTATGTGGACCGCGGATATTTCAGTTTAGAGGCACTCACTTTATTACTTTGTTTGAAAGCTAAATATCCCGAAAAAATTACTCTGGTTCGAGGGAATCATGAGTCCAGACAGATTACCCAAGTGTATGGGTTTTATGAAGAGTGTGTTCAAAAATATGGAAACACTTCAGTCTGGAAAGCTTGCTGTCAAGTTTTCGACTTCATGACTCTGGGAGCGATTGTGGATGGCAAGGTGCTTTGCGTCCATGGAGGCCTGTCCCCGGAAATCCGCACTCTGGATCAAGTCCGTGTGGTGGCTCGAGCTCAGGAAATTCCACATGAAGGAGCATTTTGCGATCTCGTCTGGTCCGATCCAGAAGATGTGGAAACGTGGGCAGTCTCACCAAGAGGTGCCGGATGGCTCTTCGGCGATCGGGTCAGTCAAGAATTCTGTCACGTGAATGGCCTGAATCTCATTGCCAGAGCGCATCAATTGGTCAATGAAGGGTATAAGTATCACTTCAAGAGCCAGGACGTGGTTACGGTATGGAGTGCACCGAACTACTGCTATCGATGTGGCAATTTGGCATCGGTTTGCGAAGTTGGTGAAGACATGAAGCCAAATTTCAAGTTATTCAGTGCTGTCAAGGACGAGCTACGACATGTACCACCATCTCGGGGTGGCCGGAACGAATACTTCCTTTAGGAATGATGATGATGAAATGCGGACACATCACAGATATGCTCAAGAGAAGAATACAGGTCCTTGCTTCGCATGAGAACGCTACAGACTTCTATGGGTGTAAGCTAGAGACAAGACAGGCATTGCTTATGAAGGTGGTCAAAGGAAGGCTTTTGCTTGGTATTTTGCAGGTTGCCAGCATTGCATGGCGTCGTTAGGGTTTTGAAGCACTAGTGTATAACATCTGGGCTCATGAGGACTGGTGATGAATTGAGAATGCCTTTGGAACATGAACCTAATTAAGACAATCCTCTGTTCTCATTTTTGCAACCTACAGTAGCTTTTTGATGTAGCGTAGATCGATGGCACTTGATCGAGAGTACTGGGTCACGTGCCATGTAGCCTTGCGTTAGCCGGGGAGGCTAGAGCATCTCCGGCGCCTTTCTCAACATCAAAGTCGTGGAGCATCTTATCCCTCCAGAGCAGCGGCAGTCTCAGACAATGTTAAAAGATCTATCGACCTGTCAAGAAAGATGCCGCAGAGCATCTCCCTCCCATGGCTACCTCCAGGTCTCCAGGACTCACGAAGCCCTTGAGCCGCGCCGTGGGTGCTTACAAGAATCATCTCGTAAACATTGTCAACGGCACCTTCTATCGCGAACATCCTTCTGCAGACAACCAAGACTCTGCCTCCAACCCTCCACTTTTTCCCAACTTGAACTTCTCACTACCGGCAGCAACCCGGGCTCCGGCTGATGTCCGTGATCGACCCAAACGAAAATCACCACATTGGGCCATTATCGCTCCTTCCGATGGAACTACATTCCTCGAGATTCTGCGAGGTTCATACCTCTGCGTTCCTCCCAATTCTCGAAAGTTCCCATACCTCGCTTCAGAAGAAATAGAACAAAGGGACCATCGCCTTCGCGTCCCATCACGCGCAATTCAATATGTTGGTTTCAATGGTGGTAAAGGCCAGGCATCATCTGGTACCATACGTGGAGCGTACCTTAGTGCCCGCTATGAGAGTCGAAGAGAGGAGACCGACTGGACTGTTTTACAATACCTGAAGGGAGAAACGGAATTAAACCCTGACGAGGAAGCCTCTGCAGAGAGACATGTTGATGAGAAGCTCCTCGGGAAAGTAATGTTTGACCTGCGCCTACAGAAGTTGGCAGAAATGCCGGTCAGCAATCTGAGTAACGGACAGACAAGAAGAGCAAGGATTGCCAAAGCCTTGATGGGAAAGCCGGAACTTCTTCTACTCGATGAGCCGTTCATGGGCTTGGATCCTCCCACGTTGATGACTCTCTCACCAATGTTGAGGGATATGGCTTACGAGGCTTCACCACTCCTGCTGCTAGCGCTGCGACCTCAGGACCCTATACCGGACTGGATAACGCATCTTATCGTACTTGGGCGAAACCACACTGTTGCACTACGAGGCAACAAGGCCCAGGTATTGTTTGCCTTGGACCGGTGGATTGGAGCTGCGTCAGCATCCACTTCCCACCCCTATAACGTTAAACCAATACCTCAAGCATATAGTAAACTCATGACGGAGACTTATGGCCCACCACCACTAGGGGTTGGTGACGTCTTGACCAAAGCTGGTATTGGACAGTATCAGCCCTTCCAAAGTTGGAAGGACCCGGCCTTTCTTTCGCGCTATCTCTTTGATGACGGAACGGTCAAGCCCGGGAAGATTAGTAACTCACACCAAAGAGACTTGATTTCAAAAGCTTTCGCGAAGCGGCCACGCGACAGAACGATCAAAGACTTGGCTGCACTTGTCACGACAACACCTAAGAGGTTCACTCAATTTGACTTCGGATCAAAGCATATCATTGAAAACCGAGACCCAAATTCTCAGGCTCCTTGGCCAGAAGCAATTCCAGATAGAGATGATTGGTCAGATAGCTTGGCCGAAGACACAACTTCTCAAAAGAATGCAGGAGAGCCCTTGATTGAGTTGTCTTCTGTTGTTGTAAGATACGGCTCAAAAACCGTTCTAGGGCACCTACCACCACAACCAGGCTACTCTGAACCAGGCCTCAATTTGACAATCCGTCAAGGAACTCGCTTGGCCCTACTTGGTCCCAACGGATCTGGAAAAACCACTCTACTATCACTCTTTACCTCCGATCACCCTCAAAGCTATTCTCTACCCATCAAATTCTTTGGGCGGACACGCCTACCTTCTCCAGGACAGGCGGGTTTGAGCCTGTGGGAGATTCAAAGCCGAATTGGACATTCAAGTCCTGAGGTTCATGCCTTTTTCCCTAAACACCTCACGGTTAGACGAGTTCTGGAAAGTGCATGGGCAGAAACCTATGCCGGCACCCCTATCCTCAGTCCTGAACGTGAAGCCCTCGTAGATAAATTCCTTCGATGGTGGACACCTGAACTGCACCAGGACGGCGCGGGAACCACCAAGAACGACAGTCTGGAATGGGCAGCTGACAGGGCTCAACACGGCTTCGGTGTGCTTCCATTCTCAACCCAGCGCCTCCTACTCTTGCTGAGAGCACTCATCAAGCAACCGGACATTGTCATTCTAGACGAAGCATTCTCCGGCCTCCCCGGCGAGACCCGAGACAAAGCAATGGCATGGCTTGAACACGGCGAGAGTGGATCGAGCCTCAACACTGGCCGTACATCTACCGACTCGAAACCAACCACCTCCGAGCCACGCTTCCCAGGCCTCAAACCCAGCCAAGCCCTTGTGGTGGTTTCTCATGTGAAAGAAGAAATCCCCGTCGTGGTTGATGAGTGGCTCCGTCTTCCGGGAGAAGAGGAAGTCAGCGAGTCGGGCCGCGGTATCGAGCGCGGGTTTGAACCCAAGGGAGGCCTCTCGACACCTGCAGGCTGGAATCGAGTCTGGGGAGCAAGAGCGTAGACTGCGTTCGCCGGAAACGAATTTGCACGGCCTCAAAGGTGTACATACAAGTAAATAATGATGACATCGGCAACAGGCGCACAGCACGAATGCCTCTCAAATGGAACGGCCCAGGAAGGTTCAAAACCGCCGTTCCTGCGTCGACCAATCTTCCGCACCTCGCGAATTACAATCTCAGAATCTGAGACTATGTAGACGGAGCATATAACGAAGCAAGCCATATATGAATTTCTCTATGCCAACTGCCACAACATTTTTTTTTATCGTAGCATGAGCATCCTCTATGTATGTACATATATATCTTCTGTTCCCGTTTCGGAGGCACGGACAATCAATATTGACGTGGTCACGGTGCATTGACCGAGGGGTTGGAGGGCAAGTGAACAGCATGTGTAAATGAGGCTATTGATTGATTAATGTTGTTCCACCCCACCTCTCCTGTCTTATCCTATCCTATCCTATCCTACATGAGAACCGTTCGTGGGCCACCTCCATTTTGCACGGAAAACTGTGTTTGGTAGCTGAGGGGTAATATGGCATGCCCATGTTCTTCTCCTTGGTACTAAAAAGTTGGTACCCGCAGGTCCCTGGGAATATCTCAAGAAATATAAAGCTGCGTTGCATCCACCCCCGCTCTTGGGGTCGAGCTCTATAAGCAGAGGGAAAAGACATATGGAAGGCAGATGACAACGACAAAGCAATAAATGGGTTCATCTCGGTCGTAGGGAGCGCCGGCTAATAATGTCTCTCTCGCAAACCATTTTCATGATGCCCAGACACACGCATCGGAGCTCAGACGCAACGCAGAACAACGTAAATGTAGTAGTCGTCGGCAAGCAAATTCAGACGCCGACTAGGCTTGATTTCTAGATCCGGGTGGGCCGGCAGAAACCAGTATCGCTTCCAAAAGTCGGCAATTTCTTCTGGCAACTTGAACTGTGAACGAAGGGTCGCAAAGAGTTGGTAGCAAGACACCTGGTCTCCGCCCTCACTCCACCTCACGAACCAGTCGGTCTCGGACGCTGCTAGACCGATCTGGAATCATGTGATAAGGAATACTGAATGCCGAAGTACTGCTTGCCTGACTTCTTTGGCTTGATTGACGCCTTAGAATGCGTCCAGTACCAGCACTATTCTGATGGGAGTGTTGGGTTATCTGTGGTTGGACTGGATCAGACGAATCAGACCCTGGATTGAAGGACTGCCTGGGAGATGATACCGGTATGGGAAAGCTCGATAATGAGATCTCGCCTGGGCTTGGTGGAACGGGTGCTTGATTGAGGTTCCGGTACAAGGCAGTTCCGTTCAGGTGAAGAGGGGGTGGGAGAGGGAGTGGGTGCTTCTCTTCATGGTCATCATTGACTATCGATGGGCCAGGCCCGTTATTTAGGTCAATCTCAAACTTCTGTTTGCCCTTGCTGTTTCGAGGACTATTGTCAAAACTTCCTGCTGAAGATAGAGAATTTCGATAGTCCGGCAGCCCGTTAGCGTGGGTAGTTGTAACCAATGTGTGGTATGAAATGCGAGGTCTGGCGTCCTCACTTGATGTTGAAGTTCCCACGCTGAGTCTGTTGTCTGCTGGAGAAGGTGAAACATTTCTCACTTGTGCAAAGATGGAGGACGGGGCTACGGGTTTTCCATCACTTAGTGAAGAGTGATGGCGTAGGCGAGATGGCTGTGTTTCCATTTGAGGAACTGGGTGTGTAAGAAAATTCTCATCCAGGCTTTGTTGGAGCCGAATTAAAGCGGCACGTGCTTCTGCCTGCTTGAATGCAAACTCATCTTCATCGAAAGTTGAACTATAAGCAGGTGTACTTCTGACAAGCTTGTCGGCGTACTTTCCCCTTCCCGAGTCGTGACTAGTCGCACGGCGTTCAGGCGTCGCATTCATAGGGCGTTTCGGCTTCGCATGCAAGCTAGGCTCAATATCCTCTGGTACACTCTCAAGAGGCGCCTTGGTGGGACTTGTCGCAAAATCTCTGGTCGTAATTCCGAAAGCCCTCGATGGGTCAACAAAATCGATCGAGTGTAGACTGTCTGGGGTCATTTCTATGATTGACTGACTTGGCGGAGTTGCTGTAGAGTCACTTGTTTCGGAGAGTGGCTGCTCTTTTGTTTGCGCGATATCAGGCCCGATGTCTTCAGTTTCACCTAATTTCTCAGCAGGGCTTGCTGATTCCGACATGGGGTCAGGTTCAACATTGTTTGGCGGGGTCTTGGGCCTAATGAGGCCACTTTCTGCTCTTGTGGGCTCGACAGCAGACAATTCTTTGCTTACAGTCTTTTGTTCCTGTGGAACTGAACTCATATGGTCTATTTCTTCACTGGTACGATCATGATGTTCTCTCGGATCCGGGTGATTGTGACCGAAATCAGCTTCGGTTTTGTCGACTTGAGATTCAACCATTACACTCCGACGCGGCTCCACATGAGCAAGAGTGCTAATCGGTGAGAAGGTGCTTGCAAAGGTAACAGCGTTGGTGCGAACTTCAGTGGCAGTTTTGGTTGGGACCGGACCATCTGCAGGTGGCGATTGCGCAGCCTCCGCAACAGGCGATAAGGGACTTTCTTGCTGCTGAAGGAGAGCCTTGACTTCAGGTGGAGCGCATTGAGGAGATGTATCAGGTCTCATTGTCTCAGACACCATTGTAGGCTGAATTTTGCGCATTGTATCAGCTTTGGCACTTTCAACAACTGGAGTGGCGCTGTGATGAGAGGCTGGGGAGTTCTCAGAGAAGACTTCAGAATCATCTCCAGTGAGATCCATGATTGTGCGATGTGCAAGATTGATTGAGCGCTTGACCGAAGATATGTTGCTCAATGCTGAAGGGGAGCGTATTGAGCGGTCTGATGGTTGAGTTCCGCTCTGGTCATCAACAGAGTTGGTGGTACTTAGCTGGATGGGTTGAGCTCGGTCGTGAGATCGCCGGTGAATCAATTCCGACTGAGAAAGTACATAATTTCGAAGGTTCTCGCCTCGGAACAGATCGTGACTGCCAGCCTGTGCTACGTGAGCTCCAAGTAGTTGCTTTTTAGGTGTTACAGTGGAACGGTTGGACAAAGGAGAGCCGGCTGAGCTTATGTGAAAGGTGTCTGGCACAGTGTGTCGGTGGTTTGAGGAAGGAGATCCAGCTGGCTGATTTGCAGCTTTCCAGGCATTACCTTGAGACTGCGAGCCCCAGGACTGGTCACTCAATTGGCGTGAATGTGATACGGTTGGATTTTGAACCTGGATCTCACTTGTGGCGGGTCGTCCATTAGGCGTCATTCTTACTAGTGATTGGTTACTGAGGGCGCTTGTCATTGGGCGTGTTCCGCCAGGGAGCTGCTCGATATGCCCGGGAGATCTGGAATGCGAGGAGATCTCAATGTTGCTCTCTCCAGGTAGAGGTGGGAATGCATTTCGAGCAGCTACGTTTTCCTGGTACTTGGAAGGACTGAGTGGTGGCTCGAAACCATCGAGTGCCACTCGAGCGAGATCCAGATTCCTCTCGGCCACATCTTCATTGTAGACCTTGGGACTATCGGGCTTTGAGAGCGAAAATATATCAACATAGCGAGGTGGCTTTGTCGCGATGTAATCTTTAGTATATTTCTGGGCGGACGCCTGAAACTCCTGCTCGGCGATATTGACCGCGTCAGCAGCGCGATTGACAGCGCTTAGCAGACTCCCACTACCAGACGTATTGGGCCTTGAGGGAGAGGTCGTAGGTGTCGATACGCCCAAGAGTGTGGGCTGCACCTTTCGGCTGGAAGGCGGACGCAACGAATTGTCTGCGGTCGTTGCAGGACGACCAGATTGGCTGAAGGCATTTCCTGCAGATGTCCTGATGGGTCGGTCTGCGTTCTGCGCGCTTGAGATGGAGTGCCCTTTCAGATCTGTGCTTCGAGTTTTTCGCAAACTCTTTATACTTGGGTCAGGTTGACCATCAAGGCCCTTGCTCCTTCTACGAGTCCATAACTTCTTCAGGCCACTCTCCATTGCTCATTCGTGCTTGCATGCCCTGGCAATTCAGACTTGTATGCAAATCATGATAATGCAACAATATTCCAACGCGCATCACCAGTATCGACATAGGTAACATCGAAGGGTCAGAGTCGGAGCAGGATCATTTCTTCCATTGCAGCGTGTGAAACAGGACTGGACGCAGGACTTGGAAGGACTAGCAAAGAGGCGTGTGCGAGGGTAAAAGGCTTGAGGCTGGATCGGGCGGGAGTGGTTGAGGACAGTGACAATTTCCAGGTGATGTGCCGCCGAGCGAGGGACAGAAGAAGTGTAGGAAGGACTGACTACTCGTACGGGGAAGGCTGCTGCACGGCGCACGAGTACGAGGTAGTCCGTACGAGGCACAGAGATGGTATTGGAAAAGTGGAAAATTGAGACAATGGGATCAAAAGAGGCTGGTAGATATCAGAGTTAGCTTTGTTTGATCATTGGGATAAGTGAGATGCAGAAGCGGCATGCGGATGGATAGATGAGGACGTCAGTAGTGGCACCCAAGTCGGTGGTTGGTTGGCTGGTTGGTTGGTTGGTTGGTTGGTTAGATGGAATGGATGGGGATGGCGCAGACTGGATCATGGACGATGGTGGAGGGTTTGGATAAGCAACGCAGCGCGGAGCCACGGGAGCCGCCAATGGCACTGACCGCAGGCAGCTCCCTGGTCCCCTGGCCCCTGTCCCCTGTTCTCGTCCACCGCGTTGCTTGGTCCCCAGTTGGTCCCCAGCAGCCCCCTCGGCCCCCCGGGGCGCTACCCAGTCAGGCCCGGGCACAATCGTCATAGGCGTGGGTGATGGGCGTCCGGAAGTGAGATGAATAGGTGCCGCGCTGCAGCTTGTCGCAGCCATCCCTCCTAGAAGATCCGCCCAGACGCCCCTAACTTAGCGAGGGCGCTTCTTCATCATCACAATGTGAGCAATGCAGGTCCTAGCAAACGAAAACGGGGTGCTCATCTAATGGGCTCCGAAGGGCTGGTGATAGCGGCCAGGGAAATACGAAGACTCCATAGCCTTTGACCAAATTGAGGGAAACGAGGTTGAAACAGGCGGCGGTGCGGGTCATCAATAAAGCCTCTTAACGCTGCCGATCTACCGCCTTTAAATCTTCCGAATGATCGACGCTGTTCCAAATCTCCAACATCCCGCGCTTCTGGCACGCTCTGGTCGATCCTCTTTCAAAAATAGAGCTTAGATGTGTTCGCTTAGTATGGTTTCAATAGAGCGAGATCACGTATAGAAGTCGCCAATTTACACAGGACTATGAGATCCTTTTCCAAGACTCTGCCACATATTGACAAGACACCAGGCACCTGAACGGAAGGACATTAGGAAGACAAAGTCTCTCCGGTGGGGTCAACGTTGAGGTCGAATAAAGAAAGCCACGGCGGAGCTCTGGAAAATTGTGCGAAGAACAGGGAACCCCGGTGCGGCAGTCTGGCAATGGTGCTGCATACGGAGTACTGAGTACGGTGTGCAGAGCACGAGCCTCGGGTGCTTCATGGGGCCAAAGGGGCGTCCCGGGCGGCTTCCGGGGGGGCTTCCAGGCTACGGATCCCCTGCTGTACGACCCAAAACCTCGCTCACCAATCTGTGCGCCTCTTATATAATTAGTCCATGAAGTAGCAGGGGTGGCATTCTAAGGCAAGGCCCTCGATAACCCTGGGAACGCATCACACTTGTCACCGCCGCTCCTACGCTCACAGCGAAAATGGTTTCTTCCTTTCTCAAAATATCTTCTATACGACCGGCATATTTTGACAGATGTGTGAGGGCGCCCTGCAAGCCTCCCACCGCCGAGGTAGGTCTTGCCAGTGCCTGTGGCGTCCTTCTGCAGCCCAGAGAGCCGGTACATGCAAGACATTCTATCTCACCACGTCTTCTGCAACGGCGATGTGCCTCAGGGATGCCGAATCATATTTGGACTCCTGTATGCATTAAGAACGCCACAGTCCCACCTTGCCACTAAAAATTCCTCAGCTTCGTCGTGCGTCAAGTGTCAACTTCTTCAGCCAACCACCTGTTGAGCTCCAACCCGACTTATTGACCCTTCTTAGCCGCGACTACCAAAGGCCTTGTCATAATCTGTCAGGGTGAATCGGTATTTAACCTTGTTATCCGCCACTCGAGTAACCGCCTCTTTGCAACCGGTCTCTGAGATAGACACTGTTTCCACCATTGGGAATAGCTTCTTCTCCGCGGCAAGCTTCAACATCTCCAAGCATTCTGGTCGGTTGCCAATATGGCCGGCCCCAATCGAGCTACCATTGCTCATGAACATCTGTGACTTGATTGGCGGAAGGGCCTCATCAGGTAGTCCTACCTGGTGGAAAGTAGCGTTCACCTTACACAGCGACAGGTACTTGGCGAGATCGAACTCATGGGTCATATCCGCCGCATTGAGCACGAAGTCAAATCCGAACGCATATGGCTTCTCCCAGCCCTCCTCCGTGCTGACAACAAAATGCTTGGCTCCCAGCTTCTGAGCATCATCCTTTTTGCTCGGTGAGTGGGAAATAACAGTGACTTCTGCGCCCAGGGCATTGGCCCACATGACCGCAAAGTGTCCTAAGCCCCCCATCCCGACGACCGCGACTTTCTTCCCTGGCCCAGTTCCTGCCCGCTTCAACGGCGACCAAACCGTCAAGCCAGCGCACAACATTGGTGCCGCAAGATGAGAGGGAATGGCATCTGGAATGGGAAAGACGAAATATTCGTGAGCCCGGATATGCGATGCATACCCTCCCTGTGAGATGGTCTCATCGGGATCAACCTCCTTGGGATATGGTGCTCCGTAAGTATCGACCATGTGCGGACAATAGTTCTCGTTGTCGCTCTTGCACTGAGGACACTTCAAGCAAGCCCAAATCTGAGCACCGACGCCCACCCGGTCCCCAACTTTGACATCCTTCACTGCGGAACCAACCTTGACTGCATGGCCCACTACTTCATGCCCAACACAAATAGGGAGAGGAGCGTCACCCCAACCGCCGTTGACTGTGTGGACATCACTCCCACAAACGCCACAACACTCGATCTTGATATCGATGTCTTTGTCACCGAATTTTTTGGGTTTGAACTGGTCGATTGCAGTAAGTATTCCTGTAGTTATTACGCACGGGCCGTCCAAACCTCTTGCTTCTTGAACTCCGTCCACTTCTTCTGATCTTCGATCATGAATCCTTCGAAGGTGTCGGGGTATCCCATTTTGTGTTCGTCGGTGAATTTCTCTTCCTGGGAATGTCACGGGAATGCGGCGATTAGAAGTACGAGAAAGGGGAGTATAGGGAGAATTTGTTGGCTTGATATAGTAAATTTCTTTATCGTGACGTACAGTATTTGGTGGTGGAGACGACCTTCCTAATCTATGGTATTTGACGACACAACAATCGATTAAAATGGATGGCATGACCTCAGACCTCATTGCTGGACCCGGACCATTTCCAGACAGCCGATGTTCTCGTACTCGCACCGAAAAGTGACTCGGCAAAGTCCATCTTCGAGGCAGATCTCCCCGCGGCCACTGCGCAACACGAACCCCCCCCCCCCCGCCTGCAGCTGTCGGTAGACAATTCGACATCGCTTATCTCTGAAGGTCTTCATTCTCTGGTGGATCCAATGGTCTCGGATATGCATTCCCCGACTCAACAATCGAGAATGCCGGGGAAAATCGCCCTGAGCGTCACCATGACGTAACTCAAGATTTGCACGGTTGTTGTACCACAAATCATGATCTCGAAATCTCTATACCCATTCAACAATATCTAATTACCTGGGCAGAATGGCCCACACACACGCATTGACTCAGCTGCATGAGAACACTTTCTGTCGCAACCGACGTGGACGGGGTTGAACTCATGTCCGACCTCTAGCATTGTAGAGACCAGCACCAGACATCTGCCCCCGGGCTTTAACCAATCATCAACAGCCTCCAGCCGTGAGAAAATGAGATCCTCGGGAAAGGCTTCCGTAACAGCTGGATAAGTGTCTCTACTGAGGTAGCCTGGTCGGGAATGTAGGTGCCCCAGGAATGCATAGCATCACTCCCAGGCTTCGCTGGACCAGCGTGGTTAAGGGCAGCGGCTTTTATATCAACATATGTGATGCCTCTAAAGTCTAACATAATCGTAGTAGATCCTAATTTCAATGTCTAACATGGATTGATCAAGGCGACATCACGCTCTTCTCCCGCTGGCAATGTCCACATATCCCCGTTGAGACTTGCGAAAACACCCCCGTTAGTCTAGATTGAGACTCACCGGCTGACACTGATATCCCAAATCATATCCCCATTTCCATCCCCATTCCCATCCCATCCCTACTATTAATCAAGCCAGCGTTTTCCCACTCTGCCAGAACAGGTAAAAACACGTGAAATTCCCCGCCCACCACGCCAAACTCCTAACCCACGAATACCTCCGCCTCTCAGTCACCAAATACGCCGCGACATACACGCCCCTCACGAGCGTATAAACTGCACACGCACGGTTGACCCTCGCATTACCCACACCGCCGACGGTCGCAAATATCACCGCCGCGAGGAACACAGGATAGTTTTCGACAGAGTTTGCGTGCGCGGCTTCGTTGCGTTTCAGCAGGTTGAGCTCGCGACGCGTGATTTTGCCGTCTTGGACGGCCTTTTCGCCGTAGTGGGAGACGTCTTCGCGCGGGCTCGTGTTGTTGTCCATCCCGTAGCCGATCTTGAGGGCCCGCGAGGACACGATCGCGTGTGCCCAGATGCAGGGGAAGATCGCGTAGTACGGGGCGTACTTCGCGACGGGGAGCCCTTGCGTCCTTGTGGTGTGCAGGCCGAGGGCTGTTGCCATGGTTGACATTGTTGTTGAGTGGGATGTTTGTAGGGATAATTCGGTCTGAGGGGTTGTTCCAAATTCCGACTTCGAGATAGAAGAAGAGAAGAAAAGATTGATACGTGTTAATTGTATATCTTATCTCCTTAGCTGGAATCAGGCACCCTGTACATAAAGCCAAGGAGTGAAGCTCATTCTATGGTAGCATTGTTGTATCTCGGATCGAGTGGTACTGTAGGCTAGTAGCACAAACTATACGAGTACTCCCCATCTTGCTGACCTCAAAAGCCATGTCAGTTGTTGCGTTTGTTCCTTCTTGAGCACCCAGGTACCGAGTAGTCTTTCAGTCGCTCGAACCAATGGCGCACATGACACTCGATGCAGGAAATCGGTGCAGTAAGCCGTATGAGGTCTGTACCTCGCTAGGCTGCTTGGATCAGGGCGGGCTCGTCAAACGCACATCGTGTCGGACGCGCGGCAGCCCGACTATCAGGAACAGTGACACCACTGCCAGGTATGCATGAGTCATCTGCCCTGTTTGCAACTTTTTGGTATTTTCGCTTTTGGTTTTCGAAAGAACATGGAAGCCAGAGGAGATGGGTAGTGGTAATCTTGAGGAGCCATAAGCTGTTGTTCTTGGAGCTCAGGAGTGTGTCGTAAACAGTATATTAGCGGAACGCCGGGTCAATCCTCATCGAGCCCCAGGCTCCTGGTGTCAGTATTGCCAAGAAAGGGCAGGGTCAGGTGACTCGAGTTATTTCGTCCATGCCTAGCCGTGCCGAGTCACGTGCCATAGTGAACGTACTTAAAGCAGCCACCGGTTCTCTTTATTTGGGGAAGAGGGTAATGCCGCCCTGTACCTACACCTGTTCAAAACCCCGCTCGCGCGAGCAGGGTGAAACAGCGCCTGTTACTCAACCCATCGTGGGAGCCAACGCGGGTTCTGCTTCACTACTCTGTCGTTGCTACTGAAATAGTACCTTTTGTGCCATACTCGTTCATGGAAACAGTGCAAAGCCTATAGTTGTGCTTTGCTTGGCGAGTTTGGGGCGACTCTGAGCAGATTTTGAAGTTGAGAGTCCCTCTTTCCAATGGAACTGAAGAAGGAGTTGAAATCGAAATAGGCATTTGGATTCAACCCCTCCCTGTTCTGCCAGCCTTGGCTCGCCCCCGCGTCACTCCACTCATGAACCCTGCCTCTGGTAGACCTCCCTCGTCACGACACAGCATCTTAGATGCACATTTTGGCCGTAGCCCTGCTTCTCTCAGTTTCGCAACACCTCCACGAAGAGCTGTGCTCCCGAAAACATTCATTAGGCTTCATGCACTATGTTGACCCATCCGCATAGCATCATCTAGATTCAAAATCGGGACATTCACAAACCATCCATGATAACTATTACGTACGGACTTCGGCACAGGATCCAAACCTGATTCATAGAAAGAAACTCACTAGTAGAAAACTCCGTAGCCGCAGAGACTCGAGAGTCGGATAGTTTCTTCATTTACGAGGAAATACGTAATTATTTACGCGACCAGTGTACCGGTCTTGATACAGTACAGTGTACTGAATACACAGGTTGGCATTAGAAATCCGGTAAAGATGAAAACGAGAAGTACGAGTAATGTGTGCATCAATGTCGCATGAGGCATAGTGCACACCATCAATCGCCACAATTATCCGAGATACGTTCTGCTCCGCCGGTTCGCATGCCAAGTTTTGCCATGCCCACGCGCCAAGATCAGGACCGGAGATGCCTTGATCTCAACGTGACGTCCAACGTGATGTCTACAAATCATAGGTGCAGTAAAGTGATTCATGCAGCTCCGGAAGGAAGTAAAGCTTAATAAAGAGTGTCTCTCTTCGCGATTAGAATGGTGGGAACACTGAGGTCTTGTCCGAGATCGGTCGGCCCTACGATCGAGTGAAGTTGTGAGCAGGATGATACAGTTCAGTTGCCCGAGCTACGGTAAACAACGCTGCGCGTGGATAGTCGACTTTCTCACTCCAGAGTTGTTTGAATGTACTCTTATCCGAAATTGGATCTGCATACGACGTGGCATCGAGCTCTGATGCCAACATGGGTGTTATCCTACTACCAGCGTTGATATCGGATATTGAGAAAGTGTACGATGTTTATTTCGCAGCCTTTAATAACGAGCCAATGGGAGAGATCATGCTCAGCATACTTTTCCCTGGAGGCATTACCCCGGAGTTCCGAAAGGAGCATACCAAAGCAACTCGAGACTGGTGGCATAAAAGCACCACCCAATACACAGTAAAGGTGGTGGACGTTGATAGTGGTGAAATAATTGGCATGCTGCTTGTTGATGGCTTTCTACAAGAGCGCTCTGTGGAAGAACGACAATGGACTGGGATACCTTGGCTTGAAGGTGCTGAGAAAGAGCGGGCTGAGGCCATCACCCGCCCGCTGTGGGAGATGAGAGAAAAGCTGTTTGGCGGAAGAAAATATATCTGTAAGTGCCTGTGTTGCGCAACATCATTGTTGCTTTCCTTTTGAATGGAGACTGTATGGCCATGATGACTAATAGAATATCTAGATGTCCACGTCGTAGGAATCACACCGTCCTTCCAAGGTCTCAAGGCCGGGGCAGCTATGATTGACTGGGGCGTCAGAGTAGCGGATACTTCGAATTTGCCAATCTACATTGAGGCTTCCCCTTCCACATGGACACTGTATGAGCGTTTTGGGTTTGAGAGAATAGGAGAAAAGCTAGTACACTCAAAGGAGCTTACCCGGACTGATGACGATATTGAGGTGCCTCTAATGGTCAGAATGCCTGCTATCGCACATGGCAAGAAATTTGATGATTGGAGAGCTGAGGGATTTCCACCCTTCCAAGAATAACAACGTTAGAGGAGATAATGCTCACACTTGCTAATTCAATCAAGATAACCGCCTAGAAGTAAGTGCTAAGTGCTGGTGTCGGTTTCGTTTTGACATTGAACGAATACCAATTCTGTTTGTTTCTCATCAATTAGCGTCAAATTCCTACCAAGACGTTTCAGACTTTTGTCTTAGCCCATTTGTTCAGCGCTTCATCGCTTGCTAAGAACTGTTTCAAAATCGTCACAATCCTTTTCAAAGACGTAGCCCATTGCTTCATTTTAGTATCACCAGTCTCTGGATCGCCATGTTCCCCAATTAATGCTTGATAGAAGTTTCGGCGTTTCGGCGCGGCATTCAACGCAGCCTTGAAGATCAGTCGAATGAAGGCATTGTGATAAGGCTGAAGGGTAGTCTCGTAGCTCTCCTTGAATGAATTGGCCAACTCTTTGTTGTTGCATTTTGCTGATGCTTCGGATGCGGCCACTTGCATTTCGATCATGAAAACCTCGGTCATAAAATCCAGAGCTCGCACGATCCATATAATGCCTTCGGTCGCCGGTTGGGCCTTGAGAGAAAGTTCGGCTCTAACTAATGATTGTAAAGTCCCGGAGGCCTCTGGCGCTTGTTGTTGTCTTGTACGTACTCTACGCACATTGAAAAGCAGGTCTTGCTTTATAGGCGTGAACATTGCGGATCCTAGAAGGTCGAAGATTGTCGTCATGCTCTCTGTTGCTTCAAGAAATTCAGTTGTCGAGACTTCCTGATCAATGGAGATCGTAACATCGCTGAATTGCACGTTTGGAGTATCAAACCAAGTCCTTCCAGAGGTATTATCATAGGCCATTGTGTTTCTGATCCGCATCGTGCCTAGAGGCACAGTGTTGTTAATAAGATTCCCACCACTGTTACAACTGTGATTACACTTGGCGTGAGTAGAATTTATCGGATTTCAGTCCGACCAGACTAAATGAGAGAATTAGTGTGAAGTTTGGAAGGTCAGCTTGCTATCCGACATCGCAATTCAGGCAAAAGGTCGACATGATCCCAGAAACGTCATAAATTTGACCCTCTCTTATTGGGAAGCGAAAAGCGATTTATAAGTACGATTTCTCAACAATATGGTCTGGATTTCTCTAAGCATTCACCCGTCTACTCTTGCTGTAAATCTTTCATTGAAATTGACTAGATCTTATTTCTCAGGCATTGATTAACTTCTGGTGGTAGACCATGCTAACCCACATGTAATTCAGTCAACGCGGAATACTCGAGGCCAAGGTCTTCGCACCTGTTTGGAGCGAATTGCAAATCATGGACTAAACGGGCTGAGCCCGCTGCGACAAGAGACAGAGATCTACAAATGGCAGAGTTCATTTGGTAGTTCAAGGGATTCTTGATACGAGTACTGTCTACGAAATATGAGCGAGATGGCTGAAAGTTAACGTGAGCCTGACAAGCTATTGCGAAATGCCGCGTGGGTGAAAAATGGCTTCTAGGACGACACAGGTCTCGCTAATTCTTAGATTCCAAACCTCATGCAACGACCACTGTCTGAGCTTATTAAGAGCATCTTATTGCCAGAGCGGATATTATATCCTAGACAACCATGCCCTTCACCTGTTTATTATCTTTGACCCTAATGTCCCTCCAGCATGCCACGGATACCAATGCACCCGCCAAGAGACAAAGGCTGGTAATGAGCATATATCGTTGCGCATCACCGTATGCTCGATTTATAGCATCCCTCGCAGCGGTCCCTGGCCGATAATACATCTGAGCAATGATGGATGCGTATACTTGGTCAGCATCCACATCTGGTGGCAAATACTTCCGAAGCGCCTCCGGGAAGACACTGGTCCATATAGCTGTCGCTACCGTCCCCCCCGCAGCGCTACCGATGCTTCCGAATAAATTGAGCACAGCAATAACTGCGGCGAGATGCTGCTGATCTGATGGTGCCATCATGGCCAGCTCTCCACAAAGAACTATCGTTCCTCCAGACACGGCAACAAAAATTTGGGTCATAATGATATATCCAATGTCGCTGTTTGGGCGCCGGAACTCGACCATAAGCCCAACCCCTAGCATCATAAGGGGAATGGCGAAGTACAATGCTAGCCATTTGAACCTCCCCGTCCAACGCACCAGTAGGCCAACGACAAGTGCAAATAGACAGGAGCCAGTCCGATATATTCCGTTAATGTACGTCGCGTTCGTGACACTCTGATTCCAGACAATCTGCAACATAGAAAAGAAATAGCTCCCCCACACCATGGAATTGAAAAACACAAAGACGAACATCAGTCCGGCACTGAACACGGTTCGATCCATGAGAATTTCGAATGGGATAAACGTCTTAGGTGCCCAGAACTTCTCGTAGGAGGCAAATAGAATAAGCAAAGCTCCACCAAAAGTGATCATGCAGATGATCATTGGAGACCTCCACTTTTCAGATTGATACGAATAAAGGCTGAATGACAGGAGGAATAATGACATGCCTCCAGCAAGTAAAACGATACCCACAAGGTCAATATCAATAGCATACCGTTTCAAAGATCGAAAACTAACCTCGATCTTTTGATGTTTGATGATGCCTGCCTTTTGTGCCTTTTTCTGATGGTATAAGAAGAGAATAATCAGGGGAGCAACAGCCACAGGAGCCGCTATGGCGAATGCGCCGAACCCCCATCTCCAACCAGGTCCACTGATTATGCTCTGGGAAACTGGTGCACCCAGCCAGGTAGTTGCTATATATGGAGTCGTAGCAACAGCTAGCATAAGAGAACGATTCTTTAGAGAGGAGGTATCAGCAATGAAAACAGTCAAACAGTAACTAACGCCCTGAGCACTGAGTTGGGTCAGTGACGAACGTATCGACAAGTGGCTTCAGCTCACCCAGTGACTGCAAATACTTGTGCTGCTGCGTAAGTTTGGACACTGTTACAAGCAGCCATCATAATAAAGCCTATCGTCCAAATGAAGGTCATGAGCCCGATTCCCTGAGGCCTGCCCCATGTGTCGAGAATCTTAGCGGTCGGGATCTTTGCAACTCCGCCTATGATGCTCGACATGATGTTTGTAGCCGCTGTCAGGGAATGTAAGGAGAATGAACTCGTAACATATGGATTCAAGGAACGGACTACAACCTCCTGGAGCGAGGCGACAAAATAGATGAGGAATATACTGACCATGGTTCGTCAGCATATTGACTGATAACCTTGGCCTCTGAGAAGACTTACAAGACATGTGCTGCTATGAGATGCTTCCTACTCCAGACTGCCGCAGCGGCCTGTATTTTCTGAACACCGGCTTGGGCATCATGTGAGATATGTTCCTCATTATCGCGGCGAATATTCTCATTGTCACTGTGCTGGTTGCTTTCTTTTTCACTGGAGGGACTGAATACTGCTGCAGATTTTGCAATTTTGTGTTGCGAGTCTGATATCTCAGTGGCATTGTAGATAGTAGAGTTGGGCATGATTATTCAAGGCATGCTAATAGTTGAGAGTAAAGACTTGCCCTGCCTGGAAAACCGCAGATTAGTCTTCGCCGCAAAACCTTAGTCGCAGCCCAGTGATATTATTTACTGCGTCAAGCAAGCTACTCCACACTCGTGCCACTTTCGCTTGTCATGCCTTGGCAGGTTGTACAAGGTGTTCTTTCTTCTGCTGATGTTTCTGGGACCGACTTCGGCACAGCATGCATGCGCCGACATCGATCATGCAGAAGGTGGTTTGCTCCCAAAGAGGCAAGGGATTAAAGCGGTAAAAACAGGCCGTGCCTACCTTTGCCCGACTCTTAAGTCTCCTTGGCATTCGAATTCGCTTCCTGCACCAGGATCTGATGTGGATAAATTCAACGAGAGTGGGACAGCAGTTTTAATACCGCTAGTAAAGTATTAGTTCCGTATTCCCATCCACTCTCCCTACCGAAAATCATGTCAAAGCCACCGACAAAAGAAAACTTGATCAGTAGGTGTCCCTCAGCATTGTGTCTTCAATGGTTGTAAATTTACTTTGGTCGTTGTGACTCCGAGGTTCAAGCAGAATGCAATCGGAACAGACTTGTCCACAATTCGGCATGTGGTTATCCTTCTCGGAGTAGCGGACTATCGTCGGTAATGAGCCTTTTGTTTGGGCTGTGGGTATTTGCAGACTCTCAAAGGCCTTGAGGCATTGGCAAACCTTGGGAGTAACGAAATTCAGTTAACACTGGTGTGAGGAAGAACTGCTGCCTCCGATCATCAATACATTGCCAGGGAGACTCTGGCACCACAGTTATGGTCAAAAAGCCTTAAGTACCTGCCTGCTGCAGACGCTAGAGGTCACTGTCATGGCCGCACGATTGTTGGGAAAGATGGTCCTAAGTAAGCGTCACAGAGAGAAGCGTCACAGTGACGAGCTTGATGACAAGAAAGGTGGGCAATCCAGTTCGGTTAGTATGATTTTCCAATAAGCAAACATTCATGACGACATTAGAAAACCATTGGACTAACTTTTCATGAAGTCAATACTCGCATATTTTCGACTCATTCGTTATGCTGGGACAACATGGCTAGACATTGGCCTCACTATTGCTGGCACTCTGTTTGCTGCTGCTGCGGGAGTTCCATGGCCTCTCATGGCCATTCTATTTGGCGAGCTTATCGATGAAATCAATGGAGTGGCTTGTGACGCCGATGATGATGTTCGTGGCACACCACATGAACAGGAAATTAATCGCAAGGTCGTCCAACTTGTTTACATCTCCGCTGTCGGTCTCGCTTTGATGTTCGTATACTTCAACTGCTGGAGTGTTTTCAGCCATAGGCTTGCATATCGCCTCCGCGAAGACTATTTTCGAAGTCTCCTGAAGCAAGATCAAGAATTCATTGACAAACACCAAGCTGGTGAAGTCTCCTCCCGACTCAACACTGATATTCAGACCATCCAATCAGGAACCTGTGAGAAGGTGGGAATGATAATCGCTGCTCTATCCTTCCTTGTGACGGCATATGTGGTTGCCTTCATCAAGCAAGCTAAACTGGCTGGAATGCTTGTACCCCTGCTACCTGCTTTTCTTCTCGTAACTCTGGTTGGTGGGGTTTTCTTTCAAAAATATGCAAGCTTGATGACAGATGCCACAGCGGCCGCATCCAATATCGCCGCCGAGACTCTGTCACATATCACTCTTGTGAAGGCGTTCGAGGCTGGGCCACGTTTGGAGTCCAAATATGCGAAGCACATGCAAATCGGTCGCGCCTACGGTATCAAGAAAGGCTTGGTTGCAGCAATCCAAGCAGGCTTGATTTATTTCATTGCCTACTCCGCACAAGCTCTCAGTTATTGGCAGGGTAGCCGGATGATCGTAGACTTGATCAGAGGGTTGATAACGGGTAGTGGAGGTGGGTCCACCGTTGGAGATATATATACAGTAGTCTTTATTCTCATCGATGGTATGCCGCCCGATTCTTCTCGCAACTGTTCCCACTTGAACTGACTTTCTTCACTCTGGCAGCCTGCGTTATTCTCGGTATCACCGCACCTTTCATACCCCTCCTTGGAGCTTCTGCTGCAGCATTCGAAAAGTTGAAAAGAGATATCGACCACAGATCACTTATTGATCTCAGTTCAGAAGCAGGCATTGCATTGGATTCCGACTCCCCAGGACTCATTGAGTTCTCAAATGTATCTTTTGCCTATCCCGCTCGCCCAGATGATATTGTGTTGCACAATATCAATTTGAAGTTCCCTACAGGAAAGCACACGGCAATTGTCGGCCCATCCGGCAGCGGCAAATCAACAATAGCAGCTTTGTTGGCCCGCCTCTATGACCCAATGGAGGGATGCATTTCAGTCGACGGGCATGTTCTCACGGATCTCAATGTCAGGAGCTTGCGGGCATTTATCAGTCTTGTCCAACAGGAGCCAGCACTACTCAACCGCTCAATCCTAGAGAATATAGCACTGGGTTTGGTCGACAGCAGAGCTCCCATTTCTCAAAGTTTAAAGCAAATGTTGGAAGGCACTTGCCTCTCAAAAATTGTGGCTGAAGGGATTGACAACCCTCGCACAGTGGCAAAGCACGGTGAAAGTATTGGTGAGCTCCTGGATTTGGTACGACGTGCAGCACGTCTTGCCGACGCAGACACATTTGTTCAGCTACTCAATCAAGGGTACTGTACACTGGTAGGGCCCGATGGTCAGCGTCTTTCTGGAGGGCAGAAGCAAAGGGTTGCAATTGCACGTGCGCTTGTTCGGGACCCTTGCGTCCTGATCCTAGACGAAGCAACAGCGTCTCTGGACTCTATGAGCGAGCATCGAGTTCAGAAAGCGATCAACGAATCAACAGGAAAAAGAACCGTTATCTCTATTGCTCATCGACTTTCCACTATCAAGGACGCAGATAACATTATCGTTCTTAGTAACGGAGAAGTTGTTGAGCAGGGTACATATGAGGATCTGAATTCCCGCTCCGGCGTCTTCACAAGAATGGTGACGTCTCAATCACTTGAACACGCGACCCACGATCCCCAAACAATTTCGACGCATCATATGCATTTTGACCCTAAAAACACGACATCAAACGATTTAAGTACACATTCTGACGACTGCCAATCAAGTATCAGTTTTGCTGGCGAAATGCTTCACCTTCATGCCGCAGAATCAGGAGATGGTGAAGCAGAGCCCAACGCATCAACACAGTCGGACTTATTCAGCATGGATTCTACCTTATCGCTTTGGATTTTGATAAAAGGTTTGGGCCGCTATGCCAGACCCCAATTGCCGTGGCTAGTCATCGCAGCCTTCGCTGCTGTAATAGTTGGCTTGACGTTCTCCTCCGGGGGCTTGATCTTCGGCAACACGGTCGGTGCCCTTAGTCCTTGCAACACCACCATCAACCATATCTTGTACATCGGAAAGTTTTTTGGCGGCATGCTGTTCATGATTGCTTGCGTGGAGTTTTTGGCCAACTTCGTTAGTTGGTCTTCCTTTGCTATTGTCTCAGAGCGACTTCTTTACACCATTCGGGTTCTCTCTTTCCGCTCCCTTGTGGAAAAAAGTGTCCAGTGGCATCAGTCAACGATCCAAAATCCGTCTGAGACGCTTTCTGTCATCACAAAAGATTGTGCTGCCATTGCTGGCTTCAGTGGTTCCACTATGGGAACCTTGTTTTCGATTTTGGTCAACTTCCTTGTGGCAATTATCCTTTCTCACATCATTGCATGGAAAATTGCCATTGTTTGTTTAGCAGTGGTCCCCATCCTACTGGGTTCTGGGATTCTGCAGCTATATAGCCAGTCGAGGTTCGAGGAAAAGAGCTCCAAGGCTCTCACAAGGGCAGTGGGAGTCGCGACAGAGACTGTCACTCTCTTCACAACCATTGCGACATTCTCTCTTCAGAGAAATATGTCCGAGAGCTTTATGGAAGCACTAAGTGCTCCTCGCAACGACATATTGCTTGGAAGCATCTACGCAAACATTTGGTTGGCAATATCAAACAGCATTGGCTTTTTCGTCTATGCTTTTGCATACTGGTGGGGGGCGCACCAGGTCATAAAAGGAGAAAATACGCAGAAGCAGTTCTTTATTATCCTTGTCGCAATGCTGGTCAGTGCACAACTGTGGGGACAAGCTTTTTCACTTGCTCCAGAAGTTTCCCGGGCGCGCTCGTCTGCATCTCGCATAATGAGTTTGATCGATTCTACATCGAGCAGAGATCATTGCGAAGGAGACGACGCCCTTTCACAAGAGAGCGGTGAAATTTCTCAAGATGTTGAGAAACAAGCAGGGAGGGTTTCCGTGAACCTTGCCAATTCTCAAAGAGGTGCCGCTGTATCATTCCGATCGGTTTGCTTTGCATATCCCTCAAGTCCTGATAGGAGTGTCCTACAGAACATTTCCTTTGAAGTTTCACCAGGACAACTATGTGGTCTTGTTGGACCATCAGGAGCCGGAAAATCCACCATCATCGACCTAGTACAAAACGTTTACAATGCGACCTCTGGAAGTGTGGAGATAGATGGCGTCAACGTTTCCCATAAGGACTTTCGCCATGAAATTGCGATCGTTCCACAGGAAAACGCACTCTTCAGTGGGACTGTATGGTTTAATGTTAGTCTTGGTGCGCGACCTAGTCAATCCGCCACAAATGAAGATATTGAGGAGGCTTGTAAGCTGGCAGGACTTCACGACACCATTGTAGGCCTACCGAATGGATATGAAACAGAATGTGGTCCAAATGGTTCGCACCTATCGGGTGGGCAACGGCAAAGACTCTCGATTGCCCGGGCGTTGGTGCGGAAACCACGACTTTTGATCCTGGACGAGAGCACTAGCGCCCTAGATGCTCAGACTGAACAAGCACTACAGGAAGGATTGGAAGGTGTCGTTCGCAAGTCGGGAATAACGGTGATTGCGATAACGCACCGACTACGCACGGTGCAGAAAGCCAATGTCATAATGGTTATTGAAGGTGGCAAGTTGATTGGATCTGGAACCCACGAGCAATTGTTGCACACAAGCGAGACGTACAGGACCAATGCAGAGCAACAAATGCTAAGATAGGAGACGACAGGCGATTGCCAATTCTAGATATTTTGGATACGCCGCTCTGCTGGTTGAGCATAGCCTTCTAAAGTGGGATCGCACGTAGAAGGAGATTGAAGGTCTTTTGAGAAAATTTATATGTGATTGGCATTTCCATAGATTTGCAGAAAACATTCTTACAGCTTCCTCTCGTACCAGTGATGCTTCCCATCTAGTGTAAGTGAAGCCAACTTAAGCGCGTAGACATGTGTCAATCTAGTCAATTTCCATTCTAATATTTAGACGATATTTGAAGTGGGACATACTTGAATACATATTGACGAGGGTCTACCGCAACATCGAACGCTGCAGTTCAGTAGAATGTCTCGCTCAAGTCAGCAGAAGCATCGTAGTTCGTATTCGCGGCAATGTTACTGTTTCCTCCATTTAGTGTCAAGTTTGTCCCTGGAGGACTGTGAATCTGATCTTCCAGGATGTCCTTAAATAAAGAGCTGCAGGGTTTGTTGACCAATTGATCCATACTGGCACCAATGTCTTCCAAAAGCGAGGTCGCAAAGCCCAGCCAGTCCTCGAATGTGACAATCTCTAATGTCATTGTGTTGTCTTTCACAAATGCTTGGATCTTCCATTCCCGTAGGGGTTCTGAGTGGGGATAAACCGTTTCTAACTGACTGGACGCGGATAGGAAGGATAGGTCTGTTACCTGGTCAACAGCCTGATGGACAACCGAGTCGAACCAGTCTACTGTGGCAGGCCAATCGGTACAATTTGGGACCACTTCGTTCATTCCTATGCCTTCGAAACGGCTGCTTGCAATATGCTGCTGCTGGACGAAGCATAAAAGTTCGAGCGCCGTCCAGTTCTCCTCAAACTTGACGCGAATTGGGATATACTGCCAGGTCGGTCCCATGACCATATCGCAACTCGGAAAGTTTAGATTTCGGCCACTAACGACCTCACCGAATGTGACATCACGGATAAATAATCGACGAGCGAGAGTAAGCGCCCAGGCTGCAGTAGGAAGAGTGGCAATAGTGATCTCTTTGTTGCGGCCAGTGATATCGAAGCTTTTGCTGAGGGAACCAATGCGGTTTGACTTGAGAACTATGTCGGGCCGCAGAATAGTCAGCGACGAACCTTTCAGCAAGTCCCTCCAGTAGGGGATGCTCTGAGGAATGTTCTCGCCTTGAATGTGGTACATATATGCCGAGAATGGCACCGCGGCCTTTATAGGTCTCCCCTCGTAGAGCGCGGATAGTTGATGTAAGAGTGTCGATAAACATATCTCATCGTATTGAGCATGAGAAATTTTCATTATCAAGGAGCTCTTTCCAAGGCCACCTTCCACGAAAAAGAACTTGATGAATTCCGAACCCAGTGGCATCCTTGTTTGGATATCAAGGTTGCATAATGCTCTCGAGAACTTCACGACATCACCGTCGATATGGAACTCCTCGACTGGCGCTCGTAATTCTTCGAGTACGACAGCGTAATAGTTCCCATCATGCCTGACGAAGACGGTTCGCAGGATTTCATTGTATAAAACCAGTTTCTGAATGCTCTCAAACAGCCGAACTCGATCCACAGGGCTGGCGAAGTGGACCAACTCATATCTCACTGAGTAACGTGGAAGCTGAGTAGTTCCCTTCACTGCAATGCTCTGTAGCGGTCGCGCCGGTAGAACATCCACAATCTTCCAGTTTGGTCGAACAAGGAGAGGTCGAATTACCTGGGACACGAAAGTGTTCGTATCTGCGGCGTGGATAGCTGAGAATGGTGTAATTTTGCTGGACTTTTCTTGAGGATGAGTAGCAGCAGTTAGGTTGTCCATCATTTTATCTAACTGCTTATGTGCGAATGCGTCAGCCACTGTCAGCCTGAATCCTTGCATCCGGATCTCAGAGACTAATTTCATGACGGCGATTGAGTCGCCGCCCAGAGCAAAGAAATCACTTCTCAGACCTATCTCTTGTTCAGGCACTTTAAGAATTCGACTCCATAATCGACGCAGGTGGTCAAGCTTGGGTGCCGGCTGTGGTGCATTGCTAGCGGTAACAGAGCTATCTTGTCGATCGAGACCATTTACAACTGTGCCCTCATATTTGTTAGGAGGTATTACCACCGCTCCGTTACTACTATAGTTGTCGAATCGTTCAGGAGCACAAAGACAGCCTTTTTCATAGGAGTTGTCATGAAGTCTTTCCAAGGTCCCATCTGGTGCGCTGACTGATAGTGTCGACGGCCTTGCAACAACAACAACATCAGTGAAGGGTTTGTCAATGATGCATTGAGGCAAAAGTGTTCCAGGGTTTTGTGGGTCCCGATCCCATGCTGGAGTCAGATGTTTCTCAGATAAACTCAGTTCCTTGTTGTCTATGCTGTACGGACCAATATCGCTAATCCATTGACGGTCCAGAGATTTTGAAAGCTGAAGGCTTGAAAGTTCCCTGTCTGCTCCGTTGCACAATCCCTGTACTGTTAGGCCAAACTCATTGAGGATGTTTTCCATGTGGGGTATATCGACAGTCTTGGAGTCAAAGCTTGCCATTGTTAAGAATCCTCGGCTATCAAGAGAACAAACCAGCATTAACGCGTAAGAATTGAACTTCAGCGCTTCCCTTGCAGCCTCAATATCGTTAGCTGGAACAAAGCCGAGAGCCGGATTTCGCTCCAAGTCCATTTCTTTCGTCTGAGCTTGTTCTGCGTTTGGATGTAATACCATGCCTGTTCGAAGCTCGCAAGCGTGAAGGGCATCAGGGCTGAGCCGCCTAATGTGCTGAAGGCCCATATGTTGGTAAGGGATACGAAGGATAGCTTGCTCGTGCACGGTTTGTAGATACTCTGTGATCTTAGAGCTCCAGTTCACATGAATTCGCGTTGGGATTGTAGTAATGAGAGGCCCCTCGATCTCTTCCACTCCTTGGACAGCAGAATCTCGGCCAGAGAGCGTTTCTCCAAAGATCGGATCATTACACGATGTGTATTGAGCTGCAACTAATGCCCAAGCTGCTCTAATTGCGACTGCTAGTGTGGTATACGAACTGCTAGTGCAAGGGAGTTGGGTGTAGTGCTCGAGGAGAGAATCCGCCTGAGGTCGGTAACCTGGGAATGGCAATGGGGGAAAGTGCTGACTTGTAGCTCCTTGCAACTGGTCTTTCCAATATTTAGCCGAGGTCGCGTGATCATTATTTTGGAGGTATTTAATGAAAGCTTTGAAAGGCATAGGCTCCTCGGTCCTCACCCCGTTATATGCTTCATTAATCCGGTGAACGATGAGGGGCATCGACCATCCATCATACAGAGCGTGATGCATCGTCAAGACGAGATGAATCTTCTGCTTTGTATCATCTTTGATAATGGCGAACCTTGCAAGGGCATCACCAAGCGCCATCTGCTTTTTGCTATCCTCTGACAAATACTCGTCAAGGCTATCGCTCAGAGTCCATGACAAATCACCCCGTACGATAACCTGCATCAGGCCGCGCGAAGGTACTTGCACAATGCGAGTACGTAGAATTGGACTAGTTGGAGATATATTTGCAAAGGCAGCTCTGAGTTGATGGGCGACTGAAAGACTGGGAACTTCGAGCACTCTTCGTGCAATGTAGGCATCTTCGACTTTGGCAGACAATGCCATGAATCCCTCCTGCAATGGGGTGCATGGATAGACATCTTCAACATCTTGAGAAGCAATGCTGCAGAGCCTCGCTACTTGGACTTTGGCATTATCTTCCTTCCAATCTACATCAAGTAGTGAAAAGGGACCGATCTCCTCAACTGCTTCGTAGTTGATACGAGAAATGCTTGACGCCATCTGTGAGAGTGTTGGAGTCGAAAATATCTGCGCAACTGTCAAGGACAGGCCTGCTTTTCGAGCAACGCCGACAAGCTTCATTGCCTTCAGCGAATCTCCGCCCAGGGCAAAGAAACTGTCACTTGTTCCTATTTGGAGACTTTCCCCAAGCAGGCTCTTCCAGATCTTCTGTAAAAGTATCTCCGTTTCCGTCTGAGGCTTCTGGTTGTCCACAACCCCTACCGCGTATTTTGCTAGTTGATGCAACGTCATAGAGCGTCCGATATCCTGGATCCGTTTCCTGTCGATCTTGCAAGAAACAAGTAGCGGCATGGTGGGCAGCGGAATATAGGCTATGGGTATCATGTAGCGGGGAAGGACCTCTGCTAAATAGGGATTGATGTGTTCAAGACAGCGGCAAAGCTCGCTTGAGAAAGGTAAACCTTCAAAGTTGAGTGGTGGTTGTTTTCTTTTATCCTCGGATACAAAAGCGACGAGCACTGGCTCACGGTCTTTGCTCCCAGGGGTGATAACATCTGCAGCAACTTGACTGCCTTCCGGCAACTTAGTCAACAGATGATGCTCAATTTCCGCCAGCTCCACTCGCTGTCCTCTGAGCTTGACTTGCCTATCCTTTCTTCCAACAAAACAAATATCTCCTGATCCATCTGGGTCATATTTCACGAGGTCTCCTGTTTTGTAGAGGCGACCGCGCCTGCCCGGCGTGATCTTGGATCCAGATAACAGCCACTCCGGATTTTCGATGAAGACCTCGGTGGTTTTTTGTGGATCATTGAGATAGCCGACACCTACTATCCCGCCTTCAACTAGTAGTTCACCGACTCCTCCAATAGGTGTTAATAGATTGTGATCATCAGGGTCAACAATCCATGTAACTCCACCAACAGCTTTTCCAATGCTGGTGTAAGATCTATCAACATGCACGTTATTGTTAATGGTGCAACCTACTGTGCATTCAGAAGGACCATATGCGATGATGAGCTTGGTTGTCTTGCTCCAGCTCAAAGCATCGGAGGTGGAGAGTGATTCACCTCCTAATCCGAGTACTTCTAGTGATGTCAGAGCATCGAGTGATAGAAGTCTTGCCACAGAAGGCGTTAAGTGCGCCATGTTCACATTCATCAATTTGATGGCGCCGTTGAGGTCATTAAGCCGTTGTTCTTCTGAAGGAACACATATGCACCCGCCCACTGAAAGCGTACAAAGCATGCAATCCAGACTCACGTCAAATGCGTATGAAGGGAAATCCAGTACTCTCGAATGCGGTTTGTATCCAACTGCCTCGGCTCTAGGAATTGCGCCGGTAGTAAAGTTAGCATGTGAGATAGCAATCCCTTTTGGTTTGCCTGTGCTACCCGACGTGAAGATAATGTATAGCAGGGACGATGGTGGCACAGATGGTAAAGAGAGAGGTCCAGTTTCTTTACTGTTTTGCCAAAGTCCTGAATCCACGACAGCTATTTGGGCGGCTGGTCCAATACGAGAACCCAATTTAGCATGCCTTTGAGAAGTCAAGACAAATTTGGCTTGGACTTCTTGGACTATTGTTGATAGCCGTGCTTCTGGTTGTGATGGATCTATCAGTACGACAGTACCCCCAGCTCTCATCACGGAAAGTAAGCCCACACTAGTCCACATCGACTTTTCGAAGCAAAGGACCACGAATGAACCAATTTCAACACCTAAGCGGCACAGTTGTTCGGAAAGTCGGCACGAAAGATGGTCGAGTTGTCCATATGTGAGTTCGCCATCCCATGACATCACAGCGGGCTTCTCTGGATGCTCAATCGCTTTTGCCACAATAATTTCATGCATGCAGCACTCTATGGTCGGTGGTACGACTTCATTCCAAGTCCATATCTCTTTCAACTCACTCTCAACGATCTGCACTGCACTTGTGAGAGTCTGCTCATTATTGGACAATATCGACTGCAGTATATCGATGAAAGCGGGGATTTGGAATTTCACCATATGTTGTATAGATTTAATGATTTGATCTGTGGTTGATAGGAGGAGACGTTGCCCTTCAATCTTAGCAGCGAGAAAGAGGGTTGTTGTTGACTTGGATAGGGTAATTTAGTGATTTGAAATGATCAGAAAGGGGACTCGAACTTACGCTGGCTTCTTTCTGAACTTGTCTTTCTTGCACTGTCATGCATATAAGCGAGCCAGGATTACACGCATTGTCGTGATCTCGCCGCAAAGCCTCGAGAGTTTTCAACGCCATACGTATGTTCGTGTTCCGATCAGAAAGATCTTTCATGTATATTTCCTTGGGGAACACCTGAGGTGAGGTTTCGTTGTACGGCGGCTCGTAAAATCCCCATGAGAATGAACTCCCTTCGTCGCTGAAATTACCTCTTGAGATCAGCAAGGCGAATGCAAGTATCAGGAAGTTCACTTGTTCATCCGAAGTCTTCGAACTTAGACTAGGAATGTCGTAAAGTAGTGCACTTTCCCATCGGATTTGTGTCGTATCAACGGAGCTGTGCATAGTAGCTACCTCGACTGTGTTGTCACTTTCTACTATAGGTTGAGGCTGTGGTAGCCTCGGGGGAAGCGCGTCAATTAGATTCGTCGACAGCAATATCATCTTGTCACATCATGCTCTGATCACTTCTTTCATTTCAATTTTCACAGGTCTTGTGAGCAACTGAGGCACGTGGCAGCTGTCGAAAGGTGCTGCGCCAGTGCTTCGATCTCCGATTTACGGTACATAGGTGGAACTCTTGGCTATTGGTGCTTGCCATGCACGCAATACGATGACTTCCTACAAGTAAATACTGAATGTCGGTAATGTCGGTAATGTCGGTATTGCCAAGCTACAATGTCTCGAAAGTATAGCTTCAAGGGCTCAATCTAGACTCCACACCAGTTACTAAATTTCGCCAAGGTAGGAAAAGTTTACTTACAGAGAAGCGATGGTCCGATAGTAATTAGAGATTGCCGTTATATCCCTTTACATCGATTGATTTTGTCATATTACACCTCCTCTCTTCCGATCCTACAATGTGCACACTAATTTATTGTTGCCTACCGTTTTCGTCTCGTCTCTATATAATTCTATATAAGCAAGTGAAATTCAGCAATGGCATAAAGAAGTAATGCTACTCATCGTAGTTCATATCGAACCTAGAAAGAAGGCAAACTATGATTTAGACCCCCAGGCCTGGCAAAGTGCCAAGGGTTGATTCAGGTAATTATAGTTGCAGAATTCAATACATGTAATGCAATGCCATTTGCATTATTTTCATTCCTCCCAGTTCTCATTTTTGCCATCCGATACCCTTCGTTTCGGATCTATAGTTTAGCCTGTATTTTCTCTTTTGCTCTGGCCTGTCTCCGTGTCTTCCGCGCCTTCAACAGGGACGCCTTAGCATTTGCGCCCTTTAACGCAAAAGTAGCTGTCTGGAAGAATCTGATCCGCTCACATCGCATGATAGCAGAACGTTTATGGGGAAGGTCTGCTAATTTGTGAATGTGAAAGCCATTAGCCATATCATAGCTGAGCACTTTTTCATTGCTGTAATTTGGCTCACCAACCACCGTGGTTGTTCGAGGGTCATCTAGGAAGAGATAGTGAATCAAACAAGTCCACCAAATTGAAGCTCGGTCTGGTCCCCGGTATCGCACATCTCCAACTAGCGAGTGCCTTCCACGGTCCCAATCACCGGGTGCAGGGGAGATGTAAACACCCATATGATCTTCCTGGAGCTTTGTAAGTATTAAGTCAGCAAAGATTGCGTGAAGGAAACTAACCTTTGCCCAGTATGTCTCAAAGTACGCAAAATAGGTTCCATTAAAGCGGGCTAGAATAGCCATCTGGTGTGCATCTTCGTCAATCTTCCGCAAGTACTCTCGATGCTGTTCTAAAGTACCAGTCTCATTCCAACTTCGAGATACTCTAGGATCATTCTGCCAATGATTAAATAGTTGCAGATGGGATTCATTCTGCCAGTCTAACTGGTCCATGGACAAGAACTCGTCTAGCTCTGGGATATAACGACTGTAGATGGTTGCGCTACGAGGTGGCTTCGGTGGTCGAACAGGGTGTTGTGCATGTACGGGACGACCTTCGGAGCTGAAAGTGACTGTATACTCTAAAGGATAGGCGGGGTATGCGGCTAGTGGCTTTGATAGGTGGCTGTAGAGACTTGGATGGCTCACCCAGACAGGACGTGTTCCAAACGGCGAGGCTGCTCCTTGCCAGAATGCCGAGCGAGAAACTAAGACCTGAGAGTCGGTTGGTGGATCTAGAGCATGTCCAGGACGAGATTGTCTAGGTCGTGGAGTTGCGATACCAGTAGCAAGGATCTCTGTCGCCAGGCCAACACTGCTGGTACCAGTAAGCCTAAGTCTGAATGCCTCATTTTCGGGGTATTGAGTAAAGATTGCATAGATTAAGGCCCAGATCTGACCAACGGAGGGAGCCTCAGCACCGCTCCACGAAACATAAGATAACAAATTCAGATGAAATCGGGCCCAAGCTGAGTTGTCATCTGCTTCTAATATGGTCGGGCTTGGGTCATTAATGAGGTCGCTGAATGCGAGTGAAGCGTTGTGCAGAGGCTCAGGAAGATTCTGTGAACCTGACAGCTGTTGTGCAGCGAGTACTAATTTTAGAGTGAGTATCTTGTTTGCTCCAGATGCAATCTCAATCTCATAGGTTGTTTTCCATGGCTCTGGTAACCTTACAGAATGAAGGTCCCAAGGAGCCAATTCAGCAGACATAGCTATCTGGGAAATCAACTCGATTCCCCAGAAGCTCGAACTTTCCTTCTGTCAAGGCGATTACCAATGTATTTGCTCAAGGAAGAGGTTGTTGAAAAGGTGACTTTTCCGAGCTGTCGCCGATGAGTTGTTGCTGTATCAAGTTTGTGTGATAAAACTATGAGAATTTCCAGGCTGTTGGCCATGGGACTTGTCAGTTACTGAAAGTGGCCGGTGACCTGGATGTCTTCGCACATTATGAAGCGTACTAAGAACGAAACTTGTCCATGCCAGAACTCATCAGCCGCGAACTGTGAAGTAGGTTGATAACTACCAAGAATCAACTTCAGTAACCAAGCGGAGTGTAAGGTAACATGGGGAAAGCAGAAAAGCGTAACTGTGTTTGTAATTACACTGTCTCATACTTTACACATACCGTCATTGTATTTACCTGTCACAATCTGTCTCACTGGTAACTTTCCTTTTCAAAGCCAAGGTGGTATTTCTGTGAACGAGTGCATCCGGTTTAGAATGGTCTTCGTCTGGAAGCAGGTGCAAGAGGATAGCTAGCTCGTGATTTCAACAATGGGTCCTGGGTAAGGAAGTTCTTACGAAACACGTTTACGAGAAGCCTTCAAGCACCAAGCCACCCAACGCTTCTTGGACATGCCCCCACGCCTTTCATCCTGCAATCAGAATGGTTCTTGTCTGATGCGGATCTTATCTTATCTCTGGTGATTGTATGTAGGTGCATACTCGGCAGACTTCACCCGGTAAGAATCATGCAGTTTGCGAGGCAATTGAAGCTTCCTACTGCGCTCAAAGTAGATGCTAGTAATTGCTACGATTTCCCGCTGCGAGATTTCCAATAGTAGGCACTGACACCTCATTGTAGGTGGAGTTTTTGTGGAACCATAGCGATTGGTCCACAAAGCCAAGTTCTGCATTCCTCCTACCTAATGAAAATCTTTCCCAATCTCAACAAACCATGGAAAAGCAAGTGAGAAGCCGATGCCAAACTAGTTCATCTCAGGACGTCATTCAGTACATATTGCTCAATCCCATTATCCCCTTTGGACAGATTAGGTGAGGGACCCACGAGTCAATTACAAGGCTAAGAGGAACCTTTGGCGAGGTGTCCGGGATGACCTGGGCGGAACGGCCAATTCCTTGGCATGTGGTGGGAATAGAGTTTTGCACGCGAACGGAGAAGTTTTCCCACGTCGATAAACTGCTTGTGGATCCCGAACACCGAGCTCCGGCATTGTCGCGCATAATGTCAGGCTACTATGTAACTTGCGAGATCACACATGCCACATGGCAACGCTCGAAAGCTTCCAAGGGGACCACTGCTCTACTTTAGTTACTAGATCGGGGAAAATGGAAATGATTTTTGTTTGCCAATACCTTGGGACGGTGGGACCAAACGACCTCCGCTTGCATGGCCAAGAGTCCAAGACCACCTCCGATTTCGCAGCTGCGAGCGTTGCTTGGCTTGATGGGAAAGACGATGTTAAGAAGAGCATGGTCGCTCCCGGCCAATCATTGACGCTTTTGTACCATGCTTCTCCATTGCCAGCTTCCTGCTTGCACTCTTCACAGGATTTTCTCACACAGAGAGTTATTGTTAGCTTCCTAGGACCCAGCTTCGCCCAGATGAAGCGGGCATTCACCATCGGCGCAATTGTTGCGACTTTTGCGCTACCAAGTGTTACCCAGGACATTACGAGTCTACCACAATGTGCCGTACGAATGATCGTCTAGTAGAAAGATGTCCCAGATACTGACATCTATTCTCCAACAGCAACAACCCATTCTTGAGGCCATTAGTGCTTCTGACTGCCCTCTAACCGATATTGCCTGCATATGTGCCAACGAGGGTTTTGTCAACGGCTTGGTGCAACTTATCCCTACAGTTTGCACTCCTAGTGAAGTTGAATGTATGTTTATACCAGCTTTGTCCTGCACTTTCATTGCTCGACGGCCTGACTCAAACTCGCAGTGGTCATCGAATTTGCTGAGACGCTCTGCTCTGCGTATGATGTCGACATTGATCTTCCAATCTCGTCGGCACCCAGCGGCACATCTTCAATACTTCCCACTACAACCCGCAACTCAATTACTGCATCACCTACTGCAACGTCAACTGGTTCCGAGAGTGCCGTAGCAACAACCTACACAGCACCCAGCTCCGGCATCACATCTTCGGGCCTTTCAGAAAGCGCTGAGACTGCGCCTAGCACGATTTCTACCAATTCAATTGGCACTGGAGTTACGGAGTCCAGCACACGCGCTTCCGAATCCAGTGGACCGGCACAGCAGACAGAGAACGCTGCGGCAACAAATGTCATTGCCTCAACCGGATTTTTGGGTGCTATGGCCATGGGCATTTTAGCCATGATCTGAGCTACATCCGCAGTTTGAAAAGCCCTCGAGTGCAGATCTGTTAGGCTTCAGCTTTGGTCAAATCATCAGAAAGGATAGGGAGCATGCACGGAGTCACAAAATGCGTAATGACTAGCTCATTACTCGTTATCTTGCACTATTAATGAAAAGGACTCCATTGGAATAGAAACTGAAGTAGCAATGATACAACAAAAGGCCGATGCTTCATCAACACTCAATTATGATCGTGCACATCCCGCCATGCTTGCTATCAGTTGACATGCTTACGACATAGTTCCAAACTCCTATTGACTTCCAACATGATCACTGTTTGCCAAAAAGGAATCCGAGAAAATGGTTGATTGTCTTATTTCCAGCCACCAATGAGCAATGTTCAGGCGACAGAGGATGGGTTACAACCTTTTTTGGTTGATTGTGCATGTAATACACATTCAGTTAAGGCGTGCGTCGCCTTGTGAAGCAGCATCCAGACAGGCCGTAGGAGAACTTCAGCGTGGTAAAGCTCTACGAATACCCAGTGGTAGATATAGGATAGTAGAAGTGCATGTAGACTTTCGCCATAGAAGAGCGAAAGACTTTCCCCATGAGGTCGATATATTCTGCGGTTAACATGTTGTACCTTTGTTCCAGAAACTATCAAAGACTTGGTCTGCTCTTTTCTCCGCTCGCTAAGACCTAAGAGCCAGTTGGAAGTCGTAACAAGTCACTGCAGCATTCTTGTAGCAATTAACACAAGTTTAATGACCGTAAAGGGGGACATGATGAGATGATGGTCTGATGGTGATAGATAATTGTAGCTTATTGTGGGTGGAGGAGACAATATATGGCGTCTGGGTATGCTGTTAAAGGCACAAATCAAGATCTGTTACGGGGATTTTTACGCGGGATTTACGGTAGATAAATGTGTCAAAGCCGGAATCGGTATTATATTCAACTACAATCCCGGCTTACTGAGCATCATTTTCTTAAGACGTAGCCGTGGCCCAAAACGCACAGATTCACTGAGCTAATCATTGAAGAACGATAAGAGGTGATCAATCTCTGTGCATAGTGCTAAAAGATATCTATATTACGAGAGAGCCACTAAGACTACTCCAATATCTGTCTCCCTCGAATTCGTTGACTACTTCCATTCAACGTGTTCTACTATTACTTTCTTTCCATTTCATTGAAGGTTGGTCACGGTGATGCATGATCACTTTATGACGATATTTGCCTAATCTTTGAATCACTCAGAGAACAATGGCAATAGCTGCTGCGGCCACCAAGGAGATGAGGCTTGCAGCTCCAGCCTTGAGTGGTGCTGCCGCCCCAGTGAAGGTCGCCGCAGCCGCTGCAGCTGTTGTTGTTGTTGTTGTTGATGCACTACCTTCGCTAGTACCTGAACCCCCGGTTGGGAACGCAGGCACACCCTCCTCGGCATCATTCGCGGGTGGTTGTACACTAGCTTGTGGATTCAGCACATTGTCAATGATGACAACGACGCCATTAGCCACCGGGATATCAACTGAGCTAACTCCTGCTCCATTGATAAACATTTCTTCTTCTTCATTGATAAAGACCGTCAACTCCTGACCCTGCAATGTGGTCAGGGTAGTGCCGTTCACCAGCGTGTTGTAGTAAGCAATTATACCGGGGACGACATGGTATTGGAGTACTTTAGCTAAATCCTCAGTAGAGAGTTCTGAGAGACTCTGTTCGACGGATTCGAAGGCGGCGTTGTTTGGCACAAAGAAGGTAGTGTCCTTAAGAAGCTCGACTTCATCCCTCAACCCGGTTCTATTGAGAGCCTCAATAAAAGATGTTCCATTATAATCCCCAGAAACCTCCTTAGTCAGGCTAGCGGGAATATTTAAGATATTGTTAATTGGGTATACAATCCCTCCATTAAAAGGGATGGGTAGGGGAGGGGCATTTGCATATATGTCCGCGCCAGAGTAGAACCCGAGCTGGAATCCATGGTCGTCATAGTAACCGAACACGACTTGACCACCCGTGACATTGGTGTATTCAGGCGAAGTCAGATGGGTACTGTACTGGAGCCAGTCTGTGATGTTGTCATGAACCCCTTCAAGTATGTGGTAGGAGATCAAGGTCTGAAAGTAAGCTTCCCCCCCAGCCTCAAGACTCTCGAATCGCGGGTCCTCGAAAAATTCATAAATTGCGGTATCGCTAGGTGCCAAAACAGTTATATTTGTTAGCCCCGCCACGGAGTCTTTCACCCCTGGATAGGTATTGATGTACGTGTTGAGGTAGGAGAATCCATGTGTTTGGTTAATCAAGGTAATCAAATCAGGGAGTGTGTCATCGCCCTGGGCCAAGGCAGCCGCGATTACAGAGGAAAGAACGAATGTCTTGCGTAACATGACCATGGTGAATCTGTAATCTCTCAATTGTAGGACTTGAATTGGGGTTCGAAATGATTCGCAGTGGAAGATTCAAAAGCGTACTATATATTATCCAGAGGATCACCAGTCTAGCGAATGTTCATATTGTGTGAGAGCTCCGCTTCATCCTCCAAGGCAATGGCATGGACGATCTTTCTCTTTGCCTACTGACCGCTTCTGTGCTTCGCCTAGTTTCTCAACCTAGTGTTCGGTGCGAAATCAAGGTCAATTTTCTGGCCCGCCGAGATCGCTGTAAACCAAAGAAATGCCACCGCAAAGAGGACAGCCGAGTGAGTCGTACTGGTGATTCCGAGACAAAACCCCCATGCCAAATGGTGACGCCACAGGAGGAAGGCCAAGTGCAGAAATGCATCTGCCCCGGCAATGGTTGATCCTGCAAGCATGATCACCTCGCTCATACGAGAGAGGCACAAGGTCTATCAGGTGACACGAATCGCTTTTTTTTTTTCCAAAGGCCGACTTCGGCCTAGCATCAATTAAGTAATAGAAAGCAGGGCCTGAAGTCGGAGCATGCTTGGCAAAGTGATCTGGGTAGCCGCACGCAACCAGCAAATCGGTTACTATCGAAGTGAAAGCTATGGAAAGCAAGCGTTGTAAGGTCCATACTGCCATGCTGGAGTGTAGCCGCATCTGTGCATCGTCGTTCCGAGTTTCTTATCTGATTAGATTGACTTTCCGCTACCATGCCCACTTGCCAAGGACGTGCCGAGACCCGTTCGACCTCGTGTTTGCATGGACTGCAGACACCCAGCAACATGCACTCCGTACCCCTGCGGTCTTGTCAATCTGGCCGGTAGTGGACTGCTCCATCAGAACCGTACCCATACGGTTTAATTGAAAAGCGCTAACTATATTGACGTAACGCACGTGTTATCAGGAGCCCGAGCGGGGTCTACTCCAATTTCAACCAGAAATTTCCAGCACTCAGCCCCTAAGGAGCGCCTAAAAACCGGTACTCAGTCAAGAGTTTGAGGCCGGACGTCTTGAGTAACGCCTTACTCTAGATATGCTCTCACATATAGACTCTGAGTTATCTAACACCTAGGTGGCTACTGAGGCTATTAAAATAACTAAATAAAGACTAAACACGAGACATGAAGTGCGCATTTAAGGAAGGCGGATGCTGTCAGCAGTATGTCTTTGGAACAGAGCGTACAGTATTTCCAACAGCTTGTCACTCCACCATATAGCCAGACACTCCTTTCAGTGCAACTCTTGGAAGCGACGAAGCTCCACAGTGGATGGCTATCAATAGATGTCAGTGGCCACCAAAACCATAAGCCTAACTTTGCTCCAATCCTAGTGCAGCTTGTTTAGGTATACGCTTCCACAACATTGGCCGTACGAAAGAATTGATGCCCCACGAGAATAAGGTAACCGTGGAAGTTCGTGATAGGAAGGTAATCTTGATTCATCAGTCCCAGACTGATCGGTACGATGATGAGCCCTTGGGATAGTAGATCGATACTTCGTTGCGTAGGCATGGCGTCAATTTGCAGGGGATGTGTTGCCAAAGGTCCATTCATACCTATACTATCAATTTTTACTCTCGTCAGCAATACCAGCTGTCAACCTCGCCGAAAACACGGATATCTCAGCTTGGAAAGAGATCCCACGCCCTTCGAACAACTGTTGGCAATCAAAGTTTTCTCTCTTCCACGTTGCAAGACTAAGGCAAAATCGCCGAGTAAGATGTGCAGAATAGTGCTCTCGCTGAATGGTTAAGGATCACTTAGGCGGGGGCCGTGGCGGGGCTGCCTTCGTTTGCATTTAGTGAGCATCGTCAGAATGGTTTGGTGATCTAGACCAACGCAGGGATTCCAGGTGTGTCCTCCGCTATCGCATATGCGACAGTTGAGTGATACCAGAAGATGCGAGAAAGATTCTCCGTGAGCTGGTAATGATCATTTAGGAGAGGAACCAGATCCGCGCCGAGGAGTTATCGTATTGACTGAGCGGCATTTGTTTTTTGTTTTGAGTACAAGATTATGTGTAAATAACTATAGGAACACGTTTGTACCCAGTGTCACTTTTGGACATCTTCGATCCCGCCGACTGAATCTCTTGCATGATGGAAATATCACTCTTCTTAGTAGCTTTCGCCCTTTTCCTCCCACCTGTCATAGGGGGATATGACCCAGACGTGCAATGCCTTAATGGCATTCAAACAGCCTTGAGTTCGCTAGCCTTTGAGGATAGTGACCCAGAAGACTACTATGGGAGTATGTGCACCCACGGTCTATTCCTCACCTCCTTCTGGGCTTCTGCAAAGGTCTTCTGCACTCAAAAACAGATCGACGCAGGAGCCAAGCTCTGGGGAGGATATTGCACCGAATATGGGATGGTTGAACTAGTCCCATACTCCGAAGTACTCCCTCTCCTTACCGACGAATATCTTGCCTCCCTCCCTGTGGTAGTATATAATGATATTGATCCGACGAAGTTATGGAACACGTCAGTGCTATTGTCGGAAAGCCTATATAATTCTGGGTATAGGACCACGGTACGTTTTCAGCCGGTGGACGAGGGACCGGAAATGTATACTGAAGAGCTATAGACAGTCTTTGAAATGCAATACGTCCTTCATAAGAGATACGGGTGAGAAGCCATCTAGCTCCCGCTCAATGAAACAAACGCTAAGCTGTGGTTATATAGGTGGGCAGTTTACGGATTCTGGGGCGGCCTCCTTACTATAGGGATGGTCAATCGATTAATTTCTCATTTTGTTCACTCTCGCCGAAGGAGACCAGCTGCTGATGTTGAAGGAGTGGGAGCGAATCCAAACTCCGGCGCCAGTTCCTCTCGCCTTCTGTCACTATTTCATTCTGCTCACCATTGGCTCCGTGCAAATCTCATTATCCCAGCTGCATTTGGTTCTCATCATCAACGCCTGTACTGGTGGTGTACTATCCCAACGCGGATGGAGACGGTCATCGTCATCCTGTTTTGGATACTAAACTTCATCTTATGCTGTGTCTCATACGAAATATTCGAGCCTAACCTATAGTAAGTCAATTCTCAGTGCTAAGCACAAATCTAGGACCATATTAACGAAGCTTTAAAGCTATACCAGGGCTATTCAGGCATGGCGGTATATCTCGGACAGAACAGGCATTATTTCTTACGCCAATTTACCTCTCTTGTGGATGTTTTCAGGGAGGAACAACATTTTCCTTTGGTTAACAGGCTGGAGCTTTTCCTCCTTCAACATTTTCCACAGACATATTGCTCGGGTTGCCACTGTTCAGGCAGTCGTACACTCCATAGGATGGAGTGCTATTGAAATAAACTGTAAGTCCAAGTCCCTCCTCTATATCTTCGCCGGTAAGTGTGTACTAAAAGCTAGTAGATGGATATTTTACATATTCCTGGAAGCAGAAGTATTGGTATATGGGAGGGATGGTACAGAGGATTGGCTCTCTGCTAGTAAATTCTACTAATTGCTCTACAGGCCACGATTACGATGAGCCTGCTTCTGGGTCTCTCCTCAGTCTGGCTTCGCATGAGACATTATGAGATCTTTCTTCTGATACACATTGTCCTCTCGGTTCTTACTATTGTTGGGTTATTCTAGTAAGTCCGGAACTCCTCAGACGTTGATTGCTGTAAAGTGTAGCTCACCAGACGAAGTCACACAGCGATTTTCACGAACAGAGAATACGATGGCTACCTATGGCCCTGTGTTGCGATATGGCTCATTGACAGACTTGCACGACTGGTACGACTAGTATATTGCAACCTTCACGTCCAGGTTTCGGATGGTCCTAAGTCCAGCAGAGCGACAGCAACATACGACAAAGACGCCGATCTTCTCAGAGTCGAGGCCATTCCTGGGTCTAGGATTCTCCATCCCAGGCCAGGTCAGCATTATTACATCTATCAGTTCAACAAGCTGAGGTTCTGGGAGAATCACCCTTTCACGCTAGCCGCTTCGTATCCACTCGGTGAAAACGACATTGAGTCGGATTCAAACCCCCAAGTTACTTCGGACCCTCACAGCCAGACTGCAGTTATAGTAAAAGAAAAGGATACCTACATGGCTGCTAGCTCGTCCCTAGGGGACCCTTCATCATCGTCTACGGCTTCAATTTCTTCCCAAGAAGCTCACGCGAAGGATCTTCTGGTTCCTACAGGACACAAAAAATTAGTTTTTTTGATTCGGCCATTCAACAGTTGGACTAAGCGATTTCGGGACGAATGTGAGCGAGCTGGGTCATCGGGTTTGAGGAACGCGCGCATATTACTTGAGGGCCCCTACGGCGAAACAAGCCCACTCTCCTCGTTCGAGAATGTCATATTCGTGGTTGGAGGCACAGGAATTGCAGGGGTGATACCTCATCTTCAAGAACATCTGAACCTTTCGTCAAAGCATCCTTCGCCTAGCACACTGAGACGAGGAACAAGAACGCGAGACATTACTGTTATCTGGGCAACAAAGCAATCCGCCATGATCCGCAATATTGTGACTCGAGAACTGAGGCCATTTACTAACCTAGAGGACATAAAGTTTCGGTTTTATGCGACACGCGAGAAGAAAAAAAGCACTTTAGCCCAGACAGATAAACCAGGAAGCATGCCTGTCCAGTCCCATGATATTGAGATTTCAAACCAGAGGCCAGATATCAGGGCGGCCGTTCTCGGTGTAGTTGATCAAGTCAACGCAGCCGGGTCAATGGGTGGTAGAATCGCTGTTCTTACCTGCGGTCCTGGGGCTATGGCAGATGAAGCCCGTGCTGCGGTGCACCAAGCATTGAAGGATGGTAAACAAGGGCTGGAGTACTTTGAGGAGTCCTTTGGGTGAGTATATGCTAACCCGAGGCAGTGTCATCATAAGCTAACTATGCGGACACAGATGGTAGAACACACCGTGGTTCCTTCGAACTAACCAACTGGTCCCGTACCTTTTTCAGATATGTCTGAATGAAATTTTCAGGAGATATCTATTTGGCTCCAGTTTAAGACCAACATAGCGAGAAGAGCTCGGCTCATCGTCTTGTACTCCCACAAGTTCAATACTCGTGAATAAAGCGCCAGTGACGCGAATGGCAACGAGTGATCCTAGCAGGCCGCAGTTAGAGACAGATAGATAATAAACTATTTTGTCACTGTATAGCTTTTCGAGTCTTGACGAGGCAGGAGAGAGTTCTTGAGAAAGTCTGAACGCCAGCGACTCAGCACAGTCCCTCCAATTTCGAAAGGTCGACGAAGATGCCTTACCACTGTAGCGCGCTGTATCGATAGATGCCACATTGAGAGCCATGAATCGCTCTTCCAACTTTGGGTATGGCTATTTCAATCGGCGGGGCCGCCTCGACTAACCATTGAAGCATGTCTTCATTTCTCGATAGTGTTTCTCCAATGGATCATCTAGTCTAGCTTGCAGGAGTGACCTGAGAAATTTGATACTTTAGCGACAGCACGATGTCACAGGTGCCAATCGGGTTAAAATATTTGGCTCGATGCGAGCAGGCCATTCACAGGTGTGCCATTGACCCTACCTCTTTAGACATGCTGGAAATATTCGGATGAGCTCTTCACAGCTTACCACCGCCACTACATAATAACTTGCGTTTTGTATGCTCTTTGTCCCGGGCTAATTTCGGGTTTAGACACCAACCTTTGCCCACACTACAAAGGTCGCACAGGGTGCTACGTACACAGTATGGGACCAACGAAAACGCGACTGCCTGGCAGAGCTACAATCATGGCAATGATACCGTACATGATAAATGACTGAAACGCTGTTGTAGCTATGGTTAACGGACTGCTGATACAGGGATGGAGTGCTGCAAACAATCACCTGTCGGAGATCCAATCAACTCTTTGAGAGAGACAGCGGTTCAGCTAGTCCAATATCTCAGCGATGGGAGTTTCGAGGCTCCGCATAAGTTAACTTCGCACAATCAGTGTGTGGCAAGCCCTGAAAGCCACCTTATACCCCGCTAATACGATGATGTCCTGACAACTCTGAGTCTCAATCATATTGATCGCGCCATCAAGCCAGATTGTGGTCTGTAGCCTTGTTTCCAGCGTTGTCCATACGTGCTCCACCATTGCTGGCAAATTGCATTTACATCTCTTGATGGCATATCATCCGTTCCTGCCACAATGCAGACATGCCATCAAGACCCACCATGTTACACACCACAACAGCGGCTGTTAAATTCCCCCTAATGCCGTACCTTACCAGGCGACACTTCAATTCTGGTTCATGCCTGAGTCACGCTGGGTCTCCTTTTTTCGTCTGGCCAGTTCACAATCTGCATGACGTTATGATCATCGTCTTCGAATGCCTTGTCTCCAAAAGCAACTGCAATCTCTTCAAGTGTATGACCTGCGGTCTCAACATAATAGAAGTATGTCATACCAGCAGAGAATAGGCAAAATCCGGCTATGATCAGATAGAAGTAGCCATTAATGCCAGCAAAGGCATCCGGCGCGACCATGCCAATGATGAAGTTGAAGATCCAGTTACTGGTGGTTGCAAGAGCCATGCCTTTGCTGCGGCGGCATAGTGGAAAGATTTCTGCAGGAAGAAGCCAGGGCATTGGACCGCATGTAAATCCATAGACGATGTTGTAGAGCATCACAAAAGCGTACTGACCGTTGGCCTTGGTGTTGACTCCCATATTTGCTTCTGTGAAAGCGCAGATGATACCTTGCAAAACGACCATGGCGACACCTAAACTGTGTTAACAATAGCTCCTAGAATACTGTCGGCATGATATTACCTCCAAGGATAAGTAAGGGCTTACGGCCCCACCTGTCTGCCAGATACCACGTCAAGACTGTGGCGGCTGTGTAAGGAATGGCATTTGCTCCGGTGTGCAAAAGGGATTTACGTTAGTCGAATCCAGCGGCCGCAAGTGTGCTTGGAAGGTAGAATGAGATGATATTGATCCCATTAAGCTGAGCAAACATTTGGACAGTAATACCAACCATCGTGCGCTTTCGGTACCGGGTAAAAATTTCCTACTAGTGAGGTTTAGTATATATCGAGCTCGGTGGATGTCACTGACTTACCGTCCAAGTAGACTTTCCGAGGGCAGTTTCGTAAATAACAGCCTCCTGGATTTCAAGGTATACCTGCTGTACATGTTCCACCTGAGTGTCGCCATTTGAATGCAGATCCGCAACGGTCTGAAGGTACTCTGTCATATAGCCACTTTTTGCTAGCCAACGAGGAGTTTCTGGGAGGTAGAATGACATGGCAAACAGTATGAATGAGAGAATGATCTGAATAATGAAGGGCTCTTTCCAGGATATTTCACTGGGAAGTAGGAAGTTGAAGCCGTAGTCCACCCAGCAAGATAGCATGTATCCAGCAATAAGACAAGTGTACTTGATTTTGACCATGAGACCTCTTCTGTGGGCTGTGGCAATTTCGGTTTGGACGATAGGCACGGTCATTGAGAGAAAACCAACACCAAGACCTTGGATAGTGCGACCAGTGACGAAAGTAACAAAGTCCGGAGCGAACATCTGGATGAAGGCGCTGAAGAAATAGATGAAGCCGCCAATGCGCACGCACTTCTTTCTGCCAATGATGTCCCCTAGCCTTCCGGCAATGAGTACTCCAAGTGCTGCAGTGAGTTGAAGGCAGGCGACCGATATTCCGATAATAGAGGAGTTAATGCTGGCTGTCTTTCCATCGGCCCCCCGTAGTCGCGGTAGAACCAAGACACGAACACCGGATTGACGAGTAAGCCTGACATAATACCTATAGCCTGATTAGCTCTAGTTCTTGGAAGCCTAGACTCTCACACCTGAGTTGTAGCCGAATAAAGCATCCCCCAAGCTGCCAAATGCGTATGTCGCATAAAGCAAAGGCTTCCCCTTGAAGGGATACCTGGCGCTGACCCCTTCGGGTTTCAGCTTTTTTTCAATCCAGCTCTCTTGCTCGGCTACCTGCGCAGCAACAGAGTAGGAGTGAGCCCTGATAGAAGCATTACGCTCCACAGCGACTGAGCCTCTTCGGGTGGTCATGGTTGCGATTCGATTGAAGCAGAAATTGGAATGTTGGTACTGTATAGCTTGAAAACCTATCTTTGTGATGTTCTGGTGCTGAGACCTGGGGACCTTGGGTAGACTCTGCTTCTTATATCCCAGGTGTTTCCTTCCATGTCACCGTCGAGATACATGACAGGCTAATCTAGGAGACATAACGTGCCGTGCCGTTGTCTCGCCCAGAAGTTGGGGCAACATTCCTTCCGTCAACAGGGTTAATCTTTCGTAGCGAAGCTGGTTCAATTCCTCAGCCTTTGGCCGTCCCCACCAACCGGATCTAAAAACATGGCTTCCTAGCGTACTGTTCCGACGGATCTTGGGCCCATTCAAGGGAGACGTTTGACTTTCTCGGCTCCTGAGTCAACCCCACATTCCTAGTTTTAGCCGCCGAGTCCACTCCAGAGTTGACTGCCTCGTACATAATAAGAATATACTTTTCCCAAGATCCATTGGAAAGGCTGGCAGATGTTGGAGCACGGAATAGCCATTACCCTACAATCACACCTACCAGGATCTAATTAGTTCTTCTACATTTACCCATGTCGAGCCACTAAAAGTATGTAGCTTAATGAGCCGCTAGGGTCGATTCCTGAGCTAATCCGACTCCTCTAATATCTGTCGGAGTCGAGTCCGAGGCTCTGCTAGAATCGCCTCCTGGAATGGCGAATGTGTTAAGGGCTGGTATAGTTGGCGAAGTGATGCGTCCCAAAATCTACGGCCATCAGTGAGAAGATGAGAAGATGAGAAGAGACATGAGCGTGAACAGGTCACCTTCTTCGTGAGGCCCATCGCCGAATCTGACTCGTGCAACTCCGCGAAAACGGATCTCGTACGGCGCGTTTCGGTTTGTAAGTCAGAAACCTCATGCCGCCGACTGCGGGTATGCCGATCAGAATGCTCAGCTGGGGGGGACAAGGGTCCATGGCGCCAGCCTGGATCTTGAGATGGCTGGCGGGTATTCGGGAAAGGTTTGATGTGGGCGAACCTTCTCTCGCTGGGGGTCCCAGACTCTTGAGACTCTACTCGTTTTGGAAGCCGTACTCTTCTGAATATGCCAGAGTCAGAACACAGCATGCTGGGAAGGGATTGCGTACTTGGTTGACTCCGGTTGTTCAGAAGTTGTGCACTCAGAGCGCGCGTGGAGGCAGTTTGAACATGGTCGAAAGTCATCGCACTTCCGGGAGTTACCTTGACAATGTTCTGCATGCAAAGCCTGGGTAGAACTCACTCGTTGCTTCTGTCGTCGACAGCGATCGCAAGCGTTACTCACACGAGACGGCGGCCGTGTGCGTCGCATATTACCAGGGGGAGCCCTCGAGCCTAGCGATGATATACCTGCTCTCAGGGTCGCTGCAACATCTTTTGAGCAAGCCGTAGCGGTACGCGTCCTTTAATACTGGGGCAATTTTGAGATGAAGGTCTAATGCGGGGTGCAAAGCTTGGCACTTGAACCAGGAAACATTGGTGATCATGAAATGCGCTGCATGACGAAATATGCCCATGGAATATAGACAATAGAATATTATAGGACTTCCAGCGCCACCATGAGTGTGTCGTGAACAGGATTGATACCTGAGTTAATTGATGCTCCTGCATTGTACAGAACGTTTGCCATACGTCGAACCTCCTTGAGGCGCGTCGGGATGCCAAGATATTCTGGTCATCGCAAGACTTGGCGTCGCATCGTCAGCCTTGTCATATGCCATCGTCCCGGAACAATTGGATTTTCCCGACCCGTCTTTGGCTGCCAAGGCTGCCTTCTCACGGCATAAATCCTCCCAGCTTTGACCTCAACCGCACCAGTGTCTCCGCCGATGTCTTCGCAGTCGGTCGCCGTATCGGCACCTGGCAAGGTCCTCTTTGCAGGGGGTTTTCTAGTGCTCGACAAGAAACACACGGGCCTGGTGTTCGGTCTCGACGCTCGGATCCACGTTCACATCGAGACGTGGCTTCAACCTCACCACACAGTGGAAGGTGGCGCACTTATCCAGGTGCAGTCTCCACAGTTCAGCGAAGCGAAATGGCTCTATGCCGTCTCAAAGGTAGCCGGTGAACGTGTTGCTGTCGATGTTTCTCAAGTGCAGCACCAAGCTGGTTTCACTGCTGGATTGAACAAATTCGTGGAGACTACGCTTCGATATGTGTTGACCTATCTGTCACACATCACCAAGGATATCTACCAGAGCCTCAAGGTCACCATTCTAGCAGATGATGATTACTACTCTCAGTCTGCAGGGTCGTCGCAACCGCAAGATGCAAGGACTGATTTTACGGATTTCGGAGTCAAATTGACAGAGGCGCACAAGACTGGGCTGGGCTCTTCAGCGGCCTTGGTTACGGCGCTGGTGGGAGCGTTGCTTGTGTTTTACGGATTTGATCGTCAAGGCGATGGTGAAGAAGCCACCCATCTCAGCCGTACCCATAACCTGGCACAAGCGGCGCATTGTGCCGCTCAAGGCAAGGTCGGTTCAGGGTTTGATGTTGCTGCCGCCGTTTTCGGTTCCTGTCTATACCAACGCTTCAGTCCTGCGATCCTGGAAACGGTGGGGGAGCCAGCAAGCGCCGGGTTCGCAGAACGGCTCCACATCTGTGTGGATGATCTTGGTTTGGAGAATGTCTGGGACCAAGAAGTAGCGCGCCAGGCGGTACAAGTTCCCAGTAGCTTGCTACTGGTGATGTGCGACGTGGACTGCGGCTCAGAGACTCCCGGAATGGTTCGCAAAGTACTTCAATGGAGAAAAGAGCAAGCTGAAGCATCGTCCTTGCTGTGGAATGCCTTGCAACAAGGTCAGGATGACCTCTGCCGAGAACTACGACGGCTTGCGGAGAATGAAGGGATGGCATTCGACGGCTACCACGAACTGGCAGATATCATCTCCACGATCCGCAGCCTGGTTCGAGAAATGTCTACTGCGTCTGCAGTGCCCATCGAGCCTCCAGTCATTACAGAATTGCTGGATTTCTGCACCGCTTTGCCCGGGGTGGTGGGCGGTGTCGCGCCCGGCGCTGGAGGGTACGATGCATTGGCTTTGCTGGTGAAGAACGATGTAGAGGTGGTTCGAGAGCTGCAATCCAGCCTAGATGGATGGAAGAGTCAGGATGCCAGTGGAGCTACGATTGGCAAGGTCCGACTTCTTGGGGTTAAGCAGGAGAAGCAAGGGGTCAGAACAGAAGGTATCGGTAGGTATAGTGGTTGGGTCTGAGGCTTGCTGTGTCCCAGGCTTGGTATCTCGTACAGTGCTCGGCGTGGCAGTGGCATCTGTGCTTCAATCGTGGCGTTTTCTAGTGAGAACGCTCTTTTTCAAATTGAGCTGGAGCTGGTGGTGCCTGGACGGACGACGCTTTACCGACCCAGGGAACAGTTTCCGAATTACTCGGGATATTACAGTCTCAGTTCATTCCCCTCAATTCGGGCCTCAATATTTACCTCCATCTTGACAATGCCAGTGGTACCGTGTAGTACATATGTACCGGCGGCTGTGCTGCTGGTCTTGTGCTCAGCAGAACGTGTCAGGCCAGTGAAAAGAATCATTAGCCGAATATTCATTTAGGCTGCTTGGCGTGCACGATTACGAGTAGTCAGTTGTTGGCCCGCGAACGTCTAGAAAGCAAGATGGGCTATGTCCCGCTATTTATTGGGGAAGTGAATGTTGGTTGAGTCGGTGGCCACTGGCCACACCAACTTTGCGGGGTTACGTCTCGATCGCTCGCGATGGGGGCGGCCGAGCCACAATTACTGGGATCGCTAGGCTATGCACCCCTCCAAAATGCCGCCCCGAGAGCCCTGGGCTTTGGCGGCTGTCTTGGGGGCCCACTCCCCCAGAAACTTGGACTCTTGGGTTTCCAGGGCGGCCACTGCTTCTGGCCACTCCGAGGTAGCCGATACCCATGTGGTCATGGACAGGCTCAGCCAAGCATAGGTGCCATGTACTCATGTACAGAGTACTGCGTCGCGGAGAGTTGACTGTCTTGGTACTCATCCCTGGCCTAAACGACCATGGCCATGCTTAAGCACCAGCTCCCGTTGATGCCCATGTCGTGCTCTAACAGTGGCCACTCGGTACCTATTCGCCTGGTCCGTCGGGACTCCCGCCCGCCTACGAGTGTCCTACGAGTGTCCTTTTTCCGCTTACCGTTTGCCACCCATGACCGGTTGTCCTGGCTGTTTATTTCTCACTTAGAAACTCCAGCAATTACTTGTCCTTCTCCGTCCGCCCAACACTACCAAGTTGTCGCTGCGACTCTCGGGCTTATCGTCGTGCATTGCATTGATTGAAACATCAATTTCACTCCTCCGAATCCAATTCAATTTGTCTCAGGATCCCTCCAGGACTGTCCTTTCCATCAGAATTACGGGGTCTCTGGTACGGGTACTATTATTGCTTGCCAGCCGGCAGTCAAACTTCTGCTACGGTGACTCGCCACACCAGACTCGTCTGCAACGCCCATCCGTTGCAGCCGCTCCTGATCCTGATCCTGATCCTGATCCTCGTCCTCGTCCTCACTGCCGGGAGCCCAGGGCATTCCCATTGAGTCTTGAACTCCAACCGTGCAAGTGCAAGTGCAAGTGCCCGTGCGCCCGCACCCACACAGCCGCACCTACGTACCACCCACACGCTCGTCCGCACCGAACCCGCAATCGCACTTGCACCTCCACCTGCACCTGCACCTGCACCTGCATTTGACAAGTTGGTCTTGCTCCAACTTAATAACCACCACTACCAACTACCGACTACCAACTACCACTGTCTATCCTCACATCTCATCTCATCTCACCGCATCCCAGATTCGGCGCGCAGCTGTCCCGGCCTGTCTTCCTCGTCACTCGTTCTATCTTCCGTTATTCTGCCACTGAGCCGAGTCTTCATACTCGCCGAGGTCCAAGATGAGCCCGACTCCCGATTCAACCAACCTCCAACCACAGTCCGAACCTGTCTCGGACACACGCTCAGCCGCGCAAGACATCCCTCAGCAATCGACTCTACAGGTCGAAATTCCCGCATCTACACCAGTCGAGATGTCCGACCTTCCCTCTAAACCCCCTCCCTCAGATCCCACCGATTCTACTTCCTCTCCGCCAGTAACAAAGACCACCTCGACCGATTCCTCGGCACATCCCCATGGCCCTCAAAGAGTAGATACCAGGACTGCCATCGACCAATCCTTAAATCCGGAACCCTCTCCACCCCTTGTCGACGGCTCCGCCGTGACGAGGACTTTCTCCACCGCCATCGGACCCTCTTCGGATTCTCCAGTCGTACCTACGAAAGACAGCGAGACCACCGGCCCAGTCCTACAGGTAACCCTCCTCCTCACTTCAGGGGCCAGACACCCCTTCAAGCTCGACAGTAAATACCTGAACAAACGAAGTGTCGACGTTCCCGGTGGCGATCCCTTCAATCTAAGCGTTTACAAGTTGAAAGAACTCATCTTGCGAGAATGGCGGGACGAATGGGAGGCCAAACCCAGCAGCCCCAATTATATCCGTCTGATCAGTTTTGGGAAGTTGCTTGATGACAAAGCGCCATTAAAAGGTATACATCCTGTCCAATCGCTGACTGATCTTGCAAACTAATTCACCTCCCAGATTACAAGTTCAGTGCGGAAGCACCTAATGTGCTACACATGACAATTAAACCTCAGGATTTTGTTGAGGAGGATGATGCCAAAGGTGGCAAATCCAGTCTCTCCAACAATCGCGAGGCAGAAGGTCGAAGTCCAGGATGTCGCTGTGTCATCATGTAATTGAACTTCCACATACTTCATCTTTTGGGAGCGACCATGTACTGGCCAGGAAATCGCAAGACATGTTTGGGACATGTGGACGCTTACTTGCTTGTCCGCACAATATGCTCGAATTCTGGTTCCACCCAGGCTTTTCACGCCTCCAGATCCTTTATCACTTTTTGAGGCGCGGCGTTGGGCGTGGCACGGGATAAATCTTGGCTCGGACGTGATTTACATTTTGTTTGGCTTTCTTCCCAGCACCGGATACGGCGCCGTCATGATAAAATGGTGGGCACACTTGGTTGCCATTTGCTTATGTTCTTTTTGACTGGTCCCAACTCTCCACTTGCGAGGACAGTGGTGACCTGGTGTGGTCCGTGGTTTTGATCATGGAGATAGTGCATGTACAGCTCTTTTCCAAAAGGTGTTGGTCTGTTGTGAAGCTGATGGGCCTGGCAAGAGGCAAATTGGTTATGCTCTTCAGTGATTTCAGCCTTGGTGAAGAGCTAACCATGCGCCGTGCTTGATTGGTGGTTGAAACTAGAAAGAGTAGTGGCCGTCACAGAACCTCGGCGTACTGAGGCGTTCCAGGCAGTTCAGACCAACAATCTTCTTTTCTCATACGCCGGTATATAGGTTTGCAGGACATGAATGCTGGATTGTACACTTGTTAGCCAACCTATAGTAGGTGACTATTGCCACTATCAGTAGCCTGCCCTCTTTCCTAACGCTCCCCTGCAATGCGCATTCTTTTTCTTTCAGGGATCAAGTGAAATATACCTCGCATGTCTCGATGCAAGGAAAAGAACCCGGCTCCGTGCTGATGCGGCAGCCCCCAACATCGTTTTCTCGCCTCTGGCCCTTGCTTGAGGTGGTCGTAGAAACTCAGTACCCCATACAACATACGCTCCCGAGAAGAAGAAATGGGAGGGAATGGCACAAAAAGAGAGCAGACGGGCTCAATCGGTTTGGTTGGTTTTCTTTCCGCCCCGGGGGGGGGGGGGGGGAACGCGGAAGAACCTGGGGTTTCTCGTATGTAGGATGTAGGTGTACCTAAGAAACATGGGTATTGTTTTGCATTGTATTGGTACAATTCTAAGGAAAAAGATCCGGCCAGGCCATCCCTGCGACTGCATTGCATACTAGCCATGTCTACTGGAACTCCTTTTCTCTGATGCCATGCCGGTGGGTGGACGGGTGAGGCGAGGAAAAGACCTCCTGCAGCAGGTTGGGTGGCACGTACGTGCTGCCGGCCTGGACTGGACCTCCCGCCATTGCGAACCTGTGTGCAATGCTGATTTGGAAGGTCGGGCTTCTTACAAGAGAAGAGAAAGAAATCGAGGCCATGGGTCACGACCCCGTCGAGGTCGAAGAGGTCCTGAACTGAGACAATCCGTGACTCGCTGCGACGCCCTTCCCGGAACTCTCCTCCTCCCAGCAGTGTCCACCTTCAGATGCCTGCCACGTCAACTACCACTTGCCCATACCAACCTTCCGCTCCATCTCCTCGGTCCAACCGACGCCCTGGCCGTCACCGCCGGTATTAAGGCCCAGATTCATGCCGTCCTGGCCACAGTAGACATCCTCCCAGCTCAACTGCGTGTCCCTGCCCGCCAGGATATCCTCGTGCACTCGCGCGGGCGCGCCCAGCACGCTCGGCCGGAAGCTGTCGCTCGTCCGCACCACGTGCAACTCCATGCCGCGGCGCAGCGGCTCCGCAAGCCCGAAGTTGCGGCGCAGCAGGTTCATCTGCGTGCGCTCCTGTGTCGCCGTCCAGTTCTGCAGCCGGGTTTCAAGGGGGTGAGACGACGTGACTGTCGACGTCGACGACGCGGACAAGCTGGGTTGGAGAGAGGAGCGAAGGGTGTCGGGGAGGCCGGGGGCCGACGGCGCGCCGCGATCGAGGTTGTCCCGTCGGCCGTCGCTGCTTGTGGACGAGAGTTTGGTTGCTGCTGTGTTGGTCGTGCTGGTCGGGTGCGACGCTGGAGGGGCGAGGCGGAGAGACTGGTTTCTGAGTCAGTGGACCAGCTATTGCGGGAGATTGTATATCTACGATATCTAGTATGTCATCTAAAGAGGGGTGACGTGGATTTCTGGGGAAGAAGAGGTGAGATGAAAGCATCGAAGCAGTACATACCATGGCGAAACGGTGATCTGGGGATTGATGCTTCAAGAGCGTTGATATGGATGGCCCTCTCGTGCTGGTTTGATAGTACAGATGGGAAAGTAATTGGTTGAGTCGAGGAGTAAGGAGGAAGAGTAATCTTGCTCTTGGGGCAACCGGGACGGCGAAATGAAGGCTGCAAGTGAAGTATTGAATAATGGAGCATCTGGAGCACCAAGAATGAGGTCGAGCAGGCACAAGTTTGTCGTCGTGTTTTGGCGCGCGTTCGTCATATAATTGACCGTAAGCCTGGATTACGGTGAGGCTTAAGACCACAAGAGCAAGCATCACGTGACTATCACTGCCCCGAGGCTATCACAGGTCCCCGCGCTCTTTGCTCGCTACAGACCTAAGCAGATGAGCTAAGTGTGGACCAGTGATGGACTGCGCTTGGAATAGTATTCAGTACTCCAGTAGTACGAGGGTCTAGATCACTATGCTGTCCCACGTCCATATTCGATCCATATGGACTCACCCCATTCCACCATGAAATGGAAATAAACTGATACCGACATCTTCCACGTTTAGCGAAGATCTAGATATCGTCGTGAAAAGTCGGGGGCTTCTGCCAAGCACTGTTTCTCAACCGGACGCCATAAAACCGGAGCAAGACCATAGGAATCAGGAAACCAACGTGGATCATGGCAAAGAGAAGCCAAGCGTACTGGTACTCAATCTTTTCACCCAGCGGAATCCTGTTGAGGTTTGATGTGTCAATTAGCTGGTTTTAAATCAGGCAAGGAAATCACCTACGCGTAGAATGAGATTGTCATGGAGAAAATGCTTCGAAATAGGTTGAGGATGCTGGAAATCTCGGAACTCTGGGGCTTGTAGCACTGTTGTCCTTCAGTTAGGAAATAGGTCCCGAGGAAGAATGCCGCCTCGACACTTACATCTGTGCAGTAGCTATACGTAATTGTGGTTGCGACTTGAAGGCCAAAATTGGCGATCCCCATACCGAATGCCGCTCCTACCCAGGGGACTGTCTTGTGATGCGTCAAGCAGATGCCGTCGATGATGATTCCAATCGGGCAGAGAACAGCGAGAGGGATCGCATTTATACGAGGTTCTGGCTCCCGTCGACCTCTGTGCTTTTTGGCGTATCGATAGACCATGTAATCTGTTAGCCAGCCTGCGCTCATCTCACCGAGCAGACAGCCGATGAGCAGAGGAATGCTAAGCATCAACCCAGTCTGCGCAACATCGAAACCGTACATTTGATGGAACAACTTCGATCCTGTCGCCGCAAACATCACCGAGCCAAACCCAAAAGCTGTCATATAGTAAAACCCTGGAATGACAATTGCAAGATACTTAAACATGTAAAAGGGTTTGAGGAAGTCGGCAGGTTGTAGTTTGCGATCCTGTAATCCAGAATTCTTGAAGAGAAGAAGATCCCTGAAAGAGCGTTCCCGTTGACCGGCAATGGATCGGCGAGAATAGATTGTTTCTGGGAGGCAGAACAGCGTGAAAACTAGCGTGCTTATCTGCATATAACCCTTGAAAGCGTCAAAACCTGTGCAGAAAGACTCCATATAAGCTTACCGGAATGAGGAAGCACTGACGCCACCCTAAATTCTGAGCTATGAATCCTCCGAAAAGGGAAGCAGCATGAGGTCCATTGGTGAGGAAGAAGGTGAAGATTCCCATGTAGAACCCACGCTCATGCAAGAAATACATGTCACAAATAGTAGCGGCTCCGATCGCTGCGGGCGAACCTGCGCCTATTCCGTTAAAGGCCCTTGTCACCATTATTCCAGCCCATGTGGTGCAGCGACCTGCAGCGACATTGGTCACAGCCGCCACAAGGTTGCCGACAATGTAAACTGGCCTTCGACCGTACAAGTTCGATAGCGGAACTGTAAGCAGTGGCCCCACGCCCGCAAACACGATATACATCGTAAGCTCATAAGAAGCTTCTACTACAGTGATGTTGAACTGTTTGCTGAGGGGGATGAAGGCTGGGTTGACGATTGCGCCGGCCATAGGACCAAGGAAAGCCAACCAGCTGACTTGCAAAAGGATGAACAATTTGAGCCATGGAGACCAGTTCTATGCTTGATCAGTAGACAGTCCAATGCCGAAAGTAAATGACAGCGTTCTGGATATTTCACTTACTAGTGGATCGTCTTTACGATCTGTTGGCTGTGGTACTAGGGGAAGACCTTTCTTGTCAAGCTTGAGATCTGATGTCGCCGATGCTTCCAATTCAGTTCGGCCTTCTTTTACTCCATCGTATGCATCACCAGAGGAGGATCCCTTTCCTTCCTCGGTATGAACGACTTCAGCCTTCCCTTGCTCAAATTCCATAATGTTCGGAGAACCGAGATGCTCGAGCAGCAGGACAACAGATCCAGATTGTGAGATTAAATTGCAAGTTGAGAAGTAGAGGATAGGTTCCTTTCGCACAAAAGACTAGATCTGTCTCTCCGCATCGCTAAGATTCTGCTTCGTCGGAAGGCGCACAGTAATAGGACTCCAAAGACAATACCGCCTGCCTGAATAGGCTATGACAGTGCAAATCTGCACTTTCGGTAGTTGCGTACGAGCGCATGAGGCTCCCTCACAACCCATGTGAATTGGGGATACTGGGAGAACGCAGGAGAGTAATCTCTCCGGGGCCCACCGGATGATTTCCTTGAATCAAATTCATTGACTCGTCTTCTTGTCAACCGGACAATGCCCCTTCAATGAGGGGGATCAAATGAGGAGAACCCTGGATAGGTGCGGGTTTGGTAGAAATCTCTGAATGGAGTGCGCAGCCAATAGTCATGCGGTCAATGATGAGGTAGATCATCTGGAAGGGGTTATCGACTTCCAGCATATGGCCTGAACCGTACAAGCTTTGTGGACCGAGGCTTGGGGAATCTTGGTCATTGGCAGATAACTCGCCCTCCATCAAAGTTACCTCAGGGTTGGCTCGTGGAGAACCCATGGCTCCCAAGAAATAGACTCCAAGACTAAACTCCACTTCGGCATACATTTAGCTGTCAGTATTGAATGATTCCTACACGATTGAGCATAGTCTCCCTTGTCGAATTATCCCTATCAGCGTACCAGGGACTCGGATACTCATATGAATTCAGTAACCGCTGGCCAATCACCTAAATGTCAAGTATCCGAACCATTTGATCGAAGATATGATTTCACCACACGACACTCCTCCCCTAACGGTTGCAATTGTTGGTGGCGGTATTGGAGGGCTCTGCACTGCCCTTTCACTTCACCATCACTGTGGTGCTGCACTTTCAATAGACGTATATGAACAAGCACCGCAATATAAGGAGATTGGCGCTGGTGTGGGGATAGGCGTTAATGCTGCAAAACTCCTCTACAAAGTAGGCATTGGCCAGAAAGTCGCAGCAATTGCAGGAAAACGGAGCGGTATATGGATCACCTTTCGTAAGTTCGATGATGGAACAGATGTCGTCACGGTGCCATCGGCAGACACAGATGGCATCCCACAGTTACCAGTTCATCGAGCAGAATTCCTGGATCTTCTCGTTGATATTGTGCGAGAGAAAAACGCAGCGGCACTCCATACCAACAAGAGGTGTCGAAAGCTGACTGTATGTGTCTGAGAAGTTCGTTCTTGCGACGCTAACAAATGGGCAGGAGCAGGGAGACCAAGTCGCAATCGACTTCGAGGACGGGACAACTGCGAAGGCACACCTGGTCATCGGCTGCGATGGCATCCATTCTGCCGTAAGGGCACAATTTACCAGTGACAGCCCCGATTACAGTGGGAGAATCGCCTACCGGGGACTAGTACCCATCTCTGAGATCGAGGCGTGGTGGGGGTTTGAGACATATGCCGTGACATGGCTAGGGAAGAATCGACATTTCCTGTGCTTCCCAATTTCGCAGAATAAAGTCCTCAACATTGTTGCGTTCGTCGCGGAGAAAGAGGAGAACTTGGGTGACTTGAAGGAAAGTTGGACTGCGGTCGGGAAGAAAGAGGAAGTATTTGAAGCCTTTAGTAAATTCGAGGAAAAGGTCCAGAAGCTCATTGGCCTCATGGATGATCAGCCATCAAAATGGCTGATAAACGACCGAAAGCCACTAGATCAATGGATATATCTTGGAGGCAAGGTGGTGCTCCTAGGCGACGCTGCACATGCCATGACCCCACATCAAGGTCAGTTCGTTGATTTATTATTCTTTGTAACTCACCACGCTGATGAGCACCACAGGCGCTGGTGCAGGTCAGGCCATTGAGGATGGGTACATCCTGGGCCGTGCGCTTCAAGATTTTCTCAGGGACTCGCGATCAAGTTCGAATTCGTTGGGGTCCTGGGCTCAGCTATACCAAGCCGTGCGGCTCCCTCGAGCGCAAAAAGTCCAGCGGACTTCTCGAGACGCGGTCGAGATCTACCAGGCTCAAGCGGATGTGATGAAAGATTTACCCTTTGATGAATGCGTCCCGGAGATTCACAAGCGAGTCATTGATAGAATGCGCTGGGTGTGGACTGATGATGTTGACGCTGAATATGATCAGGCTGTGGAGAACTCGAAAGTGGTGCATGAGCAACATAGAGTAGTACATTCCTAGATTGCAAATGACATTAGCAAACGTTGAAATTGGATGAAGAATCAAGTCAGAAAGGGCCAAGACACAGCCTTGCCCCTGGCCCCTTCCGGCCACATATTTTTCCGGATCCTCAGGGGCTCAAATAGTCAAGGCCAGCTAAGGCTAGATGCAACTTCAGCTTCAATAAACACGTAGAATCCTGAGTACTACAAGTGCAGTCTTCACTCACATCTCTGTTACGCTAGAAATGGCCTGGTTCCTCATGGATGACATGGAAGGATCAAGCCGCCCGCCAAAGCCGCCTCTTCAACTCTCCCCTCAGCTCAGGCAGTCCCTCCTTGATCCTTTCTGCAGCAGAGGCGTTCTCCACAGCCCTCCGCAGTAAGAAGTGCAGACATTCACGGACGGAGCCCCAATTCAGGCACTTGTACGCGACCGGCGCAGCTTGAAGCTCCAGCTCGTACTTCGCAGACACGGCACTCCCTTCGCTCTTGTGTTTCTCGAAGTTCTGGACGGCCCTTTCGTACTGCTCTACAAGGTCGCAGCTCACATCGTCCGCCATGCCGTGGAGCTGTCCGTACTCTACAGGAGGGACCTGTTGTCCAGCCATGACTAGCTCACGTACGGTCAATATTGCCTGCCGGATGGATTCCGTATTGTGACCAGCCAGAAATAAACGCAAATCCGGGAATTTTCGGACCTTGAAGCCCAGAAACGCACCCTCGGCGATGTTCTTACTCAGCAAGTCCCTTGCAATCGAGTTGTACGACTCATCGGTCTCAGCCTTCGTGTCCCAGATCCTTTCACGCACATCACTAGCTATGTATGCACCGCGCACCAGCTTGATTCCCAGGGTCCAAGCTTCGTCGCTCGCGACTTGCAAATGCTTCGCCACCGTTTCTCTTGAGCTCTTGAGGTATGCTTGAATGGTGTTGAAGACGAGGGCATTGCCATGGATGTTATGACGGCGCATGAGATCGATTGTCCAGGCGTCAATGCTCGGCTGAAAGATCTGCTGCTCGGCGTCGATCCAGATCCGGCTTCCCTGTGATCGGGCTTGATGGCATAGCTTGTCGATTGCTTGTGACAGTTGCTCTGGAGGCTTGGTCCCGTCAATAAGGCACTGGCTCACGCGCGGACCGGCTCCGGTGAACCTGCACATCAAAAGAACGATGGTAAGCCTTCCATAACAATAACTCAACACAGAGAACAGAAGAACAAATAACAAAATTCCACGGATGCCCTCTTACTTGACATTCATATAATCGCCCCTACCAATCATTTCCAACGTCGTCAAATTGCCCTGCAGCCAAAGGGCAATATGCTTGTCTTCCTCTCTACCTCCCACCCCAGCCAGTAATTTATCCTTGTCCTTCCCCCTATCACCAGCTGCCTCACTGGTATCAATGACAATTTCACGTCCATACCCCAGAATAACACCAGCGTATCCAGCGCTCTTGATCTGTTTTATCGTCGCTTTGACTTCAGCGGGACTGGTTCCCGCGCAGAAATGGTTGTAGATAGCCGCACGGATGAGGCCGCGCACCACAGGATTCTGGTCCGGATCCAAAAAGCGGGATTTCGAGTGCGCCACGAAATTCATCGGCCTCATTAGCACCTTCAGCACACTCGGCGATGTGAAACAGTAACCCAGGAACAATGAGCGGAGCAGGCTCGTCAGAGATAGGCGTGACAGAGGTGATGTGGTACTCTTGCCTCTGTTTGTTTTTGAGACCGGCAGTTCCTCCGCGCTCCTTGACTCCAGTACGCCCGGTGCCGATAACGACGACGTCGAACTAACCGCTCGAGACTGTGAAAGTGAATTCGCGCTGTTCAAATGGAGACATTGATATCGAGTCTTTCGACCACTCTGCTTAAGCAACACTCTTGCCGGCAAGAATAATTGCTCTTGTCGCTGCCACGTGTGAACCGCAGAACCATAGAAGCAAGACCCTGAGCCTATCCGTCGAACGCCACCGTGGCAAGGGCGGCAGAGAGCATGGGCCATTCTCGCTTTTCGCCTCCTACCTCAACACGACAAAGTTATGCTCCCGGCGTGGTCTTTTCTTTCTCTCAAATCACAGAATCTCCCATCCGAGTTCTACACAGACGATAAAGGCTCATGTATAGCGACTAAGATCATTTATGATGATGACGACAGTGACGACGATGGGTGAATACCAAAATGGCGGAATTTCGTCGCCAAACGACTCGACTCGACCTGGACCCTGGGAAATAGAATTAATATCTATGCCGTTTATCCTTGAATCTACAAGTCATACATGGACGATGGAAGGATGCATACGATATAGATGATATGATACAATCAATGATAAGGGAAACAAACCCATGACTTTGGCCTCGCGTATCTCACCGATATGCCCTACAACCACACGGTAAGGGGCCAAGGGTCGGAACCAGGCAGCCGAAAAGTCGCTGTCCTCCGCCAGCGGGTGCGTGCGCGTGACAGGTGCCCCAAGCCGGCAACTCTTGGATCCCGGTGAAACCGTGATAGGACTTGTCCACGCGGGGAAATCGAGAAGCCGAATTCGGGTAAATGGGAGGAACAAAATTAATAGCCACTTGTCGAGAAGGCTGATGCACTTGTAGATCTTCAAGTCGGCTCATTGCATCATCTTACACCCTATGATACAGGATAAAGTAGAGAGTCAAGCCTACTCATACAAGTAATCTTTATTGTTTATTATATTGCTGTGTATACCCCCGTGCGCACTATATACATATTCTGCATATCCAACCAGCCCCAAATGCTTGCACAGTGTATAACAATCAAGATCAAGAGATCACAAGTAGAATTCCTGCTCAAACAATGAGTCTATCCGCGATTCAATCAATCGCCATCAATCCTGGCATATAATGCAAGAGATCAACTCGGCATGACGTGGACTAATCAGGCAAAACGCAAGTCCAAGTCTACGCAAAATTCCAAGACAACGACGCATTCCACTCTGCAATGTCTTGGATCATTGCTACATTTGGATCGCCGATCTGTTCGTAGGTTGCTCTATCATACATGTCCACATTATCAGGCCCCGGTATTGAACTGACTGGAATGAAGCCTCCCATTGGCTGGGACGTTGAGTTCATTGAAAACCCCAGGTCCGGCGTTTGTGACCAGTTCGAATAGTCGGGTGGCATAGAGGCTGGACGTATGCGATCGGCACTGTTCGAAGAAATGAATTCAGACACAAACGTGGACCTTCTGTCGCCATAAATATCCCGTGGAAAGGCTGAAGAATTTTGAGTTGAGGTTGGCCCATATGTCATTCTTGAAGTCATGTGTGGTCTTGCCTGCTGCAGGAAATCTGAAGTAGGCGTACCCGCGAGACTAGAGTGCATATGTGGCGGCTGGTTGCTAGAACTGCCAGCCAGGTATATGACAGCATTAAGCGGGCTCTGCGGGCTACCGTTTTCAGCAGGAACCATTTTGCTCACCTTGATTGATGTATTATCGGCTGGGCTCGCGATTTAAACCTCAAAGGGGATGTTGGGATATGGGAAGTGCATGCCTGGTCGACAGCTGTGAGATGACCAGTAGCGTTTGAGTCCTCCAAGGTTGTCAAATTGACATCCAGTTGCATGATAAGTAATTCAGTTCAAGGTCTGGTCTTCTTCAGCACATGCATCGTCGAGATTAAAATCTTAGTAATTTGCGATGATCATCAGCTTCGCTCTGAGAACATTCTCTGCGAATAAGTAAGAAGGCTCGCGCAGCCATATAGATGCGGAAGGGAGTGTACGGGCCCATCTAGAAGTAAAGATTTCAGTTTAGTAACTAGTGACAGATAAAGAGGCACGGCAACACCGTACCCTCAACAAAATCTCCTGAGAGACCCCGCCGAGACGTTCGACTATCGATAGAGCTGCTCTGAAGCACTTGAACTTTGCCTCTGTTCTCATGTGCACCAGCCGTGGGTTCTTCCCTGCAGTGAATATTGCAGCCTGATGAAGGGATACTGTACATGGCTGAATGAACAGGTTCAAGAAAGTAACGTGGGGTGTTGTAGCATCTTTTGAAGAGGGAGCAAAGTGGGGGAACCGCAATACTGCATTCGTCAATATTTTATCGATTTTGCGGTAGTTGGTCCAGAACTGATTATCCAGATCATCTGCACTGGAATCGTCGGCTTCTGGTCGATGCAATACGGTATCAATGCGGCCGCTCAAGCAAGCGACCACCGCTGTTGCACAGGATGTAGAGGCAGATCTAGCTCCTGGAATATAGTTAGTGCAAGTATGCTCATCGAGAAAGATGTGAGCAGTACCAGCTGGGGTCATTGCCTCTGCAAGCGTCATCTTTCGTCCAAGGATACCATTCTCATAATTTTTCGTTGGGCATGGGAAGATTTGTTTGGACCTGTAAAGCAATATCGTTCAGAGATTGACGTGGTTCAAGAATAATGGAAGAGTCTATTCGGCATTACTCACATCTCGCTCATCAACTGCAACTGGCAAGCCCGATCCGGTGCTGAGGAATATATCTTGGATAAAAGTTTGCCAAAAAGTACGCCTTCGCTGCTCCAATTCTATCCGATCAGTCGCAGGTGAAGCGTAATTGCTCACTGCGAGCCCCACGCCGTCCAGTCTATGGAGGCCAATCGCAAATGCTAATGACGCTGGCTTCGCGCTTTGACACAACCGCGAGCAAATTGCAAATCAGTTTGCTAATAGATACCTATAAGTACCCAGGTTTGCACATGTGCAACGGGCATGGATACTTCTCCCCGACTTTTCATTTCGTCCAAGTCTGCATATTTTCTCGGTCGTCTGTAAATATGTCGTGTAAAGGACGGTACTTTTCAGAAGACAGTGCTGACAATGCCCGCATCGCGTAGCACAAGCAGTGAGGAGGCCTTAACCGGGATGTACTCGGGAGACTGCAAGCAGCAAGGTAACGAGCTGGGTGGATTGCGGACATAGAGTGATACAGGCTGGAAAAAAGATTTCGTTGCTTCGGGGGCCGGTCAGTCCTGGATGCCATTTGTTTTGAGGAACCTACAGCTCATCCTGCGCTTCTATGCGTGGTAATCATTCTTCTAGCCCCTGCGTCACCAGGTCTCTACAGACAGCACTCCGGCCAGTGAAACTCGAACTCGAGATATCGTGCTGCGGGCCCGGGACATCGTAGAGATAGGAGGAACCATCAGATCGAAAGTTTTGGAATGAAAAGTGTTTGGTGTTAGAAGAATCACGACCGAGGCTTTGTTCTTCATAGGAGATGTCAAAGTCGTCAGTGCTATGCAACCCGGTGGTGGCGTTCATGGGAAACCTCGACGGCGCTTTCATCTGGTATCTTCTCAATATGCTGTATCGAGGAATTGTTGATAGATTGCTTTTTAGACTTCCTTCTTGACTCAAGCTCCGCTGAATGTCACAGCATGTCAGCAACATCAAACAGAAAGCCTTGTGACTTGGTGGACCTAAGACGAGTAAACATACCTAAACGGACTTCAAGGATCTTCATGCTCGTGCGTTGCTTGCGTACGCCCTTCCTGATGTCTTGGTAGAGGCATTGCCAGCTGGCTTTGAAGCAAGTACTGCCAACTGGCTCAACCCCGTCGCATCTTAGTTTCCTTTTCCGACAAGGCGCGCCGCGCATGCTGCAAAATGGCTGAGACGGTTGGATCGCTTGTTCCTCCTGGCTTTGAGGACCATCTTCATCACGGCGAGGACCCATGGTTGTATTTTCGCTGTCCTAGCGATGTCTGGCCTTCTGAGTGCTAGATACTGTCAATTGCACTGTTTGCACATTTGCTCACCTCTGCGTTGAAGAGGAAGACGATGAGAATTTTCGAGAGGGATTAAACATAGCGGCAAGGAGCGCTTAAGAAGCCCTAACTTGAGCCATCAGGCCCAGCGATAGACAAGCATGTGGAAAAACGTGGCATCTAGACTGAGTGGTGGCAAATAGCCTCTCGCATCGGACGGCTCGGTAAATCTGAGGCCTTGATTAGTTGGTTATCAGCAGCGGCCAAGATGCACGGGATTATCGACTACTAGTGCGATAAATTTGCAACTATGTAGATTCAGCAGGATAAGGAGAAGTTGAGCAACAGAGGAAGGCAAGGCACACTCAAAGAATGCATCAGACAAGTTTCAAGAACCTTAATCCGGAAGATGTATACCGAAGTAGGAAGCCCGTTCAAGCTAGGTGTCGAATGTAGCATTAACAATACCTGCGAACTGGTAGATAGATCTCTGCATGGGTCAGAACAATGATATATTTCATTTCGTACAAAAGGGGCGTCAACCTTCCTCACTTGACATCCACACCTGAGATACAACAACCAACATCAGCAGCAGCTAGGTCATTCACATTTATCCAGACATAAGATTAAAACCCACGGCGATCCAGGCCGTTAGTCTTCCTTTGTTTACGGTAGTAAGACAGAGACCCGTTGAACAGTTATCCAGACAGACTTACACGAAGACCAATCCTTGATCAGGAATAAATACTCTCTCCGACCAGCCCATGGACATCAAAGAAAAGAAAAATGGATCGTCCCATATCCCACCTCGTGACAAAACGCCCTCTATATCAAGATCAAGCAAGAGATCAAGAAAAGAGATCATCCAGCAACACCCACGTCCTTGGCCTGCTGGATCATCATAGCCAGTACAGACTTCTCCTCCGGTGAGAAGTCTCGCTTCAATGGAGCGTCGGTCGTTAAGCAACACATGTTACTTTCCTCGAGCTGCCACGCTCCAGGATCACGGACATCTCGTGGCTCGATGAGGTAGTGTTCGAATTTACCGAACTTCTTTTGTTTTTTGTCGGCGAACTTATTGTCGAGGAGCCAGCCGTTGAACCAGAGTGGCTTACCTTCCAAGTCGAGATGAAGGAGTTGAGGGGCACATATCGAGTACGTGGACGGTTCTTCCTCGGCTAGGGGGTCTTCCTCTTCTTCTGGTTCTTCGACGGGCTCGGTACGTTCTCCATCATGAGGTGCCTCGCCGTCGAAAGGTTTGTTCTTATTTTGCTTCTTCTTGGCCTTCTCTGCCTTCTCCTCCTCTGTAAGCTCATGTGATTGAACAGTGCCCATAATGCCTGCATCTCCACCGTGGAAAGAATATTCCATGTCGCCGACAAGTTCCCAGCCAATCCAGAATGTCTCTTTGTCACCTATCACTCCTCGTAAGAAACCAATTGTCAGGCAAACAAAGTGGGAAAAGAACTTACCATAGACCATGTCATAAACACCCACTCGACCTTCGTCTTTGTTCCCGTCTCTATCGGGACCATTCATTCTCGTGACGAGTAACAGTGCAACAAAGTGGCGCCACTTGTCAACCACAACAACTCCTGATTCTTGCATGTGACCGCTGTCACCTGTCCAGAATCGACTCTGCTTGACTTGTCTGGATATGGGCTTTGGTAGAATTTGTTGAAGCCATCGCTTTTTGTTTTCCGGCATAATCAAACGATCCTTGAAGAAAAGAGCGCCGGTCTTTTGATAAGCCGGATCATCGAAGAGCACCTCGGGATTGGTGAAGAACAAGCTGTCAGCATCGATGAAAATGACTTCTCGAAAGCTTGAGAGTAAGATGGCGAACGGTTTCGCAGCCCAGCCAGCTAGTTTCCAGCCTTCGTCATTGACCATCTGCGCGATATCACGAGTGATAACGCCATCGAGATCTTCCAATTCCTGCCTATAATCTTCGCTCAGATCCGAATCTCCGAGGTACATGACCTCAATAGGAAGGTTGCATCCCAGCTTCCTAAACGTGGGGATTGTTGTCAAGAGAAACGGCGCCTGATCATCCCCTGCCGTGAGAACGATACCGCGACCTCCCTTTTTGAAGTGTGAGTGGAGAGTCATGTGATCAGGGAAGTATGGGGCGGTCCAAGGGAACAGCATCTGGCCGAATTTGACCAGGAAATATCGGTAAGCTTCGTATGAGTGGATGGTTGTGGCGAGTTCCGCTCCTGACATTTCCTCAGGAGGCTGATGATTGTGATGTCGTAGATACTGAATCACATCGTCGCGGACGTAGCTGCCGCCTTCTTCATCAAAGCTCAGGTGCAAGGCCTCCCAAGCCTCGAAAAACTTCTTGTATTCGCGGACACGGAGACCCATCTCGCGAAGTTTCTCCTTGCCGGTACCCTCAACTTGTCGAAGCAAATCTCGGCCCTCCATCTCGCCAGGTAGCAGTGCAAGCACTCGGGCAAGTGCCTTTTCGAACTTTGGTCGCTCAGCAAAGGTGACCGAACCCTCGTCAACGTTCCCGTGGGACTTCGGCTTTGCGTTCCTGTCACTGTCTCTCAGAGGGGTAGGCTCCGCTTCGAAACCATTTGCGACTGAGGGCTTTTTCGGCTTGGCGAACGGCACTTCCTTAGCTGGAGACGCAAAAGGATTTTCAGCAGTGGGGGCCTCATTGGCGGGCTCAAGGCCAACATGTGACTGTGAGGAGTCATGGTGTTGGGGAACTCCATTTGGACCGGGTTGCAAAACTCCTCCATCCAAATTTAAGGAAGCGTCATTAGACCAATGGTTTGACGATGGATCGCTTGATGATGAGACTGTGGGATTAGAGGGTCCGCTAGAATGCAGAAAATAAATTAAAGGTACACATAGTAGGACTATTATCAATAAAGCTCCTTGTCGTGATCTCAGGCCGCGTCGTGGAGGACCGCCGTAAGGCAGACCAGGCAGAGATCGGCCTTCTTTTAATGGCGCGTGCCTTGGAGTGAACATCCCGCCGGTTACCCGCATGGGCGGGAAGGCGGATAGGCAGTGTTACGTATAAAAGATGGTGGTTGCTTGTATAGAGATGTGTCGATTTGATGTGATGGGGGACCTTTAAGAAACACCAAAAAGAGTCATTGGTTGAAAGTGGATGAGACGGGCGTTCCAAGCAACGCGTTCCAGACGCGACAGGGGGTGTGGGTCGGCTGGATCGCGACGAACTTTTGATGGCCGTGCAAAGTCTAGTCTATATTGAGAACGAAGGCAGTATATAAGAGATCGGAGTGCACATCAACTGATGAAGATGAATAGCAACATCGCGAGGTTGAAGATTTGAAAGGAGGCGAAAGAAGGGGAGCTGGGTCGAGTTGAAAGGGTGTGAAGGTTGAATAAGGGTCAAACCACTGGCATTTTTTGAAACTAGAGCGTTGGATCCCTTGCCGCTATTATTCCCCATTTGGATTAGCCGCTTCGGCTAACATTCCCCTTGTCGATTGCCACTAGCGACAGATATGCACTAGGCCAACTGTAGACTAGCGCTGCCTGGTGCCTCACGGTCGTGCCAGAGGAGACACACTGTCCTTATTGCCTCCATATGGCCTCCCTATGTACTCCTCTCTGCCTGTCTCTCAAGTTCTACAAACACACACACACACACAACGAACAACGAAATCATCAGACAGGGTTGCCATCCAGACGCCTCAACCGCCCAGCCTCGTGTTCCACCACCTCGCAACGCCTCCCGTCCATGACTTGCATTGAATCTTAATTTAGCAGGCATCGAGTGATCATCTCAGATACAAAACCCACCCGTCGTCTATATATAGTTGTGCATGGACGATTCTTCGGCTTCCATTCTGTTTCTGAAATGACCATTTTACCTTCATGCAGTATGGCGACATGTGGAAATAGATCTCGTGGGACCAATTGGCCCATCGGCAGTGGGCAGATTCCCACCAGGCGAGATTGCACGTGCCAAGCTTTCCCCCTGAATTCTTGAAGGTTGAAAGATGTCTTGTCTTTGACTGCAGCCCACATAGTTCGTACCCGATGAAGCATACGGTGTACATATGGTTGAGGTATGTTTAATTGATTACCTGCCACTTGGCATCAATCATTATCGCTATTAGCCGTTAATCTTGTTCCAATCATGACATTCTCTGCTTGGGCAGCTTTGGGATGAAAAGCCAGACCGCCAAACACAAAACGAGGGATGCAAGAATAATCGGCTGCAGAACCTTGACACCGGCTGCATTCGCTATGGCACCCACCGCAAAAGGCAGGACACAGGCACCACTTGCTCCAAAGGCAGCTGCAAAGCCCACAGCCGCGACGTGAAGTTTCTTCGGGAGGAGCTTCGTGAGAGCAACAACAGCGGCAGGGAACAGCGGGGCGAGGAAGAATCCCACTAGACTGATCATAACGGCACTGACGAAGAAGTTGGGGATCAGCCAAAACATCAATTGAAGGGCGATGCTGAGGATAAGGTAGGTTGCGACGGCGTGCTTTTCGGTCTTGAACACCCGCGCTGTAACGAATCCCAGGATAAGCCTTCCGACAGTGATGCCTAGCCAGAATCCCGTTGAGACCATCCCGGACGCAAAGGGAGATCCCTTCCGGACATTAAGCATAAAGGTGACGATCCACCCGCCGATGCTGACCTCGATACCGACATAAATGAGTAGGAAAACAGATGCAAGTAACGTGACTGGGTTTTTGACCGCCTCGGCCGTTTTGCTCTTGCCGCCCTTTGGCCTTTTGCCGAAAGGGCTGATTTTGGCGAGGAATCCACGTCTCTTGTTGCCTTGTGGAGATGAGTCCTCAGTTGGTGTGCTTGCCCCAGAGTCAACATCATCGGCTGTATTTGGATGTTCAGCTCGGTATGCACGTCCATCGGCCTCCCAAAATGCGCTCACTAGAACACCAACCTCAAGTGCTGCACCACCGGCCATCAGATAGTAGAATTGATACCATCGCCAGCCGGCTTTGGTGATGAGTGATGTGGCGACTAACGGAGAGATTGCTGCCCCCAGGCCATAGAAGGCGTGGAGAAAACCGAGAACTTCATTGGCATTGGCCATGTCACCGATCCAAGCGTTCCTATATAGTCATCAGCGGCTTAATACACGTGAAGTGTAAATTTAAAGCATACCATCCGCTATCACCCAGCCCATTACCAAAACCCGCTAAGATAAATACCAGCACCAAGACCGGGTAGGGAGGATGGACACAAATTGCCACTATCACGGTCAGGATCTCTAACAAAATAGGAAATTCCAATTCTATCGTACCATATGCCACTAGGTGTGAGATACTCATGATAATAGCGACACCTCGCTGACCGTACACAGTGTGAATATGGTTATTCAAAAGCGCCGCTGTAGCATATCCCACAATGGGACTGAGAAAGACCAATGAGATGATCGTGTAATTAATATTATAATACTCTTCGAGATAAGGAATAAGTGCACCATAGGCGGCATCATTGGCCCCTAAAATGATAAAAGAGTAAAAGGTCGCAAAACAACGCCACACATTGATCCTGGGTGAGTTCCATTTTTGTAGTTGAGGTACAGCTGTCGTAGGGGGTGGCAGAGCACCTGCTGATGTGTCTTCGACGGCTTCGCGGATCTGTTTATTGGTGTTTTCTTGTTGGAGGGACCTTTTGGGAAGTTCAAGGACCATAGTCGAACTGCCACCCGAGCCATTATGGTTAATCTGCATCGTCTCTGGAATGTTGACCACGCTGTGGCTGAGGTGGACGAAAAATTGTAAATCTAAATATGACTGAAATATATTCAGGCCACTCTGCGAGAGATGTGCGATGCTTTTCGCTTTTCAAAGGATGTCATACGGACATGGGATTCCTCAGTCACCAGAGCAGTAAATGGCTCGATCTCCGATTATGGAACTGGATCCAGGGAAGAATGGATGAGAGAAGACCCGTCCATGCAAGACCAAGGCCTATTCACCAAATCAAACCAATATGGACGTTTTGTCTAAGGACGCCCTGTACCGCGGAGAGCAGAGCAAATGAAAGGAACTGCCCAGCCCTGCTGAAGCGAGTGATCTCATGAGTTTCCGGGGATCAACCGGCATTATTACCAGCGAGCCTACAAAAATCTTCAGATGGCACTCGGCCCGGCCATTCTGTTTGGAGGAAGCCGATAATGGCGGGTTGCTATTGGTCGTGAACACGTCGCGGAATTGCTCGCTGAAACCCGCCTGGTGGATTGTGAATACCACCTCTCAAATGATCGACTTCGCGGAGTCCTGGAGAAAGATCTTCTGCCCTGGAGCCGCAAGGAGGAAAACTCCCCTGGAATGCCTGGCTAGCGGGCTGGTTTCGGCTTTGATCTCAGATTGTCGGATTATTGATATTCCGGGAATCAACAAGCCCGCCTTCATCTAATTAGCGACAACATGACTGTAATTACTGCAAACGCGTGGGATCTAGGGACAGAACACATCAATACTGTCTGCTGGGCATTCCAATCCATTGGCATTCCTGAGTTATGCGCTCCCAATTTGCTCACCCGGAAAGATGTATCTTCTCATCCACACCTTTCAAAAAAAGCCGAAACTTCACTTTCCAAGACCTTCACTCCCCATAACATCACGGCAAACGTGTCATAGGGAAACTGCAACAAACACATTGAAAATTATTCGCTGGGTTGTCAAAGGACCTCAACATCGCCTAACTAGGACAGCTTATTATCCGAAATGGGGAAGGCATACCTCGACATTCACTTCTCCACGGGAGATCCGGAACATTATTTCCCCGAGCCCCAGATATCACATCGTTTCTGCTTCCCTACGCAAGTTGCCTTCACTTCAGAACGCGTCTGGATGAGTAAAGAACGCCCATGTACCTGCTCGTAAGCAGCACAACATCCCCTGAAATCCATTTGCGAGACTATCAAGAAACATGGGCTATCCTCTATCAGGCAGTCCTGGCCTCCAGAGTGTAAACACATGTCCTGCCGTACTGGTTCTAGGCGCTCCTAGACAGGCAGTGAACTACCGTGGCAAGCATAAATAACTAGTATGCATTCACGCCTTCTAATCATCCAACATCAACGAATGGCACCCACTACCTCTACTCACATCGAAACAAAGGCGGTGCGTACATATCAGTCGGCTTATTGATGTCGATCCCGTACCTGCACAGCATCGGTAGGCGCCCTTCTCCGCAATTTGTCGGAATGCGCAAGCCGACATCTTTAGTCGGAAATGAGATATACCGATTCTCATGGAGTAGGCTAGGTGAATTGCGGGGTTATCGTCTTCTATCTTCAAGAAGGTATGAGATTGACGCCTGTACAGTAGGGCGTAGTGTGTGAGAGCCTAGGACACGAAGGCGCTCCATATCAACCCAACATATCACTATATCTATTCTATTTAATTATCGTGTCAAGGCTAACCATCTTGACAATCACCGCGTGAACAGACTGTCATGAGTACTTCTCGGTCACTCCTGGGCAATCTCAGTGCTGCTACACTACGACATCGACGAACATGTATCCAACAATATCAACCGCTTGCACAGGTCCAGAAGGCGCGGTCGCTGTATCTGTGGAATCCACCTCAGTTTGAGAACGAGCGCGTTGTAAGTCAAAAACAGGATTATTGATCCCCAATTAAATATCGATGAACTGAGATACTGTTCTGACATGATGATCCATGCATCCAGAAAACATATGCTAAAGGTTCGCCTGAGCGGGCAGAGATCACTCAAGCTCTCAAGGACCTTAAGGCGACCTTTCCAGTCAAGATCCCAATCAAAGCCAATGGTGTGATGGTAGGTTGTCTCAATGAAAAGTAATTATCATTACATTTTCTCCTAGATGCTAAATCGTCTCTACCAGATTAACGAGACATTTTCAACCGCCCAGGAGAACCCTTCTTCATTCCGCGAGATCGTCGCAGAATATGCTGCCGCGTCGCCCGCGGACGTCAACAAATGTATTGATGCGGCATTGAAGGCGAAGCCGGCATGGGAAGCCATGCCGTTTGAAGATCGGGCCGCGATATTCTTGCGTGCTTGTGAGCTCATCACAGGCAAATACCGGGCGACGATCAATGCCGCCACCATGCTCGGCCAGGGCAAAAACGTCTTCCAGGCTGAGATCGATGCTGCCTGCGAGACGGTCGATTTCTTCCGCTATTATATTCAACAGGCGTGGAAGTTATTCGCCCAGCAGCCCACCATTCATACGCCTGGGACGTGGAACAAGCTGGAATATCGAGCGCTTGAGGGTTTCGTGTATGCGATTGCCCCCTTCAACTTCACCGCTCTAGCGGCCACTTTGGTCGGCCCAGTTGCACTACTGGGAAACGTCGTTGTCTGGAAACCTTCGCCATCTGCACTACATTCAGCCTGGGTTCTGCATAAGATCCTCATTGAAGCGGGCCTACCTGAAGACGTGATACAGTTTGTACCAGGCGACGCTGCACAAATCACCGATACAGTGCTTGCTAGACCTGAATTCTCAGGGCTATCGTACATAGGCTCGACCGCCGTCTTCAGAGAACTCTTAGGAAAGGTCGGAAAGGCCACAGCAGCGGGGACATTTAACTCGTACCCCCGAGTCGTTGGAGAAACAGGTGGGAAAAACTTCCATCTGGTTCACTCATCAGCAGATGTCAAAAATGCAGCACTCAACACAATCCGAGCCGCTTTCGAGTATCAGGGACAAAAATGTTCAGCCTGTAGTCGTGTGTACGTCGCAGAAACCGCCTGGCCCGAGTTCAAGAACGCCTTGGTTGAGGAGACGTCGAAACTAAAGGTTGGACAGCCAGAGCAGTTCGAAAACTTTGTCAACCCGGTCATCCACAGGCGAGCATTCGACAGACTCTCAGACGTGATTGAGCGAATGAAATCCGACTCAGAAGTTGAATTGTTGGTTGGCGGCAAAGTAGACGACTCTGAGGGCTACTTTGTCCACCCAACGATTTACCGCACCACGAATCCAAAACACGAGCTTATGACGCGAGAGCTATTCGGCCCCCTCTTCTCCATCTATGTATACGCAGACGACAAATATGCAGAAATCCTCGAAATGGTCAATTCGACATCGACGTATGCCTTGACCGGATCGATCTTCGCTCGCGACCAGATTGCCAGCAGGCAAGCTCAAGATGCCCTGCGTCACTCTGCAGGGATGCTATATTTGAATACCAAGTGTACTGGCAGTGTCGTGGCACAGCAGCCCTTCGGAGGCAGCAGAGATAGCGGGACGAACGACAAGTCAGGCACAGCAGCCTTGCTCAGTCGCTTTGTCAGTGTAAGAACCATTAAGGAGGAGTTCGGGACGATTAATGAGGTGGTTTATCCCAGTAACGAGGTCTAGTAATAGCCCCAATTTCAAAATTGAAGCGAAGCTAATCCGTCAGCTTCTTCCAATTACTTGTGAGAGATGTCTTCCATTTATTCATGGTCACTGTAGCTTCGGCAGTGGTGATTTTCAGCAGATCCTCCACGGCATCTGCCACTTTGCCTACATTTTTGCTAAAATCTTCGCTCAGTGGCCGCGTAGCTGCCTGCGCTGTGGGTTCAGGAGAGCTTCCTGTACCTTGGTCCTCGTTTTGTGAATGTTCTGTATCATTCACTTCTGTTCTTCGACGGCGGACGGCGCTCTCCGGCTCGGGAGATGTAACACTGGCGTCATCACCGTACAAATCACTCGACTCTTGGGGTGTATCCTGTGCTGACTCCCGTCCGGGCCCTTGTGCTGAATCTCGTGATTGAAGAGAGTCTCCCTCCCGACGCCCTGTCTCAGGTACCCATTGAACTTGAATGGCGGACTGACAGAAATCTAGTGTCTCATATTCTTCTTCTGGCCATCTAGAATATACATCGTAATATCGCAGATAACCAATGATAGAATCAATCTCGTGCAGCCCAGATCTGGAACTGCCACTGTTGAAGACGTGTATAGCATATTGAAGTGCATCCTTTCCGTTTGCAGTGAGAATTGTAGGATTCAAGCCTTGCTCAACCAAAGCAAGGAATTTTGCCTTTCTGTCGAAGGGGCCATGGTCGCTTCTTGGTTCAATGGAATGGTCCAAAAGGGCCTGAAATACTGTCCCTCCCCGGTAACAGTTAGTGTGCAAATTACCGCCATGAACCAGTATGAGTTGCAGTACCATGCTGTAGTCCGTCGTTGGTCGAACTGAGCCGCGAGCGCACCGACAAGAAGGCTCACATGTCACCTGAGCCCAATGAAAGAGGAGTCCGGCGTTGTCTCCTGAAGACCGGCAACAAGGCTCGTTCCCAACTTCCTCTGACGTTTCCGGCGCCACGTGGTTCATGAGTGCAAGGGCCAAATCTGAGGATGTCTGCCAGCACTTGGTGTTTCGCAAGAGAAAGCAAATATCATCTTGCCGCGGGAATCTCCCGTAGCTTGCGAGAGATTTCAGAAATCCCGTCACTGCCCTCACAGAGATTCCCTGACCCGCGGTGGGGTGTGACAGTATTGCTCTGAACAAAAAGTTCTGTTGATGCTCCGAGATGGCCGAGTCGGCTAGGCGGTCACGGAAATAGTACTCCAAGCCTACTTTGACCGCCAGGTAGGCGTCCAAGATTGGCAATAATTTCTTGTCCCCTTGAACCTTTGTCAGTAGTTTCTTATCAATACTCTCTCGTCCACTCATGAAGACGCAATAGGCCAATATTGGATTCAAGTGGCAACGCATTGCTTGTGAGACAATGGGATATGATGATTGTCCCGTATCTTCATGTATAACTGCAAGGTCGAGGAGAAGGAAGACAGCCGTCCTTATCACGACATGACGGCGTTTCCAGGCGGTAGGAAATTCGACGTCAGGTGCACCTGCAACCACAAGTCCCTCCAAGATCATGGAGAGCCCACTGCTGTGCTCGCCAGAACGTAGCAATGGGCAGAATTCTCGATGCAGAGCCATCACAACCGAGTATGGGCGAACCGCGTGGTGCGAGAACCAGCGGACCACTTTTTTGGAAGACGTTCTGATTCTCGTGTCGCCCAACGACCACGCTTCGAACCACATATTCAACTCCTCTCTCGCGGAATCCATGATTTGCGGTGTAATCATATTGTCATCAGCCGCCTGCTTGATCAGATTCGCACAAAACCCGAGCCAGAATGACTGTGAATAGCGAATTCCAATAACTTCTGGGAGGTATCGCTCGATCCAGCGTTCTCTCCCAATAAAAGCAGAAAACGTTTCATGAACGTATCGGACGCTCAATCCGGTCTCTCCAAGAAGATCTATCATTGTAGCCCCGCCCCTTGAAGGCGAAAACTCCACCAGGCCTTGCAAGAGTTGCCTTGTACGTGCTTGTAGCTCCTCGTGGCTCTCTAGTCTGAACGTCGCGAGCTGTTGCCCAACATCATCCAATATGAAATCGTAAGCCCCCCAGAAGTGATCCAAATTTGTTGTTGAGAAATCCATGTCGGATGCAATACCTTCTTCGGTCCACTTGGACATTGATTGTAGCTTGCCTGTGAGGAACAGGAGCAAGGATGCCTCTGGTCGGTCACGTAGCGGTATCATATCCAGAATCCGCTCGTAGACCTCGTCAAGGGTATCAGGGACATCTTGTACAAGATCAACAATGTCCTTGTTAGAAGCCCCTTGGTCGAATTGTTCAACTACCATGTCAACGACCAATTTGAACCATAGCAGAATGCCTTCGGCGCGGCGTATCAAATACTTTGTCAGTCTCGGATCAAATCGTAACTCGATGGTAGAGTTGGTTGCACTCGCTAGCGACACTTTACGTTCAATGTACTCCTTCATGCTGGCTTCGTTGAGGTCTTGCATCGTGAGTTGTCCCCACAAATCAATTGTGTTAGCGAGTTGAGAGTCGGGCCGGCTTGCTAGGCAGAACTTGATGGGTATTCGTTGCATCATTAGCTTGCATAGGTGGACAACCTCGATGACACCTCCTTCAAACTCATCAAGTCCGTCGAGAAAAATGCACAGCCTATATCCCGACAGGTCGAGGGTTTCACATAGTGCGTCGAGAAGATTTTGCTGATTGTCAACCCGAAGCCGTCCACCTTCCAGCAAAGTGGTCAACCGTTCCTTAACTTTCTCGTTGTGGTCGCCTAATTGGTAAAGAAGTGTTCTGTACATCCCAATAATGTTGTTTGGCAAGTTTTTCCCTGCTCGGTAGTCGAAATAGAAGTGTCCTACCCAGTAGGCTGGATCCCGTTGCTTCAGTTGAGCCATAGTCTGTCTGGAATGCGCGAGATACGCCATTAGATTGGATTTCCCCGATCCTGGTTTGCCATTGATCCAATATGGTCGATCGGTAGTGGACAGCCATTTCGGAAAATTTGTTTCCCAGATCCAGTCATGGTAGTAAATTGCCTCAGGCATCGAGTACTCTCGTTTGTCAAACATACCTTCATACTTCAAAGTGTCTAAGACATCTAGGAGTTTTATCAGCTCATGTATGCTTTGATATGGTGAAAACTTACCAGGCTTGTTGCCAGTGAGGAGTTTTGTCACACCAAATGTGCCAACGCGACGGTTCTTCAAAGCACGTACAACACCTAACAGCTCCTTTGCATACATCGCTGCAGCTGCCGCTGCGTATTCTTGCCAGTCATCATTCTTATGTGTGTCGGAGTAATCACAAATACCTCGAACGACGATGCACCGCAAGTCGCTATTCATGAGTCCGGCCGCTTCCATTTCGAAGCAAAGGATACCATCACTCAAGGCCAATTGATCCCGAAGAGATGCATCCTTCATCAAGTTATCTGCGGAGCCAATAGTGCCGTAGTGGATGACCGGCTCATCAACGTCGTTGGGTCGCGTGGGCCGTTCTAACTTAGCTTGGTCATCCTTAAAACAGGCATCGCTGCAACAACTGGCTCCTTCTGGATGGACAAACGTCGACTTGTAGAGCACGTCTGTCTCTTCCGAGGGTCTTTGATACTTGTCAAGCCGGGGGGAGTGTTGTTCGATTACCGAAGATATCAAATGATCGATGCAATGCCCTTGGCGGTCGTACTTTGTCTTGAGCTTGTTTGTCGCGTTGAGTAGGACCTCTGGTGGTGCATTAAGATTTCCACGCCTTTGAAAACCCTTTCGTTGATCTGTGGCCCCGAACCCATAGTGTACAACCCCCCCAAGGCGTTTATGGTCATCTGGGATACTCACAACCACATCACCAAGCCTAATATCATTCTTAGACGTCGGCGCACCTCCAGCAATGCCTATCATGAGCCCAAATCGTAGCTTCGGGAATGTTCGCAACATCTCTGTAGCAAGCATTCCTGCTTGAGTGATGCCAATCCTGGCCATTGGTAGGCTTGCAACAACCACATTGTGCTCCCCGATACTGCCAAAGGTATAACAATTGTCATCATTGCCGATATCTATTGGATGGTTATGCTCTTCGTCTAGTACAGCGCAGGCTATCAGATACTCCTTCTGTATGGCCGATATCCATGCTACAGTGTAGTCCTTTGATCGAAGACTACGAGCAATTGGTGCCATGTTCAGTGATAGTATGCGAAGAGGTTCTGAACGACCGGGATATTGAACTTGTGGTTCATGGGAGCGGATTCACCGGGTGTAGGCTGGTGGTTAGACTCGTCTGTGGCAGCAAGCAATTCGATTTACCGCTCAGCCTCGTCTCAACAAACCGCGTCGATGAGCGTACTGACCCTGCTGAGTGATGCGCACGGTAGTAAAGAGGGCGATAGGAAATTTGAATGCGATCTTGAACTATCGGGGGCTACGTAGAAGATTCGCATTTGCTTGATGGAGCACACACTCACGATCAAGGAAAGGGCAACTGATGATAGCGCTTGAGGGGCTAATAAGTAGTCGATTCATCTACTCTCTGAACTACGCACGCATGCATGTTGCCCGATTGATGCGGCGACAAACCCACCATTAACAGCACGATGTTTGGATGCCCCGCTTTCTGTAGCTTGGAGCTCGCCCCGGCCGAACGCGACCGCATGCTGCTTGGTGCCGCATACCCCTGACAATGCCTTGAACCGGCAAACCCACGCCCTCCTCGTTCGAGTACATCTATCTCACCTCTCCAGCTCCGGTGCTCCCGTTGATAGGCGTTCGCAAATCTCCCCCTTGTGCCGCCCCGTGGGGGCCACCCTTACCGTCTTGGCAGGTAGCACACCTTAAAGGCGCTAGATGGTGCACTTTCTTTCTCAACAGCCTAACCGATGATGGAAAAGATTGTCTATTTGAAACCATACATTAGCTACGGACAGCTCATCATTTGATGATAGGCATGCCCCGTGAGACAGATCTTGCTTACCGTGTGATGCCAGCTACTTAATAAAATGCACACCCACTGGTGAACTCTGTTATATTGAACCCAGTACCCGGGACCGTATCTACACGAAGGAGCGCGTGCCAGACTGTGCCTTGCGCCACCTGCCGTGTGCCTAGATCAAGCCACTCCCGTCCCACTAAAGGAAATGGACGATGGCTCATCCGTTCTCCTCCCAACGTCGGCGTTAGGATGCACAACACACCTACGAGGTGGGAATGTACCTGAAAAATGGAGTGGTCGTCCAGCATCTATGCATCACTTCTCTAATTCAACCGATGGGAATTAACTTTGCGGAGTCTTGACCTGAAATCCGTGATGGAAATATCTACCGTTACGTCATGACTTGCACATGGAGAGGTTTGATGCAATCACTACGACACGCGCCTTCGTAGTCAGGGACGAAGTACAATAAGAAGGGGGTAAGTTCAGAATGTGAGATGGAACCAAGCACCCAATTTTGAATCCTTTTGCGTCAGTAGTTGCTCAAGGTCTCGCAATGCCTCCCATAACACGAGCAGCTCAGGTCAACGAGGAAGATGATGACCTCGATTTTGTTTCTGACACAAAAGCCGAGCAGACAGATCAGGATGTGGGACGCGAAGCTGAAAACGAAAACAACCACGCCGCCGCCGGGAAGCCCAACGAAGCAGAAGAAGCAAACAGGGACGCCGACAAAAACAATACTGGCCAGAAGCGTAAATCTCCACCTACGGACACTTCAAACTCACAACCCAGTAATAAAGCAGCACGACAGAACGCGGACTCTTCATCTGACAGCCCTAAGAAGCTATTGAACTTCTTGCTCTCACCCAAAGCACTTCCTTACTGTTTCCCTGAAGAAGAGCTTGCGGCCGCTAAAACGTCGTCGAAATATAAGTCGTATTCACTCTCGTCGCCAGCATCATTCACGCCGTTCGAGCACCTGGTATGCGCGCATCTTCTGTCCAAGCCGCTCAGCCACAATATCGGCATGCGCAGCATCCGTACACTTCTTAATGACCCATTCAACTTCACCACTCCCGAGGAAATCACCTCCGCTGGTGAACACCGCGTGTGGGAGGCTCTTGAAGAAGCACGCACGCATCATCGGCAGAAGACTGCTTCGTACCTCTACGGCACCGGACAGGCGTATTCTGACTCCGAAACGATGTTTGCTTTGGCCCAAGAAGCCAACGACTCAGGCCCCGCTGGTGTCATTGAACACATCAAGTCCACCGTTCCAGGGCTGGCTACCGTGGGCGGTGAGATCTTCTGCCGGAGAGTGCAGTGTGTTGATGGCTGGGGCGATGCGCTTTGGCCGTATGCGGACAGCAAGGCGCTTGATTCGCTGGGCCAGATGGGGATTGAGGTCCAGGATGCAGAGGACCTCAGGGACACCATCAAATGTGACGTCAATCTGGATCAAGTCAAGGACATGGGCTTGCATGAAAGAAACTTGAGCAGTCAGCGGCTAGTTAGAGACGAGGAGACGACGTACATGCAGGCGGTGTTTGTGGTGTTGCTCGAAAGAGCGATCGGATGTGTCTTGGAAAATAAAGTTGATGAATTGAAGAAGGCTGCTGCAAAGGCGTAGAATGTATGGCTAATGTAGCAGTTCTAGTTAACTAGTCAAGAAGAGGAGCGAACCAGGTAAGAGTGTATTCCTGCTCGGGGATGACAGCGTGGTAGGTGAGGCAGGCTCAACAATGTCAATGGTAGCAAGAAAAACATTTCGGAAGACAGTGTACTGCCAATGCTGTATAAAAATAAACAGCATGTACGAGTCAATCATTTGGCTGATGTCTAGGCAATACTAAGTATTCGAATATCGGACCTCATGAATTGTTCAGCCACCCGCGAAAACTTATCCATTTTCCGCAAGCTCATCCGAATTATCGCATGGCCCACAACTAGTGAGGGCAGGATGCACACTCTGAATTGTCCTGTAAGCCGTCAAGGAACGATATGTCAACCTTGACAATGTTCTTCCAGAAATGGATCTCCAGTCTCCAGGGCTGTGTCTGGACAGTGAAGGTCGCAGCGGCCGCGAGTTTGATCAGTTCTTCTTAGTCTTTGCTCATGACCAGTACAACGTCTTGCCGTATTTTGATCTTGTAATGGTCCGCTCCCAGCTGACACTGCAGTGGTTCTAGCCTCACGATCATGTTCTTGTCCACGGGAAGGTATGAATCTGCCATTCAGCATAGTCGGCTAATATCTATGGTTCTTTGAGCCTCGCCTCACATGCTTTTCGGTTCGATGGATTACTCCTGCCAGCATCGTTGTTATCTTGCTCAAGAAGCCAATTATGCAATATCTAACAATTTCCGTATTTCGTACTGACTTAATCTCTCCAAAGCGCACCTGGTTTCGAAGTGTCTTAATCATACTCCAACCCTTTCTCAACAGCTTCTATATAGTGTTCGTAGTGTTGTTTTAACTTTTCATTTCCAGAAGGCTCAAATCGACGTTTAAACTATCTCATGATGCCTGCTGATGTAGCTCTGCCCTTGGGAATAATTTGCCCTCGTATGCTGCGATCGCTTTGTCCACATTGTCGCGATTGACAGCGATAGCGCGAGATACTCAACCGCGTCGACCATTGCCACGTTGACTCCCTCTCCAGTAAACACTGACATGACGTGAGCGGCATCACCCATCAGGGTAATGCCAGATTTGGGAAGCCAGCGTGTGCCAACGTGCATCATATACTCATAGACAGCGTCCAATAGGCGACCGAATCAACACAGGCCTCGATCATACGCCTGTATTGCGAGGCCCATTGTGCGAACTCCTGAAGTACAATTACCTTCATAGTTTTCCCGTCTGCAGTATCGAATCTGACTTCCTTAGCCCACTTGTCAGGCTTGCGCATCTGGACATATACCTGGAATTTACGATTACTGTCTCTTAACATAGCCATGAAGTTCCCATCTCCCAGACCGGGACAGAAATGTGCACCCTCTCCCACCATGGCTGACGGGTCCTGGAAGTCGTTGTCTGCGTTATTCAGCCACATTTCAGCGCCCTGAAGGACCAGCGCAGAAAGGTAGAATATAGCAATTAGCAGACTGGACCTTAGACCACACACCGTTGACTCCAACGACCAAATTAAAACCGCGTTTATGTTCTTTCCCACCTTCATAGTGCAAGGTTCGATCTTCGTCAACCTATTTTAATTTTTAGCCCCAACGAAAGTAGTCTGGTGGAATGGAGTCTAAATGTAACTTGCACAAGACAGGCCTGTCGATCTCGGGTCTGCCGAAGTCGACTCCCTTAATAACACGGTACTTGGTTCCGGCACTATCACTGACAGTAGGATCCTGCGATTCATGGCGTGCATGCTTCATAAACCCGTCCCGGAGCTGCCCATAGCGAATAGCTTTTTGACCCGAGCCGTGATGTAGATCGAGGCTACCACCCCATATTGATCGACTATGCGGAGAGGGATCTCGTTCGAAAATGGTGCTCGTTATGCCGTTGACATGGAGACAACTGGTAAGAGTCAGGCCACTTGGGCCAGCACCAATGATCACAATTTTTGTAGGCAAGATTCTAAAAGCTTCTAATTAAAAAGAGATTGGTCAATAAGGTTTGGACTGGCCGTGGACTAAGCTGTGGTGAATTTTCATCACAAACTGAGGAATGTGTCCCTGTATATATGACATGGTTTCGGCTTTATTTGTACTCAGTCGTCAGACTCCGATACCTACATAGTGTGAGGATCGAGAGCCTCGTTCGATGACCAAACAATAACTGAACAAACAGTCCGGGGTAAAGTATGATTCCCCGCACATCACCACTTAGTCCTCAGGAGGAACTCGGATCCACTAGCATAACTCGGTTTCTGGAAGGAGCTCAGATCATCTAGTATACTCGGCGCCTGGAACAAGCTCATACCGAGTGAGTCGGTTCAGGGACAGGAAGCAGCCGGATCCTCTGGAGCAAGAGGTCGCTGCCTGGCTTGATTCCGTTCGGCGACTATCTGTGCGAAAGTACGATCACCCTACGGCCATATCAGAGAATCATCCTAGGTTTAGTTAGCTTTCCACTGTATGCCGAACCTCGGAGTGCAATCCGAATCGGCTCGAAAGGTCAAAAATCGAAGTTCTGGCGTATGGGGACTCCATTCACAAACTATGGCGAGATCTCCATGCAAACGTCTGTCTTGTTGGAAACGGACTCGGATCGTCTCCGACTCTCTTTATTCTTCTTAAAAGTGCAGCTACGTCGTGTTTGTCATGTGATGTTCCTAGATCAAGAGAAGGAAAACCATCAAAGGTTTTACTCTATCTGGACCAAATGTCAAGAAACTATACTTTGGTGCTACACCAACACGTTCCTCCCTTGCTTTCCCTTCTCGGATTTTGATTTTCGCTGCGGACGTCCAGATTTGGGTGGTTAGTGGGACCTTCCCGGCTGATGTATTCAGGCCATCAATAAAATTTGGCTTCGTGCCTCCTCGGACATACAACCTAGCACACGCACAATAACGCAATGGGTAACGAAGATGACCTACTCTGCCTCACCATTACAGGATAAAAACATCTAGAACGTGAGTTTCGATCAATGCGTCGGATACATGCAAGATATACACGTGCCCATGGTTTCAGAGCTTATGGGAAAACATGGAATCCTCGAGTGTACTCAACTTAGTGGTGTTCAAAACTATACCTTTACGAAATGATACTCATAGACTCATAATAGTGAGAAGTCCCGTACAATGCTACGTCACATCTATCCATATGTCAACTTTGCCCATTTCTCAGACTTCGGCTGCGCTGTTCAAATTGTGTTCGAGAAGCTTGAAAATAACCTCAATTTTGTCTCAAAACCTTGCCACCAGGAGAAAGTGATGCCACACCATGCACAGTTTGCAGATCTCCCAAGATCAACGTGAGGTTTAGAGGAGCGGAATAAAGTTCAGGATCCAGCTAACATATTCTAGCCACTAAGACCGTTGGATGGCAAAGACGGTGCGCTCACGGCGGCAAAGCAATGATAGACAGACAGTGAAGCTGTATGGACTAAACCAACACCTTTGAACGAACCTCGACATTGATTCCAGCGCAATTTTCTTATCTTATGTTTCTGCCCACTCTATATAATATTGGCACTACCGCGGTGGAGTATTTGGGAAAGGTGGTCTAGGAGACGTGAGAGGATAAACCCAGAATCTAGTGTTTTTTGGGACGCCCATTGTTAAAAGAGATTCATCCGCAGCTCCCGAGAGATACTGAGCGTGGGGCATGCGTACTCTATCAGCAAGGTCGAAGATAGACCGTCTAAAGAGTGGCAATGAGGTAAGACGCTGCTGGCTGCACCACCAAACATATCACTTAACCTTCATGCCGTAAGCAGAGCAAAGGAGCTTTACGTTGTTGCGATTCCAATTACGTGATATCTGTATGTAGGCAGCGCGGCTGCTGCCCGCCAATGTTACGGGTCATAACTAGCCGTTCCTACTCTCATTGATAGTTGTTGGAGGTCCAGCATCAATAACCTGGACCCAAGACCTGGTAGATACTTTGCTGGCATTTCAGCCACAAAGGGATCATCAGATTCTCGGCCTGATCAATGGGAGGTGATGTGGGATATCACGGATGTAGACTGGCGCGGCATCACCCTGTGGCGAGTTTCAGCTCTGGCAACGGACCACAGCTGTCAGAAGTCTTGTGTCTTTGGCTTTCAATCGACAATACCTGACAGCTAGTCGGCTGATTGCCCTGCATCTCGATTCATTGACTGGGGAGGCATTGTGGAGTCTCGTAGAGGTTCCGAGCATTACCTCGGAAACATCGACCTTAGTGTTGATTCCGATTGGCCAGGTTCCCGATTTCTGTTCACCAGTTACAAAGTCGGCATCTGGGACGGCGGACTCGAACCAGCTGGCCGAAAATGTGAACCGCAGTTTTCGAAACACGAATACTGAAAATTGAGATGAGATCGCCTTGGCTCCCCCCCTAGAACCGACTTCATCAACCACTCAATCAATACACCTCAAGGCTGGGATATCAGAACCGACACAAAGAAGCGAAAACAGCGACTCGTTATGATAGCGAAATCTCCAGAGCCAGTACAATCTCCTCAGCAAATTAGTGCCATGTTGGAATTCAAGTGGATGGCGAAAGCCGTGCAAGATGGATCGTTGAAGTCCAGTAACTTTCCAGTACCACTGCGCAAGTCCAGAGATCCTCACAAAATCAGGCCCTAGGCACGAGCGCCCGAGGAACAGGAGAGTTGACATTTGACAGACCCTTCCACCTATGCGCTCAGCACCACCTCTAGGCTATGAGCTGCGCGTGCTCGAAGACAGCAAGACGATCTTTGAGAAAGATATCGCTATACAGATGCGAGACGGCATCAGGTTGTACGCTGACCTGTATCGTCCAATTGACTCGATAGCCGCGAAAACTCCGACTCTTGTGCTTTTCTTCCCATTCGGCAAGCATGGCGCTGTCCCTGCTGAACTGTTCAAGAACATGGGAGTTGACTTCAGCCGTCTCAGCAAGTACACCCGATGGGAACTGCCGGATCCATTGAAGTGGTGCCCCGAATATCAGTACTCACTTCTGATTGTAGATGCTCGTGCAACATGGCATAGCGAGGTATGTCACTAGCAGTCTTGCCGTAGCGTATACTGGCTAACGGAGGTAGGGTGAGATTGCATACTGGTTTTCTCCCGAGGAAGGCAGAGACGGGTACGAGATTGTGGAATGGACGGCTCAACAATCATGGTAAGAAGTAATGTCAGCCTTCTCCTATTCTTTGATGCTGACCCTCCCGTAGGAACACGGGAAAGGTGGGATGGGGAGCTATCTCGTATTTTGCCATGTCGGCGTACCAAGTGGCTGCACTGAAGCCTCCTCACCTTGCGGCGATCATGCTATGGGAAGGTATCTCAGACACCTACAGAGAGGTTTGTAGCGTCGGCGGTATTCCCACTCCAACCTTCCAGCATTTCTGGATGGGACGTACCGGAAATGGGCTTTCGTATTGCGAGTGAGCAGGAGCAAACCTACATTATTTTCACGTGACGGAGAAAAGCTGACATGGACAGGGATGACGGCATTCTTGCTCTCGAACAACCAACATTTACATCGCTCTGGGCATCGAAGGTTGTTGACTTGACGGAAATTGATGTACCTGCATATTCCATTACTGGATGGTCGTCAGTGGCTCTTCACCTGAGAGGAACCATAGCGGCGTGGAAGGCGTTTTCTTCGAAGCATAAATACCTTCGTGTCCACGTGAGTAATTGGGCCATATATCAGGCTTTCAATTTGACGTATTGCAATTAGGCTGGGCGAGAGTGGGAGCAATACTATAATGATGACGGTCAACGCCGACAAAAGGCGTTTTGGGACTGTTTTCTCAAAGATCTGCCCACGGAAGTTGACGGGTAGGTAATCCTGTCCTGGAAATAGAATGTGACGGTGTCGGTAACTGACCAACAACAGCTGGCCCTTGATTGAAATTGACGTGAGGACGATTGAAAATTTTACACCGCGATTCGAGCAGAGCTGGCCGCCGCACAATGCAGAACTAACGTCACTGTTTCTCAGCGGCAATACACTCGAGGCCGAAGTGTCAGCTGCCTCCATCCCTACGGACGCGATCTCTTACCAAAGTCACCTGCGCTACGGTGAAAATGCGAGCGCAAACTTCGACTACAGGTTCACGACTCGCACCGAGATCACAGGAGACATCTGCCTCAAGCTATACGTCCAGGCTCAACAGTTCCCAGATACTGATATCTTTGTGGCCGTCAAGAAAGTGAACAAGACAGGACAAGAAGTCCAGTTCTACAATCAGTCACAGACACAGGAGGCTTCGGCGGCTCATGGATGGCGTGAGTATTCCCATGAGGGCCCTGTCTTGAAATGTACTCTAAATCACCCAAGGCTAATGCTTGACAGTTCGCCTATCCCACCGTGAGAAGGACGAAGATGCAAGTCGACCTGACCGACCAGTTCACTCACACTAGCGGCGTCTGTGGGTCACGCCGGACGAGATCGTGTCTGCTGAAATCGAAGTGTGGCCGAGCAGTACAGTCTGGGAGGAAGGAGAGACTCTGCGCGTGACTGTGCAAGGACACAGCTTCTTCTCAGAGGAGTCGCCTGTGACTAGCAAGCATGCTCTTAGCCACAATTTCGGAGAGGTGAAAATTTGGTATGGTCAGGCGTATCCGAGTCAACTGCTTGTGCCTGTCATCAAGAATTTATAGCCTAGGTTAAAGGCCCACAAGCTGCGAACCAGGGATAGATCCAAGTCGATATCCTTGACTGACAATATGAATGGTGATATAAATGTTGAAGATATGAGAGGCTTTCTACACATCCCTCAACAAGACCAGGTACGGGGTCGCAGTGAATAGACTAAGCTCCAAGTCAAATCGCTCCACTGGAACAACTTCTAATGCATATAAGTGCTTGCAACTTGAGGGGCCGAAAAAGGATTGAGACCCCAGTTTGTGAAGTAAGCATAGAGGAACCGCAATTTCTTATAGATCTTCTCGCCACGGAAAACAAAATGTCTCGGCGTTTCTTCCGCCCGCGACGCACATCTCGCAATTCGTAAAATTGCGATTTAGGCCAACAGTCTTGACGGACACAGCACAGTCAGGGATTGAGGGTTACACTATTGGCTTGGTGTGGTCTCATTCTTTGATCGTCTTAACCTTTTGCATCTGCTCAGTTCTCAGATCACTGACTTCCAGAGCGCTTTCGACATGTTCTGTCATCTCGTCGGCGATGGGTCTTAAGAATACGCACACAGCAGCAGTCGCGACGGCAATTGCCATGTTTGCAAACCACACATAACGGAAAGAACGTGCGCTTGTGTCAGCCACTGCGGAAGTTGCTGCCTCAATAATCTTAGGCGTAACGCCGGACACATCCACGACGCTGCCGACTGGTCCAAGATATGCAGCTAGGAAATGTGCTGCGGATGTCGGAGGTAACCCAGCTGCAATAGCAGCTTCGGCGACGGATGGTGGAAGATCGGCTATAGAGCGGGCAGAGTCAGTAAAGAGACGGACATGCTTGGGCTTTCTTGTCGGAGAAAGCACTTACCCTTTCATCTTGTTGCCATAAATTGTAGAGAAGATTGTGATACCAACTGTACCGCCTAATGCTCGTGTAGATGCCAACAGCGTTCCACCGGTGCCGCTATGAGATATCAAGTCAGCTACTAGCCATTATCAATCAAAGGCTTCGGCTTACAATAAGTGAGAAGGAACGGAATACGATAGAATCGTGGGAGGCAACACTGTTGCAACGTTGACACCCAAGCCAACAAGACCAGTAAAAGCGCACGCCATGGCCAGCCTGGACGGTGTTACCAGCGCCAACAGTCCCAGAAACAATGCAATGATGATCAACGCAATTACCAGGACTGACCGGTAACGGCGGGTCTTGTGAAGGAACCGGGCTGAAAAGAAGCATCCAACCAAAACTGCGATATTCATGGGTAGCAGGTAAACCCCTGCAAGTAGAAGGTTGTTTGTAAAAATTGCTTCCACTTCAACTGGGAAGAAGACGTTGACTCCGTACAGCAGCATGCCGTCGACGAATCCGACAGAGAGGATCAGCATGAAGTTTCGGGATTCCAGGAAGCGGTGGTCCAGAAGACCATCACTTTTACCCCATGTTTCTGGAAAAGATGTCAGATATATGTAAATACATTGGAGCAGACATTGATTCACCAAAGCAACTAAAGGCGACCAAAAAGCAAATACCAAAGATCAGCATGGCAATAACCCTGGAATTTGACCATGGATAGCTGTTCCCGTCCCAGGTCAGCGCCACAACAAGGCAGACAATCCCGCAAAGGAACAAGTCATGCCAATGAAATCGAATGATTTGATCTCCGAAACCAACGAATTTTCCCGTCGCAACTTTGGAGGTGGAGGGGAGTAGAAGATGGTAAGGAGTAGTCCTGTAACTCCGAAGAAGATAGCATTAAAGTAGAATACCCAGCGCCATCCGGTTGAGGACATCTGAGCAAATCCGCCCGCTGTTTCAGAGGGATCAGCAAGTATGCTTATGGGCTCATGCTAGTGAATCTTACATCCCAGGAGACCAACAATGGCAAATGTACCATTCAGGATAGAAATAATTCCTTGGACAATGGGACGTTTCGCTGCAGAGACAATTTCCAGTGAGGTGGGGATGACCAGCAGCTGTTGAGATCTAAGCTCGAGGTGGTGAGGAGCTAAGCAGTCGGCCACTCACAATCAAAGAGCTTCCAACACCGTTAATAGCTTGACCAACAATGACTTGATTGACGCTTATACATGGTCAGACTTGTCATAGGTGTGTCAACCTTCCCATAGCTTACTTATTGGCACGAGCTGCAACCACATTTCCCACAACGCCAGTCAGGCCTCCACAGACCATGAACCATTTCTTTCCAAATCGGTCGGCAAACGCGCCCTACGATTGTCTGAGCAAGGTCGCACCACTCTCTTGGAAATTGCGCTTACCCAAAGCGGTTGAAGTCCGATCAGGGAAATTAGGGCAGCGTTAGGTATCATGAGGTTGAGGCAGAGCCGTTCAATGACTTAGCAATATATGGAGAGGTGGTTCCAGGACCAACATTCGCCAAAGTCGCCGTGCTCCATCCTAATCCAAGGATGAGTACAACAGTCCAAGTCTTGAAGCTCGTATGGTATTCCGAATTTGTTGTAGCATTGATGGGCTGCTGGGTGAGACTATCGTCTTCGACGCGAATTTCTTCGACCTCTCGAATTTCACGGGATATTTTGTCCAGCTGGTACTGTGAGTCTAGGAATGATGACTGGCGAGGGAAGTGGGTAGCACATTGGGGAACGAAGCTGCTATTTGTAGAACCCCACAACAATAGGGTCGGCTGACAGGTAGCCTGAGGCACGAAAAAGATGAGGCTTTAAAATGTAGCCTTGGCTTTTCGACAGAAAAGAAATGGTGCTCCTCCATCTCCGGAGGATTTGGACCACCTGAATTCGGCCGGGGAAGGCTGGCGAAGAGGAAAGGTCAAATTTCCATCTCAATCGAGATAAGTTAGCGGGGAAGACAGCAGGAGCTCGGATGTTTGACCATACGGAACCTGCTCAAACTCGGAACATGCTATCCTGAAGCCAAAGAACTTCGTATAATGGGCGGGTTCCGAGGCATTGTGGAGACCTGACACGTTGCTACTAACCAGCAGAACTCACTTGGGAGAGGCAAGCGACAAGCTGCGGAGACGACCTGTTTTCTAATCTTGCTTCCACAAGTCCGTGAAGCCCAGTCGTTGTTACAGTTCTAACACTCACAATGGTCGAAAGATCCAGCTCGAAGCAAGGATTTAAATCGTTGTGTTAATTCGCTTAAACCAAGGGGATCAAACTTAGGCGACTAATATCAGATTACTTTTGCGCGATCAGCCCATCAGCGGGGAGTCGATATCGAAGTCGAAATTAAAGTCCACGTCTGGAGCAAATCCTAAAGCACCGCTTTTTGGTCCGGTCTCGAAGATACTAGACCAGATATCTTCGGGCAGCATGGAGTCCTGAAAGGATGCGTGGCTATGACTATCAGGCGCAGCTCCCATGCTTGCACGCAGTGCAATGCCAACTCCCGTCCCGCCACTAGCACTCAGATCTGGGCCAGCGTTGGAAGCTAGTGTGGTCGATGATTCTGAGGTAGTCTTGAGTTTCTCAGCCAAGCTCCGTGTAACCTCATAGACCTCTTTGATGACTGTTGCGCACCTTCGAGCAACGGTGATTGCGCTCATGGCATCGAACACATCCAGGGCTTTTTGAACGTCTGAAAAAATCTCATCTACGGAATCGTCCTTCAAATGGATGAAGGCAATGGCTAGGGCAACCATCGCGGCATTCAGCAGATATGTGTTGTTGTACCACCAGGTTCTGAAGTATGACTCGTGCTGACAAGTGTCAAAAAGGAGCCGGATGGTCTTTTGCGCTGCGGCAAGGCAGGAGTTGACCTCCGCCGCTGACTGACATACAAGAGCGAGTCTTGACCACGTCTCGACGTAGCGACGATAGAGCAGGATTTGGACATTGTAGTACCGTATCTTCAGAACCACCTTTTGCCTCCTGATGTGATCAGGGTCTGTCAAAGACACTCGGTCAAAGTTGAAAACCGGAGGTAGGTGCATTCGCCAGCTGTCCAGTTCTTGCGCAAGCTTACGCACAGTATCACGGCTGCCTTGCCGGTCAAAGTGATACTGCTGGTACAAGTCTTCGAATACCTGTCGCAAAAGCCCCGCTAAGGACACCATTATGTTTATAAACATGTCGTGAGTTGCTCGTGTAGTGCTTGGTGGCTGTATATCAGCCGGATGAGCCAACATGTAGTGCGCAGGCGGTTTTAGAACTATACCTCTGCCAGATGCACAGCTCATTTCTACCTCATGTGCGTAAATGCACCACCATGACCTTGGTTCTGTGTGGGGGCCGATGTCGAATGAAAAGCTTTGATGGGCTCGACCTTGAGGCAAACCAATCGCAATTCCAGTTGTTACCGCCATGCCGCTGTATAAGTGGCAACTGTGAGGATTGAGGGTGTTTTGACAATAAACTGAGAGGAGATATAATGCCTGAGTCCGCTCGAGGTTGCTCACTTCGAAAATGTCAGTCAATCGGAATTTCGCCTGCTCGAAGCACCGCCTGGCAATACACATAGGAATATTGAAAGTCGAACGTTTCGTGCTTGAAAGTGAAAGAACATACAAATCCCCAGTTTCATGTTCCAGTATTGCAGGGTAGAAGTCATCTGCATTGGAAACCAGCGCTCCTAGAGCCAAGACGGCGTAGTACAAGGCCTCCAGCCCTTTGAATACGTTCCGCGGTCTGTTGCACCAAAGCTCTTTCTTGCACCGGTTGCGAAACACAGTCTCGTCAAAAAGAGGATGGACCAAATGAAGCCCAGTGAAGAAGTTCTCAATGCAAACTAGAGCTAATCCGTTAGGGGAATGGAGAGCCCTCAAGATAAGTGTGTCAATCTTTCTCACAGTGTCTGCCTCGGAAATGTCTATTTGTCCCTGAGGCAATGATTGTGGGTGATTCTGAACTCCAGTTTCGGAAGGACGGTAGAGCAAGCTTGCAATGATGGTATCTTCATGTTTTCCCTGAGCATGCTTGTGCAGCCCGGCTTTGCGTTGTAGACGTCCCAAGAAAGGAAACATGCCTGACCGGCCATAAAATTCGAGACCCAGTGTATGAGCATTGACGCTGCCCATACCCTCTGTCAAGGTGTCGCATTGCCACTACCGTTCTGAGGACTGATCGTATTCATCCTGTTCAAAACACCGTCACTCTCACTCTCTTCAGCATTCTTGTTTCCCAGAAATGGTCCCGCTGGCGGCTGGGAGTTAATAGGATAATTTCCCATACCCATGGCCTGTACGTGATTAAGGTGACGATCCTGGTGGTTGATAACACTAGTAGTAGAGACATTGAGCTCGTTTGTCGAATAGGGTTGGGCAGATACACTGCTTGCTGCAGGATTCAAAATGGGAAGAGCAGGGCGAGTCTCGTGTATTTGACCACTGGGGGTGGATAATGGACTTGAGAGCTCCGAAGCATGACGACCAACTTTGGACTTGAGACGATTTCTTCTTACAGCATGATGATAGTCGCTCGATGTGTACGTGCATTCGAGCGTGTCAGAAGAGCGAGAGCACCTGGTACACGGATCGATACCCGTTCCGTCGCATCGAAGCTTTCGTCTTCTGCAGAGGTTGCAGGCGATGACGGCTCGTGGCACGGTTTGCCTTCTAGTAGATTCTGCTGATGCCATTATCGGAGCTGTCAGAGCTTGAAATGGTGCGGGTGTTGCCTGATCATCGATATAGTGGGCCGCACTTGGAAAGCTGTGCGTACGGTCACCATCTGACTGAGAGGAATAGAGTCTTCAGGCAACGGGTGCCTAACATAGTTTCATCTCACTCAAAGCCGGCAATCCCTATCGCAAACAGCGTAGGTCGTTGTCTAAACCCTCTCAATGATAGACATATAATCCGCGGTTTGCGTTGTCTTATGTTGCGGACAGGTTCGATCCTGGAGAAACCAACCACGGCAGATCGTCGGTCACTACTAAGAGCCCACCGCAGTGTTTGGAAGGCTCAGCCTAACTGGCCCTTAGGCTGACTTCTTCTAGCATCCTTAGTATACAGATTAATTATGTTTATTTACGGCTGAATCGGGCTGATTACTGCTTAACAGCGGCTATACCTAGATCTTAGTTAATCAACAAGTTTCGCCGCTACACCTCCTTCCCACTAATACTAGAGGCGCGTCGCGTCTACCACTGAAATACGGTGGATATTTAATCCGTCCCGGTAACAGTAAAGCAGCAATTAACAGTGTTTCAGGAGTTGAACACGAGGACTCTGCTCCATACTGCATCGTGCAAGGCACAATAAATCCCGATATCTTCTGCCCTCAACCATTCCAAAATATTCATCATCGGCAAATCCACGTGAATTGTCTAAGCTGCAGATCTCAAGATGGATGCTCGTGGCCTCACATTGAGGAAAAAGCGCAAAGACCGTCCAACAATCAGCGCTCCCCAGAATGCCTCTGGTCCTGGAATTACAAGACCTGCACCGCAGCAGAGCAAGGCCAGCACTCTCACCGTCCCGCGAGATCGCAATGCTCCCACCGAAACCTCCGATCTAGTCAAGCGTCGCTACTCTACTCGTTACAATCAGCTGCCAGATTTCAGCAATGCTGGCGCTCCGCCAGTCCCGACTCTTCCGGGTACTCTCAAGAGAAGGTCTGGCGGTGGTTCACCTCGGAGGCCAGGTACTTCATCCTCGGCGCGCCCATTGTTAGTCGATGGGGATGTATTCAAAGATCCCAATCTTCAGCACGACCGCTATGTGGCCGACCTCTTGTCCAACGCATCCGAGCAAGAGATTCAAGATTACCAATCTGGCCTACAAAGACTCAAGAACCGCACATCTACCGATCTGCAGCAAAGTGTCTACCAGAACAGAACACAGTTTATCAGAATCAGCAAAGAGGCGGAAAAGTTGAAGACCGAGATGTCCATTCTACAAAATCTCATGTCGGATCTTACTGGAACACTTGGACAACGAGCTGGGGGCAGTTCTACCAATCCGTCCTCTACAGATATGGATGAGCCTTCTCAACCAAGACGTAACCCGAATCGTAGCTCGGTGGCAAACTTAGAACAGATGTGGAACATTCAATTACAAGCACTGTGGAAGAATGTGGAGAAGTCGCAGAAATTTCTACCTGCTGCTCCTGGTCGACATATCGTTGCTGAAACTGGGAATTGGATTGAGCTTGACAGCGCCACTTGGAAACCGAAACGTCCAGTCCATATCGTGCTTTTGAACGACCACTTGCTGATTGCATCAAAGAAACGCAAGCGGGTAGATCCAAATGCCCCGCAACAGGGTCCAGCTCCTACCAAAAATGTCGCTGAGGAATGCTGGCCGTTGCAAGACATCGAGATCATTGATATGGCAGGGAACAGTGCGTCTGGAGCCACCAATCTCGCAGAAGAGAAAGCGATTTCATCAGCGCTGACCATCAGGTCTGGCGGAAGATCCTTGATCTACAGGCATGAAAAACGGGACCAGAAAGCCAAAAACGGACTCTTAATGGCGTTACGAAAGGCATCTGAAGACGTCCGCAAGGCCTCCAAGACACAGGAGGAGCAGATCAAACCACAAACTGAAAGTCTGAACTACTACGCAGCTCGAGATCCTGCATCTGCAAAGAATACGGAGATCATCGACAGTATCAACTCTTCCAAAGACAAACCGGATATTCTGATTGAGGTGGACGGCAAGCAGCAGAATTTCCGCTGGGTGGAGGGTCAAATCGACGATCTCGACATCGACATCGCACTCCAGGTCTTTGAGGATGCGGTCGAGAAGGTGGAGAAGCTCCGCAAGATTGCCAAAGGTCTTAAAAGCAATTCTATAGCACAGGAACTCATCTCAGTGAAAGTCGACGAACGAGCCTCTGCACTCGCAACCATCCTCTGCCGGGAGCTCGTAGAAACGCCATCATTCCTCGAGGCCACCAAGAAGACGACGAACTTCCTAATCCGGCTCGGCTTCGAAGATCGCGCACGAGAAATCTTCCTCAACGCGCGCAGCGAGAATCTGAGCAAATGCGCACGCCAGTGTGTTTTTGAGGGTGACCTCCACCGTTATGTCTTTTCCATCTCCTACGTGTACTTCACGGTAGTGAAGAACACTGTTCTGATCTACCAAGCGTCCTTTGCGCCGGGCACGATCAGCGCGTGCATTAAGTGGGCGAACGATCACCTCGAGACCTTCAACACGCTCCTCGCACGCCAGCTGGGCGCCATCGAGAAGGAAGGCAAGCTGTGGCGCGAGTGCATGGATGTGGTGTGGGGCCACGAGAGGGAGATGCTGGGCGATGTCGGCTTGGATTTCAGAGAGGCGATCGGGAGGGGACTAGAACCCAAGGATAGTACGCCCGCGAAGATTGGTGGCACTAATGCTCCTGGGGCTGGAGAGGTCAGAACTGACAGCCGCTCCAAGAGCCGTGTCAGGGGAGCAGCTTAACCATGATGAAGTCGTGTAAGCACATTCAGATATATACCCGTGGACTTGGTTGTATTCATATCTATTGGTAGGCAGACGTATAAGTAAGGAATACAGGAAATCATCAATAATCACTGAGTGGAGATCAATTGTATTATTGGCTTTTTCTAAAACAAACACGTGTGCAAACGGGTACACTGTGAGGAACAATAAAAACCGGTTTTATCTGCAAGATAAGAAGGCTCCGTGCTTCGAGGAGGATTGCCCGTGAGCTGACAAAATCTCCATACCCCGTAAACAATAAAACCGGCAGGGAGGCGCTCGGGTTTCCACAACAGGTGTTCGGATGGAATCAAGGTTTTTATCTTTTCGTTGTCGAAACCCATATGGTATCTGGATACTTCGGTGATACTAGTACATGATATACATTTCTTGCTTTTCCCAACCTGCTCTTTTCCCTTCTGGAAAGATCTCATTGGAGGAGGGCCTGAATGGATCGACGGTCGACCAGATGAAATAGCAGGGGTGAGATGAGAGTGATGCAGCCGAGAAGAAACATCTATTCCTTGATCTTGGCCAGGAGTCTGGTGGAGGTACACGTCAGCATTGAACGTAGGAACATAAGGAGGCAGGACGCTGGAAAACATACTCATGATCCCGGAAGAGATGATACTCGTCCTCTCCGACCTTCACAGGGCTACCGCCATACTAGACAACTCAGTCAGCTCCAGTTCAACACATCCTCACAAACTCCCCGAAGGGCCGTGCCAATGTAAACATACCTGCGGAATCAGAACCTTGTCACCGGCCTGGACGCTCATGGATATCCGCTTGCCGTCTTTATCGAAGCCGCCGGGCCCGACGGCGAGGACCTTGGCCTCGTTGAGTTCCTTGACGCTGCTCTCCGGTAGGAAGATGCCGCCGGCGGTGCGGGCTTCGGCTTTCACTCGTTGTACCAGCACGCGATCCAGCAGTGGGACGAGCGACTTGATGGATTTCAGGGCGGTAGACTATTGAGAGGGGAGAGTGGGTTGTTAGCTATCGAGGCTGATGGGAAGGCCATCGTTCGGGAGTTCGGAAAACAGAGAATGTGTGTATGAGCTGCGCATGCGCGCTTGCTTGCGTCGCGACAATTAGAGGGAACGGGTTCTGGGAAGATCCTGCCAGCTTACCATTTTGATGGTGAGAGAGTGGTTTGCCAAGGGAGGAGATGTGGTCGGGGATGAGAGTGGCGTATGTAGATCGAGAAGACTGACAGGTAGAGAGTGAGATAATTCAGTAAACAGACAGCGGATGCTTGTAAGTTGTACCTTGTCTCGCGAAACCGGCTTCTGCTGCTCCTGTGGAAACTTTTTTTCTCGAAGCATCCAGTTCGCCAGAGTTGCCTCTTTCGGTCAGGCCTGCTCCGATTGGTCACAATTTGACTACGCTTGATTCCCTCGGCAGTCTGCGATGCTTCCCGTCTATGTTTGTCTCGCATCCCTGGTCGTTGATGATTGTTGACCTGGTATACCTCGAGTGTGGGCAGACTTGGAGCTTTGGAATGGAAACTAGAGATCATGGATTCCAAAGGAAGATATTTCTACCCTCGGGCGATAACTGCGACTATGTAGGGGATCACTTTCCCAAGAACCTCCCATCGGATGCTTCATTAATATCCTCTGCTGAAATCAAACATTATACAAAATGAGCTATCACGCACTGATCGATTCTCGAGGCCATTTTCGCTACCTCGTCTCTTATCATTACGTCATCTACCTCCAGCTAAAATATGGCGCCGACGTTAACGCTCGACATTATCAGGATGTAACACCACTCCTTATGGCAGCGAAAGCGGGGGCAGGTTCGACCGTGGATCTTCTTCTTGGCACGGAGGGTATTTATATCTACGCGATGAGTATTGAATTGAAGACGGCATTGGAGTTAGCTTTTGAAAACGGCGATACTGATATTGCACAACATGTCCCACTGGGCAAACCGCAACACCCGGTTTCGAACAGTAGGCCAAGCTCATATAGGAAGCTCCTCCCATGATCATGATAAAGTGTGCAAACGAGGGATGGTAGTGAGCGCTAAATTCAAGACTGATGGAATTTGGCGTAATGTACAGCAATATGGAGGGCTGTCTTTCCTTCCTCCTCTTCAGCATTAATGTCAGTCCTGGTGGACCGGAAGAGGACTTGAACAGTCGCTAAATTTGCCTTCGAAGCCGCTATGTGGAGTGCAGTCATTTCATTCAACATCTCGGCACTGAGAAAACAGTCATCGTGCTTCATAAGGGTTTCGATCACAAAGGTTTCGCCCTTTGAAGCAGCAAGATGAAGAGGTGTTGCTCCGCTGTTGTCCATAGCATCCACTCAGCTTCGTCAAACTGGAGGAGGGTCTCCACAGTCAAAGAATGGCCCTTTTCAGCCGCCGTGTGGAGTATGGTCTTACCACTTAGCCCGTAGCCATAGCGTCACGTAGAAAGTTGTTTAATAAGGTCTTTAATATAGAAATCTGGCCGTAGTCGACGCAAGATGAGGAGGTGTGAGCCCTTCGTCATCTTCAGCATTGACATTAATCCCATCAACCCCCAAGGAGAGCCTCTACAGTTGTAAAAGATCCTAGTTGTGCCGTATAATGAAGGGGTGTTGCTCCTCTGTCATCTTTGGCATTGATATCAATCCCGGTACACTGGAGGAGGGCCTTCACAGTCCTGGCTCCACCCTTTGGCGCATAGTGAAGAGGTGTTGCTCCTCTATCATCTGTATGTATTAACATCAATCCCATCACCCTTAAGGAAAGCCTCTACAGCTGTAGAAGATCTAAATCGTGCCGCATAATGAAGAGGTGTTGCTCGTCTGTTATCGTTGGTATTGGCATTGATCTCAGTACATTTAAGAAGGGCCTCCACGGTCATAAAGTGTCGATTTCATGCGGTAAGGATAGTCAGTCATCTTCCAGTGATTAAGGAGCGTCTCCACAACCGCAACGTGTCCATTTTGTGCCGCAAGATGAAGCGGTGTTGCTCCTTGTTTGTTGAAAGGAGTTAATTCAATTCCACTCTGAATCTTCCTATGCAGGATGAGGGCCTCAACAGTCGCAGTGTGTCCATTTTGTGCAGCTAGATGGAGCGCGGTATTGCCGAAACGGTCTTCACTGATTAGATATCCATGATTTGATTAGCACAGCATGGATACAGTCGACGTGTGGCCGTGAGCGGCCGCATAGTGGAAGGCTGTACCGCCACGTGCATCGCCCCAATTTTGCTGAAACGCCGAGCGCAACCAGCATAGTGGCAGCGGCACATATTTCAGTAGAAGGATTGGTTTGAAGGATTTCGCAAAGTACTTCTTCCGCTCCCATTCCTGCTAACCTAGCAAGGGGCTGCGCTTCAGACAGGCTGACCGCTTTCAGTACTGCAACGTCAAGCGCGGTGCTATGCTGATGATCGCGTATCGTTGTATTTGCATGCCATTTGACGAGAGCCTCAGCACATTCAGGATGATCATGCTGGACGGCCAACATAAGGGGTGTCTTGCCATCACTGTCTTTTAGATCCATTTCCCGAATGAGCGGATATTGGACCATCAGCATCACTATATCACTCTGTCCATTCATAGCAGCCAACGACAGTGCGGTTCGGCCATGGTTGTCTTCTATTTTGGCGATGGTTACTGGATTCAATAGAATCTCCGTGAGATGTCTATGGCCGTGGGCAGCAGCAAGGTGGAGAGGCGTATGCCCCTGGTCGTCTTGGGCCGCTCAAACTCAGATGTCCACTCTTCGATTGATTGACAATGTTCTTCATTTAAAAAAATAAAATAATGGACTCGTGGCCCATCTCACAGACATAGTGAAGGGAAGTTCGGCACCGTCCATCTATTCTTTTATAATCGCACACGTGGAGCAACTGGTTGAAACTTGTACGGTGCCCATTCTTTGCCGCAAAATGCAAAGGGAGGAGACCATCGGAACTAGTTAATGGCAAGTTGAAAATTTCGGCTCGGGGCTTGGGATCTTCAAGCCCTATCAAAAGGTCCAAGAGGGGGGGTGATTGTTCGCTATAATCCAACCTAGCAGAGCAGAAAAATGCGAGTCAAGGGAAACTCCAGTAGGTATCCAAGGATGTATTTTATAGGTCAAGTTAGGCTCCAGCGCCAATGCTCTGAATTTAGACCAGTTCGGACCAGTTTGATGTATTGAACGGGTCAGAAGTGCCCATTGCTCTCTTGCGAAACGGAAAAATGCCGGAAGACCAGCGAAGGTTGTGGAAGTCGCTGGCTTGATATTTGAATTTATGAACAAAGGTTTTGACTTTTTTGAAGCCTTCGAACCCCCATTTCCCAAAGCCAAGATTGAAGTTGGTAAGCACAGCGTCCGGTACCAGGCTAACATCGATGGCGGATTTTGCTTGGGAAGGAGGTGCCATGGCATGGCCATATTCAGGAGAGCTCAGGTGGAGAATACAAAGGCGCGCTAGCTCAAGCTCACGTATTTTATGGCGTACTGGACCGCTGATTTTTTTCTCCCAAACTAAAGTGTCGTAAGATTGCAAGGATTTGGGTGTGACGTCTGGGTAATCGCGCAGGAACTGTCGTACGGAGTGATGGGCGAGAAGAACTTGGTCATTTTCATCACGAACAACCAGACTGGAGCAGCATTTCAGGACATCCTGGATTAGCGGTATGTTATCGCGCTCCAGACTGCCAGTAAGAGAATCCATTGCGAGGGCCTCCAAAAGTTGACAAGATCTGAAGGGTTTCGCAGCGACGCATACCACGCTAGGACCTTTTGGGCGACTGGAATCTGACTGTTACCAATTCTCGATAAGAAACGGTGATAAGTCTCATGCAGGTCTTTGGGTAAATTCTCGATTGCCTTCCGCATGTCCGCATCTGTAAAGCAATCGTCCCACAGCATTTCGAGCTGAAGACTGACCCATAATATCCTATTTTCGAGTCAACAATCAGGTATGCCAACAACTCGTTCACTACTCACATGCGATCTGCCTTCTCATTCAGACAACGCTTGACTTCTTCCAGGATCTCGGTCTTTTCTGTGAGTGGCCTCTCCGCCATCTTCTCATCTATCCTCCAATCAATGAACCTCCGGATATCACTTAAGCTGTCTGAGCTTGATATTGGGAGCTCAACAGAATCCTTGACTGAGTTGCTGACACTGAGGATTTCGCGGCCGGAGATGAAGACCCTGTGTATGCCTGCTTGGCTAACTTTTCGAAAGGCTCTAGAAACTTTGTGAATTTCAACAGGTTCACATTCATCGAGGTCATCCACGACATATGTAGCTGATGAGAATGATTCACTCAGAGGGAAGAAAATATCATCCAATATATCGTCAACAACAGGTCGTTGCGCCTTCGGACCATAGTACTGCTTGATTCGACGTTTGATTTGTGGAGCACATTGGCTTTTCGTGATCTCAAGATAAGAAATCATCTGCTTGACATAGCTTTCGAACAGGTCCCTTGCTTGTAAGCACGACCTGTGGGATTGGCTGTAGAAGAAATGGAAAATTGATTGATCTACTCCTCCCGGTTGATGTATGAGATGCTGAATAACATTCGTTCCGGTTTGTTGGTGTTAACTTGTCATATAGAATTACTATTGTCTCTACTCACGTAACAATAGTCTTACCAGAGCCGACTATGTAGAGGATTAGCGAGCGTTTCATTAGTTGTGGGTTGGAACAGTACTCTTGCCGCTCAACCACATGCACATAGGCTATGGCTTCGGCCTTCTTTCCATGCAGCAAATCTGCGGTTCACTTAATATCCATTCTGCTGTCTCTGGGCACTTCTTTCGTGCGAAAGATTTCAAAGCCGCCTCAGATTCGTAGTCAGAAAAATATTCAAATACACTATAAGGTGCGTCTTGTTGATCTGGTCATCAGTTATACGAGACAACATGGGATCACTTGAACCCATACCGCTGTGACTGATGGCCCAATCTGTTCTCCTTGAAAGAGCCATGAACTCCGTTTCATTGAGAGAAACAGCCTCCAATGCCCCTCGTAGGGACGCTGCACCATACGACTGCGAAGCAGCAGTGGATTCGGCGTCTGGGTAGCCTGAGTGTTATGATCAGTACGTCATGTAACACAACTTATCGGTCATTCATGATCTATCAGGGCAAGATCTTACTCTGAGCTCCAGAATATACCTGAGACCTGTGTATCCCCAAGACCATGGGCAACCACAATGCCAAGCAACTCCTTCGCAGATGCTGCCGTCGAAATCGCGGCGTATTCTTGCCAGGATTTATCCTTGTGAGAGTCCGCATAGTCACAGATACCTCGGATGACGAGGCAGGGAAAGCCATGCATCAGCCCAGCAGCTTCCATTTCGAAACATAGGATATCCAGTGCTTCTCGACAGCTCTCCCTCGTCTGGCCATGCCTCATGATTTGGTACCCCGAAGCGATCGTACCATAGTGTATGATGGGCTTGATAGATTCTCTAAAAGGATGTAGGACCTGCATACTTTTATCACAGTGGATACAGGTTTCATCAACTCTAACATGATCATAATCGGAAAGGAAAGGCAGGTTGTTTTCAACATCCTGATGGGCATATCTTGGTCCCAGGGAAGTGCATTTATCCTGAGAAAGGATGGTATCCATCTGCCGATTTCCTATATTGTGTCTTGCCCTGACTGTGCTGACGGCGGATGGTAGGATTTGTGGCGGTGCGTTGAGAATGCTGTCGCATACGAAGCGACCTACGGTCACAGTCCGTCCGAAATAGTACTGGATAACTCCAGGGCTAGACTTTCCAGGCATACTGACAACGACGTCTCCTAGTCGAATATCATGGCGCACACTAGGTACCCCGCCTCCGATTCCTACCATCAGACCGAATCGAATAGCAGGGAAGCTATAGCGCAGCTGACTAGTGACTGTAGCGGCTGAGTTTGTTCCAAACTGCCCAGCCGGCAAGCAGGCAAGCACCACATTGTGCCCCAGAAATGCCGCCCAGAGTATATGAATTGCTATCCTGTGGGTTTTGTGATATGGCTGTATGCACGTTGTCCAATACAGATATTACTGCAGTTAATTCAGCAGGCAATGCACATATCCATGTAACATATAGTCCGTGTGCGACAGGGGCCGCATTTGCGACATAGGAGATCCTGCATCTGTGACCAGGCACGGAAGAGGAGCGCGATAGGGTTTAGTATCAGGTAGAGTCCGTTCGAAAGCGACCCGAGGTGTTCATGTGGATGCCTGTCCAACGAGCGAGCTCTTAGCCTTCATAGATTTCATGACAGTGCATTAAGTCACTGTTGTAGAAGCGAAAGAGTTGGAAAGGAGGACGAAGCAACTCCACCACCGAGATGGTGAGGCTGAGGAAGCGTGTCCAGTGACCTAGGCGAGGCAGACGCAAGACAAAGGCTATATCACATGATACTTCAGCCTTGTTGCAAACGTGTCAAAATATCCGTCCTAGATGGATGTTTATCGATAGGACATGGTTCCGCTCTGAGCGCAAACATTCTAGGGATGCGACGTTCAATTTGATTCCTTACCACTCGGGACACACTTCGTGAAAGCTACTTGAATCTGCACATTGTGGGCAGGATGATGGACTCGGATGACGATGACATCTATCCGCAACACGAAGAAGCCAACGGCCAGCGTCACCAAAGCGAAGTCAACATGCAAGACGCGGACGATGGCGAAGAGGAGGGCGAGGAGGTTGAAGATGATGACAGTGATGTAGGACCAACCCATTCCAGCATTTCATGATACTGAAGATCTACAGGATGATGTGGATTTCATTATAGATGCCAAAGAAGTGCCCAAGCAAGAGCCTGAATCGTGAGAACATCCTATGGAGGTCGGTCCAAGGTGGACAACTTATTGACAGCCTTTCCAGACATACGAAGCGACAGCCGGCCGTTGCACAGCTTGCCGCTGATGTGAGGAAAACCTCATCAACACCGCAGCCCTCGTTCAAAGCAGGCACGCCAGCAGAGGCAAGGGCTGGGTCACAACAACCGAATGAAAGACCTGGTACAGACTATCCAGCGCGTCACACCTCCAAAATCGATGTCAATGGCAACCCTGTGCACCCTACGACTGGCAAGCCCATTCTATCTACCGATTTTGACACAGACTTTGCGTCCGAATCCTCCAAGCCCTGGCGGAAACCGGGCGCAGACACAACCGACTACTTTAATTATGGTTTTGATGAGTTTACATGGGCCTCATATTGCCTGAAGCAACAGACAATGCCCAAAGAGATCAAGGAGATTACCCAACAAGCGGAACAGATGAAGGCCTTTGTCGAGGGCATCCCAGGTGGCGGTATGCCTGGCATGCCTCCCATGCCGAGTGCGCCGGGAGCAGATATGTCTCAAATGGCCATGCCCAGCGAATCTCAAATGCAGCAAATGTTTGCTGCCATGACATCCCAAGGCTTGGACCCGTCCGCCATGGATCCCTCCCAATTCATGCAGTTCATGGCAGGAGGAGGTGGTATGATGGGACAGCCACAACCTCCTACAGGACCATCTGCAGGATTCGCTGGCGGCGGCGGCGGCTATGATGGAGGCTTCGGTCGAGGTGGAGGCAGAGGGAAGGGTGGAAGGAGAAACTGGTAGAGACGCTTTCGTCGCCCGGCCTCACCAGTGGGGACCTGACCTGACGTACAAGTCTCTCATACATTCCGCAGGCTTGCCAAAATAGCAGCGATCACATATGCAGCAAATCATGCATACCTAAGGGCACTGATGTGCACTTGGATGACGAATGATCCGATTAATTAGTTCAGCATTCCAGGAATAGCCTTAAGGTCCAGCGACCAAGGCCGGCCTCAGGTGATCAAGCGACACTCGAAGGCAGGGATAGATCATCAACACTTGGCTACATCAAGCCAAGAAGAAAATCTTCCGATGGGATCATCAAACTAGGATGAAGGTAGATAGATTGCTCTATGTGACCCAGCATTGCGAAGGCTACATATGTCAGAAGTTGAAGTTCCATCATCTTCGAAAAATGGTGACTTGCCTCATGGCACGGTGAAGAGCCCGTCCCTGGTAATAACAAGAGTCGTCAGCCTTGCAGATGAGCGTTGGTCAGAATATCTCGCAACATCCCATAATGCCCCACCAAGAGGTGGAGTAATGCCGGCACTCTGGAGACTACCTGATGTACTTAAGTACCGTACGTAAGCAAAACAGGTGGTACACCTGGGTGACACCAGATGGATGCTGAGTAACCTAAGCAGGCGTTAGCGAAGATGGCATTTCCACGGGCGCATCCCTGGGAGGCTCGATTACCACCACAGGACGGAATGCTTCCCTGGGTACAAGCACCAACCTAGGCAAGTACCAAGGCTGATTTAAGAAATCCACGATCCCAGAGATGGAAGATGGTGGTCAAAGGAGACTCTGTGCTAAACCGAGAGTGGAAGTTGTTGGTCAGCACGCAGGGAAGACTAAATATACCTCCCATCAATTCAGCCTACGAGAAGATCCTGCAAACCACGAACTCTGTACTAAGGCACATCGTATGCATGGACGTGTTCTTCTGGTGTCCATCCCAGTCACTCATGCGAAGGCTTCTGCATTAGTCAGTGCTGTCCTTCGGGCGCGAATCCTGTTTGTCCTCGTTGCCAATGGCTCTTGCTATCCTTCTCACCAGGAGCTGTACAGTCTACGGTGGATTTGCAATTGGGTTACCTGCACAGCTTCAGCATCGCCGGGAGCTTTGCAAGCCCCGTCCCGTAAAAAGCGCAAGAACGATGTCTGCCAGGTTGGACCAAGGTAGAGATATAAATGGGCTGAAGATACCGTGAGAACAGCCCCTTCACCTTTCTGTCTCATCGTCTCCAGATACAGTGGAAATTCCGTTGTTATTACCTACCTACCAGCTTACATTCCAGAACTCTGTGACTTCTCAAATCTCATCATCTAGGCGCAAACTTCAGTTCAAAATGCCTACAACACTTGTGACAGGAGGCAACGGTTTCGTAGGCGCAAGTGTGGTGTCGGCTCTACTCTCCAAGTACAACCATAAAGTCATTCTCGCTGTGCGATCTGTCCCCTCTGCTGAGGCTCTGTTAGCCATTCATCCAGAATGGGCAGCACAAGACGTGTCCGTCGCCTCTGTCCCAGATTTCACAGTCCCAGGTGCCTTTGACGAGGTATTTAAGACACATCCGGAAATCGAATATGTGATCCATGTGGCTGCACCGCTCTTGGACGACCCACGCAATCATGACTTTGTCGAGCACTTTGAAAAACCAAATGTCCTGGGCAACATTGGCATTCTGACGAGCGCCAAACAGTATGGCAAGAACGTGAAGGCCGTCAGCGTGACTGGAAGCATCAATGCCATCACTCTAGGTGATCAAGACGACGTGAAGAAGCGAGCCTTCGGCAACACCGAGTGGCTTCCGATGGGCAGAGAAGATGCGATCAAAGCCCAGCACAATTATGTGAGTTCCATCCCGCGAGTCACTTTCATCCCAGAACCGCTGCTGACAGTCAACCATCTAGATCTCGTATTGTGTCGGCAAGAAAGTGGCCGAACAGGCCCTCTGGAAATTCGTTGAGGAAGAGAAACCAGCCTTCACAGTCACAAACTTCATGCCTCCCTTAATTTTCGGCCCCATGGAGCAGAAAGTTGCAAGTGCCGAGAAGATCAATTTTAGCAACTCTCAGATCCAGAGCATCATGAATAGCGCAAAAGCCGAGGGCGCCAAAGTACCATCGACCATATTCCCAGGTTATGTAAGTCTCCATTGCATCCCGCTATCAAAATTCCGCCACGATGCTGACAGAAACCAACCAGATCGACGTCCGGGACTTGGCAGAACTCCATATCCTCGCTCTTACCACGCCCGCCGCAGCGAACAAGCGATTTGTCGTTGGCTTCCCGATGATGTTCAACCGCTTTGCCGAGGCACTACGCACCATCCCTGAATTGAAGGACCGTATTGGAGAGAACAACGATGACGATGCGAGCCTCACACCCGCTCGTTTCGGCACCGCTGAGGGCGATGAGGTGTTCCAGTTCAAGTATAGATCTCTACAAGAGACCGCCAAGGATATCGCTGCTAGTATCCTAAAGGTCGAGGCTGCTTAGACCTTGATTTGGGATGGTGATCTCAATGATGAGGGGTTGCTCGTCCAGAGCAGTGTTAAGCATTGCATTTTTATGGCCGGTGTTATCTTTGAGCTCGCAACGAAAAACTAGGCAATCTTCTGAGGAATAGATTACATATGGTTTGGTATAGGAGTAATGGATGTCCTTTATATCTATTTCTATCGTGAAGGTCTTCCGGCTGGAGTAATCGGTGACGATCCATGCACTCGGTCAATGTGCAACACCATTTCCACTTCGGCTGGTCAGCCGTCCTACACCTCAACTGACAGAGTAGGCAGACCGTCAGGAGCTCGATTTACCCGTAAGATAAAGGTCCTATCATCTGCCATCAGGCACCAAAACCCAAGCCTTTAGCCTCCAGATCCCCCATCAGCGCACTCTTCACCTCTTCCTCGCCGATGCGTAATCTGATTTTACTGGCTCTCTCGCCTCGACCACGGCCCTCCATGGCAATAATCCCTGCCTCGACCAATCCGATCGCAGCACCACTCAATGCCAATACTTTGGGGAGGATGTCCGCGCGCTTCTCTGTCTCGCTATCGAGCAGCAGGAACTCGTGGACGAGGCCAGTCTCCGCCATGTCCGCGATATGTTTGGCTTCGACCAGGACATCTCCCAGGGTAGACTCGGCGATTCCAGTCCGTCGGAGGCGTGCAAGAACGGCGGCAAGGAAGAGTTTGGAACTCAACGACACGGAGCGGAGATGTTGTGCTAAAGGCGAGGAGGTCGCTTCGTTGATGGCCTGCTTGATCGTCGCGATAGTCACCCTGGGGAGCCGTTTCTCGCCCCCGACGGCTTCGTTCTCGTGCTGCTTCGCTTCGTTTCTGCCTTTGCGGCTGGGCGTGTTGGATGACGGCTCGTCTTCGTCTCCGGTAGACAGCTCTGACTTCGGCTGAGACTGCTCCGTGAGCTCCACCGCTCGCCGACAGATATCGAGTGCTCGACGCGCATCACCAGACACTGCCGCAACTTTTCGACTGGCAAATTGTATGGCGTCCTGGTCGACAATATTACCTGGAACGCCTGCCAGCCGTGAAGATATGATCTCCATTAACTGCGTATGGGTGTATCCCGGGAAAGTGATTCTCGTCAGGCCAAGACGGGAGCTGATCTTATTGGAAAGTGTTCGTTCTGGCAAATCCATCGTATTCGCGACTGCGAGGACAATCAGTCTCGAATGTCGCATTGCCGGCCAGTTGAAAAAATTGTACATGACGCTCTGGTTCTTGGTGACCAGCTGGTCCAGCTCGTCCATCAGCACGACGCAAGGAATACGCCGTGGGCTGGGGTGTGAGAATTCTTGCTCTAGGAGACTGAGAGCATGGTTAGGGCTGACACGATCCCCCTTCAGCGCTTCCCACAGCAGCGAGTACGACTGGTGAGGCTCTGTGACCTTCATGCCATTGATCTCGATGAAATTGAAGTCGTCAAGCTCTTCATCTAGCACGGCTTGGTGCAAGGATCCGACAACTTCACGCACCGTTGCTGTTTTCCCTGTGCCCGGTGTGCCTGAAATGTATATACAGGCGCCAGAACCATCGGCAATGGCGGAGTAGAGATGAGAGTACACTGCGCTGAATTCGTTCGAGCGGCAGGGTAGTGATGTTGGAACAGCAGAAACATGCAGGGTTGTACGGGCTTGAGAGTACGGAGTCGACGTGTATTGGCTCGGTGTAAGGATCCTAGTGCCAAGCGGTGTGATCTCAATGGGCTTTTTGACCATTATTCTTTTGTGAGTTGGAGTCGTATATTTCGAGACTTTAGCCGAGGATTTTGGTGTTGAGACTGCTGTCATTTTGCGTCGCTTGCGAGGCGTAATGGGTACTTCATCATCCCCGGCTTCTCTCTTCTCTTCGTAATCATGATCGCCCTCTCTGGGAGGTTTTCGGCCTTTGGTTTGATCTTTCACCCAGTCAATTAAAGCCAGTAGATCCTCCGGGCCCTTGTATATTTCGTCCCAGACAATCTCCTGGGTAAAGCGCAAAGTCCGTTGTTTTACCCCTCGTCGGCAGAGAATAGTTTTGGCATAAAGATTTGCTGCTGACTTGGACTTCGGCGGAGCACCAGCGGGATATTTATGGAAAAAGGCGTCTCGCGATAGAACTGTTGCCTTCCCATTTATTGCGGTCAGAGGATTCATATTGAAATCTGTGGTGATGTATGATTCGTTCGGCAGAACATCTGGACGGATCTTCGACCTCTTGCCAAAGGCGAGTTCTTCCGGCGAGCAGAACCACTGGACATAGACGGACATCTCGTCCTCGTCGTCTTCGTTGGTCTCGGAGAACGAACAGGTAAGAGCCACCCAGTCCTTGCCTTGTTCAGGCGACTTTAACAATATTGCATCCCCCACACGGACCGAGAACGAGCCCATCTGTGCACCTATTATGTTGGTGGCATTCTTCGATGAATCTTTCAAAGCACTTGCTTTGCGCTTCCTGACATTCCTACTCTCTTCCTCGGGCGGCAGGTTGGATTCATCGGAGCTGTAAATCCACTCCCATGGATGATCCTCACTACCTAGCTCATCGTCAGAATCTTCTCGCTGAAGGCCACCTTTCGTGGAGTATCTCTTGACTTTTTGCATCCCGAATTGCTGTTGTTCTAATTTGGGTGTTGTTGTTGGCTGGAGACTCACAGAACGACACGTCTAAGACCCCTGAACGGATTGTGTCACTATGTTTCGGGGCACGTGTCAAGCCGAGACGCGTCGAGACGCGTTTGGGCCCATATAGCCATTTTAGGCTAGCGTGGTTGAGAAACTCTGTCAGTCGCAATAAACCAATCAGTGACGACCAGGGAATGTCGAAGCTTACTCGTACGCCAAAGTTCACGTTGTCGTTATTTGGAATATTATATGAATACTCGCTAACGAGTATCTCATATCCCAGTCAGGGAGCGTTATCTGACGGACAATAAGATCGGCGACTACATCCGCTCTCCGGTTGGGTTCTTCTCCATCTCTGTCAGTTGACCACCATAGAGCAGTGCATGGTGACATCACTTGTCCACCTGTTATGGCCTCCACATGACTTTTGTCCTCATTCTCCATTGTGCACGAAGAAGCAGAAAGGCTGTTGAGGACAAACCGGGCGATCTCTGCTTCACTTTAACTTCATTTAAGGATAGGGTAAGTGACGTACCCATTTTTCTCACAGGTGAGCTTGGTAACTCGGTCGATCCCACCCTCTGATCTCATCATTTTCTCTGCTGGGCTCCAAAAATGTCTGTCCAGACTTCATCATTCTGGGCCGAAGAAGAAGCAAAATGAACTGATCTCTGCATGAAGTCGACAGAAAAATATCCCACGGAAGAACCAACTCATCATGAGCGAGTAAGTCCAATGGCTCGAACGACTCTTATTGTTTTGGCTTTGACTAAGTCTGACAGTCACGAGGGCGCTGGTCTTGAATTTGAAAGTATGTTCTGATTCAGTAAACCGTTCGCGTGAGGTCTAACATCTCACAGAGTGGGACGATGCCAGCCTCATCGGAAGTTCTATTTACTCGTTTGCAGGAGGTCTGGAGGCTAGTAGCCGAAGCATCTTTGTCAATGGGTTAAATTCGTTCCAAACATCAGCGCAGTACTATGTTCCACAGCGTGGTGCACAACATGTTACACAGAACGGCGTGCAGATAGGGACGCGAAATGTCGTACCAAATGATGTACCCAGAGGCGCGTCGAATGTTCCACCAGCACCTTCGGCGCCTCCAGAACAGCGTGCTGGACTCTCAAGCCATGTTGCTCGCGAACGGCAATATGGCAATATGATTGCGAACAGAGCCATCAATGGTAAGCGGGGTCCAGGCCGTCAACCCAGTCCACCACCAGCACACAGTGCAGCACATGCCTCACGCCTACGAGACGAGCCTGCGACTGGTGACTATGACCTATCCGTTGCTTGGAGAACACTTAGGATGAGATGCCTACGAGTGGAGCGAGGATCTCGCAACACCCACCCATTACAGAAGCTGCAAGAGATTGGAGTCCTGACCAAGACATACTTGCTGCAACCGAGTGATGACGAAAGCAAGATCCTCATTTGGGGAACCCCAGATCAGGTAGCAGAAGCGAAAAAGGCGCTTGCGCGATTCGAAAATGAGCTTGAGGCAGCACCCAAGGGTCCCCATGCCCAGTGGTTCAAGGCTGGTGCACTTGATGGTCGAGCAGAACATCGCCAGGAGATTCAAGCAACCAAAAAGCTGGTTGAGGAGGCGCTGAAGAAGGCCAATATGAAGTACCCAATCGAAGCTGCTCTCCTATGGCCCAAGGAGCTGGATATCACCGAGTTCAGTAATGACAATGCTGAAGCATTCGATGATATGCGCAGACAATACTACTGCAAAATCGATTTCCGTCAAGATGAGAAAGGTCCGCCATGGATGAAGGTATCCGTGGAGCAGCGAAATCACCTCGCCAAGATCATTTCCAGAACAACAAATATTGTCAAAGAACATGTTGCGAAGAGAGACAAGGTGGTCAAAGTCAGTCTTATTCACTACCCAGACTTCTCAATCTATCGGCAAGAGGTGGGACTGCTTGACCAGGATCCAAACACCAGATCACATTTGCCAACCATGCATGGTGAGCCCGGCTCGGACGAGGAAGAATGGTTGCAAATGCGGAAAACAAAGCATTTAGCCAATCGACGAAGAATCAAAACCATTATCAATCAAGCCCTCAAATCCCTTGCTATATCTCAAAGACATGTTCGAATGAGGGTTGCTTTCGGAGAACTTGGTTTCGTTCAATTCCAGAAGCCATCTGAGGGGCGCCAGTCGTATCGATTCGAGGAGTTCTACAATATGGTTACTGAAGGCAGAACAAAATTCTCTCTCAACAGCCTGCCCGTTCGTCAAGGCGAGATTAAGGATCTTGCAGATGTCTTGTCCTCGATGGACGCGTTCAAGAATCCGAGTGTATCATACGGAGCCTTCTTTGATTTCGCAGGTTCTTCTAGCCAATCGATTGTTCGCCTTGAATGCGTTTTCGGAACGTATGGCGGCGAGGAGGAACAGTTCGATATCCGAGAGCAACGCTGGATCGAGGTGAACGAAATGGTTGGGAAGCTTCAACTCTCGCTTTTCAACTTCGAACGCCCAGACTACCAGTTCACCATTGATGCATTCCCGCTGTACGAAAACAAACGCATCAACAAAGAGCAGGCTATCTTCCAGAATAACGTCTCCTTCAAACCTCCATCGGACGGCATCAAATCCCCGCCTCGTCTACGCGTCAAATTCCCACCCACTTCAAATAATCTCAGATCTATCTCGGACCTCACCACAATGAAATGGCGCTTCAAGAACACGGACGCGGTATTTGAGCTTCGCAGAAAAGACATATACACTTACACACCGGGCAAACAGACTAGTGTTTTGCAAGAGTCTCGCTGGCATGCAATCTACTACTACCCTGAATGGGATAACCTGATGGGTCAATTCGCCAACGTCAAACCTGGAGAGAACGTCAGGTGGGTCAAGACCCTTGCGACGTTCTTTCCGGAAGACGAGGAAGACACTGGTCTTGCACTGCCCAAAGGGTTTCAGAACTTCATCACCGAGGTCGAGGAAGTCCAGGATCGTTTGGCTGAGGCCATCAGTCTGCTTGCGAAGGGCAAAAATGCGGTGGCGACGAAAGGAGCTACAAACGAAGCTGCGAATAGAACAGACTGAGCACGGTGTTACAGAATAGCCTTGGCCGTTTCTGATGAAATCATCACATCGATGCAAGGGTAAATAGATGGCTATAGGAGCTTTTTACCCTTTGACAGGCACAAAATCGGGAAGGAATGGAAGCAGGAAATGCCATAGATTCACTAGATCGCCGTTTCTATTCCAGCGATGTCTGTGCTCCCAATGTACGCCGAAATCAAAACCAGTCTCAGGGAACCCTGAGTTGGGATAGCTGCGATCGACGGCACGAAAAGGTGCTGGTCAGCAGCATGACCTACGCCTGGGCACCAGACGGTCAATACAAGCAATATTTACACGCGACTCGATCAGTTCCGTATCTTCATTGACATTGGCATGGTGAATAGTCCCCCAAGACCGCATGTATAGTATATTCTCTCACACGCTACCCTGCACTCGTTTGCAGGGCCTGCCCAGGCCTCGGGCCACCAGAGCCCTCAGTCAACATCTTCTGCCGTAGGACTAGAGGAACAGAAACAAAGACAACACGTCAGCAAGCCCGGCGCTTTAGAAACAGTACCATCCAACGAGCACCACGGGGGTTAACAAAGACAAAACTCACCATCCTCAACAGCCTTCAAGTTGTCATTCTTGCCCGCGACGACCTTCTCAATATCCCCCAGGTTGCGACTCAGATCGTTGATCTTGTCGCTGTAAAATTTCACCGCGTCGGCCGTCGACTTCTCCACATAGAAGCCTGTGCCCACGTCGACCAGCACGGTCGCGGTCGTGCCTGCGCCTTTAGCTTTCGGCGTGGGTGAGGAGTCGGAGGGAGAAGCGGAGGGGTTTGCGAGCCTTCCGGGGACATAGAGTGAGGTGGTCAGTGGGATGAGGAGGGGTGTTTCTGTTTCGGTTGCAGGGGTGGTGTTAGCAAGAAATTCAACGTCGTGTGCGAGAACTGGGTTCTGTGGCAAGACTGAAAACACGAACCCCCGCTCTTTCCCTGTATTCCGTCCTGGATGCTGCGGATGCAGTCCCGGAAGCGAGACTGTGCGGCGCACAGGCGCTGGTACGATGTGCTCAGGTGCTCGAGTTCCTGGGACAGCCGTTGCTGGAGTGCGGAGAGTTGCTGCGCGGGCAACGTGTTCAGGTCGACGGTGTTTTGGGGCGATTGAGACATTTTATATTCAGTAGGTAATAGAACGGGCTGGGTTTCTTGTAAGATAGAACCTGGGAGACTTGATGTTTGGACTGCAGCTTGGCTGGATTGAGCAGTGACTGGAGGTCAAACATGAAGATTATTTTGTCATTTTTGGTGTGGTGCGGAGTGGTACGGTGGGTATTTAGCCGCAGCCTCGTCAGCACAAGGCTGTGGCTTTGCATGCTGTGGAGGAGGTTGTCCTTCCCGCTAGTGAATGTATCCAAATACACGTATACACGTTGAGCTTTTATGTAAGTGCTAAAGGCTTTTGTGTTTTTGGAAATCTCAGCGCCTTATAATTGATGATACAGAAGAGGGGTATCTACACATATAATACACATCCATTGCCCGCTTCATAGCCTACTGAGCAGGCTTTGAACAAAACTCGCCACTTCATTCAAGGGCACCTGTTTTTTGATCTTAAGTCGTCGACACTGGACCTCAACTTCGCCCTTCGCGAAAGATCTTCCTAGGATGATGAGCACAGGATACCCGACCACGTCCGCGTCTTTCATCTTGTACGGCAAAGAAACATCCCTGTCGTCAAGAATTGTGTCTACGCCGCCAGCCTGGGAGTGTGATAAAGCATCGTATAGCTTCTCTGCCGCTGGTCCTAACTCGATAGATGCCAAGATGGCGGCCTCGAAAGGCGCAATGACTCTGGGCCAGTTGAGGCCCACCTCGTCCTTCAGACACGACGCCACAGCAGCGATCAGCCTCGTCACGCCAATACCGTGACAGCCCATTTCCACTGGGGTTGGAATTCCGCTGCTCTCGTGGCTCTGGTGGACCTTGCAGTCCAGGAGTGAGCTGTAGCGCGTTCCAAGATGGAAAGTGTGTCCTATTTCGATGGCCTTATGAATCTCCAGTTTTCCTTTCTGACATTCGGGGCATTCGTCGCCATCTCGAGGTCGTAGCAGATCGATTTTGGCGGCTTCAGGTGAGGCAGACTCGACGATGAAAAACTCAACGCCTTCGGGAAAATGCCGCATATCCTTAGCCACTACTTCAGCGATGCCGTCAGTTGGCACTCGTCGATCGAGCACATAGAATATGCGGTGCTTGTCAATTCCCTGGCTCTTGTCCTCTCTAACGGCGGTATGATGGGAAACAGTAAACTTCTTCGATGCGTCTTCAACGCCTGTGTCCACTTCCAAAACAGACGCGAGGACCGCCTTCACAGCATAGGAATTGATCAGCCCCGGTAGCCTCTTGTCTCCCGCCAACTCTTCAGACTTGCAAAGTCCAAAAGCACGAACGAGATCCCTTCCGGTTTTGCCAAGGAACGACTTCATGAACACCTGGGTGGTCGCAGGTAGCACATTTGAGCTCGGAGGTGGTGAATCTATTCGCTTGGGTATGAATGACGTCCGCGAAACGTATTCTTCATTCCTGGCGATATCACAAGCTGTACAAGTGATGACCGTGTCTTCTCCAGCACCATTGGGGAAATGGTACTCATGGCTCAAATCGCCTCCCATATCACCGGAATCAGCTTGAGCTTCGATGTAAGGAATGGTCAGCTCATTGAGAAATCCCCTATAAACAGCTCTGACTTCATCATATGTCTTGTGGGCGTCGGCGAGATTGGCATCGAACGTATATAAATCCTTCATGGTGAACTCTCGACCGCGAAGGAGTCCGCCGCGAGGGCGCTTTTCGTCCCTGTATTTTCGTCCAATCTGATACAGCCGAACGGGCAACTGCTTCGGAGAACGAACAAACCCAGCGACTAGAGACGTGATCTCCTCCTCGTGGGTCGGGGATAGAAGCATCTTTGAGTCTTTGCGGTCCTTGAACATGAAGAGCTCCGACGACTTGCCCAGTCGGTGCGACTTCCTCCACAGATCTTGCGAAGATATAGAGGATAAGGAGACCTTTGAAGCCTTGGCTAGCTTCATGTGCTTGTCGATGAGGTTTTCAAGCTTTTCTTGCACACGTAGGCCAAGAGGAAGCATGTGGAAAATGCCAGCATATGCCTGACTGACATATCCAGCTCTGGTAAGAAGAACCGTGGCATCATTGACACCAACTTGTTGATTCACTTTCACGGGAGGTATCCAAATATTGCTGATTCTCTGCCGGGAGTCGACATGGCTGTATCGGACAGACGCTCCTCGTCCTGGGGCTAGACGGTAGACGCTTCCGCTAGAAGCTCTTCCGAGAGCACGGGGCGTCATGAAACCTCTCGATCAGCTCGGATACATGAGCTTTAGTGTCGATAATTTGCGTGAATATGTGATGACGTTCGCCGACCACAGCTTGTTTCCTTTAGCTGAGTGACTAGGCCTTCAGAGTCCAATTATATAAGTTTAGATAAGATTCAAGACGAGGCTTTGATGGGCTTTCAGTTGTTCGAATTGGATATCCTGGTTCCTGGTGCGGAATTATCGCGTTTTTAGTGGCTCGGAAAGTCCCTGCACTAAAGCCTTGTTAGCGTTGTCCAGCAGGCTTGGCAATGGTTAACTCCGCCTTATCCAAATAATTTTTCTGGGTGGGAAATTTGGAGAATATAACTACAATGTTGACCATTCTGAGTCTTTCTCATATCGCACACAACTTTACTGTCTTGTGCACCGTGGCATGCTTAAAGTGAGGTGTAATGTCAAAATTCAAATCTCGAGGCCACAGGTCCTCCGAGCCTGAAGCGCTAGAATCGAAAAGCAATACTGCACCTGCTCCGACCGATGTTCCTCCGAACGACTCGTTCAAAGATCTGCGGAGCAAAATCCAAGCCCAGTTCCAGACACTTGGGCAGAAAGGTGGGAAAGACAAGTCGATAGATGCCAGGCCAAAGGCGCAGCGGAAAAAGCAGGGGAAAAGCAAGGATACTACAGCGACGGCAGAGCGGGGAAAGAAACGTGATCGCAATGGAGAGGTGCTGAAACAGGCCACAGAAGGCTCTAAACCTTCACCGAAACCTAATTCACGACATGCCGCACCGGCTGGCGTCGATGAAGAGTTTTTCAAAGAGGTGCAGGCACTTGGAGGAACAACCGAGGACCTGGACTTATTGGCTGATGTAGATTCTGACTCTGAGGTGGAAGGCTTGCCCAGTGAGCAGATGGGGACGGCCAAGCCAAATCGTGACTCCGCAGCACTCGAAAAAGGCATGGGCAACATTTTGAAAGAAATTGCTCTTGCCCAAGGAGAACTGGAAGACGACCAAGCGACTAAGGACGAGTCAGAGGACGAAGTTGTAAACCGGGCCACAACCACAAAAGACGGCCAGAAAGAAAAGAGTGTATCGGAAGCGATTCATCAGCCTGTCAAAAAGGGCCATGGACAACAGCCTTCGTATGTCTGTGAACCAAAACCTGATTGGTTTGAGATTGAGCAGCCGGTAGTCAATAGTGAAAAGGCTCCAAAAAGTTCATTATCCAGGACTATACTAACGGAGTTGCATGAACATGCCAAATACCTGCTTGACGAAGAAAACCGAAAATTCAAGTCGGCGCAGCAGTCTTCTTCACAGTCCTTCTACAATACAGTCATCACGTCAGGTACCCTCTCGGATAAAATTTCGGCGTTGACTCTTGCTGTCCAAGAGTCTCCTATACACAATGTCCGAGCATTAGAAAACCTCATTGGCTTGGCTAAGAAGCGAAGCAGATCACAGGCGGTCGATGTGTTGAGATCCCTTAAGGATCTTTTTGCACAAGGCTCGCTGTTACCTCAATCGCGGAAGTTGCAGGCATTTGCCTCACAACCTGCTCTGTCCCCGTTATTCGACAGAAGCAAGACTTGGAAAAGAGGCGACAAGCTTCCCAGAGGATTAAAGGAGCAACATCTTGTGGTTTGGGCATACGAAAGTTGGCTGAAAGAGCAATATTTCGAAGTCCTAAAGGTCCTTGAAGTATGGTGCAATGATGAGATTGAGTTCTCCAAGTCAAAGGCCATCAGCTTTGTGTTTGAATTGCTTAAGGAGAAACCAGAACAAGAGTCAAACTTGTTGAGGCTGCTGGTCAACAAGCTTGGAGATCCAGTGAAGAAAATTGCGTCACAGGCATCGTACTTGCTCATGCAACTTTTGATCACCCATCCTGCGATGAAAGCGGTGGTGGTATCGGCCATTGAGACGGATTTCATTTTCAGACCCGGCCAGAGTTTACATGGAAAATATTATGCAGTTGTGACACTCAATCAAACAGCATTGAGTGGGAAGGAGGAGGAAGTCTCAAACAAGTTGCTCGACATCTACTTTGGCTTGTTCACTGGCCTTTTGAAGCCAACTATCGCTTCTGCGACGGAGACTGCGGAGAAGGCAGAACCGGAAGCTGAAATCGAGCCAAGGCTCCGGAGAAGAAACAAGAAACCAAAAGTGCCAGTTCAGCCACAGCAAGAGGAGTTAAGAGAGAAACTTATCTCTGCCATACTAACGGGCGTGAACCGTGCATATCCATATGCAGAGTCCAAGGATAAAAGCTTTTCAGACCACCTTGAGACCCTATTCAAGGTTACGCATTCGTCTAATTTCAATACCAGCATCCAGGCTATGCTTCTCATACAGCAATTGTCGACTACCCATAGGGCATCCAACGATCGATTTTATCGAGTCCTTTACGAATCACTGCTTGATCCAAGACTTCTCGTTGCTTCGAAACAACAATTGTACCTGAATTTGCTACATCGAGCTCTCAAGGCTGACCTGAACATCAAGAGAGTCAAGGCTTTTGTTAAGAGACTTTTCCAGGTGCTATCATTGCACGATGCGTCGTTCATTGTTGGTGCATTTTTCCTGCTGCAGGACCTAGACGCGACTTTCCCGTCCTTGTCAGGACTTGTCGATCAACCTGAAGATCACGACGATGATGAAGAAGTCTTCCGTGATGTTGATGAAGAAGGGACCGAGGCACAGGCCAGCAACGACTTAAAGGCTCAGGCAACGTTTTATGATGGGCATAAACGTGCCCCGGAGTACGCGAACGCGGACAATAGCTGTGCCTGGGAACTTCTCCCATTCCTCGCACACTTCCACCCATCGGTGTCCTTGAGTGCAGATCACGCATTGCGCCATGCCAAGTTGCCGGGCAAGCCTGATCTTTCCCTGCATACGCTCAGTCACTTTCTAGATCGCTTTGTCTACCGAAATGCCAAATTGGGTATCTCTGGCCTTCGTGGCTCATCTATCATGCAACCCATGGCAGCAGTTGATTCTCAAAATGTGTTAATTCCAGGCACTCTTGCCGCTCAGCGCAGCCTTCCGGTCAACAGTGAAGCATTCAGGGCGAAGAAAGACGGGGAGATAGCCGCCGAAGATGTATTCTTCCACAAATACTTCTCGAGCTTGGGAGCTGCACCCACCAAAAAGGGCAAGGAAAAGAAGAAGCGTGACGCTGATGACGATGAATCTGAGAACGAGGATGAGATCTGGAAAGCAATGATGGAAAGCGCTCCAGAATTGGAAGGCGACGATGACAGTGAAGACGATCTGGACTTGTCAGAGCTGGAATCCGCCATGGATGATTCAGATGCAGAAGCAGAAGACGGTGACGGATTCGACGATGACGACGATGAAGGCGTAGACATTGACCCAGCACTGTTCGACGAATCAGAGGATGATCTCATGGACATAGGCGATGGTGATACAGCAGTAGCAAGTGCAAGCGGAGAATCGGATTTCGCTGGCTTCGACTCGGCTGAGGATCAGGCACCGACAGCCAGGAAGAAGAAAGCGAGCAAATCAGAAAGCAAGAAGGAGAAGGCTAAGAGGAAGAGCCTGCCGATATTTGCATCGGTTGAAGATTATGCGAAGATGCTTGAGGATGACGAGGATGAAGATAAGTGAATGAAAGATACCTCGTGTGCATAGATGTGAAAAGTACAGAACTGTCCATCTATGGCACCATTGCTAAGATACACCAATGATCGCAATGGGGTGGTTCCCGGCTTCCTTCGCTTGTTCGCCGAAGATCAAATGAAGCAAATTTCCAAGCATTCTTGGAGATTCTTGGTGTGCAGGCTTGGATTGCGCCACGGCTTCTTGGGTACAACCTCCCGTACATGGTCATCACGCGCAAATCAGACCGCGCCAGGATAGTTGTGCAGATTTCTCTGGTGTTTTCGGTCGATTGCATGATCATGCCAACATGGCGTATTCTGTCCGACGACTCTCATCTCCGCTACTGTCTTTTGCAGGCTGTAAAAGGCCCATGAACGGCTTGTAAGGCAGGTCGCGAGCCCCATAATTGACTGAGCAGGCCCGAAATGCCAACAATGCCAAGATTCTAGTGGCGGCTCGCGTGGACCTCCGCACGGGCCATCGAAGGGCCTGAAGAAGCTAATGACATGCTATGACATAATGATATAACCCTCACAATCCGCTGTGCGCAAAGTACGAGTAGCTCTCGCAGCTGAGCTGTACCCTTCGGAGAACGGCCAGAGTGACCCTGTAGTGTCTGTCACCTCTCCATTCTGCGTTTATTCTCCTCCTATGTAGAGAACAAATGGCAACGTAGGATACCTACAAGCCGCCAAGTTTCAAAGTCAAAGCGCCTGAGCGTATCACCTCTACTGAGTAGGTAGTTTGTCCCGAGGACCGAGTATAACTAACGGGCCTCGAAATTTTCATGGGTCCACCTAACCAACTGTCTGCGAGTACTACCTTCCTTATCAGATGAGGTCATCGTGCTCACGGCTTACCAGTACAGGTCTCCCTTGTAGTACAGTCCTTGCAGAATCATGGCCCTTGATTTGGCCACCTCACCACGCCATCCGCCTAACCCCCAGAACCCATGCACGCGAGCAGGCTTTTTGATCTGTTCGTGGCATTTAGACTTCGATCTCATGCTTTTGAACCCGCACCTCCTAGTCGTTGGCTTCGGGGATACAACCAACCAGACCCGAGATAGCCTTGCACTTACCCGTCTCAGCTCTCTCTCAGGCTCAGACGCCTTCCGCCTTTCGACCCGCATGCACTTCATTCGCCTTGGTAGTGATCGCCAGCCTTCTCCCACGCAATCCACGCTCATGCCGTGCCAGCTCTATCGTCACGTCACTGATTGGGTTCAACATAGAACCCAGCATGGCCCGAAGCTATGGCGAGTCCACATTTCGCTACCCAGCCGAGCATACGAGTAAGACGGGTATCGGCCAGCCTTCATGTTTAAACACGCGCTCCCCGTCGTAGTTTGCTTTGACTTCCTCCCCAAAGCCTTTTCCTTTCTTTCTACCTGCATAGAGGCTATCAGCAATTCCCTTACCTGGCCAGGCGTGACTCACATGCAGCCGGCAGTCGTCCTCGATCTCGATTCTTTGTTTTTTGCCTGCTTTGATCAGGCCATACGTGCTGTCAAGTGGCGGTGAATTTGTCTGGACGCCCTTATCCCAAACACCATCCACTGACGATGTCGCACGTCAACGAGAAGGCCGAACCACCTGGCTTCGGCCAGAAGGGAATCCTCAACCCAGATGAAAGTCACGGGGCCGACCTAGAAGCAAGACGCACCTCGACTTCCGTCCAAGGCCGCAAGATGAGCAGAATTGGTCCGCCACCGAAGAAGTCACTAGAAATTCCTATCGATGATAGCAGCTCAGGTGATGAATACGGTAAACTTGTAGAGATGGAGGCCAACAACGCGATTCAGTATAGGACTTGCTCCTGGCAAAAGGTGATTATTGCCCGCTGGCGCATGAGCCCGTTGCCACCCTGCATTACAGTTAAGAACAATTTTCTAACCCAAACAATACCCAGACGGCGGCGTTACTATTTTCCGAATATATATGCCTGGCCATCATGTCGTTTCCTTACTCATACTCAATATTGGGCCTCGTTCCGGGAATCATCCTCACGGTTGTTCAAGCCGGATTTGTGCTGTACACATCTCTCGTGGTCTGGTATGCTTCTTCCGTGTTGCTTCGACGGCGGCCTCCTCCAATTTGAGATACTGATTTGATTCCAGGGAATTTTGTCTCCGTCATCCAGAGGTCCGAGACGTTTGTGACATTGGGCAAATGCTTTTCTGGAACTCAAAATGGGCCTGGTATGCGACCGCAGTCATGTTCCTGCTCAACAATACATTCATTCAAGGCCTTCATGTACTGGTCATCTCTCGCTACCTAAACACGATGAGTGGTATGGTTGTCATAAGAACCTGAACATTGTCGGTCTCCCTGCTAATTGACACCTCAGGGCATGCCGTATGTACCGTCGGGTTCGCCGCAATTGGCGCTGTTGCTTCTTGGGTATGCTCTATGCCACGGACATTTAACACTCTTTCCAAGCTGGCTGCTGCGTCTGCGGTGTTTACGTTCATCAGCGTCATCTTAGCAGCGGCTTTCGCTGGCGCCGAAGGCAAGCATGGCACCGCTGGTTACAACCCGGATCCCAACTTCATCAACGCGGCTGGAAAGAACATCGGCGGGGAGCCGCTCGTTCTGGCCGTTCCTCTCGCTGGAACCACCTTCGTCTCTGGCATGAATGCCTTCCTCAACATTGCATACACATTCATCGGCCAAATCACGCTCCCGAGCTTCATTGCCGAGATGAAGAATCCGTACGATTTCCGCAAAGCTCTTTGGCTCGTCACGATTTGTGAAATCATCGTGTTCAGTTTGGTCGGTGGTATTGGTGTGTCTTTGTCCATCGTGGCTATGGCTATGGCTTTGGCTATCACTGAAGCAAAATTGCTAACGGACACCAGTTTATGGGTATACTGGAAGCCAGTACAACACAGCACCCGCCTTTGGCAGCCTCGGTAACGACATCTACAAAAAGGTGTCGTTCTCGTTCATGGTCCCTACCTTGATTTTCCTTGGAGTGCTGTACGCATCCGTCTCGGCTCGCTTCCTGTTCTTCCGGATTTTCGACGGCACTCGTCACAAGACCAGCCATACTGTGATAGGCTGGGCCACCTGGGCCGGTATCCTTGCGCTCACTTGGATCATGGCATTCATCATTGCCGAAGTCATTCCTTTCTTTGCTGATCTGCTCTCTCTGATGAGCTCACTCTTTGATTCCTTCTTCGGCTGGATCTTCTGGGGTGTCGCCTACATGCGGATGAGAGCAGCAGACGGGGGCCCTGGATTCTATAAGAAGAGGGGCATCCGTGGCTGGATTGGATTCATAGTGAACGTTTTCATCATTCTGGTGGGATTCTTTTTCCTGGGTGCAGGAACTTACGTAAGTTTTGCTCTTTCATCTTTATGGAGTCTTGTGGAGAGACGGAAACCTAATTTGGCGGCTTCACAGGCATCTGTCGACAGCATCATTTTGGATTATGAAGCTGGAAATGTGAAGGGAGTCTTCACCTGTGCGGACAATTCGCTGTAGAGAGAAGGAATACAAACGGGTGGGACATCGGTAACACACATATACGTAGGGGATTGTCTAGCGAGAGCAAAGACGTGTTTGAGGCGCGTAGGAATCATGAGACATACTTGCTTGAGGGGCAGATATTAGCATGAGATGAATGGACACATGAATCACGCCTTTCTCGTCTGCGATCCGCCACCGCTCTTTTGCATGAATGGGAGGATGAGTTCAGAGAGGATGTCGTTCTACAAGCATCCGTACGAGAATCTCGTGTGGAGTTGGCAGTAGTGAGCTAACCCAATTAGGCTCAATGGGCCTTAGCGTGTCCTAGCGGGCTCTAAATCATCGTTAGCGCGCCGATGGATCAGACTCGGAAGGATTCCCGACGCAGCGACTGGCGGGATCCGATGGAATTGTGGAACACGCCACGCCAGCTGGAGTGGCCACACTGGCTGTTAGTCTCATCCTCTAGCAGGGCCACAGCACAAAGGACGTACACGAGTACTCGATTCGATACTCTGGTCCAACCATCCACGTCGTCACGATAAACTGTTTCCTGCCAATGCTGACGAGGCCCTCTCCATCCTGCTGAACTGCACTTCCCCCAGAACTAGGAACTTGGCTTGGCCTTGTGGAATTTGGCTCCTGGGCTGCAACATTGTCTGTGCCAGCCAAATTGTAGGTCCTTCAGCTGCACCTGCATTTGCGAATTCAGCTCCCTGTGCAGAGGACTGCACAGCCGCCTAGGTCCACCTGTCCAACGTCCACCGATCCACTCGCTCACCCAAAGGCATCGAAGGCATCAAGTCTCCAGCCTGCCATTCTCGCCCTTTACGCAGTTCCGTGGGCGGTCGTCCTTTCCCTCCTCCGCCCCGTCCATCCTAATTCCGTTCGCTCGGAAACTCTTACAATAAACTACTGCACCTTCTCTTGTATCTCTCTCTCTAAGTCCACGCACAACCCCAGCTACAAGATTCTACAGAAGGCACATTAAAAGTGTGATGATTTGGAGGGATGAACAGGCTTCACGCCTCTACCAATAACGGCTACGGTGCCAACAAAAAACATGATGGAGATATTTATCATGATAAGGCCGACCTCGAGAGCAAGTACATCTGGGGCATGACTGATCTGGTCGACGATGAAAAGCCCGATCCCTCCTTCGGCCGCCGCTTTGAGCCCAGAAAGAGAGCCCTTCACAACCGCAGTCGACTCATCCGTCTGGCCTTCGTTATCCTTGCCTCAGTTGCATTCGTAGTCCTCTTCTTTTTCCCTTCAACGAGGCATCTACCTTCCATGTCATCCACACCTCCCGCCCCTGTTTTCGACTCCGAGATCGAAACTTTACGCTATTACGACCTAGAAGATGTTCAAGGCACCTCCGTGGGATGGGAACGAGAAGAGAGAGTACTCCTCTGCACACCCCTTCGAGATGCAGCACCACATCTACCCATGTTCTTCGCCCACCTCAGAAATTTCACCTACCCTCACCATCTCATAGACCTTGCCTTCTTGGTCTCCGATTCGAAAGACGAAACCGAGCACATGCTAACAGAAATGCTCGAGGCTTTACAAGCAGACCCTGATCCGGCTCAACCATACGGAGAAATTTCTGTCATTCACAAAGATTTCGGACAAGCTGTCGGGCAAGATTTCGAGAGTCGCCATGGTTTTGCCGCACAAGCAAGCAGAAGAAAGTTAATGGCACGAGCCCGGAATTGGCTGCTTAGTGCAGCACTTAGGCCTTATCATAGTTGGGTATATTGGCGAGATGCTGATGTGGAGACTTGTCCTTTCACCATTATTGAGGATCTAATGCGACATGACCGAGATATAATAGTACCCAGTGAGTTCATTCACTCCTTCTTTTCCCCTGTCGACACCTTTCTAACGTGAAAAGATATTTGGCGTCCTTTACCCGACTGGCTTGGAGGCGAGCAACCTTATGATCTCAACTCCTGGCAAGAATCCGAGACTGCCATTGCCCTTGCAGAAACCTTGGACGAAGATGCCGTCATTGTAGAAGGTTACGCAGAATATGCCACCTGGCGACCTCATCTGGCTTACTTACGAGATCCCTACGGAGACCCAGACGTGGAGATGGAGCTTGACGGCATTGGTGGTGTTTCAATCCTGGCAAAAGCACGAGTTTCCCGTGCCGGTGTTCACTTTCCCGCTTTTTCATTCGAAAGACATGCAGAGACTGAAGGCTTTGGTAAGATGGCCCGCCGTATGCAATTTTCTGTGGTCGGTCTTCCACATTATACTGTCTGGCACCTTTATGAGCCTTCAGTCGATGACATTCGTCATATGGAAGAAATGGAGGCCGAGAAGCGTGAAAGAGAACTGCAAGAAAAGGAAGTTGCCGAGCTTACGAAGAAAGTCGGGAACTCTTTTGTCCCAGTTGATGGGCAGTGGCAGAAGGATAAACTAGCAATGGCTGGTGGAAGTACCGAGCAACAAACGAAGCCTCCTGTCAAGAAGGAGGGTGTCCAGAGGATCCCACTCGATTCGGAATCACCCGGTTCCAAAGAAGCCGTAAGACAGGCCCGTGCTGCCGAACGGGATGCAGATAATTCTGGGCGGTCTGCATTTGGCGACTAATGACCTAAACGACAACATCTGGGGACAATGACTGCTTGAAGGCTACAACCATAACGGCATTGATTTTAGGAAAAGAATATGGGCTATGGGCATAGACAGTGAGCGAGCATTTCAACTGCGTCGATTACGACATATCTGGGACTGGGACAAGGCGTTGAATCGTTCAAAAGGGGAAACTCATCTGGCGGGGAATCGCAATTCGAATGTTGTACACTAAAAAGCATGGAGCCCTCGGGAACGATGGCTATAGATGCTCAAGAATCAAAATTCTTGATTAATTGGAATGGGCTTGTGTAAGGAATAGTTGATCCATCTGGACGATAGCAGCTAGCAGAAATCCAAAGCCCGCAAATGCTGATCTGCTTCGAAGAACTTGACTGGTAGCTTTACCTTTTGCCATCCTTGCTTCATGGAGGAGCTGCTGTCCCCTGAGGCATACAATTACGCGTATGTACATTTATTTCGTATCCGCCTTTCGTCTGCAGGCGGTGGAATATTAGCTGTTTCTTAAGTCGATGACGTAATGGGTCTAAATTGAAACGCGTCTGTCACGAACGACGCGTCTAGCGATTTACGGCTTCGAAATCAAAAGTACCGTTTACGCCATGTACTCATTCAGCAAAGATTTCCAAGCAAGTCAACTATATCACTCTGTCGTCTACTAGCATCCTCTCGCTCATCCCCATCGACATATGCAGCACCTCGCTCTGCGACAATGTTAGCACTACGCCGCCCTCAGACCCAGCTGGATAAGTGCAGCGTGAATATCCTCCCTTGCCGCATTCACCACGACGGCCCCACGAAGATTACGAAGAGATATTGGGCTCCTGCGGCTGAGAAAGGTGAGTGATTTTTGTTTCTCTACTGTCTCATATGCGCCGGAAAACATCAAGAGATAAGGGCGGGCGGGCTGACATGTTATTATTTTGCGAGTCTAGATTCAACGAGGACGTCGCATTTTCGCGGGCGCAGGCTGCGCGGGAGAGTCCTGAAGATCCCGGAGAGGTATCGAGGTTAGTTGAAAGCCCCATTGCATGCCCTTGTTATATGGTATCGAGGTTACACTGTCCGTGAAAGGAAACTAATCAACGCAATCCTCAACAGGCGTGATCATCCATTCCACAGAAGAACATCTCACACCACAACAACCGAAGACGCACTCCAGCCCGACGTACACGGCGATCGACGATGACATTGAGATCGAAGATGGAGAGGATGACGACGAACCGCTCGAGCCAGTCCGCATCCTCGATGAGTTGTCCTCGTTCGATGAGGTCGTCGTCTGGGGTCATGATCAGATTCCCGCTAGTGATGACCCGTTTGTCAGGGGCGTTGAGGAGTGGATTGCTTTTGCAGAGGCCCTGCATGGAGGAGGAGTTGGTGGAAGTAGAGGGCAAGCCACCCTCGAGGCAAAGGGGGAGAAAGGAGACGCCTTAAACTCTTGAAGAGTGAGTCCATGACAAAAGACTCCATTGACAAATGGCATGGCTTCCGCACATGGTATATCTCCTGTCCACATGGATTACGAGGAATGGCCACCAGGCCTCCTCGTTTGGTGGTGGAGTGCGGGATGCTTCCACATGGGCAGGCCGGCATCGCATGTGGCCAATCCGGAATCCGGTTGAGCTCACTTCGCCTTCGACGCCGGTCTTTCCTGGCCCTTGAGATATCTCTTCTTGGCCTCTGTCCAGTCTCGCTTCAGCTTGATATACTTCTCGTCGTTGATACACCTCCGCCAATACACCTTGAAGATGGTACTAGTCTCCTCCTTCTCCCTTCGCTTCCCATCGACATTTTCCTGAGTCCACTTATCCAACTGAGCGCCATCCTTACCATACTTCTGCCCTCCCTTAAGGTTCGCATACCGCTTGGCTCGCGTCATGCCCATCTGGACAAACTTGCGCGTCATGTCGGCGCCCACCAGATCGCCACGCGCGACATACGATTCGAAAATCGACCACAGCACTTTCGCTGACTTCTTGGCGATGGGAACCGTCTGGAAAGCCCAGTATGGCAGGATCAGATTCTCGTATGGCTCGAAAGATAGGACTCCCATCTCGCCCCGCGCGATCTCGTAGGAATAGCATAGTGACTCGTCGTCCAGGGCTGGTGTTGGTAGTGGTGGATCTGGGGCCACTAATGTCGATTCTGTAGCTTTGGGCATTCTTATCATTGATGTTCGGGCATATTCGTGCGACAAATGGGTTTTTCTGGGAACATTAGAAGCATTCCTCCCACGAAAGCTTGACTTATGACGTCTACATTTTTAATTGTCTGGTTATACCCGCCACAAACTTCCAATCACTTGGTCGTCTTCCAAGTAATCAATGCCCTGATCCCTCTCAATCTGCTATCGTAAACCTTTAAAATCGCCCAGCATCCTGAAAACGTGCGCATATTATAACCACAACGGCGTAAGGGCCTTCCACGGCCTACGCCACAAATTCCAACTTCTCACGACACGCCCAGCCTCTACTTCAGCCTGATTATGCCACCTTCGTGAAAGGGGTGATCGATAATTCTTTATTTCTTATGGATTCATGTATCTGGCTTATGAACGTCGCGTAACTAGCCAATCATGTAAACAAAACCTCCTCACCTATCCAGATTTCTTTAATTTGCGTATTGCTCGAGTTGGCGGCGTTCAGCCTTGTATTAACGCCTCGCACTGGTAACCGTCACAACAGCAGGGAACGATCAAAAGGCTCTCCCGCTGGGAGCGGAAGGCAGACTCCAGCATGTCCCTCAGGATTATGGGCGGCGCCTTAGTCGCTCACAATTTCACAAGAAGGACTGGGCTTCATATGGTGCGAGCGATGGCCCTGGAGTTGCTGTGCCTTATACCGTCTCTCAAGACTGGGCTGGACCGCTGTAAGACGAGAAGACTCACTTACTGAGCGGATTGAAGGCGCAACCTCGTCCGCTTGAAAAAACGAAACCACCACTTCCGGAAGAGCTTTCTCAATTTTCAATACGGTTCATCATTTACGGCAGATTTGGATTCTAAAGTTCTAGACTCTGATAGAAAAGCAACGGATCTACACCTGCTGGAATCTCAAACAGGTAGAACCAGCCGGGTGGCAACATCGTCACGCCGAGCGGGCATAGCAATTAAATACGTAGTAGACACCCCCGATGGAAGGAGCCAAAATACTACGTGTGTTGATAATAGAATGAGTATACTCAAGGGTAAGTGATTGCTCTGCTTGGAAATATGCTCTTATACATCTTTAAAGCTACCCCGTCGCTTTGCGGACCAAATAGTCAAACAAAAGTTGCGAATGTACTCCCTGAGTGCCGGTCTGCCTTCCTGCTCAGATGGACCTTGCATGTATCAAAGGTGAGCCCTTGATGAAGTTTGGCCCGAGGATGTTCATCAATCCTTGGCATCTCTGTCCTCCTTGCTCGAAAACACCTCGCTTCAGAAGAAGCCGCAATTCAAGCCTGGATTCATGACTTTGAGCCCGTGTGGAACAAGCTCGGCAGCTGGACATCAAGGAATCTTAAGGCTGTACAGTCCGGATACTGCAACATATAAGGGCTAATCACTAATAGAGACCGATGGTTCAGGTTTTGTCATCCCGGCGTAAACCATTACCGTGAATGTAGCTGTGGGATGGGACGAGCACTGGACGTCGGTGTGAGGTGGTATCACTCTGGACAGATCTCCGACGTGGAATGTTCAGTCAATTGAGCATCTTGAAAATCACCCACGGTTCAACTTGTTCGACTCAGATGCCTTGCTGGTGGCTGCTGTCTCGGGTCGTGAAAGGTGATGGATTGGCATTCGTTTCTTCCCCGAGCATTCCATGGGAGATACTACAGTGTGGCATCCCTGTTGCAGTTATATGAGCATTAACGTTCCAGATCTGATCGCACGCTCCGAAACTTTCTCCTAGAACAGTACGCAAAATCTGTGAACCAAATGTTTGTGGGGCTGGAAAATGCATACCGTGCTGTGGGTGCGACAGCTAATTCCATCAAAAGTACTGCTCTTCTGAGATCTTCGATACTTTGCATCACACTCTGCTGTGCTAGAATCACCATGTCTGCGAGATCGGGTCTTTGAAGCAGTCCCTAGGCCTGCCGTTACTGCTCCGAGACCCTGCGCTGATTTGCACAGCACCTCAGGTGAATAGAACTTACGATGAAAAATCCTTTCTGGTGGATTCGATCCAATTGAATGCAAAATTTTCACTGTCCCATATTCATGGGAAGTATTCGCAACAAGAGCATGCAGCATGTCTGATCCTCTCTAAAACGCCTCAGTTTGAGCGTAAGTAAGCTGTCGGTAGGATGTCGCCGCCAAATTGAAGATCCCATTCTCCTACATGTAAAGATTCTGAGTCTCTCATCCTGTCTCATCTCGACGGGATCAGTCGCTTTGAATCATCTGCTCTCGAACCTCCATACAAAGGGTCTCGAGCATCCAAGGTCGTGCTCAAATGAGTCATGCCAATCAACGAGACAAGGTAGGGTTGCAGTTGTCGTGGAGGGTATAAATACAGGGTCTTCCCCTAGCCTTTCAGAGTATCTTCCTGTGCATGTTCTTCAACTGGTGGAAGAGGTGTTGCAATGGGAGTATTTCTCGATCTGCTTGTGTTCCTCGTCCACGATCGATGCTCTCCATCCGCAGTTGTATCCAAACCTCATGGTCGCGTCCTCCAGCACCAATTTGCGGACTGTGCATTTGCTTCCCAACCATTTTGGCAACCATTTAGGGGTCTTCTCAATGGTGGAGAATCAAGAAACGAGTGACCACGATTCAACAATGGGAAGGCAATTGAGCTGCCGAATGGGAAAAGTTGTTGGGCTGCTAAATGATCTATTTGACGCCACGTCTCCGTGTCATCTACCATTCTTCCAACGAGAAGAACGAACCCGCCACCATTCCTCCTCTCAATCAGTTGGACTGGACTGACCGCAAAAATGAAGTTGCATTTTTGAACGAGGATGGACAGTCGCTGTCACGCGGGTTTTCACAGCTAACAGTGTTGACTGAGTTGGGGCAAATTTCAGGCCACGTCGTCGATTTCGCCGGTGCAGTCAAGGTTTTTCATCTCTGGCAAGATTCAAGGCCATGCTTATAAGGCAGTAAGTTTGCCGTCTTCCTGCTACTTACATGCTAGCCCCATAGCTGCCCCTGCACTTGGCTTATGCTCTGGAGCTTGTGGTTCGGTAGACATATTGATGAAGTCGCCGAATCAATTGGAAACAACCTAGCAAAGGGATATGGCATACTCGAGGACTTGAACGAGTACCCAGTCGCGGTCGGTAAGCTTCATCAGCAAAGTGAGTATTTCCCTAATAAACTAAAACAAAACTAACAACATTGATGGTGAGTATGTGGTGGAATACACAGTTCATTCTGCTCCAGTCCAGTGTGCAAGCCTTACATAACGGTTCATTGGTTCACATCTGATTCATGAAGCGATTTAAGCATGGCAAGCTCCTCCATTCTGATAAGTTTTTGGTTCTTCCGGTAGCCCGATAGATCCAGGAGTCCATCGCACGAACGCATCGTCATGCCACATCTAGAGTCACTACTCGCAATGAGTTCTCAGGCTTCTCCATCGCTAAACCCGACAAGCACGACCCTGAGTCTATGATGCCCCTCCTCATGCTCAATGCTGTCAGGACTCGGGATGCTGGCTTCTATGTCACTGGAGCAGGTATCGGCCCGGACAAGAAGATCCATCGAAGAACTCTCTTTATCGTCTTGTCTTTCCGCCTCTAGCTTCCTGCTCCCAATATATATCAACTATTAACCGGCCCAGTACTCTCATTTGCCAGTGGCATCGAAAGGACGTCCCAGAAACGCACCGCCAACCAATCATCCCCTTACACTGTCTACATATATTTTGCGTCGAACCATGTCCAAGCGCGCCCGATTCTCTCCAGCAACAGTCCGAATACTTTCGAAGTTAAAGCTGGAATGGTTCATACCCTTTGTAAGTCTAGCCCTTTTCTTTTTTGGACCATCGACTCTCTAAATGACTCGTTCCAAGCATGCTGCTGGATCTCCCCTCTCTACTGCTCACCAAAACGCCAAAAGCTCTAATATTTCGACCCCATATAACTGTGGGAGAGGTCTCCATAGAAGGAAGGTAAGACTCTTGCCTCACAAAAAAGGGCTGAATTGCTGACTCGAAAACAGAGACAAGGCCAAAATCTGGCGTGAGCAAGGATGGGTCGAGTGAAGCGCCCCTTCACCAAGAGTCATTCCACTCCAGAGGAATTGTTAATGTAAGCCTCTATTTCCTTTGAGCCAAAACCGGTACAGACTGACTCTTTTTTTCCGATGCAGGGCTCGCTTCTGGAGAGGTAAGAATCTTGCTTCCAGAATGATCCTGTGATGACCGGCCAATTTTCCAGGGTGGATGATTTCAAACTTCAGCACCAGCCAAGAGGCAACGACTACAGAACAAACTACTTGTCGAAGCGAGGGACAAAAGGAAAGAGCGGTCAATGCCACAAGGATCAAAATGGCACTTCATAGGCGCAGATTGACGCCTCTTCCAACGTTCCAGGAGCAACTGGGAAGGTACTCAAAGGCGCTGCTAGAGTTGATGAAGACCACTAGGAGGCTGAATATATGGTCAAGCAGAAAGCCAACTAGTCCGTCAAAGACAAGATGTCGGTGGACGTCCTCGAAAAGCTTTCAGCCAAATTCGGTGACACATCAACGCCCCCAGGCCAACAGCAGGTATGAGTGACTTTGGTGTAAGACACCTGGATGGATTAGAGATAGGCACTGCAATCTGCACCTACACGAAACACAGTCACTATCATTCTGCTCACTGTCTCCCGTCCTTGGCGGTATCCCTATCTTGTACGAACCAGAAGGTGGCCAAGCAACACAGGCACAATAACACAGTCGAGATTCCGATGCGGGAAGTGGTGGCAAAGATTAAGCTGTCAAACAGAATATCCTCGCAAGATACCAAGACCAGGATCAAAACGGGGCAGCGATTCCGCCCGCGCCTCCGCCACCGTGGTTCCATTTACCCTGAAAAGGAGGGAAGCGACCCAAATTACTGGCTAATTTGTCTTGAGATAAGCCTCTGGAAAAACAAATTACCAAATATCCTGAGACATCCTTGTCTCAACCATCCATCACTGCAATAATATTGTTGGCGCCAAAAGTGACTATCGACGGAACAGGCAGACAACGTCGTGATGACGATCAATGAGTCAGTGCTACAGCCTCTGGAATGCTTTGGAATCATGAAAAAAAGGCTCCAGGAGGTCATCTTGCCTAGTAATTATCTCTATAAACCAGAACGGTGACCATAGAATAGAAGAAGACAGAAATCTCAACAACGTTGACTTGCCTGTATCGATTGGCCCGTACAGTTGTACAGTCCAAATCCTCCAACAAATATCATTGCGCACCTAGAGGAACAAGGCCCTGTTCTACTCATCAATTCAGAAACGGGTAAGGAAGAACTAAATCCGACTTGGGCAAAGGCTATGGATAAGGTTGGTGGTAGGTTTCTCTTTAAGGTTCTTACATTGATGCATACATTGACGTCTAAACTAATTAGAGGGCGCTCTGGATAAACAAATTTCAAACAAAAGGCTGTGAATGCCATAGAATGAAGTATACATGTGGCTCAGCCTCGATTGTCAGCTGTATAGCTCCTACACAGGATATGTTCGCCCAATACGCCTCTAAGCGATACGACAAGGACCTAGATTGTCACTGCTATCTACCACAGTGAAATACTCGAATTCGGCAGAGTTTTGAGGATTTTGCAAGAAAGATATTGTTCCACATCCACTCACCTCACTTTTGAGGGTGGAGCACTAAGGGTATCGTGAAGATCAAGAGGCTTGATTTCTTCCACACTGCAAGAGCTCCTCAATCTCTCGAAATGGAACCTATGTGGTACACTAAAATCACCCGGTGTGCCCTCGCGCACTTTTTCCGGGAGTGTGGGTATAGCATTCCCCATCAGGCGTACGTCCACACCTGGACGCGTCAACGAAGTAATTGACGACCTCATATGCATCCGGCACTCCGGGTCCTTTCCAGGCTTCTGCACGAAGATATTCTCGACACTGAGACTGGGCTGGGTACTTTCACTCCTCTACATTTAAATAGTCACAGTTGGTGAACCCAGCCCGATCTTCCCTTTTCAACCCTGTCGATCGAGTACACAAAAACTACGATTGCGTAGGTGTCGTCCTTGTTGCATCGCTGGCAGCTGAGCGTCGGTTTGAGAGCAATTGAGCTCACCGAGTAGGCTGGAGTAGCACCTGGAGAACCACGAGCGAATTCCCGTGTCCATAGACAAATCATACACCTCTGTCACACACCAAATCGTCCTACGATCCCATCGAATCCTCCTCCTGACTGGTATCGGCCAACTCAGGTCCCTGCAGACTGCGGCCAGCACCTCATTCCTAAAACAGACTGCTCTTACAAACGCCAGCAAACCCTCCTTCCTCATCTGACTCTCGCACCACAATTGAGTGCGAGACTCAGCATCTTCACAGAGATCTGATCCCACACCCGAAAGTTTGCGTTTTTGGGTGTTCCTATCTCAGGTGTCTTTCTTAGGTGGTTGAGAGAGCCCATGCTCACAAGGCTGCTCCTCCACGTCGATAACCTCGCGTCTGGTTCCGCCAATCAACCTCTCAATCACGTCCACATCGGTGCATTCACCGGGTCTCGCCTTCTTTTGGGCAAGAACCACGCGGCACATCCTCATGCATTCCCGTACGTGTTCGTGAGTGGTTTCTGTTTTCACCAATGTGATGGAAATGGCCCTTCGAATGACCTTCTGATCTCAGCCCTAGCTTTGGGTGTGGGAGGTTTGGGCCAAAGGATACAAGAAACATCCGTACAAGCTTTGATCCTGTTTCTCCAACGAGCACTATTGCAGCATGGATCATCCATCCAAAGGAGAGGTCGAAAGCGAAACATTCCCAAGATTCAGTTACTACGCATTTCGTTACCCCGGAATTTCTTGTATGTGGAGACGAAGGCTGGACACAGCATTAAGGGTCTGTAGTCATCACACTTTCGGTGTTCCTTGAGCTACAAGAAGAAGGCACCGCCTGCAGCCCCATACCCATGATACCCCAATGTTGTTCCTCATAACCGCGAACAAGCAGAGCTATTGAGCTCTTGCACAAAGGAGCGCAAGCGTTTGCTGTTATTAGCCCAGTTCAACAGCTAGTTATAAATACTGCAGACACCAAACTTATTGTTAAAACCATCCCTCCGACACTGAATATTTCTGCTTTGATAGATAGGAGCAAAAACTTGAATACCTCCGATAAGATTTCGGAAGCGTTCAAGGAGATTGAGGCAGACAATGAGATACAAGTTTGTGGAGTCCTCAACAAAGTCTCTAGGCTTTACTATGATCTCGAAGAAGCGGCAGACTCACTGATCTATCATTGCGTTGAGCTCCGCAACACCTATCCAACGCTGGACAAAGTTCTTAAGAGTCACTCATACTCCAATCCAATAGTTACACGACTGGAGAAATTAAGAAAGCACGCTACATCCTTGGAGAACGAAGTGATCGAATGACAAAAGAATTCAAGTTAAATAAATTCAATCATAATGTCCCGGATGGACCAGTCCTGAGTAGCGAGATCGTTTCTCAATCAGCCAATCCCGACTTCATGGATGGAATGTGGCTCAATAGAGCCCAAAAGGAAATCATTGAAGCCATGAAACGAGCTCCCAGTCGTGTCCAATTGGTACAAGGTTGCCCTTGTTCAGGTAAGACACATCTTGCCAAAATACCAACCACCGGTTGCTTCTAGTTTTCCTCAAGTTCTCAATCCAAACTCGACATTGAAAGAAACTGGCTCAAATTAGCTCCAACCATGCCTGCATCTAAATGGAAACCCAATAGCTGTTGTGGTATCAATAACCTCTTCGCTCATAGCGAAACATTCTACAGTCTAGTCCTATACGTCTCCCCCTCGGTAAGTTTTCGTAAGTCATGGGAAAGATTGGGAACTAATCGCAACTAGTCGACAAACTCGAAAGGATCTCGAAAAGGCTCGTAAGGAGTCTTTTCTTGCTGTTGGCCGACATTCCCCAACTCCGCGTTGCCAAACGACAATGCAAATACATTGGCCAGTAAAACTTAGATGCGTCTCGGACCTTCTAAACGAGATCAAGTTTGAGAATAAACGCCTTCAAGTCGAATAAAGGACCCAAGCGAAAGCCCGATGGTGAACGAACTTGGTTGATGGGTAAATCCATCAAAGCTCTAGCGCTCAAAGGCAGCTACACCATTCTCGAGACAGATCCGAAGGCCTTGCGAGTGGTGGTGCCGATGTACAAGGAAACGGCAAGCTACTGTAATCTCGTCAACCAAGACGCCACTAGCCTTTGCTCTGGCCTTAACCTTCCAATGACTAGGCGAAGTCTACTGTGACATTTCTGGCCATAAGAAGTGCTCTTACTGTGTCAAGTAAGACCATATGTGTGAGAAGGTTCCAGTCAATTGCAGAGAGGTCATCAATATTTCCATGAAGATTATGTTGAAGAACAAAACTCTGCGTCATACCCATTCATGTGAGTATTGTGCTTTTGACTTGCTATTTGCGTGCTAATCTTATGGAGGGACCAAAATCACTACTCTGGCTGGCAAGCTGGATTCCTTCTACAAGAAGAGTGCCAACTACTCCCTGAAGGATTTATCTGCAGTCAAAATTGACACCAAGAAGACGAAAGGGGAGAGTTTGGGTTCTAATGGCATGCTTAGCTTCCTAGGTGTTCATGCTGTTCCCACTCTAGCTGAAATCCTAGCCATGAGTGTGAGTGCTTCTGATTTCCTCTCAGGTTTTCTAGTTCCACTAGAGTTATTCCTGAGTGTTTCTTGCTTGCTAATTTCATGCTTTTGGCAGTCTAATGTCCGTCTACTAGCTTGGCCTGATCAGGCTACTTGTGAATTCTCTGAGCTGGACCTCCAGCCAGATTCCAAGTATACCAAGGACAAGAAGGGTGACAAGCTTTTTCACTGGTATGACTACCTGGATGATGAGCTTTTCATCTCCAACCGCGTCCTGCCTGTGAATGAGCTGCTAAGCACCTGCCGCCATCCTACATACTTGAACGCCACAAATGTCGCCTTTGCCGCTGTTCAAAAGTCCTTCTACCAGGAAGCAACTGAAAAGCGTGCTTTTCGCAAGGAGACCCGATGTAAACAGCGTGTGCAGTATGGGTTGAGTGACTATGATTCTTCTGATAGGGATTCTTCAGCACATGAATCTGAAGAGGAAATAGAGTCTGGATCTGCCTCTGATGTTGAGGCTGGAGAGAGTGACCGACACTGCGAAGCGCAAGAGTGAGTGGAGTGAAGTGGGACCACAAAATCAGCACTCTGGTCGAGAAGATCAGCTTCGCCAAACATTATGATAAGACCAAGTCCACGGTGTCACCTAAGCAGTTACTCGCGAACGAGCTATCTAGCCTCGTGGGTACCTACATCGAAGGTGGTGATAGTTCTATCTTAAAATCGGCCAAACTCATCGATTAATTGACACTGAAGGCGCCTTTACACCTCCTCCCTATAGCAACGCCCTCGCTAAGCTCGCACAGTCGACCACCAAGATGGGCGACAAGTAATGTAAAGCCGCCCTGTCTAAGTTACTAGTAAGTAATTAACTGTGCCACCTGTTGTCTCTAGTTACATGGCCTAACCACTCTCCACTAGAGTCTCGCTCCCGACCTCAAGGAATTGAACATCTCCTCACAGCACCTACAACGGATCAACACCGGTCTTCTAGGAAATAAGAGCACAGCCGAGTCTTACACTGTCAACCCTTCTCCCTCGAGCTTGATGCGCGATCCGCATTTTGAAAGTTGCCGTACAATCTTTTGAGGAAAAATACAGAATCCAGTGGTGGCTGTGCAGAAGTCTATGATAGGATCTCGGGTCAAGAACTCGGAGTATCTGGTGCCATCATCCTTTCAGCTGTTGGTTAACATGGACATCGTAAAACTCGCACAAAATTCAGATGACTCGGCCCCTCACTATAAGGCTAGAATTGACCGTAAAACTTAAATAAAATGTTTATTGCAACCAACTCCTCCACTGATAAGCAGCCTGCTGTTCAATTTATAGAAGTTCCAAATCATCTCCATTGAGCAAGAACTTGGGATAAAATCGTTTTGCAGTTTCGCACGTAAGTGCGAGTTCGCAAACGGCAATGAACCGGCAACTTTGGTAGACACATGTGTTCAGGGGATAGTGAAGGTACGTTTCCAAGCGCGAAGTTGCCGAGGCTCTATAAACACGAAGTATTAAGCGAAACGAGATGGCAAACACGTGATGTGGGATTTGGACATCAGTTGATAACTTCTTCGTACTTTTGACTACATAAACATTCTTCGAAAACTCCGAGACCCATCATTAAATCTCCTCGATTTGCCAAAGTTACACTGTTTCGACAGATGATCGACCACAATGTCGAAAGTGGATGATACTGTGATAATCGTCGGGGCCGGCCTTGCCGGCCTCGTCGCGGCATATGAGCTGACCAAAAAGAACATCCACGTCACGTTTGTGGAGCAGGAGAACCAGAAGAATCTGGGCGGCCAGGCGTTCTGGTCGCTTGGCGGACTGTTCCTCGTGAACTCGGCCGACCAACGCAGTAAGGGAATCAAAGATACCCGTGAACTCGCGTATCGAGACTGGCTGGGGACAGCCAAGTTCGACCGTGAGAAGGAAGACACCTGGCCGCGCAAGTGGGCCAAAGCATATGTCGACTTTGCGACTGATGAGAAGGAGCGCTATTTGAAGAACTTGGGCTTGAAGTTCCTCACTGTTGGGTGGGCAGAGCGAGGGGCTTCTGCCGCAGGACAACATGGAAATTCAGTGCCGAGATTCCATCTCACTTGGGGCATTGGACCGGAATTGGTCCGCATTTTCGTGGTCCCTATCAAAGCAGCGGCGAAGAAGGGTCTGGTCACTTTCAAGTACAGGCATCAAGTCGACGCACTGATTGTGGACGACTCAACTGGCGCGGCAATTGGTGTTCGTGGGAGCGTCCTCGAGCCGAGCGATGCCGATCGAGGAATGGGAAGCTCACGCACAGTAGTGGGCGCATTCGAAGTTCGGGGACGGGCAGTCATCATATCGACTGGGGGTGTCGGAGGCAATCCCGAGCTCGTCAAGAAGAATTGGCCCGTGAAGCGACTGGGAAAGGTTCCAGAGTATTTCGTGCACGGCGTGCCTGCTCATGTAGATGGCCGCGGTGTTGAGCTTGCTGAACGAGCAGGAGCGCATGTCATCAACATGGATCGTATGTGGCATTATACCGAGGGTCTGGCCAACTGGGATCCAATCTGGGCAGCACACGGTATTCGCATCATCCCTGGCCCTTCATCTCTGTGGCTCGATGCAACAGGAAAGCGACTTCCAGCACCTCTCTACCCTGGATGTGATACGCTCGCCACACTCCAACACATCGGTTCCACTGGCTACGACTACACCTGGTTCATCCTGAACCGAAAGATCGCTAGCCGAGAATTTACCCTTTCCGGGTCCGAACAGAACCCAGACCTGGCAAGCAAGAACTACTTCAAGCTCCTTCACAGAGCATTCACCCGATGGGGCACATATCCCGTGCAAGCGTTTATGAAGCACGGAGCCGATTTCATCGTGGAGAAAGACTTCCCGTCTCTAGTGGAACACATGAACAAGCTGGGCGCCGAACGAGGCGGTCCACTCCTCGAACACGACAAGATCCTGGACGAGATCAAATCCCGTGATGAGCAGACACAGCATCCGTTCAACAAAGACCCGCAGATCATGCTGATCAGAAATGCACGAGACTACACCTCAGATAAGGTACGCATCACGAAGCCCGCGCCGATCTTGGATCCGTCGTCGGGGCCTCTGATCGCCGTCAGATGCAACATTATCACCCGGAAGAGCCTAGGTGGTCTAGAAACAAACCTTGACAGCAATGTGATGCGCCCCGATGGAGCTCCATTCCCAGGCCTGTATGCTGCTGGAGAAGCAGCTGGATTCGGTGGAGGTGGTGTGCATGGGTACAGCTCTCTCGAAGGTACTTTTGTCGGAGGCTGTATATTTTCTGGACGTGCGGCTGGGAGGGCTATTGCTGCGTCGCTCTCTGGTACTGGAATTCAGGCGAGGCTGTGACATCCATTTATATGAAAACGCTCAGCTGCGGAGCATACTTGAGATCGTGTAATTGAATGAACTAAGCTTGGATCCTCCTGAGTCTCAGTAAGAAGTTGGGCATCAAGGCGCGGCCCCCTTTATTTCCATTCTTATATCTGCAGAGCATGGATGTACTTCTGTGCATTTCGCCATTTTCAGTGGCGCTCCCCTGATTGCGCGCAATCACTGGTCCTCACTTTTCACCTTCCATCCCTATTCACCGTGCTGATACGGCAGCCCTTATCCATGGGTCTCATAAAACGTCTGCATTTAACACCGCGCTAGGTTATGTAATTCCAAATGTAAGCTCCACAACCCCGCAAAATTCAGCAGACCTCTGTTGAAGATTCCGAGCTCGAAGGACCATGAAAGTTTGTTGCTTCTATGGTTTCTTGTGGTTGACCTAATTGTGCATGTGGCCATACCCCGCCGGTCACCAGCACGGCATCGAAATCCAACGAGTCAGAAAACCACTTGTCCCGCCTTGTACTAGCCTTGGTCCCGCCCTCTAAGGCTGCTCTGGCTGCTCTTGTTCGTCTTTGACGTTTATTGCAGCCAGATTGCGATCCGCCATCGAGTTCACCGCGGAGTGCCTCAAGATTTTGGTCGTGGCGGACAATATAGCGCACATAGGGAGCAATATCAGTGACTAAAGACACAGAAGCAGCATCCATAGACGGTGCTTTGCGGCCAAGCGGCTGTGGAAGGCCTATGCGGGTTTCTTCAGCCAAGGGAGACAATGCTTCCACGATGTTGGATTGTGGTAAGTGTAGTGGGTGCGGGCTGAGGTACAGTTTAACAAGTTCGTCTCTCGCATTGACAAGTTCTGCAGAGGCCGAGAGCTTCTTAATTTGACCAGCTATCAGAGGAGATACTGCGTCGTCCAAGATATCAATACAGCTCCTTGCCTCACATAAGGAAAGTAGGTTGTCAAGTTCGTGCAGCCCAGTTGCATTGTTTGAGTAGTGTACGTCTTCACTCACCCAGTCCAGGGCAGACAAGTCCAAATGATCCATTGCAAAGCGAACAAATTCGTCTGAGTCGTAGGTGACTGTGGGTAAAAGGTCATGCCCATTGATGTAAGTGTCTTTGCTGATAATCCTGGTGACCGATCCATCAGAGGTAATTGAGCATCTTTCATTGTATGGCATCATCCAGTCAATCCCACCTCGTTGTGATCCTACTGTCATTTGGCACCAAAGGTTGAGCTCTGTCAGTGACGCACGCAGGTCACGGCCCTTATTCAGGTACAAATTCTGAATGGCTTCATGACTGAGCAGGTGACCTTCGGAAGCCGCGACGCTTCGCAGGTATTGAATTGCCACATCTAGAGGCGGCTTCTCATATTCGATCGTTGCGTACAAATTCAGATCATCTGCTGGTACCGAACTGGTGTCATTGCATGTTAATATGACGGGTCTCTTCGAAGTATGAATCAGTGCTTGTACAGCCGTCCAGAAGCCTTTGTCCTCTTCAAAGAGTATGTCGACTTCCTCAAATAAGACGAGTGATTGCTTCTGAGTCTTCGCCTTCAGGTCTCTGCCTCCTTCTGTATTGGGGAAATCCATCTTATTCTTCTTGCTATTGCCCATGAATGAAGCCATGGTCTTTTGGTTTGCAGGTGGGCTAATGGGCAAAGGTGGAACATACTCGCAGTCACTCGCAGAGACACTAGATCTGCGGCTCAATATGCCCGCTGCCTTTTGGACAAGGTGATTTTGGGTCATGTCACCAACTTGGTCCATAATGTCCCTCGCGTTTCGTCGCATGCCCGGATTAATCTCAAACACCTCGAAACCTAGTTGGTGGGCCACTGCATAAACGGAAGCCGTTTTGCCACAACCAGAAGGTCCGGTCAATAGGATAGCATTTCGCGAAGATTGTTTGTCGTTCAGTTCGTCATCGTCAGAGCCAGCAATGAAGTCATCGATCTCGTCCGATTTCCGCTTACGTCGTTTCTTCTGAAGAGCAGGCTTCTGCTTTGCTTGAACATGACCACTTTGGACGTTATGAACCTCCAAATTACTCAGCCAATCATGCAAAATCTGAGCTTTGGGCTGTAGTACTTCTTGCCAGCATTCAGGTGCATACCTTTCAGACCATGCATTCGGCCCAGACGCCAGTCCTCGATCGAAGGAAGATGTTTGAGCTTCTATGCAGGACTTTAGCACATTTGTCAATGGTTGGTTCAATGAATCAAGCGTCAAAACATCAAATAACGTTTTGCCGCTCATGATGGTGCGAGTTGGGAGATGAATAGGCTGAACGGGTTGATCGAGTCCACTCCCAAGTTGAAAAGCAAACATCCGCAGAACATCCTCTGGTTCATTAATTCGAGCCACAGTTTGTTTTGCCTTTGACTTGCTTGTCGCTAACAGCGAAGCCACAGGGGTTATTGGAAGCTGTTCTTCTGGCTGAATGTTATGCATTGCATTAGGCGGCCAGATCGGATCCAGCCCTGGCAATAGCTTTTGCGAAGACTTTCTTGAGCTGAAGATAATGTTGTTCCACGCCTTTGGTTGTTTTGCGCTCGTTCTTGCCTCATCTTCGGACACTGGTGCAGTGGAAGCCGGTTCGCTATTAGTCCTAGACACAGGTCGAGTTTTCGTGGAGACTTTCCCTCGAAAAAAAGGATGGACCATCTCAGTCCCTCCTTTTGTGGACTGCTTGGGGCTTGAGAGAGCTTGCGCAGGAGTTTCGAGGGCTTCTGCTTGAACCGACAAGATTTCATCGATCGTCTTGCCACAGGCTGGAGAAGTATAGGATAGTGTAACTCTCAACGACGAAGCGAATTTCCTATTCTTCATCTCAACTTTCCTTGACCTGGAAGTGACGGCTGTATTTGCGGACCTTGGTGACCTTTTCTGAGACCTTTTCGGAGAGTTGGTGAGTTTCCCATTGGCACCCAGACGTACAATTGTCTTGCGTGGACTAGACATCATCGGCTCCTCGGAACTCGGAGCGGCAGCGGCGAGTTCAGATTCAGGCACAGGAATGTTTGCTTCGAGTGGGAGCGGAGGTTGAGACAAAAAATAGGAAGATGGATCAAGCCTTGTCTGATGTGAGCCCTCAAGGCTAGTCGAACGCTGCACCGGTGATTCACTTGAAGAATCTTGCAGAGTTGAGATCGGTTGAGCTGCCGACCTATCTGAATCATCTCCGCCATGCTCTGTTCCAATTTGCTCATGGATATTAGCTGCAGCATTTGTGAACTGCTCATGCCATGTCTCAGGTCCAACAGCAACTTGGTCATCACACGAAACAGCGCTGTCATTTCCCTGTGTAATCTTTCGTCGTTTCCTCGGATTACTCTCCAGCATCATGCTGTTGTGGCCATGTTGGTTACCGAGTCTAAGTTGTGTTTGATTGGCTGACAGCCTGGAGACATTGACCTGTGTCGATGATCCCTGCAAGAAAGAGGATGGTCGAGATGTGTCAACAAGGCCACTGGGTTCGACGGCAGCAACGTTTACCGGAGCTTGCTCTGTCGCGCCGTCAAGTGAGAGAGGACCGACTACTGGTAGTGGAGTATGGGGCATGGAATCATATTCGCTTCTTTCTGGGGAAAATCGTCAGTCCTGAGACATGCATTCACCTAAGGAGACCTTACCTTTACGAAAGAATGGGTGCATGAGTATAGTATTGGACCTAGATGAGCCATGGTCCGCCAGGGCAGCCATTCATCTACCAACAATCAATCAACTTGCATTCATCATAAGATTGAAAAGAATCAGGCTCGTCACAGATATATGCTGGTGCAGTAGATTTCAAGATCCCCAGACTGATCATTAACCAGAACGAGTGGTCCCAAAGACAAAGATAGAATTTGAAATCATAGTGAGGGAAGTTCGACTGCAAGTTCAGTGAGAACGCGTCCAGTACGCGACTGGCAGGTGCGGGGAACGTCAACGGGAAGGGGCGTTAGAGGCAGCCCCTTCTCACGTGAGCGCTAAATATCTCGCCGTTTTTAGGCATCTGTCCCTGGAAGGAAGACGTGCCTATACTCGCAATGTGAGCTGAACATCGACAAATATTCCGTCAAATTATGGCCGATACGCTTGGATTTGTTTCTGGAGCGCAGCAGATATTAAGACAAGCTCAAGGGAAAAGGAGAGAAGAACCCCTCAATAAATCCAAAGACCTAGTCATGTGATGGAGAGCACTATGGTAGGGCGGCAAGGCGGAAGATCGGGGGCCAACCAACTTCCTCTCCGCATGCGAATAATTTGTGTAATTAATTTTTCTGGCGTCGCCGCATAAACTGACCTTGAGAGCAGGGTGCGTACTTGCACCATGCTACCACCTTGAACATGGAGATACACCCTCCTCATGTCCTGGCGAAGCTGCCACGTTCCACCAAGGTAGATGCCATTTCCCATTATGCCGTTGTCCAAACCTCCCGCCAAGGTATCAGAAGGAGGAAAAGGGAGATTTGTGCTGCCATTGATGGTGACTCTTTGAGTATATTCGAGGTAACACTGCTTAGTTCTGTGTCTGGAAATATCTAACGACTGTGAAAGCTCAATAATGGAAATATTTTGGCGTCATATCCTGTCCCCCCCACCAGTTCCTTCTCTGGCCCGCCAGTCTCGATTGTGGACAAGGCATTCGGGCAGAGTCACCGTCGCACATACTGTGCCATCAAGCGCGATGCCCTCCAAATCCAAGTTATTCAAAGTTGCGATCAAGATTCACAAAATATCAAGACAGCAAGAAGTCCCGACTTCCACCACCAGGACAGCCCTGTTGTTCTTCTTGATTTGATCAACAGCTTGGGCGTACAAAATTTCAAATTGCTTGTGCTTCAGCAGGATGGGACCATCACCATGTTGTCGGAAGACCTTGCGGAGACGATCTCACACAAATCCATTTCTTCTACTACTCCCATACGCATCCTTGCCGCCCAGCATCTCTCCATGAGCGAAGCTCAGAAGCACATCCTCAAACAGAGATCTGATCTAATTAGCGCGGCTTCCCCCCAAACCTCATATCTAGCAGTTGTCTACAGCAGACCGGATGAGAAACAGGCCTACACCAAGACAATCAATTATGCGGCTTATGCCATCGACGAATTGGCTCGTGATGATAGGGTTCAGCCACTTTTTGAATATCACATTAGCCTGGCAGAACATGAAGCTAGGTCGATTGACACAAACGGACGACTGTGTACTTTCAGCCCTCAAGCCTCCCACCTATATCTACGACCCGGAGGCTCACTCATCACCTTTGACCTATCAGGGCTTTTACCACAACAGACTTCGATGCTGCATACCGGATTCACTGGTGCAGGCGAGATGATGGCGATTTCTCCGGTCTTTGCAATATCATCACACAAAGAGGCGCTTCGTCTTTTTGACCTTAAATACCAGACCAGCCAGGCATGCATCGACCTCAAGCGACCAAATTTGAAGCGTAAACGCAGTTCCAGAACAGCCACAGATCCTCAAATTGGCTCTATTGAATTCATCACTTACGTTCGTCAACTAGGCCGCGTTGTCGCAAGGCGGCGAAATCAGCTCGTTGCAATCGATATCATCGCCAAGGATGATTCAACAAGATTGCTCAGCACTGGGACAAGCCTTATTCAGAATATCGGCCAAGGATTAGCCTCCAACGACGCGCAAGGGATTACAAAGGGTAAACTTACCAGACTGACCATTGGTTCTGTTAATCAGGACAGTACATCGCAACTAGGTTGGCAAAAAGCACGAGAGAAACTAGACGAGTTGACACAAGTAGGCGATGTGGCTGGATTTGAAGACGTTTTCGTCGATGAAGTTCGCAAACCATACCTATCGTCACTGCTACCCGGCAGCATGTCTGACGATCTTCCCACGGCTGGTATCTCTGACATCAAATATAAATACCTCTTGACAAGTATTTTTCAGTTGGACACCCCCACAACATTGCCGGGCAATGCTTCGACAGAAAACAGGATGACATTGAAAGTCCGACTCTCGAGTTTCCGGTTAATCCTCTGGCTGTCCCGGCTAGGTCTGCTGAGTAGTCGGCTAGTGCAAATAGCCATGTACGGCACAGCTCCATCTGCCGTAGGGGAGTTCCTACGACCAGACGCAGTTGCTGAGGCCTTGGTCGGTGTGGATCCAAATTTGAACCTGCTTCAACAGTGCATCGAGAATGGATTTAGTGACTATGTTGACGAGCAGGCCGCTACAGTGCGCATGCTTATAAGACAAGCACTCTCATTTACGGCAGACGAAAGTCAAGTTGAAAGGAGCGGGGATCAAAGCAGGGCAGTTGCTAGACTTGCAGAATCACAATTGCAGACATCCTGGGAAGAGTCCCAGCCAAATTGGGTTCCGGAAAAGGTCAAGAAAGCCCTGGTTGCAGCGTTGAACAAGTTGGGCTCTGCGGCAGCATCGGTCATTTCACCAATCCTTCGCACACTTTTCAGTGAAACCGAGATTTTGGCTCTTGTTCAGTTCTTGCGTCAACAACTGTTCATAGGGGGCCATACGCGGTCTTTTCGCAGCCTCTCATCCGTGGAACCGCATGAAGAGAATGTTGTCAACCTCGATGCAGTGATCAGGATTTTATCCTGTTGTGTTGACGGCATTGGACCACTCGGCCTCGTTGGAACTATAGACAACGAAGCTTTCGTTGATAGTATCGTTCCAGACCTGGCGTCGGAAATAGCGAGCACCAAGGAGAGCCTGGAAGACGCTGCCGAGCTTCAAGGCATCCTTCGTGAGACGCTTCGTTACTGTGAGTCGCTGGAGAAACATCATCGTGGAACTTCCCGGCCCGTCCAGGGCATCGGACAGCAAAGCGAACAACGACGAGGGACTATCGTGACGCTATACTCAGAAACAATCTATGGCGTCGATGGAGAGGGCGAGGGAAGAAGCCTTCCTCTGAGCCTCAGAGCAGAGAACGCTATCAGCGAGACTAAGGTCAGACGAGGTGGAGGTGAACCAAAGTATCGAAGCTCACGACAGAAGAGCATGCTGAAGCAGAGGCAAAAAGGACCATACTCGTTTGAGCGACTAGTCTTGTAGTACGAGTAAGACCCAGTCCTCCAAGCCTCGTACCGAGCACTCCGTACGAGTAGTAGACAACACAGACCATGATGATCGACGTCGCCGTTAGTTTCTAGAAGCAGCTTCTTTCTGGATGATGATCTCCCAGGTCTGGCCCTTGCACATGTAGTTACGAGTAAGATTGTCCCCTGCTCAATTGGTGTGAAGCGAGAGCAGCATGGTGGTGTGGGCTGACTAGCCCGACTCATGATTGGGCTTAAGCGCCACTATTACCACTAGCGTCATTAGCGTGGAAGTGCCCGCCGCTAAACCCATCAAGGAGCCGCAGCCGCAGATTGTCCCTAGTCCCAATACTGCGATTGTCCACCCCGAGTCCTCATCCCGTCGTTCACAACCATCTGATAGCCTGAGGCTTCGGGCTGAGCTGCCTGACCCTTTGGTTGCGTGTAAATACTGGCGACATCAGTCTTGCCTTTGAAACCCTTATTCCTATCTCGGACTGCCTGTGCTCTCGGAGATTAAACGCTTTGACTGTTGATCCAACCGAATACTTACTCCTCACCCTCCCACCCTCAATTGCACTACGAACACTAAACCCACGCCGACCCACGACGATTCCGCTCGACTATACCCCTGTCTTATATCGCTTCTCTGGCGGAGTCGATCCAGCGGGAAAAGGACAAGACTTTGCGATAGTTCCCTACTAGCCCCAGTCCCTTTAGACGGCTGGGGTCGGGCCAGGGCTGCCAGAGGAACAGCCAGAGCGCCGCATACCAGCTGAACAACATGGCATTTCCTGGAGCAACATACCATGCCGACTCTGATGCAGACGACGAGTATGAGAGAAGTGTCATGACTTCACCAACGCAGTTACATACCGACTCGGAAACCTCCTCAGAACCTCAATCCAATGAACATACCCCCACCACCTTCGACAATGCCGGCGAGGATCCCAATCTGCCACGGACTATAATAACAGAATGGAGCCCAGAAGAGTGTGCACAGTTTGTGTCGAGTTTAAATCTAAGGCAGTACTGTCAGGCTTTCATAGGTACCATTATCCCTTGCCCGTCTGCAACCCGAAGACTGTCGGGCTAATCAAATTGGATAGAGCATGGCATCGAGGGTGAAGCGCTTGTGGCACTCAAGCATGATGAACTAAAAGAGATGGGCATTGCCAGTGTTGGCCATAGGTTGACCATCCTGAAGAATGTCTATGACATGAAAGTCAATCAGGACATTCCAATCGAGCCTGATGACTATGTCCCACCAAGTAAGCAGCATTGATACTCACATAAGGCACTTCGTTAACCCAGCCTCTTAGCCGCTGAACGAAATCCGCAGCATGAAATGGCCACAAAAGAAGACATTGCCAGAATCGCGCGATCTATAATTCGATTACGAGATGAACGAATCGCACAGACCGAAGCCCAGCTCACAAGGCTAGCGGACGACTACCGCAAACTACGTCAGGAACTCCTCCCAGTTTTCAAGATGGCGAAAGAGCGATCAGAACCTCTGCCCTATGCCCCATACCAGAACAATTCCATCAACCCTGAAATATACCAGCAAGACCTCAGCTCCCCAGTTATAACGACACATCCAATGCCAGAGAAAACGAGCCTAACTCGAACATTCTCCAAGAAGTTGGGTTTAAGTTCCACACCCAAGAACAATTCTCCAACATATATACCTAGTACAATACATGAGGGTAGGACTCTCACAGAGAACTCCGCTCTAGATCCGTCAGCTGCGGCAAGTCTGGCATCAAACACGCTAACTGCATCGATGTCAGGTGGCATGTTATCCCAGCCGTCACCCATTGCTCCTTCGCCGACCTCTCCATTGCCTCATCATCAACCACTTGCTCCCCGATCATATCAGAGGGATGGGGGCAGCGCTGGGTCAAGGTACGATGGGTCCGATGAGCCGTCATCTCGGATGAAGGAGGTTACCCTCGATCGTGAACCCCCCACCTCAGCAAAATCAGTCTCAGCAAAGCTCAACCCGACCAATTCGTCGATTTCAAATGCTTCCACATTAATCCCATCACGAGAAATGTCTGCCTCCGTTCCGCCGAATCTGCCATCCAGTGCCGCAGGCGGCCATACTCCGGGTGAAGCGCCATCCGTTGAAATCTTCAAATCTTTTCGGGTAGGCCTCGAAGACCCTTGTTACAAGGTCCTTCCCGCCGCGCTCCGCAAGTACAATATTCAGGCGGATTGGCGACAGTATGCATTGTATATTGTATATGGTGACCAGGAACGATGTGTTGGCTTGGAGGAGAAGCCACTGGCACTGTTCAAAGACCTGGACCGGGAAGGCAAGAAACCTATGTTCATGCTCCGAAAACTCGCCAACCCAATAGTTGACGTGCCTCAGTCGGGTGGAGGCATGAAACCACTGGGGCTGGGAAACAATGGGAGCAGTGGGGTGGGCATCCCAAGTGCATCAAATGGACGAGCCGTGCCTCAGCAGACTCTGCCGGGGGGAGTGCTATAACCAGGGCTTTTTGTGGAGGGAGAGCCAGTTATGCTCTCGCCGCATTTCTTGTTTGAGATTACTACATCATTGATGACCACCAGGGGGGGTAGAAGGCACACTGAGATCTTTATAGGGTCTTCACCTTGTGTGTCTTATTCTTCAGACCTTTTGCCGAGATTTTTTTTCTTTTGGATACATTGCGAACACTAGCGAAATCAAGCAACGACAGACGCGTCCGCGTCTTTTTATTCGTTTCTATCTTTCTCTTCCCTAGTCAGCATTGGCCTAAGGGTGTTTGGGCTTAACGAAGCGAGCAGAGCACTACATACCTAGATTTGAGAAGAAGGACTGCGGCAGTTGCCACCAAAGAGCGAAAACCGATTAGCCTCTTTTGATCTCGCCTGTAACATCCGGCTTTGGAATGATCAAGGAGGGGCAGGAAATCTGCGAATGGTAACGGGAATTGGAATTGGAATGGGAATTGGAATTGGAGAGGGAGCATGGTTCACAGCCAACAGCAACAGCGATCTGGTTTGATCGGATCGGATCTGTAAAAAAGTGATATGCACCATTCTTAACCATGCCACAGCTTATTTCCTTGGCTTTCTCTACTAGTATATATACATGCAAAAGATCGCATTATAATCAGGTATTTTTCGAATCGTTATAGGTGGACGGATGGATGGATAGACTATTATTGTGCTGCCATATGTACATACAGTATGGTATGTATCGATCGAGCGCTCTTGATTACCATGCCCTAATTGTGATGATAATCTTGACGCCCTTTCCGGTAATAGGTCTTTTGCGACTGTGCTCCAGCGTAAGAGTCTTGACCACCCACTGGCCTGTCCCAAAAATTTCCCGTACCCATACTCCAATCGCTATGCTTTGCGCGCCATGCTATGTTTACCCAACATGACAAGATAACACGGGCTCGTCCAATTGTCCCGTTTCCGTACGCCTCGGCCAATTTTGGGAGGAACTCGCTCTTCTTCCATCAACGAGGTTTCCAGGTCAGGATTGTAGAATGGACGGCTCAATCGCTATCGTCGTCGATAGGCTGGACGACGTCCTTGATGCGCTCCTTGAGAAACTCAACCGCGGCCTCGACGGTAACCTCAGGAATCCTGACGTCCGGTAGGCCGTCGGGCCCGCCCGACCACTCCTTGCTGACGGGGATAGCTCCGTTTCCGTTGACGCCATTGACGGCCGCAGCACCGGTAGGGGTACTGGTGCCGTTTGCCCCAGCGCCCTTCTTGTCCTTGTCCTTGTCCTTCCCACTGGCAGTCTCGATCTGCTTGTCACCGGCCTGCGCCTGCGACTTGGGGATGCGCGCCCGCCGCAGCACCTCGGTCATCAGCTCGGGGAATGTATCGCACGACCCGTTCCGGAGCAGTTCTGCGCTCAACGCGCGCACTCGGTCTGTCCATCCTGCCCGTGCAAGGCTGTCTGCGAGCAGAGTGGAGAGTTCCGGGATCGCACCTTGTGCCCGCAGGTGGGCGATCAGTGCTTGGCTGGTTGAGCCGGGCAGCGTCGTTGACGTCGAGGTCAAGGATGTAGGCAGTGGGATGGTGATTTCGTTGTTGGTCGCGGACATTTTTGGATTTAGTTTCTGTCTGGCGTCTTCTTGATTGAGAGAGGAAGGAAGAGGATGGTAGACGACTGCTTTGAGGGGGTGGAGATATGGTACAAGGGGTGAGTGAACGGACAGGTAAGTTGGAGGCACGAGCAGTTGTGGGTTGTATGTAGATGGGAAACTGATATCGATCTTGATTTGGCGTTTTGCGCAGGGGGACTTTTTGGACCTGCAGCAGCGGATGCAGATGCGGAGAGGGGGAGGGGAGGGAGAGAATTAAGTCTGGGCACCATGTAATGAGCCAACCCTGTAATGAGCCACTCTTTACCATACACAATAGGTAAATCGTATCCCTATAAACTTAGTTAGTTTTATAGCTATAAAAGTCTAGTTTAAAAATTATTAATTAATTTGTTAATTAATCTATATTTTGGCCCGCAGCCCAGCGCAACTCAATTTACTATAGGAGCCTAGGGAGCCTAGGGCTACTCAGCGCTTATTCTATATTCTATGAGAACTTATAAGTCGGACATCTATCTAATGACCCACCCGGATAATGACCCACGCGTCGCACTTGACCACCCATCTATATAATTATATTTATCTACTCTACAACATCATTAATACTAAATTAATGTATGTGCATATGATGACACAATGATCGATTTTGCTAACCGTTCAGCCAATGGCATAGTCGTCACGACTACACCTACCGGATTGGCCCGGATAAGATGGCGATATTGGCTGATCTGTATGTATTCTCAATGCATTTCATTCACCAGCTCGATTATCTGCTACCAACGTCGAATGCAAAATTCCAGCTCACTTCTGACCAATCTTGTCTAGGGATGATACTGAATGCATCTTTTGTCCCTTTGGTGTACTTCTTCTATCCCGAAACCTGTGGGCTCACACTGGAGCAAATCGACCAGATTTTCGAAGCAGATGATTCTGGCCGGAATTCTCTCATGCAGAGCGTCAAGGAAAGTCTTCGTATGCAGCAACCTGATTTCATCTTCAGGGGGGACTATGAACATCAGGTCAATGAGAATAAAACCCCTAAGCGCGATGTTGAGGTCGAGCATGTTGCGACACTCGCATAGCCTTAGGCTCGAGTGACATGAGTCAGCATCATCGACATGGAACTCTGCCGACTGGTCGGACCACCTGTGGTATACCAGTGCGCTCATTACTTATTGAAATAGTTTAACCTCACTTTATGAGTGGGCTTTACGCCTGGAGGAGTGAGGTGGGATATTTCGACGGCGAATTGCAACACCGCCATCCGAGCTGCAGCAACTTGGACGACTATTCATCGCTCATGCTTGCAATTCAGGGAAACGGACTAGAGCTGCTCCTGGCAGACAACTTTATCTGTCGCTTCAGCTTCTCGCACGCAGAGCTGAGAGACCGCTAGAAATATACTGCTTTAGCAATTTCGAACCAATCCTCTACAGTTTATATGAATCAAGTCTACTGAGTGCTCTCAATGCGGACTTTCTACCCTGTGCTATAGCACCGTCGATGAAACCTGTCCAACCATCGGCCCAATCTGCGCTTGCCAAGGTAATTTCTTTGCTCACATTTGCACCCTCCATCAGGCTTTTCAGGCTCCCAAACTGTCCAGTACCCCATGAGGCCCACTGCCCCTTGGAAAACTCATCTGTATTCCAGTCGTGCCAAATGAGGTCTGTAGGTCTTGCTTCCCATGATGGTGGAACTCCCAATCGCTGTACATGATCAAGAAACGTCTCAGGATCTTGGACTACTCTGAAATTTGACGCTGGGTTGCAACCTGGAGGAAACCCTACCACGAACGTGCCATTCCTTTTTGAGTATTTGTCTGTGAGAAGACTGTCTACGGGAGTCGGTGACGCAACAAGACCCCACCACGAAGGAATCCTTTTGTCCAAGTGTAGAATAATCTTGCCACCAAAGTTAGGATGCTTCACCTTGGTGAACTGAGGGGGCAATGGTGGCGTAAACTTGATATCTGATAGGCAATTGACGGGCACAGTACAGATCAGTTGTCGAGCGGTGATGTTGTCGCCAGAAGCCAATGCCACTTGAACCACTCCACCATGGTTGTTGACTGCTTCCACTCGCTTCCCGAAGATGGCATGGCCGGTATACTCGCCCAGGATTCTAGCGGCGAGATCAGATTGCCCAGCAGCGAGCTTGTACCTCCCAATCATACTCATGAGTCGGTCATAGTCATAACCGGCAAGGGCATAATAGTGCAAAGTCGTGAGAAAGGACTGTTCAGCAGGCGGAACAGAGCCAAAAGCTGTGAGATTTGCAGTGAGCAATGTCATTTCTTGCTGGGTAAAACCGACAAGCTGCTGTAGGCGAGCCCCAACACTGAGGTTGTCGTATTTTCTCACCGCACTAATGTTGCTCATCTTAGCATATGGTAGAGGGAAAATCGTTCTTCCGCCCTGGCCATCGACATCAAAATATGCCGCAATGAGGCGCTGCATGGTCGATTTCATGGTTTGTACATCGCGTAGCACCGGTCGTGAGTTGTCGGAATCGTTAAAATTGATTGAGACTTCACAAGGCTCGCTGAATACTTTGCTCTCGGCAAGGGACTGCTCAAGACCATAACGGGATATCTCGGACCAAAGATTTGGCTGACCCCAGTGTATCCAGGTCCCACCAAGTTCGACCTTATGCTGTAAGAAGTCGTAGGTGAAAGTTCGACCTCCAATGCGGTCGCGGCCCTCGATCAAAAGGACCTTCTTGCCCGTGATAGAAAGGTCACGTGCAGCAACGAGGCCACAGTAGCCGGCACCGATGACCACCACATCATACTGCTGGAAAAGGCTGTCGGATGAGGTTGACTTGGCAGCTAGTGCTCCCAAAGACGAGAGCCCGGTTGAGAGGGTCTTGGTATCAACCACATAGTGATTGCCATCTCGAGTCTTGGACATTGTCACGTGGCCATTTGGGGTGCCATCGAGAGGAAAACTTGACAAGCACTTGACTTCTCGAATGTTGTTCATCTCAAGTACATTTGGATCATACTCCCTCACTTCTTGAGTTGGCTAGTCAGTAGTCATTCTCGACGACCAGAGCTCACCGCACTACTTCCAAGATCAGGTGGGTGCGTGGCATATTGATCTGCCCAGAGAGGAATTGTTCGAGCCGGGCTTTGCTATTGGTTGTGGCAATCTCCCCTGGCTGAGTACAGTACATTTCATCCTTGGGTGGCGTGGACCTCCGCTCCTGGTCCAGAACATACCCGCATTGATGGGTGAGCGTTACCAAACGACTAGGCGGGTAGGGGTCCGGTTTGAGTCAAGACGTGGAGCTCTCGAAAACCAGGCGTGTTGTGGTCCTTCCCATCCCAAGCCGAGCTGGTGCCAGAGTCGAACTTCTCTGGCCGCTTTTACCAAGCTCAGGGCGATCCTTGTCTCCCTCGTGGCCCCAGAGAGAACAAGCTCGCACTATCTCTGCCTAGATATCCGGGGTAATTTATCCTAGAAGGGATTAGCCGTTTTGCAAGCGCTGTGCCTGCAAGCGCTGTGCCTGCAAGCGCTCTATCCCACCACCACCTCTTCGTCTTAACTAGTTTGGCCAACGAGCTAGTATTATGCCTACAGCTGGAGTGTGCCCCATCAATGTCTTGCTGCATGGTCACGATACTGCACAGTATAGCCAGACGATGGTTCAAACATCTGAATCCGAAACTGAATTATGGACCATGACTTCTTCGCAAAGCCATTCCCAAGAACTCAACTACCTCCCCGACTGAAGCGCAGTGCCAAATGTAAGGCTGTGGCTCCAACACCCTACTACTATATGCTGATCCCCTCTCTTTAGGCTGCCAGAGTTGTCGGCAAAGCCACGCTCGTTGTGATGGGGGAGAGCCTGCCTGCACCCAATGTCGAAAACGCCAAGTCGTATGTCCTGGTTACCAGGCCCCAAGTGGCCGCCGGCAGCCATCCAAATTCCGCATCATTGAATATGACGGCAAGCGCAAAGAGCACAGGAGGAAGTCGCCCAGCCAGGATCAGACAAAAGAGGAGGGTCTAAGACCAACACAAACATATCGACACGCTCACCACCGCCAGCAAAAGTTTGACCAAACATCCCCAAAGATCATCGAGCTGAGTCCGCGTAGCTGTGCTGCGGACGTTTATGACCATTTCACCTCGCCCGAAGGCTCCTTCACGTCGCCATGCGAATCTGTCAGTTCATCCACGCTTGAGAAAGTCATGTGCTGGGTGAACACGTCTCCCCCGGACCACGAAGGACTTGCACGTGGCTCGGACGCACAAGACGCAACGATAGATGACTCTCTCCCCTACGGCGCACTGGCTAGACGATGCACAATCCAGATCCCAGAGAACACGTTTATCTCAAGCGAACGTGACCTCCTCGGCCGGCTTCTACGCAATTGCTATGTGACTTCCGTTGGACCCATCATGACAATCACCAACGAGGAATCAAATCCATTCATTGAGTCAATGAGCTGCTTTGCTCTGCAGAGCGACGCAGTCTCGTATACTCTCATGTCAATTGCGGCAATGTACTTGAACTATAGTGATGCCTCAGATGATGCGCTGAATTGCGCGTGGCATTTCCGCACCACCGCTATCGTGCACCTACGGAAAGAGCTACAGGCACGCACTTTCGAGATCTCTACATTGGCTGGCATCGTGATGCTGGCAATCACTGAGGTACGAGCCGTAACATGATGTTTCTCTGAAGTTGTTGCCCGTACTGACCTCCTTACAGTCATGGTTCGAGCCCTCAAAGAACGGTCTGGACCATATGAAAGCAGGGATATGGCTTCTAAAGCTGCATCAGCACCATGGTTGCAATGTACCCAAGTTCATCGTTAATGCATTGTGCTGGATGGTGGCATTGGTAGGCTTTGTGGCCGATTGTCAAAGTCTTCCTCTTGAGATATTCGGTCTTGACTTCGGCAAGGGCATTGAGTGGGACGAACGACCAGTCTCGTACGGACAGAATGACTTGCAACAGTCCGATTTAGCCACCACCCCCTCGATTGACCCGCTGTTGGGAACGTGGTCCACTCTAATGCCATATGTCGGAATGGTAGGTGTCGCTGTGCGAGCGCTTCGAACTCGAGGCCTCTCCGAACAGTTGCTCGATTCTGCAATGTCCGTTGAAACAAAGTTGATGCAGTGGGAGATTGAGTCTCGAGCATCATCCAGTGGCTTGGAAGCACGCGGTCCCGAGTTTCAGGGTCAGCACGCAGAAAGCTTTTTGGCTAACCCGCAACCAATAGGATCTTGTGCAACCTATTGTGATATTATGGCGCACGCCTATTGCCAATCCGCTCTTCTGACTCTATATACTGCGTTTCCGAATTTACTCAAGGCCAGGTTGAGCTTACTCCGGGACAACTACTCGATAAGAGAATACCTTCATCATACCGCAGCATCGATTGTCGACGCGCTGCACCTCATTCCTCAGGAGAGTTCAATATGGCACGTCAGCTCATTTCCAATCCTTGCGGCCGGCTCATCACTTGCACTTGACGTGCCTGCTAAGAGACAATATCTTCTCGGCTGTCTTCAGACACTGAAGAATAGGAACAAAATTAACCTTGTTGATGTTCTAAGCAACACCCTGCAATTAGTGTGGGAAAAGCAAGATTCTCCTGATGGCCCTGTCACCTGGCTGGAAGTGTTTGACGAGCTCGGTATTCAAATGCTATTCAACTAATTAACGTTCCTTCTGACCTGTGAAACACTGTCGCGCTTTGCATTCCATGATTTCAACATGCGCAATGCTCTTACACTGCCGCCCGGATTCCTTCTGCTCGCCCTCAAGTATTGCGATGTGCCAGATTCCAGAAACAATACCCTCGTCCTAAATTCAGATTATACTATAATCTCGGCCTCAAGGAGTCAGTATCAACTTCGAGAAAACGTGTATCAACCTGAGCTCACAACCAAAATGTCAGCAGCGGTGGCTATTGTGTCCAGCTTCCTTCACTTACATATAAGCGATTTAGCTCGCTAAGTTTATTGACTCCCAACAACGACATCCCGGTCTCGATCTCTTGTCGCAATATCTGGATGGTTCGAGATATTCCTCGCTCCCCAAGAGCCAATGCGTAAATAAAAGGCCGTCCCAGGCCAACAGATGTTGCTCCTAGAGCGAATGCTTTCAGGATATCAGTCCCTCGTCTAATTCCACCATCCACTATAACTTCACTTCTTTCAAAGACCCCAGGACAGAATCGTTGCATGTCCAAAAGCGTTTCGACGGCAGAGGGGGCTCCGTCCAATTGACGGCCTGCGTGATTGGATAGCCACGGAATTACCACATACTCCGCGCAAAGCTTTGCATCTTGCCAGCTCTGAATACCTTTAATGCAAATAGGCAGGTCGGTCTGCTTTCGGAGCCACTTCAGAGCAGATTCCCAATCGAACTCTTCCCACATCATGCTGCTTGGTCTTAGTGATACGATCCAGCAAAAGAAGAATAAAGTACCTTACCCTCGGGTCACCGTGGGGCTACCAGATAGCCCGGCCTCGCCATCGGAATCTGCAAGGTCATCGTCGTCTTCCTGTTGCCATCAAACCAATTAGTCCTCGTTCGTTGGCCACATGGCAAATGGTACTTACTGCTTCTTCAAGCAAGGCTGCCCGAAGGTCGCGCTCTCTTTTTCCTGCACGGATCGCATCTACAGTAAGAGCAAATCCCTTGAAACCTAGTTTCACGGCGTTTTTGATCTCTCGCTCAGTTTTGCGAAGGTCCCTCATCGCGTAGATCTGCCAGTACACTACTTGATCGGGTCCCCGGGCGGTGGCGATGTCCTCCTGGGTACGGCTTGCCATGTTGCAAACCCAATGCAAGATATCATGTTTACCCGCTGCCTTTGTGAGTATTACCTCTCCTTCTGGGTGCGCCAGCCTGGCACCACCAGCTGGACATATGAAGAATGGTGCAGAGAAAACTTTGCCCAGAATTTTAGTTGTGAGATCGGCCTTTTCCAGGGGTCTTAACACTCGCGGGCGAAATCTGATCATTCCCCAACAGCGGCGATTCCACTGCACGGCAACCTCGTCGTCGGCTCCAGTATTGATGACTTAAGAAAGTCAGCTCGTCGCTCGCCACAATATTGGACGAATGAAGCATACAAGCAAGGGCGCGGGTGTCTAAGATAGCCGAAGCAGCAGACTCAACATCCTGCAGATTCAATAGCCTCGAATTTCGGATCGCTTTGGATGATACTGGCCTTGAACTTGTAACTGCTTGAGGCTGTCTAAGGCCCTTCTCGACAGACCCAAGTCTCTGGCTGTGTAGCTTAGTATGTACAAGAGTGTCATGCTGCTGATGGGTAGATTTGGCTTAAGTGAAAAGGTGTTCACTTACTTTGGTTTCATATGCTTTTCGAGGGTATCGGCAGCATGTAATGCGTGGAACGTCTTTGTGACATCTTTCCCGGCGTATCTCAGAATGGCATCGGAACCACCAGGATGCCATTGGATCAGATCAGTAACATCCCAGGCAACGTTGTCAATGATGACCCAGCAGCTCGCAGTTGATGCATGCTGCCGCACCTCTGATCTGCATGGTCTGAGAAGCTATCCCATCCCAAGGAATAAGGGCATTAGACTTACCGAGTCACCATAGTAGGGATAATTCTTTGTGCGAGGATAAATAGTATCCTGCAGCATCTATCACACAGTATATTCGAGAAAAAGGATAAATCGGAAGGGAGCAAGGTGTGCAGGAATTGGAAGAGTGGCAGTTGCTTCGCACCATCTAGCTTAACATGTCTATCACCAGTAGGCGGGAATTACTACCTTCGTCGCGTAATTTGGCTAAAAGTGGCGTAGAATAACCAGGACAGTAAAAATCCAAGCCGCATTCTCGTTCAATCGGCCCAGGCACTACTCGGACCGCGCACACGAGGACCGCATCACTTGCCAGCAGAGTTCATTGCGGAAGGATATGTTTATTGGCTTTCACACTGCGACTCTCCACCCTGGCCGGTATTTAGCAGCCTCTGGACTTATAAACCCGATCTCATTCTAGCACACGATTGATTAGATGAGTTGTTATGGTACTGCATGCATATGAATAACAATTGAAACCATGGCAGCCCGATTAGTGCCAGTTATTTCTCTGAAAGGTAATCTAGTTCAAATTCCTCTGATCTAGCAAGGCTTAATCATTTACAGATTTCGAATATCGACGAGAAGAAATTACCCAGCAACTTGTTGAAGCTGCGGAAACTGCGGGCTTTCTGACCCTGGTCGATCATGGTATCAGTGTTGACGAAATCAAACAGCAGTTTGCAATTTCAAAAGCCTTCTTTGCTTTGCCTCACGAGTCGAAGGGTAAGACTCCCCATGATCTGAAAACCAATAATGGTTGGGAATATAAAGTAAGGATTCACTGCCTAATGTCTATTCAATAGCCTCGAGGATTGACTAGCTTTTTCCTAGGCTCAATTACGACCGAGTACCGGGGTTTACGACGAGAAAGAGTCCCTCTGGCTACAGCGCAACTCTACATGGCCTTCTGATGAAGACGTACCCCACTTCAATAGCACAACTCGGGCCTTTATGGATAAGTGTGCAGTAATCTCTGACCGCGTGTGTACGTATTACTATATTTCTCAGAGTCTCCGCAACTAACTAGATAGTATCCTGTCTTGGTATCGCTCTGGGATTTCCCGCAGACTATTTCCAGATCGCCAACGACCCGTCGAAGGATGATTGTTTGACGCAGCTACGAATGATCCATTACCCTCCTTCGCAGGGGGCACCCGGAACATGGCGAGCAGGCTCCCATACCGACATCGGCTGCCTGACCCTTTTGTTTCAGCTCGATGGCGAGGATGGACTTGAGATATGCCCGGGTAGGGAATCTCATACTACTTATGCCATGGGTGACGTATTTACACCGCTACCGGCACACACTGGGCCGATCGTGGTCAACATTGGAGACATGCTCAGTAAGTCCTCATGACTTAGATGCTACGGTGAAGACTAACAACATCTAGTGGCATGGTCTGACGATAGATTCAAATCAAATTATCATCGTGTAAGAGCAAAACAAATGGAAAACTCACCGGCTCGTTATTCAATAGCCTATTTCAACCAGGGCCGCACGAATTTCGTTCTTCAAGGTCCACAGAAGAAGTAGTGAGTTTATTCCACTCATCTAATCTCAGCAATGTAACTTAGTGGACTAATATTGCGAAGTCCCTCCATAACAGTTGCAGATTGGTTCCAGCGGGCTGTTAATCGCGAATTTGGGTAAGTAGAACACTATCGAAAATTACAGTCTACTGATAGATTGAAAAGGCCCCAGCAAGGAAGTCAGACCGGGTCACTCAGTGAGATAAAAATTGTGTCTCCGAAGGAGTGACAAAATATCCCAATGACGACTTGGAGAGGAAAGCTGTGAAATCTATAGCTAGCCAAACATGTATTCGTGCGGGAGAGGAGATGGATTTTTGTTCGTGATAAGTACTAGCTCTTCTTCCACCGTATAGTGTAAATGAGTGATAGTCAAGCACTCATACTAGAGTTGAGAATTGAAGGAGTCTACGCTACGTCGAGTTGATATAATGGAGAAGTGCGTATCTACCTAGTGACGATGAGTTCCGGTGATGGAATTATTCACGTAGGTGAGGAATGGCAGTGGCGAATAAGCTACGTAACCATCTACCATAGAATCGCCCCATACAGGCCCGATGAGAGCTAGCTTGGCCTGCCCTGAGTGCTGCTTTAAGCAAACACCGTAGCTCTTGGCAAGTCCATGCCTCGTTAACTAACCCATCTCTCTGCTTCCTCCAATCCCAGTTAGAACTCATCACCTCTAGTAGTAATATTGTGCCGGTGAAGAGTACTGCTTTCATCAAGATGGATAAAATTTTCGACGAGATCGCAGCAGGCACAACGAGTTTCAATCTAGGCGACGAAGAAGTAAGCATCTAACTCTTTTCTCAACTCCCACACGTTAGGCAGATAATTTATCTCTTAAGCACCAGAAATGGCGACAACTCTACGAACCGTTCTACGAGGATGCAGCAAACAATGTGAAGGTCATTAAGGATGAGAAGTATGGGCCTCATGAACGTCATCGTCTTGATGTTTATGTTCCGCCAGCCAATTCTCCAGAAAAGGCGGTGCTTCTATTCGAGCATGGAGGAGGTTTCTTCTCGGGGGACAAGGCCTGGAGTGACAAGGCATGTTCACAAACTGAGGACTACTCATGTGAAACCGCTGAACTTTAAGATAGTGTTACGCCAATATCGGCAATTACTTTGCAGGTCACAACATCATCGTGGTGATAGCAAATCACCGTTTGGTCCCCAATGTTCAACATCCAGGAGGCGCTGATGATATCCAAGCAACTCGGCAGTGGATCTATGATAACATCTCGTCTCAGAGATTTGGTCAAGGATCAGTTCATAAGGTGATTCTTTTTGGACACTCCTCTGGAGGGGCACATATTGCCACAAATTTATTCACATCTGGTACGAATCCCAACAGATACCGGATCCCTAAATCATAAAATTCTGACAACTAGCGTGAAGGTCCACGTGTATTTCCTCCGGTTGCTGGGGCATTGTTCTTCAGTGTCCCCTTCTGGTTTGACAGACTACGACCTGTTCGACAAAGAGTCTTGAACCAGTACTATGGGTCAAACACTGAGGCTGTTTGGGGGGTAAGTCTCAAATTCGATTGCTTGTTATGATAGACGAACATGAATATACTCACTGCTGATACAGCCTCAAGCGCCATTGAGCCTTTTCCAGAAGTTACCGGTGGACTCGGATGTCTTGTGAGTCATGAATCACTTATTGTGTGGAGGCTACTTTCTCAAACGAGTCTAATACTAGAAATTCACAAAAATTGCCTATATATATCGGCACAGTCAAGTGGGAAGTGTATGTATCCATAAGACCCGATTGTTATCACTATGGCTGAAAATTCTCTTTAGTGACGAGGCCTATAGCGCCCAAATTGCGTTCCTTGACGCGTACCGGAAAAAGAGTCAGCCCAGTGGTACACTACCTCTATTCAATGTGCTGGATAAGCATAATCATCTCACGTACGTGAAGTGAGCCAATTCGTTGCTTTTCTCTTAATCTAACATCATATTAGGAATATTCTCTCTATCGGCACGGAGGATGACACTCAGGGTCGGCTGATTCTAAGCTTTATTCGTTCTTGCGTTTCTACAGCTGATCAGAGTCAACATTTAGAAAAGCTTGTATCGCTTCTCTGATACGTAGTTATCACGACTCTTAGAGAATATTATCTAATTCAAAGATCTTAGAACAATGTGGAATCTTAACAGACTATGCAAGAGACGCGGATAGACTTCAGGATAGGCCTCATTATTACCCCGACCTTAGATCTTTTTGCTGAGTAAAAGTAATTTCCACCGGAAAGACAGGAAATAAAGGATATCAGCTCGTGATTCTGAGGTTCACCTGGTACAAGACTCAGCTGCTGACTTACTTAGAACGTTCTCGACCAAGATAGTGATACATCGGACCGCGCACTACGAGCACTGCAAGCTTTCGGGACCATGGCCAGATTGTCCGTGCTGCTGGGAGGGGCGAGACAGATCTGCAAACAAAGAACGGGGAGTGGGGGGCGGGGGGCCCCTCTTGCGACGCTAGGCCTATTCTAGGCATTCGATTCCGGGCATTCGGATTGGAGGACTTAGCCAACGCTCACATCCTGGCCTCGGCAGCAGGAAATAATAGTCTTCCATCCGATGAAATTTGGAATGAGATACTATTCAAGAAGTTGTAGCCCCTGAGAAATCTAATGAACGGTTGGGCAATACTCCTGACATACTATCAGACCTAACAGGCAAGCTTAACCCGAATTCCAACACATACAGGCTGACCAGAGTGGACTATGCAATTCCCATTCTCTACCTCCAATCTGCCTAGGCAGCTATTCGTGAATAACGAATACGTAGATGCCCGGAATACCACAAAAGCCAAAGTGTTCAACCCAAGCGACGGCAGCCTTGTGGCTGAAGATGTCCCAGTCGCCGGTGCGGAAGATGTTGACTATGCAGTGTCTTGCGCAGAGAAGGCGTTCCCAGCCTGGAGAAAGCTAGCACCAAAAGCACGTACCAAGATCTTGCTGAGATTCGCAGATCTTGTCGAGCAGCACACTAGTGTCCTGGGAGATCTTACACGTTTGACCTTGGGAACAACTCCTGCATTTAATGAGTTTGAAGCAGGATTGGCAGCCGATGGCATTCGATATTACTTGGGCTGGATAGACAAGTTCAATGGAGAAACTTTCCCGCAGGACGATGGGTTCCTTAAAATCATCCGGCATGAGCCACTGGGAGTAACGGCAGGCATTGTTCCCTGGAACGGACCACTGATCACACTCGGCCTAAAGGCTGCTCCTGCGCTTGTCACTGGGAATTGTTTTATCTTTAAGCCCTCGGAAAAGACGCCATTTGCAACAATCGCCCTCGGAATACTAGCAAAGGAGGCTGGCCTCCCACCAGGCGTTTTCCAAGTACTCCCCGGGGATGGCACTACAGGTGCACTCCTAGCTAGCCATATGCGCATAAGGAAAATAAGCTTCACCGGCAGCATTTCCACAGGAAAGCGAGTGCAGGAGTTGGCTGCGAAATCCAACTTGAAGCGAGTCACCCTCGAGCTGGGGGGAAAGTCTCCGGCTGTCGTCTTCGATGATTGCGATTTGGGAAATGCCATCAAGTGGACTGTTGACGGAATCACTACTTTCAGCGGCCAGGTGTGCGTTGCAAGTAGTAGGGTCTTCGTTCACGAAAATATCTATGACAAATTCCTAGAACAATACGTTGCCTCCTTACGTGAAAAAGCAAGTAAGCTAGGGGATCCCAGCGTGCCTAGAACAGAACTTGGGCCACTGGTGGACGAAGCACAGTTCAATCGAGTCAGCGGATTCATTGAAAGAGCACAAACCGGTGGGGGCGGTAAGCAATTGACTGGAGGCCCACGCGAAAACCAACAGGTGAGTTGAAACCAATCTCCATACGTGCACAATTCTCTAACTTCGAAAGGGTTACTATATTGACCCTGTAGTCTTTGAGGAGCCTGCACTGGACTCCGAGATTTACAACCAGGAAATCTTTGGGCCTGTTTCCGTTATTCGAAAGTTCAAAACTGAGGAGGAAGTGCTTGCGTTGTCTAATAACTCTGAATATGGCTTGATGGCAGGCGTTTTTACTCAGGATATCAATCGAGCAATGCGAATTGCGGCTGAGTTCGAGAGCGGAATGGTGGGCATCAACTGTATCAGTCTGAACTTCCTTTCTGCACCTTTCGGAGGTGCTAAGCAAAGTGGTCTAGGACGAGAGTGCGGTATCAGTGCACTTCATGCATTTACTGAACCGAAAACTGTAATGATTAACCTGACGTACTAGTAATCGAGGCAAAATCCTATATACCTAGGGATAGAAAAATTATATAAATAGAAGAATGAGGACTGATATATTCGCCGGTGCTATATTCAATCATGGTCGTATATCAAGCCGGACTAATATCCTTTCAGACATAGTGAGGAAAAGCAGACAGTGTTTATCCTCTTACATGAAGATATAATTTAAGTACTGCGCAATAGACAGAAATTACTTCTTTCCTAAGTTAGTTCAACTAATCCATTACTAGCGTTTACTAGCCTTAAATGGGTATTACTAGTGCTTTAGGATATCAAAACAAGCCAGAAAGTTGACTATGATTGAGTCAGGCAGACCGAGTCTAGACAGACTCATTTCTTAATTTTCGAGTTTTCCAGAGATTGACTTTCAGCGGTCTGCGAGCCTGTCGTCTGGACAAGGACTAATTTAGTCTCTCCCTTGGTTCCTTGATTGTTTACATGTGGAACCCCTTGCACAGTTATATGCGACTCAGGACCATGATAAGTGCTGTGTCCTGCCAATAGAAACCATCCGGATCCAAGGATGACTGTAGCCATGAGAATGACCACGGTATAGTTCATGTTCGCAGGGGTGACCGGTCGGAAGAATGGGAACTGGAAGAAGATGACGGTGAAAAGAATCCAGCAGCAGACTATGGAGTTGCAAAGCCAGCCAAAGATCCCCTTTAGGCGGAAAGGTCCATAAACAACCGCTTGTCGCCCTTGAACCATGTTTACCAGAATGGGGACGACATATATCAGGTTGTTCAATATGAGAGATGAAGAAATAAAGGCTGAGAATGCTGTGGTGTTGCCAATGTATACGACTCCTAGCAGGATTTCAATGACAGCGATGGCAACTGCCGCCCATAAGGGAACACCAAGTTTGGCGTTCACTGTTGCGAGTCTATCCGAGAAGGGTAGCCCATTGTCCCTAGCAAATGCCCATGTCAGGCGAACTGTTGCGATAAAGATGTCGAACATAGCTGGGATTCCGGCAATAAAGACAACAAAAGTAAGGCCAACACCGACACCTAAACCTCCCGCTTGTCGATACATCTCAGCAAGTGGTAGACCTGTAGTGGTTGCGAGAACCGCATCATAGTTCGTGACACTGAAAAAGATACTGATAAAGAAGAAAAGTCCAGTGACAAAATTGATACCAACGAGGGATATTAAAGCTCGGGGGATAGCAATCGACGGGTTTTTGATCTCTTCAGCATAATGAATAGCTGCGTCAAAGCCGGCAAACCCAAACGAGGGGTTGATGAGACCGATGCAAGCCGCAATCCCATTGCTGCTCCACCCAGATTGGTTGATGAAAGTCTGGAAAACATCCTTTGCAGATGCCTTGTGCGATGAGGTGGCTAGGACGACAGTCGCTGAAACAAAGCAGCCAAGAGCAGTGAACAGAAGACCCAGTTGGACAACCTTGGGCATCAACCGATCGCCTACTGTTGCCATTGTCAATCCAGCTAGGAGAAAGGCCGTGTAGACAAGGAACGTCATCCAACGCTAACACCAAGCTTAGTGACATGCTGAGTGAGTAAAACATCGTCAGCAGACTCACCTCGATAACAAAATCGGAAGTACACAGGCTGATCATTGCCATTACACATTGAGCAAGGAACAGAGTTGCAGCCGACGTTGTGACAATCCAAGCTACTAAGTTCAACAATCCAGTCAGATAGCTCAACGGTGCTACTAGATGTCGTGGAGAGATTGCGGCCACCCAGAAGTAAGGACCAGCAGAGGTAGGGTATGCACTGGCAAATTCCCCTAGTGATAATGCCGTGAATATGGAGACAAAAGTGACCAGCAGCCAGCCATAAATAATGGTTGGGGGACCGCCAAAGGCCATGCCTAGTGGGGCGAGTATCAGCAAAATGCTCATACTAGGCAAGCACCAAGAACGAGTCTGAATATACCTGTGATGAGACTTCCTCCTACCGCGCCCCATGAATTACAAGTGATGACGGCGATGGCTGTGACTGCGAGCTGAGAATATTGACGCCGCAGTTCAGGCTTATAACCCAGCTCAGTTAGTTTGATGTCCGCTGCAGTCGTGGGTCGAGTGGGATCTTGCTCGATTGCTGCATCGCTGGAAGCCATGACGGGCACCAAAAATGCTGGTAATAGATGTTCAAGAAATTGAGTGAATGAATTGGAGGAGCCGGTGGTTCATAGAAGCGTCAGTTCGGAAGGCTTTGACCATATTTCAACAGTTTAACAACAGTGTCATCCAGACTTAAAGAACCGCCAACCTCAGGTTGCCAATGGAGAGGGGAGATAACGCGGCCTTGGCTGACTAGTAAGAGCGGCGATATTGGGCAATTCGGAAGGGTATAGCGGCTGGCAAGACTCAAGAGAGATAAGGAATGAATCAACTGTAGTAGGGAAACCATGGCCCGCAATTCATGATTGGTCAGTACGCAGCCGATTGACAACGAAGTCGCTTACGGTTTGAAAAGGTAGTTAGTTTCAAAGCGGAATAACTTTAACTTTCGCTCTTTCGATATCCTAGTGCCAGCTCTATTGCCCAAGAAATGCCCCAAGGAAACGCCCAAATGCAATGACCAGGCACGATTGGAGATGCAGGTAGCAGTGAGTCGGGCAACGTGTCGTTTACAGCCGCTCATTATGATACGAGACTTTAGACGACGATACCTTATTTTACATGGGAACACGGGCTATGTCGCTATTGCACAAAAGCTGGTCTACAATCGTGCGGCGAGACCCACCAGATAAAGCTAGACGCCCCGCTCAAAGGTGCGGGTGCGACCCCAACCCGATCAACTAAACCCACGCGTACCTCTACTCTCCTCGCCCTGGCCTTCTGTTCCTGCTAATAGTCACGACTACCAACTCAGAGAAGGTAAATCATCAACAAATAAAGCATCTCGGACAATAACTACCTACTTTGGACAAACCTCGAATAGGAGCCATATATAGGAGCGGTAGTACTAAGCCATATCTGTAAGAGCATACAATTCAGTTTACAGCCACTATGCATGAGATCCCAAGATCACAGGAAGGTGTTCACTTCACGGTGGACTCTTCTTCCACATCATATGGCCTCCCAACTGTGGCTTACAAAAAGTCGAATGTGACACTCAATTCTACTAACGACTATGATGTGGTCGTTGTCGGGGCCGGTTACACAGGACTCATTGCGGCCCGAAATGTTTCTCGAAGTGGCAAAAGGGTCCTTCTCGTGGAAGGTCGAGACCGAATTGGTGGAAGAACTTGGACTGTTGATCTTTGGGGAAACAAATTCGAGATGGGCGGTGAATGGGTTCATTGGGCACAACCAAACGTCTGGGCAGAACTCACAGATTACGGCTTAACCAAACCTGACGACTTTCTGCAAACCTCTGGAAGTGCCGAACCAGAATTTTGCAGTATGAGCATGCCAAACTCAGAGGGGAGCAAAGAATATTCCACTTCCTTCCTCGATAAGGCCTCCCTTGTTCAGAGCCTTGATAGGACCACGAAAGCGTTTTTCGACGTGGATGGTCAGGGAGGAGCAACGATATTTCCCTTTCCGTACACGCCTCTAGCCAACCTTGAAGCTATCGAGAAGTACGATTCTCTCACAGTCGGAGACAGAATCAACCAACTCAGTGGGTTCACGAAGGAAGAACTTGATTTCTTGTTTTCCAACCTTGTCGTTTTCGGGAACATTCCACCAATGGAAGCAGGGTTCTTAAATATTCTTCACTATTATGCTCTTGCTGGCTACGACTGGGATAGGCTCATGCAGGCTTCCGATCGTTATAAACTCAAGATCGGACATTCTGGTTTCGCAAATCTCGTCTTCGCAGATATAGCTGGAGATGCGGTCTTCAGCGATCCCATTAAAGCCGTCACTCACCAACCTGGATCCGTGGTTACGACCCTACAATCAGGAGCCACAATCCGATCAAAGCATGTAATATGTACGCTACCACTACACTGTTTGAGCGAAGTAGACTTCCAGCCGCCTTTGCCAACTCCCTTCAGTAAAGTTCGCCATCCAAACTTTGGTGGAAAAGTCCACATCCACGTGGATGCCAAAATTCCGGCCTGGTGCGGATTTGCTGACTCAGATGCCCCAGTTGACGCTCTCTTGACAGATAGATACTCTTCACGCGAAGGGACCTATCTTGCAGGCTTTCCTGGAGGTAATCCATGGCGACAAGGTAGAAATGTGGTCGGGGATCCAAGTGAATTCCTACAGGCAACTTTCAAGTCATGCTACCCATCAAAATGGTCCGGGAAACCTACCGATATGTTGTGGCACGACTGGAACACTGACCCTTTCTCAAGAGGGCAATGGGGCGCATGGGGAGCCGGGCAGATCTCTACAAGCTTCAAATCACTTACAGAAGCGGCCTACGTTAGTCGAGAAATCGTCTTAGCCAATGCCGATTGGGCTCATGGTTGGACAGGTTTCGTCGATGGAGCTGTTGAGGAGGGAAAGCGTGCAGCGAGTCAGGTTCTATCGTACTTAAAGGGATAAAAGTGAGGATTCAACTTTTGATATCCTCCACATATATATAGCAGTTCGCTAGAGGCATTCGAGGACAAATAGGAGCAATATGAAAGGGTGGAATGGCTGTTCGGAAGATTGGATCAGAAATGCAAGATTTACTGGAAACAATACTTTTATTGACGCCAGGTCTGTGTCTCGAACCCGTAGTCGCGCGACTATGCTATAATCCACCAATGCCGCCACTGCCCTTAGTGAAGTTGTTTGAAAGTTCGGGAATAGTTGAGACGGAGACGTGACATTAGGGAGCGGTTTTTAAAGCCAGGTCCAGCGTTGCACCCCTAGGCACTTTATCGCTAGACTAGTCAATGCGGCGCTCGTTGACCTTCCGAAGACCATCTACCCCAGCACCTATATTATTGAGCCTTACGATTGGCGGGTTAGCTATCGTTAAGACGAACTACTACATAGAATAAAATTCTGGTAGAACGAGGGGTTCGAACCCGGCACAGCCACATCTCCGCAATACTTAATCCTAGGTCAGGTCACAGGTGAAATAGTCGCTTAGATTCGAATAAGCGCCATTCGTACTAGATAACGCACTACCGCAACGACACGCTAAAGGAAGTCATGTTTCTTATAGGTTATAGCACTCCGGTAAGATTATCGTAGCTATCTAGCTTCAATTTAAGTCCTAGATATACTCTCTATATATAGTTATAAAGAGTACTAATAGACTATAAAATATATTATTAAGTTCTACCCTAAGTAGAGAGACTAGAGAAGAGCCCTTAAGGAGCTCCTAGAATAGAGTAATATTATAACCTAAACTATAAAGTAGTACTAACTAAGGTAGATTCCTTAATAAGTAGGTAATTAGAAAGTATTACGAACTAGGTTACTAGAAGGATCGCTAAGGGTAAGCTACCTATACCTAAGGAAAATAGGGAAGTTAGCCGATAGAGAACGAGGCTATATTACGTAACTAGAAACTAGACTATAGACGACTATAGATTATATAGATAGTCTAGGATAGTCTATAGTCTATACTAGTATTATATATATATACTCCTTTACCTAGATAGAATAGTTCGTAGTTAACTTCGTTAGTAATTCTATACCTATATTTAGTATATAGTCCGACGATTAGATATTTCCTTTATTATACTAGTTAATACTCTTATATCTACTCTATTAAGGAACCCTACCTTAGTTAGAACTACTTATAGCTCGAATTATAATAGTATACTAATTATATTTTTCTATTTCTATATCTATATCGACCTTTATTATAAGGGCCTTTAACTATTCCTTTATAGAAAGCGTAGCTCGTATACTTAATACTACTAAGATACTTAGTAGATTAAAACTTAATTTTTTATTTATTCTTTCTCTTTATTCTTAGGCGAAAGAAATTTCTTTTTAGTAGTTCTCGCCTTTATAGCCTCTTTTTTTATAGTTAAAGTAAATTTCTAGAAAGAGTTTTAAGAACTTCTTTAAAGTAGATTACTTTATAGGCGTCTAGAATATAATTTATCTATAACTCGAATATAAGTCGTTAAATAACTTCTTATTAAAAGTAAATTAAATATTCTTTTTATTTTCTACTTTTATTTTTACCTTAAAGGTTTCTTTATATCTTTATATTAACATCGGTGTTTTGGCCCGTATATTACGAACTAGGTTACTTAGAGGGTTGCCAAGGGAATCAAGGCACCTACCCAAGAAAGGAGGTTAGCCGATGGAGAACGAGGCTAAGTTAAGTGACTAGGCTAGGCTAGATCCCCTAGATCCCTTAGATCTTATGGGATCTCGAGAGATCTAGGGGAAGCTATAAGATCTAGGAGAGCTACTAGTATTATATATATACGCTTCTTTACCTAGATAGAATAAGTTCGTAGTTAACTTCGTTAGTAATCCTATACCTATATTTAAGGATATAGTCCGACGAATAAGTATTTCCTTTATTATCTTAGTCGATATTCTAATACCTACTCTATTAAGGAACCCTACCTTAGTTAGAACTACTTATAGCTCGGATTATAATACTTTAACTACCTCTTAATTAGTATTAGATATCTAACGTAGGATTATCTCGACTTAGATTCCTACTACCTAGCGTACGACTACTCGTAGCCTTAAATAACTCTTTAAAGACTAATATCGTTTAAGATAGTAGTTCTAACGAAGACTTAGACGTAAATATAGTTAACGTACTAGGACTTACTAATATATCTCGGAATAGTATTAAGGTAGAACTATTCTATAGAAATAGAGAGAAGCTAGGATACTTCCTTATATAACTTAAGACTACCTTTAAGCTTAATCTAACTAAGTATACTAGGGTAGAGGATAAGGTTATATTCGTAGTAATATACCTTAAAGGAGTAGCGTTCTATTAGTTTAAACTAGTATAGGACGACTATCTCGAGTCTTCTAGCCCTAATAATAAAATTAAGGTATACTTTAGGAACTTTACGTAGTTCGAAATAATAATTAAATAGATCTATAGTATAATTAATAAGGCTATAGTAGCCTCTCGTACTATTTATACCCTTAAATAAATAGGATCTATAGCTAATTATTATTCGAAATTTAAGAAACTAGCGAAGGAACTAGAGTATATAGACGATAATATCTTTAAGGATATATTCTATAATAGATTAAAGAAGGAAGTTAGGAAGGAAATAATAGAGCGCCCGAAGATCTATAAAGATATAGTAGATAAGGCTATTAAACTTAATAACCGACTATACGAACTACGTATAGAGGATAATTAAGGAAGAAGCTTAGGAAGACGAGGATATTAAGGGTATCGATATTCTTCTCGAGCTAATACGAAACGCCTACGAGACTACGAGAACCCTATAGACCTAGACGCTATAGAACGTTATAATACTCGACGAATAGGCCTAGGTAGAGGCCGAAATATAGGGCGAAAGGTTATAGAAGGATACGATTAAGAAAAGGAAAGATAAAGGAAGGAAAACCTATACTACGAATATAGTAAGTCTAGATACTATATATATAATTATCTAGAAAAGAAGAGCGCTTAAGGATTATATATAATAAATATATAGAGCGGTAGTATAAACGGCTTAATAGCGAAAAAGGCTAATACTATTAAAGAACTCTAAAAATCTATCGAAGGTAAGAGTAAACTAGTATAGAAGGACTACTAGGAATTAGATAACTCTTAGGGGTTAGGTAAGTTAAATACTAAGTAATTAGAAGAAGAGTTCTAGTTAAGATATTAAACTAAGAAACCTAAGGAACCTAAGCGTAAGACTTAAAAGAAAGAAAAGTTCGATAAACTTCTAAAGAGAGAATAGTAGAGCGAAGTAATATATAATACGAGGAGAAATATCGTAAAATACGCTTAAAAATTATAGTATTTCTATTACGAAGACGACTACTAACTTTATTTAGCTTTAAAGACCGAAGAATAGTAGTTTCTATATAAGGATAGAGAAAATATAAAACCTCGATAACGAGAATAGAGGGTCTAGGAAATTCTAGCTATAATAATAGTCGATTTCGAAAAAGAAACGGTACTTATAAATATAGATAACTATACGATAATTAGAATAAAGTTCTAGAAGATAGTTAACGAAGTTATAGTATTAAATAGAAGAGTAACGTAGAAAACGTTTAGAACGGCGTTAATCTATAAGTACCGAGCCCGAAGATATTAATAATATAGATATATCTATACGTATACGAAAGACGAAGAACTATATTAACTAAGAATCTAGCGAGAAGAAGACGAATAGATATCGATAGACGAAATATTACGATAATATAAGAACTCTATAGAATTCTATATATACTTCTAGGATAGAAGGAAAGGAGAAACTCTATATCGATATAATCTAGGCGCGGCTTCTAGGAGAAAATAAAAATATATATAGATCTAGAAGTATAACGACTAGGAGTACTTCCTATAGGCGGAATATACGTATAATATATATAGCGGAGAAGCTTACTTTACTACCTTTAAAGGACTCGATAAAGGAGTAACCTATACGGAAGGACGACTAGTTTAGCTTGAATAGGGATTATTTAGTTTTAGGACGATAACGCTACTACCGCCTTACTATAATATATCTATAATAAAAAAAGGATTCGCGGATAAGATTATACTAAATAAGCTCGACCTAGTAATTATTCGAATCTACTACTAGGTAGTAGGACTAGCGGAAAATCCCGGGATATAGTATAATCCTCTAGAATAACCGAAGAAAGAGAGAATCTATATAATAATCTATAAATATACCTAGAATAAATACGAGGATAAAGAAAATAGCTATAGGTACGACTATATAGACTACGTATTCCCTTTTCTATTTAGAGAAGGAGAAAATAATAACTAATTAGAAGAATTACGATAGTAGTTAAATAAATATAAGAAGATAAGACCGTAGAGAATAACGTATATCTATCCCGAGGACGTAGTACTAATAGAAGAGAAAAATAAGGTAATAGTATCGGAATATTATCTTATAGTATTTATTACTAACTATTACTAGGTAAGTATTAAAGACGGTATTAAAAGATTAATATTCTACCCTAGTAAACTATAATAATTAACTCGAAGGGTAGTTAACCTAAACGAATACTATAACCTAGAATATCTAGTAGTAGCTTCTTACTATTTATACGATATAGTAGGGAGTAAAGTAGTATAATATAACCTACTAGCGTAAATAATTAGAGGAGTATAAGTACGATTAGTATACCTAGATAATAAAGAAGAGGAATAGGAAGAAGTAAATACTAAAGAAATAGATAAGAACTCTAAAATATCGTCGGAAGAAGAAGAAAAGTATTATATAGCTAAGGTTATAAGGAACTAGATTAAGATTATAATAAAGTACTAGAAATATAACGAATATATAGAATATAATAGCGAGACCGAAAGATATCTCTATATCTACTACGATCCTAGAATAAAACTATAAGAATAATAGAACGAAATTAATATATTATTCTACTAGAATTATAGATATAATTAAGCGCTAATAGTATAC